GAAGACTTTCACTGCTCTCGCACTGGCAATTTTGTAGGCTGTGATATCGAGCCCTAACTTCCTTGCGTCGTCCCCAGGTGTACACAAAAGCATGATGAGTATATGGAGGCTTAGTTAAGTAGTTGCTAGCTGTATATTATAAAGAGACAAAACTGTTGCCGGACAGCACGAACGAGTTTGTTTGCACAACCCAACCACAGCAGTGGAACTGCATTCTCATAACACAAGATCCAATTGTATGCGTATCGCACGCAACGCATTGTATTCTTCTGGCTACCTCTTCACGTAGCTATCGTCCAAGCGACGAGAGCTATTGTCTCCAAGTTTACTCGGTTGCCGCCATCTTGACCGTCTCTGTTGTCGTGTATCCTTTCAGCTCTTTACTTACTGCATTAGCCTGATTTGTTCCCAGCTCCTCATTCTGTTGGTACAAGGGCATCTTAGCGGGCCGTTGAGAACAGGTGGTCAAAAGAAGATTCCGTCTACAGCTAGTGAACAGATTGCAAGCAAAAGGAGACCAGGAGACGACGGAATTCTCCCATACGGGCCAAGACTAAGAGAATGCGCATGCCTGCAAGCAGGTAGTACCGGCTGGGATGGAAAACCAAGAGAGCAGGCTCTACTGATAGATTGTTCTACCTAAGAGGTACTCTTGGTGTTCATTGACAATCTTTCCAAGGTTTTGCTCATCCATGTGCTCTATACGCTCCTCAAAGTCGTAACAGATGCCCTTGGTCTGTCGAGCCTAAATCCATGTAGCAAGCAAACATATCAACACTATTGAGACGATCTAGTACGGTGGTCTTTCCTTCATCTTGTCTTTCTCTTGATTGTGTCTTGATCTCCCCTTTCTCAAGATCGTTGTTCAGCTTGGTGGCCTTTTGTTCTTCAATCATGGGCTGATGGTATGGATCAGTTGTATGCTTCTCGCACTGTCTGGCTATTGATCAGATTTTCGGCTCGGTCGAAGTGGTCGGGTTGCAGAAATTTGCTTCTTATGGTAATAATCCAGCTGTGTGTTACATGAAAGTGCATTGTTGGTGACTGTAACACCGATCATGGCGATGCGTATATCTGGGCAGGTGTCCAGGTTTCTTCAGGAAAGCGAAGGGTCAGTTGTATTTGGCAGACCATTTTTAGCACCATCTGGGCTACGTCAAATTTTTTACGATCCTGAGCATCGCTTTAGAGAGCTCGAATTGGTCGTTGAAGCAGCTATACTTCCATCGAGGTCGCCTCTTCCTCTTCCTCTTGTGGACATCATTATCGTCGTTGTCTAGCTCTATCATGTCTCCCTGCGCTGGTTCTGCTTCCGCTGTGCCTGCACGACGTTATCGATCAGAATTTGAGCAACTTTCGTATGAAAAGTTAAGGAGTGGATGTAGTGTGAGCAACGCAACCGTCCAACACATGTCACAGGTGAAAGCAGATAAGTAAGAAATGAAGATGTAATAACTCCAAACGCCATCTCCTAGCCTGTGCTGAGGCAGTGGGTATCTATGCAAGACCGCTGTTATACAAGGAGTAACATGCCCCTCAGACCACGTAGAACGCCGACCGTTAGAGCCACAAAACGCCACATCCATTTTCACCAGGTCCGTTACTGTTACCATTACCATTACCGGCCGCATGAGTCCCCTCGATACCTCTCACTGTTCCTGGGGCACGTGGTAGGCGGAAAGGAGGGATCGCAGATCTATAGGGGAACAGCTCTGCGACATTCCCCGGCACAGCCTTTCCGTCAATGACTTCCTCGACGACGTCAACGAGACTCTCAAAGTCAGATAGGACACGTTTCGCATATAGGAGACTATATGCGAGATCACGTAGCAAGGCCAAAGCATCGCGAAAAGCTTCAATATGGGATTGATTCCTCCCAGCGACGTTTCGTACAAGGAGAGAGCAAAGAACGAGTAGAGCATTCGAGAGAGATGACACCATGCGGTGTCGAAGGCTGAAAGGCTGTCGAATGTCTTGAGCAAACGTGGCCATTCGGCTGATAGTAAAGACTGCAAGATTGCTGAAGTGAGAAGCATGGTTGTCGTCGTATTGGAGGGAGGTTATGACGGAGCGCAAGCCCCAAAGCACGAAGTCGGTCTTCTTCTGGGTAACGAAAACTTTTAGGGGCGGAACGGTTGCACCAACTGATTGGGCATGCGGGATTTCGAGTGTTTGCAAATCCTGCTCGAGGAAGTATGAGATCTGCCTGTCGATGATCTCCTGCGTCGCGCCATCGAGGCTGCGACCGTCAATATTGTTATCAGCGTAGCGTGCCCAGAGTATCATGTAGTGAATATAGTGATCGATGAAACGTCTTGGATCGATCTCATCAGCCTTGTATAGCATCGCCTAAAGATAGTGAGAAACGATGACCGCAAGACTAAATAGGAGCTTTACTCACCCTTTCGGACAGATCTGCGGGTGCCTCAACTTGGATGTCAGTCTCATGGACTGTATACGGGCGTCCGAAGGTCAATGAGATGAAGCGGTCTTGTACGAAAACGTTCCAGAATGTGCAGATACGCTCGTATGCTTGTGCGGTTGTGATGTTTGTCCATGTAGACTGCTGATGCAAAGACGACTGGAACGCGAGTCTGGCAGCGGCACCGATAGTGTTGTAAGCCGGACCGGGCATATCTGCGTAAGAATAGTATATAGCCTGCGACAGTCAACTCTCATGTACCAAGCTTTGGATGTCCAGAAATTTACCTGAAATAGTACGCATTGTATCAGTGTCAGATCGGGACTTCCGTTCAGTAGTGACCTCTTATCGACGAGGTCGTCGGCCAGCTCAAGCCATCGCCAGCCTTTGGGTTTGCCAGTATCGATTGGCGCGACATTGAGCAGTATATCGCAACAAGCAAAGATACTATAATTCAGCGCGAGGAACTGGTGGTCTTGTAGGGGTATGGTGGTGCTCGCTAGCATGTGTTCGCTGCGACCGCGGAACTCGGATTCATCTATGCACGGATGAGACAGGTGGATGTCGGTGAAGAATGAGGCTAGGTACTGTTGGTAATCGGCCGGGCTGGGGTAGGGCAACTTCTTGTTGCCCACTTGTATGAGATGCGGTGGCTCGCCATTAAATGCATGGCCAGGGCCTGGCAGAGCCGAGTTTCCTGAGTCTGACGGCTCGTGTGAGAAGAGGGAGGGCTGTCCCATGAAGGCGAGGGCTGGGTTGATGGGGTCCAGCGGCGGGACAGACAAGGCGGCGTCGCCCCGAAAGCCATCACTGCCGTTGTCTTCGCGCTCTATACTGCCCATTGGTGTCATGGCCAGGCCTCGGTCGCGCATGAGAGCCTCCATCATAGCCTCGATGCGGGCCATGCGTGCTTCCATGCTCATGCCGCGTGTACTGGCATCGCTCGCCCTCCGCTCCGTGCCATTTTCAGATGGCATCAGAGTTCTTCGTGGTATGCTGTTGCCGTTTCCGCTGGTGTTGGAGGCTTGCGACTGAAGGGCGGGCGTCGGTCGACTGAGGTTTTGCAGGGCTTCTGCCGCTGTCTGGTCTTCAGAGAAGAAACAGCGCTTGCCGTTGTCCATGCATCGTTGGCATGGATTTTCACCAGAGCACTGCTTTGGTTAGTGATGCTGCCTCCGAGTGCTGTTGCCGTCTGAATTGCGTCTTTCCTAGCTGCGGAAGGAACACTATCGCACAGAAAAGGAAGGAGCGACACATCGAAAAATGAGTCGGGCAGTATACCGAGACAACGTACCTTGAGCTTCGACCGTCTGCATGATACACCTAGATCCGTCTGTCAGCCGGCTCATGGCATGTTACCGTTGTCTTGTCGCGCGAAGCTGCGTCGAACCACTACGGAACCATCGGAATGCTGCATAGGAAGCTCCAGAGATGCCGAGCGGAAGTTGCAAGAGCGGAAGGCGCGACTTACATGCCTTGGGCGCGTACTTTTGGCGGACCTTCTTGCGCTTGGGCGACGAGGACCTCCTTTCGACGTCCATATGCTCTATGGGCGAAGGATGGCTGTTCATGGCGCGACGGAGTTGTTGGAAGAAGGATGGCGCTCCCCCAAGCTACTTCGGAACGCGACCGGGATCCGGGGCCACTAGCGCGTTTTCAGCATGCTCTTATGCAGCCACCAATTTCACTGTTTCGCCTTGTTCCCATCGCATTCATATCTTCTTGGACGCATCAGAATGTCGTGTTGCTAATATGATACTGAACCATCAATACCGGAGATTAACATTGTGCGATGCGAATGTCGGAGCGAGTTGTACTGCAGGGTATCCCAAACCTCTGACATGTGATACAGCCACCACCTTAAGACCCTCGTCTACTCAGCGTTTTTCCTCAAGCACACAAAGACTCGTTCAAACAAGATAAACTTTTCATTACTATGAGGGATTTGACTCTAGAAATATATATTCGTGTCGCATGTGGTACGAGTCTTGACTGTTGGATGACGACAGACATTAGCGGAAATCATCAACGCTGAAAAGGACACTATACGAGGTCGAGCAAATGTGCTCGACGAAAGGGTATCATTGGAATCAACAAAGAAAAGGACGCGCTAGCTGGTAGTACGTACTGCAAATGCATCACGAGAAACTTTGATATCTCGTGATGAGAGGGCAGGGTCGAGCATTTGTGCTCAACAAGTAAAACCACGAAATGAAAAAAAAAGAGCAAAACTTGCTCGCTTGCTCGCTGAAAACACTGTGAGATCGATTGCATTTCTCCTGTGTGATGAAGAGGGAGAGGTGGTCGTGGTCGTAGTATCGTGAGCCATGGTGTCGTAATGGCGTGAATTTGTGAAGGAAGCTTGAGTCCACGTCAAAGATGGCCTTCGTTTACAGTGAGTGTTGTGGTGTCGTGGTGTCGTGGTGTGGGGGTGTTGTGTTGTAGGCTCGTGAGAAAAGTGACTTTCGTGTCTGATTTTTCGCCGTCCTCAGAGTTCTGTCCTTCTCTCTTCATGTTGTGTGTGTTATGATGCATGGTGAGACGTGAGTCATTCTCAAAAGATGTCCATACTCTCACGCTAATCATGAATCGCCCAGATCTTCAGCGCACGGCCACAAAGCTTCTTGAGAGCTTGAGTATCCTTGTTCTGACGAATCTTCAGAGGAAGAGCGTCAGTCCTCGTGACGCACTTCTCAATCTGTGAGCGGTAGTGTCCGGCATCCATAGAGCCGAGGATACTCTCTTCACCGTTCGCGGCATTCAACAGACCATCAATACACTCCTTGACTGCACGGCGATGATTGCTCTTGATCTCGTTGTTGCGGAACATGTCCTGGATCTCTGTTTCGAGGACCATATTGTCGGTCGAAATGTAATGGATGACGTTTTGCCGCGCGACACTGTCTACTGGCTCAACGGTAATGGACGGGATTTCGGAACCAGCGGAACGACAGGCCAGCTGATTGTCAGCAGCTTTTGCGAGGGTTGCAGCAGTCAGCTTAGATATGCCAGAGCCTGCGGGTGCGGAAGTGGCAGCGCCCGGGACGTAGTCATCGGGATCAACACCTGATGTAGACGCTCTGCCACGGATCAAAAATCCTCCTTCAGGAGCAGCACCTAATACAGAAGCTCCATTGTCAGAAATAGGTTTAGGGCTTGCTGCTATATTGGTGTTTGTATAGCCGTGATCGGCGCAAAAGTTGTTGGTCGGTTGCTGTTCTTGCTCAAGAGGGTTCACAAGCGGTGTCGGATTCTTGATCCGATGGGCGATGGCCTCAATAAGCTGAGCCATGAAGACGACCTGGGGCTCGAGACCATCAGCCTTGCTCACCAGATACCCGTAGACCTCCTCGAGACGCGCCAGAGGCCAAATAGCCTTGAGCTTCTGGGCATCGTCTACAGCCAGTGGAATCTCGTGGTCGCACTCTTGTAGCAGGCCGAGGACGGGTTCAAAGATCTGCTGGGTCAAGAATTGAACGGTGTTGGCCACCTCCCACACATCGTTGTTTGCGATGGCGTTGTCTAAAAGATCGATGTTGTCGCCCATCTCGCCAGTGTACATGGCAAGTCTGTTGATGCGCCCCTGGTAAATGTTGTGGTAGTGGTTCCAGAGAACCTCTGTCCTCACGTAAGCCTTGTGTGCTTGATGAGCCATCCACACCTGCTCATCAACGCGGCGTTGAATCTCAGCACGTCGAGACTCGAATGCGTCGATGATACTTTCAGTGGCTACACGCTTGTTATGCTCTGCAATGACGGGATCTATAGGATTGTGACCAGAAGGAAGGATCGGAGCTTTCATCTTCTCCTCGCCAAGGATATTGGTCAACCTCTCGTGGATGAACTTGTGACGCTCCTCAGGGGTCTGATTCGCGTAAAATTCGTCACTGTAGGGTGACTTTTCGGGCACATATGGCGGCGGTGGTGGCGGCGTCCACTGAGAGCGGGACGCCTTGATACTCATATGACGATCCACCGCCCACTGATCGGATGAAGCGCGAAGCTCTTTCTTTCGTTTCTTCTCCTCTGCCATCTTCAACTGCTCCTCTCGGAGGCGGATCTCTTTCTCGCGCGCCATCTCGGAAGCCTCCCTCTTCATCTTCATATCATACCACCGGAAATCTCGCTCTGCGGGGGAGACATGACGCTTTGGCTTCTCGATACGTCCTGTGGTTGAGGTGCGAGAAGTCTGCTGCTTCTGCCAGGGGTTAGTCGCTGTACGTCCATTCGTAAGAGTCAAGTCACGAACCTTGCTTGGCGGTGGTAGTGGAGCACGATTGGAGCTAGCACAGACGTTGCTCAGGCCAGTCAGAACCAGATAAGGGGCAGTGCTCTCAATGGATTGCTTTGTAAACGATTAGATGCTGTCTGAGTGATGCCTGGAGGGAAAGACAAACCTTGAGGACGCGAGCATTAGTCTCGAGCTTCAGGCATCCGTGTTGATAATGGACGTAAGCCTTCTGCTTCAGTACATCTACTACACGGCTCGCCGTGTTGCGAAGAGTCTCGCGGATGGGCGCCATGATGCGATTTTGACTTATCAGTGGGTGTGGTTGGTTTGAATAAAGTGTAGGCAAATATTGGTCTTGAGAATGACTTGGAGACTGAAAGTCGTAGTGTAGCTGTTAATCAATCTGGATCGTGAGCAGGCGAATCAGGATTGCAAGTTGATTGCAGTTGAGGAAGTTCGCGTGGAAGAGATTTGGTTAGAAGTGTGGGAAGGATTGGGTTATATCGAAGAGGGAAGGAAGGCAGCGCTTGGCAGAAGGTAATGGTCGGGATCTTGGAGTCGTTAATGAAAGCGAATACAAGTGAATGGGGAAGATTATGACGAACTTTTTGGTATATAGGGCAGTGAAACGCCAGAAGCAGCAGCGGGAAAGCCCGTGTGCGCAAACAGATGGGTCATAAGACGAGGCAGAAGCCCAAGAAGGCTGGGAGATGGGTCTCCTGACTATGTATCGTCGAGCTTGCGCGATCTTTCACTATGGCAGAATTCATGCTTTGTTCCAGACTTTCCAATAAAGAATAGCCTCATACCCAGTACAGTGACTCACTATCGTCACGTTTTCTCGAAAGAATTGTATGTATACTATACCTGTATACAGCATGCTCAATGCTGTGTAGATTCAACGATACATGATAGTCTCCTTAACAACCCTTCGCAGCATGTTCGTCTGACGTTAGCTGCATGCACAATACAACACACGCTGGGTGATTAGACTGAGCACCGTGAAATAATTAAATCTACTGGAGGAAATTTCTGGCAGCGAGCGAGACGAGGTAAAAGTGAAGATGAAACTGTGAGATCCTACGTAAAGAGGAGATGGTGGAAGAGAGGATTCGCCATGTCACAAATTCACACACTAGTGATGTTAGTGATGAGAGCATTTTGGATGCCACAGCAAGACGCGGGGAAGATGGAAAGAGACGGCATGTAGCAGATTGACGGAGCAGAAGTTGAGATACGGGGATGTCAGGGGACGCACTTGCTGCCTCAGTCAAGCCGGGTAGGCGGGTATCGCCATCGGCATCCGCCACGTTCCTGCCTTGCGCACCACCAGTCTCGCCTGATTTCCTCATGTATTCTCCTGAATATCTGTGAGGACGTATGCGCTTGGAATGCACGTTCGATGTCAGTAACATAGCAACGCGAGGGAGAGATGAAGAGCCAGAGGTAGGTGGTAGTCTCGCTCATCATACGCGCGTCTTCGCCAACAAGTCTGGGGATGCGGAACTGTCGGCACTCGAGCACTTGGACACATCCAGGGGCTCTTGAATCAACACGCCAATGTATGAGGTGAAGATGCTGCGTCGGAAAACGGAAAGGTTGTTAGAGGAATGCATGTGGAGTCTCCAGAAGAAAAAAAGTGGGCATGGGCCAGCCAGAACAACGTCGACTCAGGCACCACAGGTCTCGAACATCCAAACAAATTTACTCCATGGGCATCGTAAGGCGCCCAGCATTTGCGTCGTTCGTGTTGCGGTACGGATCGATCGCACGTTCCAGTCAAGCTTCCCCTCGTGAACTCGGTGCCACACGACAGGTGTGGCGTTCAGAATACATGGGAAAGATGTCGCGTGTTAGCTATGGCAGCCCTGCTTGCGCTGCGGCATCACCGGCGGTATAGTAATCAGAGTACAAAACCTTCAGAACGATGCCTGAAGCCGCCCCCTTTTTCGACGCCAACGCCGCAGCGATGACGGGAACGCGCAAGCCCCAAGGAATGAGTCGAGATTTGTTCCTGCAGACAGGCCGCTTCCTGTGGCTTTCTGTGGCACAGGCGGCTTGGCTCAGTGCCGGAATCCGCATTGGCGCCGTTGGTCTTACCGGCTTAGGCTAGCCGACGGGGCGGAATCGACCTTTTCTCGTCGAAACTGGAAACGCTGCCCTCTATATCGAATCAACCCCATTCAAAGGATGCGAAATCAAGCTTGCGGCGCATGCATGATGTCTGTGGGGGGCCGTGCTTTTACATCATGGGGGTCGATCGCCTATGAGCTTCGTGATCCCGGCGGCAGTCAGCGTTTTCCAGGGCTGACCTTTCGTTATCTTGTATATCTCTTTGTGCCCTGCGTCTCGTCTGCTGCGGCTCTGAGGTTCCTACTTACTACTAATTGCGCGTTCTGGTACCAGACGCCTACTCCCTTTCTTTTTCACGCAGGGCAACTTACATTAGTCACTCGTTACACTCAAACTTTATAATTACGCTAATATGAGGGTCTCGCAAATCCCCCTCCTCTTTACCACACTGGGTGCCAGCCTTGTGCTCGCTCAAGAACGCTGCGACGCACCCTCGCCAGGTATATACTGTAACTCCACCGAAATTCTCGCATACCACTCGGACGACTGCAAGCCTTTCCACGTCTTCATCTCCCGTGGCTCCGATGAGCCCTACCCAGGCCGTCTAGGCAACCTCACCTCGGAGATTTGCGCAGCAATAGGAGGATCAGAAGAGTGTGGTTACGAGGATGTCGAGTACCCAGCAAAGAGCACAGCGTGGGGACAAGGCGTTTGGTGTGATTCTGCGGGCAAGGGTGCGAAGAGCGGACAGGCGCAGATGAAGGCATACAGTGAAAAATGCCCTGATAGCAAGTTGATTGTGTTGGGTTACTCGCAGGGAGGATCCGTGGCACAGGACATGCTTGGTGGGGGAGGAGGTTCTGTCTTCGCATGTGAGCAAGACATGAACCCGGCTCTAGACGCTACGTCGGCTCCCGGCTCTAATGGTACGTATCCTTTTTGATAATAAGTCACGCTCTACACCGGTTTACTAACCCTCCAACTATAGTCGTCGCAGCCGTAACCTTTGGCGCTGTCGTCCGTTCTAAAGACCAGAATTTCACCGTCGGTCGCGGTGTAGATTACGATGGCACCAGTGCGCGCAGCCCCGAACACCTTGAAGGCCTCCAGCAATACTCCGACGTCTTCCTGGACTACTGCCACTACGGCGACCCAATCTGTGCCGTGGGCTCCGAGCCCCAGGATGTAAACGAGCACCTGAACTACTTCATCCAACACAACCCGGAAGTGATCAAGTGGGTAGTTGGCATGGCCAAGGCAAGCGGTGATGTGAGTGCGAAACCCAGCAAGCCCGTAATCAGCGCTTCTTCTTCCTCGACAAGTGTGGCAGCGAGACCCCAAGCCACGCCATCCGGATCTGCCACCCCCTCGCCTATTGCAACGACAACTGACGGAAACGAGAAGAGCGCGCAAGCAACCGCCGCTACAGGTGCTGCTAGTTCACTGACTGCTACCCTCGCGTACTTGACTGCGCTGGCTTTGGTCGTAGCTGTGTTCTTGTAGATCTGATTATTCCATTGTAATACTCTTCTTCACGAGTGCTTGTACCGTACAACCTCGTTGCCTAGCATCTTGGATACCCCAAGCAAGGAGTAGGGAGCATACAACGAAGCATTGATATACATCGCGTATTGAATTCATCACAAGTTTGACATGTAAATATGAACACTGAACATTGAACATTGAATTCTCTCATGATTATCAGACCGTCATCGTCATTATATACAAAGGTTACCTGCTCGTGATAGGCTTTTAACGAGGAGGATCAAGGAATAACAATATAACAAAGCGCCACCTATGCAATGCATGCAACTCGTATGAAACACAAACAAAAACTACAAAAGACCAATGGTCCTCTGCTTCATGGTCCTGACATCGACGTTCTGCCAGCAGGCAGTGCTGAAGAGAGTAATGCAGTAGACGCACACAGCGGCGATAAGCATGTACTTTTGTGTCTGACCGTAGCTGAGGTTGATGGCATCGCGAGTCGGGCTTCCAACCGGGTAGCTGTCCTGAACCTTGAAACTGCCGTAGATACTGGCAAGGTCTGGCAAGGCGCCCGCAGGCAGGTTAGCTGCAAGGCGAGCTGGGAAGACACCGGTCCAGATGGCACCTGCAACGGTAGAGCCGATAGCGCTTCCGATGGAAATGATCATAGATTCCACGGCGAGGAGAGCAGGGAAGTCTTGCTGCTTGGACACGGCCATGAGAGTGGTTTGCTCGGAGGTAACCAGGACACCACCGCCAAAAGCGATGAAGATCATGCACATGACAATGTAGCCAATATTCTGATCGGGTTGACGGAACTTGATCATAAGACCAACGCCGAGCATGGTAAGAGGTACACCGAAGAAGAATGAAAAGACCTTGAGTTTTCCGTAGTAACGTAGCACGATTCCGTAGATGATGCAAATGAAGCAGCTGCCCATGGTGTAGATGTTGGCGATCCATGTGGCGTGCACCTCACTCTGATCGAACAAGACGACGAGAAGAGAGTAGAAGTATGAGTCCCAGCAGTACCAGCCAACGTACAACGAACCAGCCATGGTGTAGGTAAAGATGACGGTTCGGTTCTTTAGTAGTGGCCATGGAATGAAGGTGACCGGGGCACCCCACTTCTCCCACAGACCGAATGCAACAACTAGGAGTGCGCCGAATACGATGAAGCAGATGATGAGAGGCGACTTCCACTGCTCGGCTTGGTATGAGTAGATGTTGAAGGCTAGGAGGAAGAGCGAGAGTCCAGCGGCCAAGAGCAGAAGACCGACGGCATCGAATTCACGAAGGTAGTAGGTAAGGGTTTGAATAAAGTTACCGCGGCTGGGGCGTGGTGCGATGAGACCCTGCTTGCGCGCCTTGCCTTCATAGACAACAAACAGAATGATAAGAGGCGAGGTGACGATGGGGGCGATGATGGCAAAGATACCAAAAGCCCATCGCCAGCCAATGCCGCCATTAGCCGTAATGCCCCTGATGCCGTATCCGTAGATCCAGGTGGTAATGAGCCACGGAGAGGACGCATAGGAGATGAACAGGGCTCGGTTCTTCAACTTGGAAGTATCGGCAATGAAGACAGTGATGAAGAAGTCGATACTGTTGGAACCAACGTAGAAGAAGGTCTGTGCCGCACAGTAGGCCTTGACGTTGTTGCAGCTCGCCATCAGGATGAGACCGACGACGTAGATGGCTACGCCCAGAGCGAGACCGAAAGGTCGGCCCCAGATGTTGAGGATCTTGGCGTATGGGAGCTTCCAGATACCACCAACGATGGAGGAGATAACGGTAGTCAAAGCGGTTAGGGAGTGTTTCTGGAAGTCGCTGGTGACGTAGGGAGAAAGAGTACTCGAAGTGCTGGATGCGTAGGCAGTGAAGAACTGTATGAACCACATCCTGGAGATTGTTAGTCTCATCTTGAATACTGAGAAATCGTCCACCTACGCAATGTACGCTAGAATCAGGTCACGCTTCTTCCAGATCATTGAAGCCGCCTGAACTTGTTGCACACCAATCTCGGCAGTGGTATCAACCTTGTTCAGCTCTTCATCGGACTCTCTGCTCAACGCAGACTCCCTCGGGCTGCCGACCTTCTCATCGGGGCGAGCAACGTCCATGCTGGTGTGACCTTGGTAGGAAGCGGGCACGTCGGCAATGTCTTTGTTGTCAGCATTGGCAGAAGCAGCGCTGCCAGAGACCAATGCACTGCTAGTCAATCCCTTGAAGGTGAAACCCATCTTGGCAATCGTAGGCGTTGTTGTACACCAAAAGCGAGGGTTGTGATGGTTGGAGATGAAGAGATTGATAAGACAAGATGCCGCGCGAGGTACAGGTTCATATACAGAAAACGCCGATCCACGCGGCTCCACTACAGGGCATTGTCAAGACGCACCCGGTTGTCGGCTCCCTCGCAGCTGGGTGGGTAAATTGTTCGCGTGGACCGTCAAAACGGAAATGGTGGTGAATATCACGGTGCACCTGCCCGGCTAGCACCATGCACCAAAGCTTGTTCTTTTCCAGATGTGGTTAAACCCCCGGGATTAAGCATTTTCAAGCATGACCCAGACGGCCTCCAAATCTTATCTCGATAATCAGCCGGCATCAGCGGACATCTAGAGCCAATGATAGTCTGCGGTGGCGTGACGCGTGGGTTATCAGATGAAAATTTTCGATCTAATCATTATCTGATCAAAACCCGCGAGCCACGACGCCTACTTGCACCATCACGTTCTGCTCCGTCATGCCTTCGTAAGGCGGGGGTACCGAGGGAAATAATGGCCTGTTAGCTTGCGACTACGGAACTGCCGATGGTGCTCCCAACACTCGATAGCCGCCGAATACTTGGTGGAGCTGTTCGGGGTTTCTGCAGAATTTGCTCCATACTCGTACCGTGGTGGTGGGACGACAGCGACAGAAACAGCGAAGTGGGTTGAAGGAGCGGAAGAAAAGGTACAAAGAGTATGAAATGTCTTCGAGAAGCTGGGCTTTGCAGGCATTCCGTTCCTACATTCATCTGCACCCAATCGCATCTAATCGACGCTGCTGCTGCGATGAACGGATTCAAGGGTCTGGCATCTTGGCGTAAGTGGGGTTGTGATTCGGGGTTGCTCGTCCGAAACTGCTAACGGCGGCTGATACTTCTTCCTTGGGTCCCGACAATATGAGAAGACCTCTTTGGACCCACGCATCCATCGCCCTCGGGACTGAACTAGATGCGATGTGTCGCCGCGCGGTACCGCGAAGCACAAGAGAATGAGTGTACCGCAAGTCGATGTCCAGGCACGGTGCAACGCCATCCTACATGAGTCATGTCAGTGGTGGACCTTCGGACTGATCCAGACATGCGCGCGTAGCTTTCTTGTCACCTGTAATTGAATGCTTACGTCTGCATTGACGTGTACACAGTGCTAAGAGTAGTGTGTGCTTCTTGTGTTCCTCTGGCAGTTCATTTGTTGCTTCCCCTGCATTGTGTAGCTTCCGCATGCAATGACCACGACATCTGTATTCCAGAGTACACCAACGTTATGTATCGGGCCGCGAGTACCAAGGCGTACACCTTGGGATTACCGCTGATGTCAAGCGTCATGCAGTATGAGGTGTAGGCTTCTTGAGCGGGTGAGTTTTGACGATCAGGTGGAACTGTGGAGCTTCCAAGAAACTGCTTAGGCACGTTTGCACACTGGAGAGCCGGTTTGCACTTCATGTCTCACTTCTCGATCTTGAGATCTCCTTGACAGTTTACATTCGGCAAATTGCTTAGTTTATGGAGACAGTCCTGTCTAGCGTCTCATACCTGCCCGTGAGCGCCATACGCTCACTTAACCTTTCACAATGCACCTCTCCATCTCTATCATGTTCTCTGATATCCTAGTGGATAAGATACTTCACAAAGTCTAGCTCCTCTTCCTGCCTCTTCTCTAGTGCGTGCTTCGTTGCGACGAGGAAGTCCTCGCGAAAGCTAGGGCATAAGCCGAGGAAGAATGACCATAGTTCTTGGGCTGTGTGGTCGATGATAGCAGTGTCTCCCCAATTGCGAACGACAACATTCTGGAGTAGCTGTTGTAGCTGCGATGAGCCTTCTGTAAAGCTTTCCTTGTGGAATTGGAAGATATGGGCGAACAATGCTGGCGTCAGCGGCCGCGAGAGGGGTCTGGAGAAAGCTTCGAAGAGACGCTTGATGGCGTATTTTGGAAGTTCTTTGCATGTAGGGTGACGCCAAGTTCCCAACTGGCAACGGCTGCCTTAACAGGCCAGTCTACTTGTAGTTCAGGCGCAAGTCCGATCTCCAGAGGGGCGGATAGCAAAGTCAGGCACCTGTCGAAAGACCACGCGAGACCTTCCTTTTCCTGGTATGTTCGAGTATACAGCCACTGAATGAACAAGCCGAAGACCTCGTGGGGATGTCCAGGGCCAAGCTTGTATGTGCGATAGAATCCTGCTTGCCACTTGAGTTTGTCGCACTCGCTTTCCATTAACGTCATGTGAATTGACCATTCTCTGGTTATAAAGACGTCTGGTTGTAAGACGTCTGAATGTCTGATTCCGACGATGCCGATACTTCGATTCTCAGCACCGGGGTAAATAGATATCAGTGATAGCCTTTTGATATCTTCTGCGACAGCTCTTACCTTACAACGAGCTTCTCACCATGAGTGCATTCTTCTAGCGCAGCGGGACTCTCAAACCCACTCGCCATACTCATCTTGGAATGTGCAAAGTTGGTAGAGATTGGGGATACGAGGAAAGCGAATTGGGTAGTAGGCAGCTGGCAAGTGTCGAAAAGGCAACATCGTAAGGTGAGCGAAAGTCTAGAGCTCACCTCGATAAGTACAAGACTCACCGATCACCAGTCTCGCACACTCATCTCAGAGGTTAAAAGTGCTTTGCGCCTTCACCTGCATATTCGTTCGTCTGTCGAGCCATCTATAGAAATATCGAGGTAACATCCAAGAGCACTGCGATGGTGCTCATCCTTCCGGAGATATTGAATTCAGTGTGTTCTGGTCAGTAAAGACCATCGTGTTAATGGCCATCTATAACACGTACACGACGGATGAAGCAATGTAAGGAAGCTTTGAAAACGGTGTCACGGTGGTACAGCGGATTGATAGTCTGTTCGGGTGAAGTGAAGGCATCAGTACGTCTCCAGATCCCCACGGATGACAACGTATAGCGCTCTGTTCACCCGCAAATACCCACCACTGTAGAGCGTAGCAAGAAGGGTCCCGAGGTCACCTTAAGAAACACGAGCAAGTTACTGCAATGCGCAACATGACGGACTCACGCTGACATTGCACTCCAACATTATTCGCCCATCGGCATCATGAGAGAATGTATCGAAGCGGGAATAGGGGCGCCTCATTACTCAGTATTTGCCGCTGTTGTCAACTCCAGTTCCCGGCTTCTTCTTAGCTTGTAGGCACAATCTGCGCAAATGCTCTGCACCAAGGACGGATCCTAGCTGTAAAATGATCACTAGTCACCCTTCGCCCGATGTGTGGTTCTTTCACACGGGACTTCTGGTCCAGACCTCAAAGCCATGCTTGGCTTGTAGCCATAACTTGCGCAAAAGGACGCTCAACGGTATCACTGTGGAGAGAGGTTGGGCCGCTAAACCCCACTCTCGCAGTATACGGGGTCACGTTTGCTTTATGCGCGCACAAAGCGCTTGGAGAATAAGACCACTGGTAGAAATATGAAGGCGTAAGATATTGCTTTTGTGACAATAGGACCGAGAATGACGTGGGGTCAATGTGCAGTCAACATGTTGGCATTGGTTGATAACACGATCGTTGTCATGAGACATGGATGTCACTTCCCACCAAGTTACTCTACATGTGAGTTAGTTATACGGGGCGTCTCCGATTGGTCGAGTTGACAATGCAGCGGTACTGTTACCCGGTTGTTGGCATACTGTCAGGAGCGATCTACGCTGTCCCCGTAGGAATAGTTGCCTGCTTGCTGTTGCGAACAAGTACATGCTGGCATGCCACAATCTCTTGCAATCCAAGGTATCCGGGGCTACCATCATTCGTCAAGTGCAAACACAGCCTTCTTATTCAAATATCGCAGTACAAGGTCAAGACTAAATTCATTCACAATATCGCAGTCATAATAGGGTATCTAATCGTTCAAAATTCACCGCAGTCGCTCCATCCAACACCATCTACGCACAACAACCGGTCGGCCCTGCCGCCTTGATTGAAGAGCGTCTGTCATCTTTCTCGCTAACCTGGCCGTATGGTATCCTAACCACCATCCAGTCGCACAAAAACTTGCCCAAAACAGCTCCTAGTATGATCGAGATGAAGATGTATCCGTTGAAGTGCATAACCAACAACATGATGATGTACGCGAGACCGAGAATCAAGCCATGCAACGAGGCGCGAACAAGTTGTTGTAGTGCCGAGGCACGGAAGGTGGCGTGTTGTGTTCCGAGAGTCGAGGTAGGGCCATCGCAGCAGTTGGCGGGCGTGGCAGCGGCGAGCGCAGCTTGCTGTGCGTTAAGTTGTCGTTGGAATTGGCGGAGTAGGAAGGCATCGTATTCGGTGCTGACTCGTCGCAGGAATTCAAGAGTAACGACTAGGAGAGCGGCGCCAATGCAGCTTGCGGCCATCATGGCGTTGTTGGTCACGTGCCATGATTCGGAGAGGAAGCATGCGTCTACTACGCGCCAGTTCCACAGCATCTAAAGAAACGTCAGTTATGATGTTATATCGCGGCGATATGGATTGCGGACCTCTGTGACACAGGTGCTGTTGCCCGAAGACATTCCGGACATTCCTGACATTCCGTGCATGATGGGCGGTGTTGTTCGTGTTCCGAGGTTGGTTCGAAAAGTTTGGAGCGACGTCTGTCAAGAACTGAACCGTGGAAGAGGTATGTCAAAAAATGATATAACAACCGTCAAACTGGACCCTGCGGCTATAGATACCGCGACATAGATATGTAGGATCGAGTTACCGTCTCACTGCAGTCTGGCCCGCGCAGGCATGCCGGCAAACTCGCCGGAAATTATGGGGGAACTTGCTCAAACACTCTCGCACTAGCCTCTTCAATCGATCCAAGAGTGCGGGAGCCGCTTAAAGACCCGCCTAAGCTTCGCAGCCCACTTCTCGAATCCTTGGCCCATCTTTTTACGAAACGTGCTCACCATGTTTCCGGTGTGTTACAATTCGCCTGCGGTAGTTCATATAGATATGCGGTCCGCGCACCGATTCGAGACATGTAGCACGCATCGTCTATTAAATTTTTTGCCCAGTCGTTTTGTCTGCTAACCAGCGACTTATCGACCATGGACTCCAAAATGCTCGTCCCGCGTGTCCACATCCAGAATTTCTCTGAGGCGAGCGCTGTCGAGCCGCATTGGGGTTACGCAGATCGCCTTGTACCTTGCACCAACGACCCTGGTTCTTGCGAATACCTCGACGTTGTCTATCGCAGCCATGACATTGGCATGTATTACACCGGAATCATATGGGCGACCATTGGCGCGATCCTCTTGGTGTGGGGCGTCGGCCGACACTTCGCGCACTCGCAGCCATCAGGCGTGCAATTACCAGCAGAAGCAGGAGAAGGAATACCACAAAGACGCAGCGCATTCGAGCGACTCCAACGAGCGATTCCATCATACGCACGGCAATATCTCCTGCCCGACGCTGCCCGACCGATCTTTGGACGTGTGACACGCACACAGGTCCTCACTCTGGTAGTCTTGACTGGTTACCTCACTCTTTTCTCGTTCATTGGCATCGTTTACAAGAAATGGATTACGCCTGTCAAGAAGATGCCCGGCGTCTACAACACACGTACCAGTCTCGGACCGTGGTCAGACCGTATTGGTGTCATCGCATATGCTCTTACACCTCTCTCCGTCATGCTTTCGACTCGCGAGTCTATTCTGTCGCTGGTAACTGGTTTGCCGTATCAGAGTTTCAACTTCCTCCATCGTTGGCTCGGATATATCATTTTCGCCCAATCAGCTCTTCATACCATTGGCTGGTGTGTCATTGAGCTTCGCCTGTACCAGCCCCAACCAACTGTCGGTGCGGAGTGGATCGTCCAAGAGTACATGATCTGGGGACTAGTGGCGATGATCCTCTTGACTATTCTTGTCCTGCTTTCTACCCCATGGGCCATCCGAATCACGGGCTACGAATTCTTCCGCAAGGCTCACTACGTTCTCGCCATGGTGTACATAGGCGCCTGCTGGGGCCACTGGGAGCAACTGAAGGTCTTCCTTCTACCAGGACTTCTCGTTTGGGGCATCGATCGCGCCATCAGGCTTGCTAGGACAGCTCTGCTCCACTACAACTTTTTGCCATCCGGACACATGGGTTTCCGTGCTGCTTCCGCGAACATTGCGCTTTTCAAGGACGATGTTAATGGCGATGTAGTTCGTTTAGATTTTGACCACCCTCAGGATGCCTGGGCTGTCGGCCAGCACTTCTACCTCACGTTCCCCGAAAGCTCTATCTGGCAATCTCATCCATTCACCCCAATCAGCCGTCCGGTTTTCGGTGCTGACGCTCAGAGGCATTCTTATATCTTCCGCGCCCGTGGCGGTGAAACAAAAAAGATCGCAGACCTTTCTATGAAGCGCATTGCCAATATGGCGAGCCACCAAGAGTCTCATGAGAGCTTGATGGCTGATGCTCGTCTCAACGTAGTCATGACTGGACCCTACGGCGAGCGTACCATGCGTGGCCTCGCTTCCAGCTCCAACATTCTGTGTATTGCTGGTGGTACTGGTATCGCATACGTTCTTCCCGTGCTACTCGACCTCGCTTCAAGCTCACAGTCGCCTGATCGCCACATGACACTCATCTGGAGTATACGCCGAAGAAGCGATATTGACTGGGTTGGCCCTGAACTCTCTACCCTCAAGCGAAAATGCCGAAACCTGCGAACTGGTATTCATATTTACGTTACCCGCGCCGCGGAAGAAGCCAACCTTGATCTTACTGTTTCAGAGAAGGCAGCGCCCAACGAATGCTCCAAGGAGATCAACCCTGCCTCAAGCTCCGACTCTTCGTCTGCTGATGCATCTTCTGCCTTGTCTGTTCACGGTGTGTCAAAGTCGGAACTGGGTCTTAACCACATCCAGGCCAGGCCTGACCTTGACGCTCTCGTGACAGACTTTGTTGCTGGCACCGTACGAGGAGGCACTGAAGTATTTGCTTCAGGACCTGGTGGAATGATTAGCGATCTTAGGCGGATAGTTGCAAAGACCAACAAGGGTGGCGAAGTATGGAAGGGAGATGACCGGTGGGACGTAAGATTGACGTGCGACGACCGTTTAGAGTGGTAGTTTCTTTTAGCTCGATACCCCAAATGCATTGTTTTCAAGTTCAATCAAGTCTTCTCTGCATCGTACCTTTCTACCATTGCCATCGTTGAGCTTGCAAGCAGAGCAGGTGAGGTAAAGATAGGTCAGCTTGTGTTGAAGGCCTGTGCGTTGGTTGGCTTGCTAATCACAATCCCGGGCCGGTTCGCGTCTTAGCGCGCATTTCGACATCAAGCCAACGCGAGAAGGCTCCGGTTATTCGTATGAGCAGCAACGAGAACTGACCGAGCGCCCGTAATGGATCTTGTGGCGGCGCAAATAGCTAAGGATATCGCTCAAATTAACGTTGGTGCAATGCGCGGTTGTGATGCGTAACACGATGGTAAAAAAGTCGTAGAAGCTGGTGGACTTCGGCACAATTGCCCTGCTGACTAAAAGACGCGCTAATGGCCGATGTGACGTTTGCTCAGTTTGTCGTCCAGGGCGGCGACTTCTTACGCGATACACAAACATCTTTCCTATTGTACATGCATTTATCTAGGACTTGTTAGAAGCGTAGAGTACCGGTCGGCCAAAGACCGTTAAAGTCGTGCCAGCCAGACACTCGGATTTAGGCCTCTATCTCCGAACCCCACATCGTCACCACTTGGACCCTTATTTGTCTCCGCTCAGCAGCTTGATATACAACTGCTTCCGACGGTCTATACCTTGCAAGGGCAGCTATGACTGAATTATTGGATCTGTGTTACGACGTGCTGATCAGGATCTTGGAGGAACTACATCCTGCTGATCTTGCTGCATGTGCGCAAACCAGCAAAGGTTTCAATGAGTTCCTCAAGAAAAACAAACCGCTCTACAAGACCCTATACCTCAAGCATTTTGTATGGTTGGCTGTCTGATGGTGTAGCGAGTCATGGATTTTGACGTTGTGACAGGACGATCCTCGAAGGCGAAGACCGACCGATCCCGAGCCGGAATGGGTAGAAGCATTGCAGAGAGTGGTGAGGTGCCAAAAGGTGTTGGAGTCAGCCAACAATGATCTCAAGGTATACCCACACTGGTTTTATCGTCGAAAGTTGCTAAGAATCATTAGAAAGACGAATTTACATTCGTTGCAACCACTGTTAGTGAACTTATAGCCACTATGGCGCGGGATGAATACGGCATCACTCGCAACCAACGATTCGTGACAGACCTGTTTCGACATATCGAACAGAACCATAACGCCTTTCTGTGCCGTTCTTCGATCTTTGGTCGCACTAGGTCAGCAAAACGGAAATCAGCCGGGGACGAAGAAAGTCGACAGTTGAGCGCAAGATTACACAGTCTGTTCGGCTTCCCTCCATCCAACGCCGGAAAGATTGATCTATCAATGAACACATTAGCCAGATCGCGAGTGTACGACCTACGGAACTATACCGATAAAAACGAGTGGGGTCCTTTCCGCAATGATGGAACCTGGCGAGTAGACTGGGAGATGATCGAAAGCATCATGATAGTCATCGGACACAACTCCTGCTTCTGCGCTCATGCTGTCTCAAATCGTCTGCGACCGCCATGGTTCGGTCCCCTTGATGGCGTTATTCCAGTAGCGAATGGTCGTATAGGCCATGAGGTATCGAACTATACGGCGCTCATACAGCAACCAGACATTCCGCTCAGGATAAAGGATCCGTACGGAGCAGAAGGCATTTGGGCGCGTGTAGGTTCTCGCCCAACTAGGAGTTCAACCATTTCTCTAATTACATCTAGATCGTCTGCTTTCTCGACTATAATGACTTGTACAATTACAATTTCAGCTCTGATGCGATGAAAGTGCCCTCCGACGAGCCGCGCGGCGCACTCGATACCGATGAAGCTATTAGACATATCGTCATGGATCTGCGTGTCACAGACGTCACAACACCAGGGCCCTTTGATAACCCTACCTTGCCAGTTGTGCACTTCAAGGGTGTAGCCAAGTCCGTAGATGCTCTCTGGGATCCTAATGCCAACTCTGGTATCCGCGGTACTGTTCGGTTGACACAAGAGGGTGAAGTGCGCTGGGAGACCATCTCGGTATTCCAAGGGTAAGTACAAAGTACACTGCTTGTGAATTGGACAGAGTATTACTGACGTTGCGACAGCGGTGAGGAGAGGTGGCGCAGTGATGGTATTCAGGTTGGTGGGCTGCGCTGTCCACGCGGTGTTGTGGGAACTTGGTTCGACAAGGACTTTGACCTTCATGGTCCTGCTGGGCCGACAGCTTTCTGGAAAGTTGGAGAGAGACCCGCAGATTCAGAAGACGAAGAAAACGACTTCGAGGATGGAATTTGGGGTACAGCATAACTAACTACTTAAGACAACACGCGAAGAAGCAGGTATGCCTCGCTACATTTCAATATATCTCCATGTCAAAGCAGTTGCTGGGAAACCTTCCACCTGAACATCTCTCGTTTCTCCAGGCACTAGGTCGAACCCGTTATCGCTTAAATGCGAACGTGGATTCTCGGCGAAGACGAAGCCCTTGACTGGCTTCGCAGTAGAGACAGAAATAGTCTTCTTGTCTTCTGAGTAGCGCAACTGCACACCTGGATCGCTAAAAGACAGATACTTGATCGGTTCTGGCCAGGCGATATCGCTGGCAGCATACTCGCCATTGATAGTCAACGTCGCATGGATGACGAACGGATCGGCTCTCGATGAATCAAAAGGCTCATTTGGACGTTGTACGTGGTTGATTTGGGCGACATGGTCAACCAAGACGTTAGTTGTTCCGTTGGCCACGACCTGTACTGTGGCAGAAGCCCTTGTGCCAATTTCCTCGCCTGTCTTGATGGAGATATAGCGTACGGTCACAACACCCTCAACCTCTTGCAGGGTACTATTGGCAATCCAGACATCGTGTTCGACATCCTGCCATAACTTTCGCATGTCGATATGTCCTGTGTCGCGCTGCCACAGTTCATCAGCTGGTCGCATAGTCCAGCTTTGGTACTTGCGCTGCACACCGATAGTGATAGGGCGCATCGTACGCTTGATGGCGTAGAAGGCTGGTTTAGGGACGCCATGAATGTCCGTAACAGACCAGGACATAGTCTGCCAGCAATCGTTTAGTTGCCATACCAATACACCTCCGCACTTGCGATCGCCAGGCGTATTCCATTGACGGCGCCAGGACTTGTAAGCCCACGTCAATGCATCTGATTGCATAACCTGGGTGAGATGAGCGAAGTTCTCCAAATCGTACCTGATACGGAAATTCTCAGCGAGGTAGCTGATGAGCCGTCGCTCATGACCGATGGCTTTGTTGTGAAAGTCCATTACCATCGAGCCTGGGTAGAGATCTTCTTTACGGGTAATGCATGATTTGAGAGTGGATACGTGGGGATATGCCTCCATCCCGAACTCAGAGACAAATCGTCCGCCCAGATCAGGCAGTCGCTGATAAGGCTCCATAGTACCGTGCCAAACGTTCCACTGATGAATATCGCCAATTGTATGGTCAACTTTCAAGACGGTGGACTTGCCGTTTCCGAATGGTGAACTGGGGTGATACAGCACATTTGAACATTCCTGTTTCACCACGTTTGGGAGAAGGTATTCGTAGATGTACCGCGCCGGAAAGTCGGTCTTGAGCCAAGAGTCTGGATCCTTATCGTCAGGGTCATACTGCAGCCCGTATCGCTCCACGATCTGGTAATCTTCGTTGTTACCCGCCCATATCACTATACTTGGATGATTTCTCAAACGTCTGACATTTTGTGTCGCTTCCAGTTGCACACTCTTCAAGTACTCCGGGTAAGCTGGATAGTTGGCACACGCGAACATGAAATCCTGCCATATCAATACACCATATTCGTCAGCGGAATTGTATAGTTCATCATCTTCGTAAATGCCACCTCCCCAGACCCTGAGCATGGTTTGGTTGCCATCAGCACAGAGCTTGGCCCAAGCACGGGAATCCCTTGGGGAAGGGCGCGTGAGAAACGCGTCGCCGGGTATCCAGCATGAACCTCCACAAAATATGTCGATGTCGTTGATACGGAAATAGAACGACGTACCGTACGAATCTGGCTCTGTGATTAGTTCGGCGCGGCGAAAGCCAAACTGCTGAGAGATGTCATGAATCGGAGACGGATGGTCCGGTGCAAAGGCCTGAATTTTGATGGTGTAGAGAGATTGTTGGCCATAGCCTCGCGGCCACCACAGCTCAATGTCATTTATGGTCATGGTAGCTTCTGTGAGGCCCGACTGATCATCGGTGCTGACGTCAACCTTTTGTTCTGTCACAGCTTCGAGACTGTCCTTTTTGAGGATCGTGAAGCCTATGGCAGCGACAAGACCTTCCCAATCGACCTTGACCTTGACCTCCGCCGATTTTAAATTCTGTGATAGCTCATACTGCACTCCTGGGCTTGAAAGCTGGCAAGACCATGTCTCAATCGACACCGGCTTCCAAGGACCGCATGCCATGAGGACAGGACCCCAATCCCACCCCCAATGGAATTGCGCTTTACGAACAGGCCCTCTTGAGATTTCCGTTTGATGTACGATGAAGCGGTGCTCTTTGTGCTGTTCCACTAGCTCGCGACCCTTTTTGCGCGCTGACTCGAAGACGATTTCCAAGACGTTCTTGTCCAACTCAAGTTTGCCTGAGACGTCGACCTCATGCTCAACAAACATGTTGTCAGACTCCAGGATCTTATGTCCGTTCAGATAGACAGAAGCAAAGGTATCCAGGCCTTCGAAGCGAAGTCTGGTGACCGTGTTTGCAGTCCCATATTCGGAAGGGGCAGCGAAGATGGTGCGGTACGTCCATGTCTTGTCGCCAACCCATTGTACTGCAAGCTCGTTGAGATCGTTAAAAGGGTCTTCGATCTTTTCGTTCTTGAGAAGGTCACGGTAGATCTCAGTCGGTACATCGCGAGCCGGTAAATACGCGTGAGTAGAAGAACGATCGCCTTGTTTGAAGGTCCAGCCCGTCTTTAGCGGAGTTGAGGTATGCGGAACTAGCGCCATGATTTTCTTCTGTGAGCTAGGAGTAGGGTTGTGCGTTGCAAGAGTTGAATGACGAAGGTTCGGCGACTTTTAACCCGCGATTGCAGTTGCTTATCGGGTAGACGCGTGCGGGGTCCCCACGCTTTCGCCCTGTAGACGCATGGGTAAGCACAGTCATACGATCGGCACACCATAGAGCAGTTGCAAGTGAGATAAACATGGTGTTATTTTGCGAATGGCATACTGGTACTACCAACAGACTGCGTTGAAGCTGATTGTCCACGAACTGTAGTCTATGTGCTGCTCAGAATCTCAAAACCTACAAGATCTGGTGCAAATGAGTCTCCATAGCCTCTGAACTCAACCATATTCTCTGTGCCTTCAACGAATCCATCAACCTCGATATGAAGTCGCAAACTTTCCTGCCAGTCGCCGCCAGAGAGTGGGAAGGCCCATCTTTTTGCCTCGGCACCATTGACCGCGATCGTCATGTTTCGTGTGTTGTCGCCCCATTCCCAAGCAGTGGTGAAGGCGTACTCATAGTTAACGAAGTCAACTCCTACGAGGTTTCTACCAGCGGACGGAGCGCTTACGTTGGAGAAGACGACGCTGCTGCTACGATCGATGTATTCTATTTTTGAGCCCGCGGGAAGACATGTTCCGCTCGCACACGAGAATACGTGCGCTGGTCCAGAGAGAGAAGCGTTGGTGGCAGAGTTATAAGAGCCTGATTGGAGCGGAGCAGCTTCGACGATGTTGGATAGAATCCATAGTCGCAGTTCATGCCCAGCCAGATCTACCGTCTGGGAGCCAGACAAAGCACCAACGTCCTTCGCAGCCCAAACATCGCGCGCATCGGCCGAAGCTATACCTAGTGATGCAAGGTCGAAGCCTACGCTTTGCGAGTCGTTCTTCCAGTTCGCGACTCCTAGTACCATTCTTGATCCCGAGAGCTTCCCCATCCATATATCCCACTCTTCCTCGGTGTCGCGACGGACCAACATTGCCTGCTGAGCAAGAGCATCTTGATTGACGGCAATGACTTCTTTGTTTTCCATGATGGCCAAAGAGCTCTCACTAATGCGCTCAGGGTCGAGTGCTGCGCCAATGATGAGAGGCGACTTATTGATCGCCCACATCCCGAAGTGAAAACGCTCTTCTTCTTCTGATAGGGCATTGAGACCGACGCTTGGATTGTTAGCAAGGGACTATGAGTGTACGGAGCTTTGCTCACATCAACATATCCATATCTGCAAACGCACCAACAGTCGTGTGCCGAAAGTACGGTACGACTTGGTTCGTGATGCGCCAGATGCTGCGCCAGGCATTGTAGATGTCGTTGCTGATTCGCCATGTGTTGCCAATCTCAGCAGCCCAGTCTCCAACATCAGTGCCGATCCCCCACTGGCAAACGTAGTAGTGGATGTCGCGATCTACGGCGTCCAATTCGGCTGCCATGTGTTGGAAGCGTGCCGGAGACTGCGACTCCGCGGAACTCGAGTCGACCATGGTGGTATTGGAGGTAGAATAGCAGTTATCATACCTTCGCATTGTTAGCAAGATGCGCAATTCCAACTGAAATCGTCCTACTGGGTCGTACTTCAGGCTGTCTCCTCCCCACTCAGCAAAGCTCTCAGCGTCTAACTGCTCAAATCCCAGACTCGCAGGCAGCGCTTCTGATCCGCATTGCAGGTACCCAGCGCCAGAGTAAAGACCGAAATCCAGTCCTAAACCATGGATGAAGTCACCAAGTGCCTTACCACCGGACGGAAAGAGGGTCTCATTCCATTGGAGTTTACCTTCAGCATCTCGGTCTTCAGAGGGCCAGCCGCAGTCGACTGTTACGAAGTTGTAGCCAGCCTTATCCAGTCCGAGATCGATGAGCCCTTGTGCACTTGTTTTGATCTTATCTTCAGAGGGAAGACAGTTCCAGGTATTGTACGAGTTCCATCCCATAGGAGGTGTGGGTGACCTGACCGTTCTGGCTGCAGCTTGCAGGGCGAGACATGCTGAGAGAATGAGTGCAGTAGCCATCGTGACGAGACTTTACCGCCGAGAATAGCCAACGAGTACACTCATATTCACGGTACCATGGCGAGCTTAATATCCGGTGGTCGCTTTGCTACACGCTCGATGACCTCACGGCAAACAGCGTTCCCTTGCCGTCAACCGGGGGACGGAGAAATTGGTTGCGATGCATAGAGTCCCACCTCTTGGCCTGCATCGTCTGGTATAGCGCTGTAATTCGAACTAGCGATCGACAAGTATACGAGGTGCCCAGGGATAGTGGGGTTGTATTCTGGGGTTGGGTGAGGAGAACGTCGGACGTTTGGCCGTGAAGAAGGCAAGCCAGCATGGGTGCCCTAGCCGGGGTGACGGAAGCCATACCCCGCCGGACTTCGCACTTGCACCAGCGCGATCCAGTAACCGCAGCATCATGTCAAAAGAGGCCGCAAAAACATTTCCTACGCACGCGGACGACATCGAATTGAGCAAGCATGCAGACACATCTCAGTGCGAAACCGTCGAGGCGTCAGCCCCCCGCGAATACACATCTTTTACACGGTCGCAGCGACGGCAGCTACAACTGCTATTAGGTCTGGCAGCTATCACGTCGCCTCTAACAGCGACCATCTATTTCCCTCTCCTGCCTCTTTTGCGCGCACATTTCCATACATCTGCGCAGGCAATTAATCTTACGATTACCCTCTATATCATCTTCCAAGCCATCTCGCCGGTCATATTCGGGCCTTTGTCTGATGTTCATGGCTGGCGACCCTACTTCCTTGCCACTCTTGCTCTGTACGTCATCGGTAATCTTGGGCTAGCACTCAATAAGAGCAGCTACGCAGTTCTTCTAGTTTTGCGTGCGATCCAGAGTCTCGGAGCAAGTGCAGCGTATGCCATCAGTTTCGGTGTGGTCGCAGACATTTGCGTACCAAGTGAAAAAGGAGGGATGCTAGGCCCAATCGGCATGGCCTTGAATCTGGGGACCTGTATAGGCCCAGTCGTAGGCGGTGTAGTTGCATATATCAGGGGAAGTTATGTTTGGGTCTTCTGGGCCCTTTTCATCGTCGGTGGAGTCTTGTTCGTTGGCGTGGCGCATTTCTACCTGAGACTGCGCGTAAAATGGCGGGAAATGGCAGTGATACATCCCTATACAAGTGGTGGCAGTACAGCTGGGCAGGCCTTATACGGAGTCAATTAAAGGAGAGAGCATCAACGAGAACACATGATGCGGATTCGACCGCGGCTTTGCCGCCTACGGCGGCCTCACATAATGCTGTTGTGCAACGATATGGACTTTCGAACCTGGTTGCTTGCTTTCGAATCATTTTCTACAAAGACACTTTTCTCACTTTGTGGATTCATGGATCATTCAATACCGTGGACTATTCATTCGTGGCAGCCAGTCCAGACATCTGCAAAGACGTTTACCATTGGAATGAGCTTTACATAGGCTTATCGTATCTGCCACGAGGTATCGGTATAATTGTTGGAAGTTACTTTACCGAAAAGATAATGGACTACAACTATCGTACCGCCGCTCGCAGCATTGGTTGGACCATCGACAAAGTATCTGGAGATGATCTGCTGGAGTTTCCAATCGAGCGGGCAAGGACCAGATGCAGTTATATCATGTTGACTATATCAACTGCTACGATGATAGGCTATGGTTGGAGTATCCAGAGAAGCGCTCACCCTACTGTTCCGTTGATCTTACAACTTTTGCAAGGCTTTTGGGGTACGTATGGCTACACGACGTTTAGTACCTTACTAGTAGACTCCTTCCCTCAGAGTCCTAGTACGGCCTCAGCCGCCACAAGTATCACACGTTGCGCTATGGCTGCGACTGGGGTCGCGGTGTTACAGCCTTTTTTGAATGCGGCAGGTAGAGGGTGGTATTTCACGGTCCTGGGCGTGTGGAGTGGCGTTCTATCGGCGTTGGCCGTCGCATTGCTAAATTGGAAGGGTTTACGTTGGAGAAGAGCACGCAACGGTCTAGCGCCTCAGCGGAGCATTTCCACGAGTGAATACGACGCATCAGTAAGCACGAAAATTGCCAAGTAAAAGATGCTTAACAAACTTTCGGAAGAGCACTGCACTATCTGCCACTGCAACGGCTAGTATGAATGTCTCACAGCATGATAATTCTGAAAACGGCATATCATTTGCATCGAGGGATGATGCCAATTTCAATCGTTGGTCTTGCCAATTTCAATCGTTGGTCTTGCCAATCCAATCGAAACATTGCCCACCAGTCTGATTCGCCTTACACAGTATGATCCCGTTCTGATGAAAGGGAGGCCATTTCAGTTTCCTGCAGTGTCGCCGGTCTCTCACCCTCCGGGAAAGGTGCGTACTTGTCGATGAGGAAAAGCATGTCATTGTATGCCCTGATGGAGCGTTAGTCATAGTCTATCGTCTCTGGTTCAAACTCACACCTGACGTATGGCTTTGCCCTGAGCAACGTGACTGACCGAGTATATCACATTCCAATAAATGCTGTAGAGCCGATTACGATCATCCCACTCTTCCTTTGGCTCGCTAGGTCCGTAATGCTTCAGATAAGTCTTCGCGTATATCTTGTTGCTGATCTTGTTATAGTAAGGCCTCCAATCCGCCACTTCGAGCTCGTTATGAGCATAGAAGGCAGCAGAGTCGAAGAGATACACGTTGCCGCCGTCAAAAGCGGTCCCGATATTACCCTCCCACAGATCACCGTGGATCAAGCTTGGCTTGATCTTACGGTCTCCTTCGCTGAGCGCGTCCAGCAACCTCGGGATCACAATTTCTATGAGACGCTTCTCAGCCTTGTCAAGCTCATCCCGAGGCCCATTAAGGTCGAAACCGACGTCGATGACGTGTTGCAGGAGTTTGACGTAGAATTTGGTCCAGTTCTCCTCCCATGCTACAGATTGTGCTGCACGGCCTTGACACGTCGTTACATGAAATCCGTAATGCCCCGTAGGTGAGGTACTCTCGCGATGCAGGCGAGCCAGCTTCTTACATAGCTGATTTGGATCCGGCATTCTGTCGCGCATGTCGATGTACTCTGACAGGAAAAAGTATGCTTCGGGATCCTCGAATTCGTATTGCCCCCACGAGTGTGGTTTGGGCACTAGATATGGAGCCCACTTGTGTAGCTCAGACATCGCGTTGAATTCGCCCTCCATCAACGTTCGACCATGCTTCTCTGGCGCCGACTTCAGGAAGTAACGTTCTTCCGTATCGTCCGGTGATAGGAGGTGTAGCCTGGCAGTCACTGTCCAAGCTGACGCCCCGAATCGATGTGCTGAGATGACCTTCGTCCCCTAGGGAAACTTCTTCAAGACATTACCGTCCACCCTGAAATTTCCGTCATAGGACGGGCTTTCCACCCGGGAGTTTTCAATGAGAGTTTGAAGACTGGGTGCTACGTTCATGATGGATAGGTATGAATTTGATCGAAAATTCTTGACTGGTACGCAGCTCTGGAGCCTTGTGATGATGACAACGGTATATCAGGATTCCGGTGAGGGGAGCTGCAGTAACAGTGAGAACTAGGCTCTGAAGAGCTCGCTCTGTGCTCTACACTTGGCATCATACGTAGGAATCAGCCGACAAACGTAATTTGATGTGAGGGCATCAAGAGTTGTGCCACGATATGATGCGATAATCTGCACCTTGGAGGCGTCTGCTCGTCCTATCCTATCATGATTCCGATCCATGCACCTCGGTTGCGCCCCGCTTCCGCCAACTGCATCCTGATACGGACACACCCAATCATTGGTGGATGAAGGCGGCACACGACGAGCAGCACATCTGGGCGGTAAAGAACATGGCCGCATCCGGCGGGATACCTTCTTTCAACATCCGATCAGAATATGGTTATACCAGGAAATGTTTCGCTCCCAAATATTCCAGCTCTGCGCATCGACCTGGAAGGGCATAGCATTGACGCGTTGGTTTTCAGTCAAAATGACAAGTCGATCTTTGTATCGACTAGCACGAAAGCATTTATTTGCACCGTGGCAACCGGCGACCTGCAGTCAACAATAGACCTTCAAGAGGGTGATCTCCGCATGTGGTTAACCCATCCAACACACGACAACTTGATCCTGGGATTTGGTTCAACAAACCTTCGAGCCTATAGTTGGGTAGATCTCAGATTGCATTACTTCAGCAATTACAACGAGATCACGCACGATTGGCGACGAGGCAGTCGCTTCGATAGCCACAGAGATTCTTCTTCAAAGGCTAGTGAGCTCAGTCTGCCCCCAGTGATATCGGATGACAAGTTGCTTGTAACCAGGACGGTCACAAAAGCGTTCCAATCGCAGGATGGAAAGCATGTGATCGCCTACATCCATGCTTCTGGTAGCGGCTTGAGTTCTCAGACACTGATCTTCCCTCTTCGTTCATTAGAGCCCCCAGATGATAAGACACCTACAAATCTCACGTGTGGGTATTACAGTTTGCCACTTGATCTTTCAGCGCAAGTTTACATCCCATTGGGAACCCTCACTGGATCGCGTTTTATTTTCCTAGATCACGATCTTTGGCTGTGTGTATACTCGCTAGATCAGGTGTTCAAGAAGGTCGAAGCGTTGCAGAGATGCTATTTCCTTCCAAGAGATTGGGTGGGGAGTAGTAGTCTGGCTTGCTGTAGGCTCGGCGCTGATGGTACATTGTATTGGCCCCAAGAAGACCGCATTGTCAGGATTCAGTGCGACCTGTACGCTCCGCAAAGTTTTCTTACATAGATTTCCTTGTCATTCTCCTACTTTGATACAGCCCCATCTACGAGTTTAATAGTTTTCCTTGGGGTGCATCTGAAACAATGGATATATTCATTCGTCTCAATTGAGAGCTTTCGTTCCCCCTCAGGCTAACGAGGAGCGATCAAAAGCTACATCATTATCACAAAAGAAAGGCTGCCACATAAGCTTCTGCTATCGAGAACTACCCAGAGTGATCTAACTAGCTGCTGGCGGCTGCGGCCACTTGTCCAGCACTGTCTCTTCACCCGTAATAGTCAATTTGAGCTCTGCCTGTGTAGGCTCGTCAAGCAGTAACGTGTACTCTCCCGGATACACAACCGTGTTACCCATCTGGTCAACTCGTGCCAACGTTCCAAGCGTGAGGGCGAGTGACGCCATCTTCGTCTGACCACCGGAAATGTCTCTCATTCGCGCGTAAGAAACCAGGGTCTTGAGCGGGTAGGGTTTCGGTCCAGCTTCACCCTTGATGAACGTTAGAGCGACGAAGTCAGAGGTTCGGTTACCCTTGTTTGTAACCGCAACTTCTACTGCAGGAACGTCGCAGAGATCGGAGTATTTTTGCGTGCAGTTACTCATCAGTTCCTGGATATTGTAGGTAAGGCCGTGGCTACTGCTGAAGTTCGCTGCAAACGTGGTGTAGTGCAAGCCAAAGCCAAATGGCTGTACAGATTGGTTGTACCAGCGGTAGGTTCGACCGGGGCTGTCGGCGTCCGGGCGCAGGTTCATATCCAACATGGAGAGTTCCGTGTAACTCGCAGGATATTGCGTGATTGGTAGGCGGCCCGCAACTGCATGCGCACCAGAGACGACTTGCATTACCGCTGAACCACCGTCTTGACCGGGCCAGTTGGCCCAGATGACTGAATTGACACCTTCCATAGAAAGGAGGGGCGAGTTATCGACCATGTCGCCCAAAACAACGACGACAAGAGGCTTGCCGAGCTTAGCCAACTTGGTGATGAGTTCGACTTGTGCGCTAGGCCAGCTAATGCTCGTACGGTCGAAGCCCTCTGCCGCTGCTGAAGTATCTAGCCCACCGAAGTAGATGATGTAATCGGAACCTTGCGCTGCGTTGAGTGCATTGGTCGTCCAATTATCCCGAGCGCTGGAGTTTTGTAGAATAGGACCTGTGGCAACGGACATGTTCAGACCGAGCTGCGTACCAGCCCATACTGGCGTACGCAGATAAGGAGCAGGGCCGCTGTAGATACCAGACAGCTTCGAAGAGTCATTAGCCCAGAATCCGATCATGGCGACATTGGATCCGTTGGAAAGCGGAAGTGGAAGCGTATCATCATTCTTGAGCATAACTAGGCCTTCTGATGCAACCTGCAGAGAGAGTCGCTGTGCTTCCGGCGTATTGACATCGTTGATGCCTAGGTCTGCGTATACAGCTCCAGCACCATCAAAGTATCCGGCGCGGACGAGTCCTTCATATTGACGCGTAAGAGCCCTGTCTACAGTGGAGATGTTCATAAGTCCTTGACTCCAAGCTCCAGGAATATCGGAAGATCCTGAGTACTCGCAGCTGTTATCCATGCCAGCGTTGAATGCCACTGCAGTGCCCTCAGCAAGCGTTTTGGTGTAGTTGTGGTTCTCAGAAATATCGGCGACGGCCTCGCAGTCGCTGGTGATGTAGTTGTTGCTCTCCGTCCAATTCCAGTGGTCGCGCAGAATGGTCTGGAGAACGTATGTATCCGCGCATGTGGGGACGCCGTTGACAGCATTGTAAGAACACATGAATGATCCGACTTTCGAGTCGCGTGCACATTGCTGGAATGGAGGCATGTAGTATTCTGCTAGATCTTGCATCGAGATCTTGGCGTCAAAGTGGTGGCGGTCGGTGCCGCCCCAGGCCTCCATATCGTAGCCAACGTAGTGCTTGCATGTCGCAATGATCTTTCGTTGTGCCTGGTCACCTTCTAGTCCTGCTAGTAGACTCTTTGTGTAGCCCTTGATTCTCAGTATGTCTTCTCCGGGTGTTTCTGAGCCACGACCCCAACGAGGATCGCGGAATGGGTTGATGTCGGGAGTCCAAAAGTCCACTGGAGCCACACCACCGTTGCCGAACGCACGTGCTTCATTTCCGATGATGTTGGCGACCTGATGAATAAGGTCATCGTCAAAGGCAGCTGACATGAGCAATGGCATGGGGAAAGAGGTGGCATTTGTGAAGGGTTTGGTGAAGTTGATCCCCGGAGCTCCAGCTACACCGTGCAATGCTTCTCCCCACCAGTTGTAAGCTGGAAGGCCGAGTCGAGCAGCGCCCTTGGATTTACTGCCTCTGTTAGCTTGGTAATCTTTGAGACTCGCAGTGGGCATTTACCTCATCAAGTTATCGAGCTTCTCCGACGTCTCCATAGCTGCAACGAGAGCGGCTGCCCTCTCGGTTGGTGGAGCATTGACATCGCAAATCTTATTGTCTTTCAGCGGACCATTAACGCAGTCAGGACCTATCGCGTAGGCGGTCGACAATAACGCAGCACCGAACAGAAGGATGGATGAGGCTGAATGCACCATGGCTATGACGGGTGAACTTCTGTTGCTAGACGATACAGGTACAGCTTCTTGAGATTCCCGACCCTTTATGGCTTCCCTGCCGTACCATTTACAAGAATCATCATGTTGCCAAGGTACTGAATTAAGCCGGAATAGAACCCGGCCATGCTCTACTTTACCTTTACATGAGAATGTAATAATAATTGACCAAGCTACCCCGCGTGTACGAGCCCCAGATCTGCATGGTGTTGCTCCACGATCGACCCGTGAGAATAGGCGATATTCAGCCACCGGGTCCAACAAAACACGATGCGCATGTCATATTGCATCACCCGTAGTGCCTCGGTTGACTTTAAGCGACTGTTTTATTGTAACCACAACGCCCAAGTAGCGTAACAGCGGGTAGCTAACAGCGGCACAGCTCGTTCCCGTATGGATACCAACGGTTGAAAGCATTGCGACCGGTGCTTAGCTGCTTTAGCCTTCCTGGGGCTTATTATTTGGGAAGACTTTGCTGCTCAAGTCGAACACGGGAAGTGGGCATGGAATTCCCACGGCTTCGCAAGCGGTAAGAATTGCAAGGTACCAGCCAGATATTAAGCCCAGGAAACCGAAACCTCCCGCGCATTTCAGCAACGTGTTGATGTGTTCAACATCGGCTTCTGTTGTGGCTGATGCGACGGAAAAGTCGGCGGCGGCGATAAAAGCGAAGAGCATGACGAGACCAAAGAATGTGGCGGTAAAGAAGAGGTTAACACGAAGCGTTCCTATCAAGAAGACAAAGCTAGCGAGCACCCTGCATGACGATTAGATACCGGACATCATGCGCATACAAACTGGATAGCCTTGCTTACATTGAAACGTTGTGGAAGCCCTGGGATGCGTTATAGGCCGCACCGTTCGCGCCTCCCAATTCTCCGAATGCAGAAGTGGTTTGGTGTATGGGATCCTGCTGGTACGCCAGACTACCCCAATGACTTCCGTATATGAGAAAAACTGCCATGGGAAACGCTGATACAGATTAGCATCAGATAAGCAGCAGAATACGATTTACATACTGTTGCCGAGAATAAACTCAGCAATGCCAGCAACATTCATGGCCAAGGCACCGAAGAAATAGTAGTCCGCGCTGAGACCGACCAAGCTTTGCGGAGCAACTGCTCCTTGGAAGCCACAGAGAATCAAGATGGTCGAAGTGTATGGGACCAAAAAGCCAATGAGACCGAGCAATGTTGGGTTGGCAAAACGTTTCGCGAGATCTCCGCGGCGCGGAGCGGATGGCTGGAAAAAGAGGCGCTCATACTGCTCGGGAGACAGAGCTACAGTGACCTGACGGCTCAATGGCGAACCGTTGCCTGCGATTGGCATACCATTGTGCTCGGTCATTTCGTGATCAATCTTGACAGGATCAGACATGGTTAGAGGTGGCGCTCTCAAGTCCGATGATGGTGGAGTTGCGGGTGCGACGATAGATGGTCGAAGGGGGTTATGGAGGAGGAACAGGAGCGCGTAATCGTGTCCCCACGGAAGGAGGCATGATGGCTATAATGCAGTACCAAGATAGCCTTCGTAGAGGCGTGGAACGGCACACGGCTCAGGCTAGCACATCTGGTCGTCGTCATCTCTCGATCGAACCGAGGCATGTTGCCGGTCTATGGCGACTGAACCCCAGATTTCTCCGCATCCATCTCCATATTTGCTGCGACGTCCAGGCCAGACACGGGTTGTAGAATTATGTCCGATTGAACCCGAGAGCTTGGGATGCGCTAATTGGTGGACGGTAGGAAAGACGGCAGATCAAGCGTTGACAAGCGGTGCGAAGCATTACGTTCCGCGGACTAGGCAACGTGACGCTAGGCAGAGAAGAGGCAATAGGCCGTGAATGACATCAATAACGAACGCCTCTTGTTTCTACTCTCAAAACCGTTAGTTCTCTTTCTACATTTACACCGATGTGTAGAACGTATTTCAAATTACGGCTAGAGTCATCTGTCTTGACGAAGTAGTGCACGCGCTTGAACGTGTTATAGTTCAAGCCCGTTCATCGCAGCGTTGAAGGCACTCTCGTCGACGGGACCTGCACTCCGCTTCCATGCTTCAATCTTCCGTTTTTCGTCCAGAATCACGGGTTCGCTCGGGGATAAATCAACCAGTTGATCGATCATGCCGACTGCGACCGGAATCAGGGTCGGCACTCCCCATAACCTACAGAACTTTGCATAAACAAATATCTTGTCCACATGTTGTTGCGGGGATAGTTTCCATGAGTGCTCAATGCCCCAGTATTCTGCCTCTTCACCACGTTGCAGGTTCTCGTGTGCATATTGGATGCTAGCTATGGCGTCGCGATCTCCTTTCTCAAGCCGCAGGAGGAAATAAGCCATGATGTCGAAGTTAGTGGTGTAGTAAAGCTCTGCGACCTTTCCTACGAACGGAGAGCCGCCTTTTTCGACGACGCGGGTCCACATCGGCGCCTGAACAGAAAAGTGTTTTCTGCTCAAAGTCGTCAGGGATTGGGATATGCACATTGACATGCCACAGGTCGTTTGAGATGTGTGTATTGGCAACACTGTAGCTGGTGAACTGCATGACAACATCACGGATATCCATGCGTATCTTGTAAAGAGTGTTTAGGCTTTCAGCTAGCCCATTTGTAACATCGTCTGCAGTGGCAAAACCCTCAATGTACCAAATTCCCCCATCGTGCGGCGTATGGGAGTCGATGACGAGCAAGGGGTCTTGTTCGGGATATGCTCGCATTAAGTCCGCGTGAGAAAGATGCGACCACTCACGCTTGTCCTCGATGAAAAGCTCTTCCGCAGGGTATGGAGAGCGCGAAGTAGCGCCGATGCCGAACAGTTCCTGAATTCTGTCCAGTTGAGCTGATGTAAGGTCGGCGGTAAGGAGAGCGAGAAGACGCTGCTTGTCGTAGTGAAGGTTAGGAATGTAGACCATGATTGTACGAACTGGATCGAGAGTGAGCATTAAACAGCCTAAGGAGAACAGGCTTATATCTTTGTATGTTCACGGTAGTCTTGTATCTAGCATTAAAGCACAACTTCAATGACCGGCGCGAAGCCAGCCAGGCAACAGGCAGAGCTAAGTGTGCCCGCTCTTCTTGGTCGTATCTAGATTGTCAGTGACTACTAAGCTATGTAGCGAGTAATGTTGAGACAAAGGCAGTTCTATCTACGCGTCCTAGGTAGCCAATGACGTCAATGCGGGTTTGAAGCATGGATGGGGTGCGTCGCGCGTTGATGCCTTAAGATGTTCCTGGCTATAGCATGCGTAGTGGGGGAGCTGCAAGCCACTGCGATGGAGCGTGAAGATGGGGTGCATTGGTTCCATCAGGTTCGGCCCACGTTGATTCCGGAGGTTGATATTGATCATGCAGGGTGACAAGTTTGACGTGTGCTCTCTTCAGTGGTCAGGTGTGTGTGATGAAGGGCGGTGGTTGGTGTGGAAGCTATTAGACCCTGCTTTTGCCATCCCCACATGCTTTTGCCAGTCGAGCGCAGGAGCATGTCGCGACTATAACGCGACAGCTGCTACTGCTCCCATCTATATTACAACTACCAGGCGGTTAATCGTCGCACACCCCACTTGCGGTAGTGCGTAATTTGGAGTGCATTGATCAGCATAGGCCCCTGAATCGCAGCGCCGAATGGCCACGACTCCCCCGGCTCGCGACAGAGCTTCTTCGGAAAGCCTGGCAGTCGGGAGTCCGCTGCCCAAGAAACTGCCCGCCCCCTCAACACCCACGAGCTCCATCCGCCGCATGATGGCTGCCAATGCGCCTTCGCCCGCCTCGAAAGAGGGTGCTCCACCCCGTCGCTCGACTGCAACCAGCGGCACTGCTGCGAGTGCCCGTCGACCTACTGCCGCATCAGCAAGCACGGCGCGAACACCCACGAGCGCGTCAAAAGCCCCCACCACAGCGACATCACGCACAAGCACAGTTGGATCCAGCTTGAACAAGCCGCCTACGCGTCCAGCGGCAGGCACCACAGCCCGCAGAACCATCTCGTCTTCCAAGACGGCATCCGATGCCGAGCCAGACCTGTCTTCTGTGACGTCGGGGGACGAGAAGAAGAGAACACCAGCAGTGCGCCGGACGCCCGTCACATCATCCACTGCCTCGCGACCCTCGCCAGCTAAGCCAACGTCGCGCCAATCCCTTGCCTCGTCGAGCACCACGCCCACGAGTGCAGCCAAGCGTCCCGCGACAACACGCCCGTCCGCAGAGGCAGCCACGACCCGCGCAACCCCGCGTGCTTCTCTGGCTTCATCGACACGCCCGACCGCTACCCGACCAGCGGCAGGAGCGAGAGCTGCAGGCGCAACACCAAAGGTGCCGTCGGGACACGCCAAGAAGCTGTCCGTCTCTGCCCCTCCACCCCCAGCACCGGAGACCGAGGATACAGCAGAGGAAGCGTGAGTGGGGCCACGAGCATCTGAATTGCTATGAGCTAACTTGTGCGCAGTGAGAGCCCCGTCATCGTATCCCCGCGCCGCATTGCGCCCCTCAAAGACAAGGCCGCGTCTGACAATGAAGCCGGAAACCGCAGGAGCGCTCTCGAGCCCATCAGGGCATCGCTGGCGAAACTCGGCGAAGAGCCGCCGCGACCGGATACTGCGCCGACGGGACGTGCCGAAATGGATGTGGAGATGAAAAGGCGGAGCGCTCAGATCATGCACGACTTCTTCAAGGAGACCAACCTACGCGACAAGCTGCAGGAGCAATGCGAGGACCTCACCCGTGAAGTCGACAACCTCCATTCCGAAAAGGACAAGCTGCGCAAACAGCTGGCCGACGCCCAGGCCGCCATTGTCGAAAAGGACAAGGCCATCTCAGGCGGCTCAGATGCCTCGCCATCAGAGCAACGCGCCCACACAATCCTCGTCGAGGACATGGAAAAGAAGTTTGCCAGAGAGACCAAGCAGCTGGAAGAGCAGAGTCAACAGCTCGAGGAGGAGAAAAAGGCTGCGCAGGAGAGAGAAGCTACCGAAGCTGCCAAGGCCAGCGAGCTGCAACAGGTTCTCGATGATCTGAATGCCGAGCTGGAACAACAGGGACGTCAATGGGACGAGGAGAAGAAGAGGCTTGTCGAGCAAGCCACACAGATTGAGGAGCTCACCCAAGAGGTCACCGCACTCCGACAAGAGCGCGACAGCCTCTCCCAAGAGCTGGACATCGCCAAGAAGACATTGGAAAACCTCGAGACAAAATTCACAGAGCTCGAGCAGAGCCAGTCGGACAATCTCCGTGCGCGCGATGCTAAGATCACCGAGCTGACCAAGACTGTCGGCGAATACGTGGAACAGGTTGCTTCTCGGGAGGAAATACACAACAACGCCCTGCAAGAAGCGCAGCGATCCCTCGAATCAAAGTCAACAGAGTCTTCGGCAGCGGTTGAGCAACTCCAATCCGAGATCGAATCGATACACCAGAAGCACACGGATGAACTACGCACCATGGAAGACACCATTGCGTCCCACCTTCAGACCCAGAAAGAACTACAGGATGATATTGCCAAAATGCAAGAGCGGGCCGACCAAGTCTCTGCGGATCTAGAGAAAGAACGCAATGCGCACGCAGAACAGATGCAAGCCAAAATTGAGGAGTTCCAGAAAAGCTCAGAGAGTGAGCTACGCGCGAGAGAGGACGAGCTTTCCGGCCATCTCAAGTCCATTGATGGTCTTCAGGAGCAGATTGTGGCGCTTCAACAAGGCTCGACCGATGGTGCCAAAGTAGCTGAAGAGCTCCACAAGCAAATTCAGGATCTGAAGGAGTCACACGAAGCTGCAATCAAGGTCAAGACTGATGAGTGTGACGAGCTTGTCCGACAATTGGATGCCATTAACGACCAGCTTACCACTGATGCTGCCGAGCTTGAGCAGCTTAAGGAAGAGACCGCTAGCCTACGCAGCACCATCGAAACACTTGAGAAAGCCTCGCAGCAGCAAGAGTCTCAACACGCTTCCGACATGGCCAAGGTTCAAGCTGAGCTGAATGAGGCAAACAAGAAGATGGAGGCCCAAAAAGCAGAGCTTGATACCATGCATGATAAGCACAAACAAGATCTCCGCGTCATCGGCGAAGACTATGAGCGTGAAATCGAGTCGCTGAGAGCGGATCTGGAAGGAGACGCCACAAAGCGACTCAATACCCTGCAAGCCGACTACGATTCACTTGTCGCTGAGAAGAACGATACTCTAAGGCAGCACGAGGGTGTACTTGCTGAGCGGTCCACGGAACTGGAAGCTCTGAAGAAAGACCTGACGGATGCCAAGGAGAACTCCGCACGTGCAACGCAAAATCGCGACGATGCTCTTGCCAAACTCAAGGATGCCGAAGAAGAGAAGGCTACTCTCGCAGAAGCTCATGGCACTTCCCAGTCACTTGTTGCTGATCTCCAAGCTCGCGTTGACAATCTTACTCAGGAAGTTGCTGCTGTCGAAGGTCTTCAGTCTAAACTAGACCGATTGGAAGAGGAGAAATCGGCCACCATGGAGGCGCATGCCATGTCTCAATCAATCATTGCCGATCTGCAAGCTCGTCATGACTCTTTGTTGGAAGACAAGACTTCGGCTGAAGATGCACACAGTCGCGCAATTGAAGCCTTGAAACAGGATTCTGAGAGCCACTCAAAGCAGCTACTCGGTGAGCTGGAGTCCAAGTATGATGCTTTACTGGCAGAGAAGAAAGCTACTGAAGAGGAACACCTCAACGCCCTTGAATCTCTAAAGCAGGATGCCGATGCCTCATCCAGGCGAACGATCGAAGAGCTCCAATCCAAGTACGACGCTCTACTAAGCGAGAAGAGCACGGCCGAGCAAGCTCACGAACAAGCCATGGAGTCATTGAAGCAAGACTCTGAAAGTCAGTCGAGGCAACTGACCAGTGAGCTCCAATCGAAATATGTTGCCTTGCTAGAGGAGAAGAAAGCTGCTGAAGAGGAATACCACAATACCATCGAATCCTTGAAGCAGAATGCCGATACTACTTCCAAGCAGACGGTCGACGAGCTTCAGTCCGAGTACGACGCTTTACTAGACGAGAAGACTGCAGCTGAGGAAGCGCACAAACACGCCATGGAAGCTTTGAAGGAAGAATCAAAGACCACTTTGAAACAACACCTCGACGAGCTTCAAACAAAGTACGATACACTGCTAGAGGAGAAGACCGCGACTGAAGCAACCCACTCTCAGACGATAGAAGCCTTGAAGGCGGAGTCGGAGAGCAAGACCAAATCGATTTTAGGCGAACTTCAATCCAAGTACGACGCGCTATTGGAAGAGAAGTCTTCTGCAGACGACGAACATAGCCGCATTGTCGTGCAGCTAAAGGAAGAAGCAGACAGCACATCGAAGCAACTGTTGAGCGAGCTCCAAGCCAAGTATGATCGAGTAGAGGAAGATATGAAGAGCACATCTGAAGCTTTGAACGCTTTGCAGCTCAAGTACGATGCTGTCACTGGAGACATGAGCAGCAGTGAAGGACGCCACAAGGCTGAGATTGAGAATTTGCAGAGTCAACGGGACGACCTCTCCAAGCGACTTTCAGACCTTGAAAAGAGCCACGCAGATTCGCTCACAGAGCAGCTGATGGCCCAAGAAACGCACACCAAGGCACTCGAAACGCAACAAGCCGAGATCGAACAGAAGTATGCCAGCCTACTAGAGATCATGCAAAGCGACGCAGATCGCTTAGAACAAGAGAAGTCAGCGGCAATTTCAGCAAAACAATCCGCACTCAATGAGCTTGCTACTCTCAAGAAAGAACTCCATGCTGAAATTGATGAACTCAAGAAAGGGCTGTCAACGAGAAGTCAAGGTAGTCCAACTGGAGCTGATGAATTAGCTCAAAAGTACGAGATTCTTCTCGCCGAAAAGGCTGCCGCCGACAAGGAGCATCAGGAAGCCGTGGCAAAGCTCAAGGAGTCGCTTACGCAGGACCACGAACAAGCATTCTCAAAGCTACAATCCGAGTACAATGCGTTGCAGGAAAGAGCTGCCAAGACAGATCAAGAACAAAGTGATGCTATCGAGCTACTGAAGGAGGAGTTCAAGACAGGCCATTCGAACGATATGGCGGCTCTAAGGCAGCAGCTTGGAGACGTGCAGAAACGGCACTCTGATCTCACAGAGCAGAAAGCATCCATGGACCAGGCGCATGAGGAAGCTATCAGTGAGCTCATGGCCGGTATGGAAGCTAGTACCAACGACGCCTTGCAGCAATTGCGTGAGAAGTACGATGCCCTCACTGCCGAATTGGAGGCGGAACGTCTCAATCACATTAGCGAGCTCGAGACTGCAAGACGAGAGGCAGCTGAACAGCAAAGCTTACATCAAGCCGCGTTGCAACAGAGCCAAAGCCCAGAGGTTGCCGACACCTCCGCATCGGATGTGGCAGTGTACGAAGAAAAACTTCGCGTACTTGAACAAGAGCGGAACAAAGCCATCAGGGCTGCTGAAGACGCAGAAGACCGTATCGAAACCATGAAAGGCGAGGTCGTGCGCAAGCATCTAGCCCGCGTAGAGCCCCTAGAAAAGGAGAACGCTTTTCTCCTCGATAAGATCGACCGCCTCGAGGCCATGCTAGCAGCTGGTGATCGTATCGCTCGTGTCGCGGCCACCGTTGGCGAGAGACGCAATATCAACAGCTTGGCTGAGGAAGATGAAGACTCGGCTGAAGATGCGTGGCCTGGTGCCCAGCCCTCCAAAGTAAATGGGACGGGCGACCACAAAGACGTGGTCGGAACTGTAAGTTAAACCCAACCCTGTACGTGGTTTTTTTGCTTTTACTAGTCGTACATGAGATACAGACAGCTAATCCGCCGCTAGCAGATAGCAGCCATGCAAGAGTCTTTGAAGCAGCTCGCTGAGCTCAACAACGAAGCAATCTTTGAGAGCACCAAGACGGCCCAGAAACTCACCATGGACCAAGACTAGTTCTTCTTTTGTCCGGCGATGATGAAGGTCTGCGGCAGCGTACGCCGGCCCATGAAGCGCATGCTTAATTCTCTTCTTCGACACATACTATTTTAATTCTTCCCTTTTCACTTTTGGCCATCCTCACAGCACGAGTTTGCTTTATTTAGATCATGGCACTATACCCATCTCAATGTACTATCGTCATTTATGAAGACTTTCATGTTACTGAGCTCCCCCTCACACTTCCAGACGTCGAACAACTCCCTGCCACTTGTGCAGCTTTTTCATCCAATTCCGAATGCCAACTGCTGTATCGTGGAGGTCCACTCCCAAAGACAAGCATGTCCTGCTTCTCAAGACTAGATACGACATTCACATCAATCTCTTCACAAAGATTTTGTACTTACTCGTCTCCTATTACCAAGACATTAGACAAATGAAGGCGAAAGGAGCACAGGAACAAACACAGCACATAGAGACAGCAGTGAACGTAGTCATGAATATTTGATGAACTATACAAAGGCGCAGCCAAACGAATTGAAGAAAGTATATATACAAGAAACTTTTCCTTCTCAGTCATAACCCGAGGAATCTTCCTTCTGTGATGCTCTAGGACTGGTAAGAGTCCAAGAAGCTAGCCCTTCCGAGCTTTCGGGAGTGAATGTGCTCGTGGACAACGACGGGGCTGACTGGCTTGTGGCCAACCATAGCGCGCCTGGTCAAGGTGTCATGGCGGCGGGATACTGGCTCAGAGCGGCCGCGGTTGGAGTCAGTTGATTGAAGGCACTGGGAATAGTAGTCGTTCTGGACCACGCACTTCCAACCGCTGGCGCATGTAGTAGGGCCAGTGAAGCCAATGCCGCCGCAGCGTTCGTAGGCACCGGCGGTGCTGGGTTGGGCAGGCTGGGCAGGCTCAGCGGGCGCTGGGGTGGTAGCAGGGGCAGACTCGGCTGGTGCTGAGGGGGTCGATGAACCGGCAGGTGAAGACGCAACGGGAGAGGCAGATTCAGCAGGCGCTGCTGACTCGACGGGTGCCGCAGATTCTACAGGCGCAGCAGATGGGGCCGCAGGCGAGCCGGTACCGACGGGTGCTGCAGAAGAAGCAGCAGGGGCTACGGGGGTCGCAGCTGGTACACTGGAGCTAGCTGCCTCTGGTGTGGCCTCAGGGGTAGTGGAAGCAGTGGGAGCAGTGCCACTGGCGGGGCTGTCACCAAGAGCAAGAATGCGGGCAGCAGCGGCCTCAGCGGCAACCATGACAATCGCCTGGGTGTTACCGGTAGGAAGATCGGGGTGAATGGAAGCATCGACGACGAACAGGTTGTCGGTACCATAGACCTTGGTGTCAGTGTCAACAACAACACCAGCATCACCCTTAGTTCCCATCTTAGCAGTACCGACGTAGTGGCTTCCAGTCTTGAAAGACTTGATAAGGTCCGCGCCAGTAACGTTGGAAACACCAGCAGGAGCAATCAAAGACAGGGTGGAGTTGCCACCTTGTGTCATGGCAATCAAACGGTCCATCATCATCGTGATGGCCTCAGTGTCGACGTCAGAGGTCATGTGGGGGTCGGTGATGAAAGTGGTGGCGCCATCAGCAGTGATACCAAGGCTACCAACAGACTGCAGACCGTGGGTAATGTAGACCTTCATCTGGATGGTGTTGTCGGCAGGCGAGTTGCAAGTACCCTGGAAGAAAATTTCGCTGCCGTCAGTGGTGTTGACAGATGACCACCAGTTAAGACGTTGACCGGACTGTGCGAGCTCACCAGAGCCCTTAGCGAAGAGGTCAATTGTGGTTTGGTTGGGGCTGGTGAGAGCCTTCTCGTCAGTTCCGGAGAGGGGAGTGCTGGTGTTGAACTTGACAGTGAAGATAGGGTGGTCCTTGATCTCAGCACCGACGGGAAGGTCGATCCAGTCAGCCTCATCGGGGAGTGTAACACCGCTGCTGCCGCTGGCAACAGTCTGAAGCTGGTCGGCGGGACCAATACCGGAGTTGAAGAGGATACGGGGAGTAGACATGGATCCGGCAGCAAGGATGACACTGCCTCCGGACTTGACGTTGTAGATAACGCGCTTGCCGTCTGCAGTCTCAACCTCAATACCAGAGATAGCCGATCCCTCACGGACAGCGCGAACGACGTTGGTATTCATCATAAGCTCGAAGTTGTTGAGCTTTTGGGCAAGGGGAAGGTAAGTCCTGACAACACCGGAGCGAAGACCGTTGGCGATGTTCCAGGTAGGGTGGCCGTAGACGTCAACCTTGGCGTTAGGGTTCTTTACAAAGTCGGTCTCGGTCCATCCCTGGCCAGCGAAGAACTGCGACAAGACATCGTAGGCACCGTTGTCGTAGCGGATACCATCTTCTGAGCCGTAAGTTTGTCCAGGATTGCGCTCGTACAGACGATCGGCCGCCTCGGCGACATCAGCCCACTTCCAGCCAGCAGGCCACTTGTCGTCGAAGTCACGCTGTTGAGGCTTGACGTACATCATAGCATTGATGGCAGTGCTACCACCCAGGAGGCAGCCAGACATGTCTGCAGTGTCGGCGCAGTAAGCAGGGCTGCCGACATCACTGAGGTAGTAACCGTATCCTGGAACATCGTACATCGAAACAGTGTCGTTCCATGGCATGACCTCAGTCTTACCAGTGAAAGCGTATGATGGGCCACCACGTTCGACCAAGAGGACGGACGCACCGCTCTCTGCAAGCCTCTCGGCTGCGATGATACCAGCAGCACCACCTCCGGCAACGATGTAGTCGTATGTAGAGTTAGCGACGGTGGCTGTGGTGTTTCCAGCAACTGGGGCGGCTGGCGCGGTCGAGTTGCCTCCGGGTGTGGTAGAGTTGCCTCCGCTAGGGGTGCTAGCCACCGCCATAGCAGCCCACTTCTCGAAGTCGGGGCTGGTAGCGTTGCTCATGGGAAGTCCGAAAGCTCCGAAACCAGCGTCGTGGTAATTGAGAGCCGCACCAGCATCGGTAGAGTCGGCAAGCGCCTTGTTGGAGTAGGCCCAGCCCATGATGTTTACGCTAGGGTCCTCGTAGATGACGAGACCGGTCTTTGGGTCCTCGCTGATGCAGTTCGAGCACAGGAAGGTGTATGAAAAGGCGGTGTCGTTGACGAAAGTTCCGTCGGGGATTGGGGACATGGTGAAGTCACCAGTCTTTACAGCTGGGTTTGTGTATCCAGTTGCTTCTCTGAAGGAGGCGATGACTTCGCCCTCATGAGGCCAAGCAACAACCAGCAAGTTGCCAGTCATGGATTGTCCCTGAGTGTGTTAGTTTTAATTGTCTATAACATCGCTAGCTTTTAATATACCAAGCTGAATCCAGCCCAACCACCATCGTTAGTGATCGGAGCTTGAACCTGGACGATGAAGTCGGTAGTAGCTTTCTCCGGAAGGGCATAGCCTAGCCTGTAGCCCGAAGAGTGGTGAAGACCGCTGAAGGTGATGCCAGTCTTCTCGTCCGTGAATTTGGAGGAAGTTTGCGCCGAGACGCCAAGTGCCAGAAGGGCTGTGGAAAGAAGGAATGTGCGTGCCATTTTGGCTGTAGGAGTGATGACTGAAGTGGAGGAAAGAATGCTGTGGCGCTGCCAACAAAAGAGTGTGAAGCCGTCAAGGCTGTAAAGAATGACTACAAAGCAACGTTCGTAGAACGAGCAAAGAAAAAGAGTGAATGAATGAAAGCGAGAGAGCTTGTACCGAACAAGTCGCCGCAAAATGTCTCTCTATATGTATGCTGTGCCATTGCGGGTCAAGAGCCCTCAATCTGCCACTTCCAAGGATGGAGGCCATCTCCGACCTAGCGCCCATCAAACAAGCTCACGATGCAGCCTCGCGGCGATGTCAACCTGGATTCTGGACCATGGTGGTCCAGGAACATGGTCCATCGGTCGCGCTACGGGTGTCAAAACGGTCAACTGGCGTTTGCACCACTGTACTAAGTTAATTACTTGCAGCATGGGCGGAAAAATGCCGACGCACAGTTCGGTAACACGGTCGCGTTCATTCGTCGATAATGAAGTTTCATGTTTGTTTGGCATGAACCTGACGTCGGGGTGGGGTCTAGCTGTTTCGAAACGAATCGCCAAGGCAGGAACCGCCATCCTTTGCAAATTGCGCGTGGGCCGCTGAGCAAAACACCATCCGCTATTGATTGCGTTCATGGTTCATGGGCTTGACTGATGAGTCGAGCACCTTATCTTCTGCTTGTCCCGGTGGTTGTAAGAGTCAGGTCGCATTGTCGTTTGTGAGGCTCCGAGTGCGAATGCAAAAAGTTATGGAACCCATCAATTTACTGGTACCCATCAGCTTCCTACAATTACCGTCGCAAAGCTGAAGACGACAGCGAACCCGGGAATTCGGCTCGGCGAAGGAAGAGATGGAACATTGAAGTACGAAGGTGACGCGTTCACAATAGGTGGGATTCGACGCAAGTTATGCGTGGACGTCTGCTGCAACGCGATCGGTCACCGACAATCTTCCGACAAATTAAAGACGAGCTCATGGCTCCAAGGATACACTCCGATGGTTGCTCGATACAGAATTTTGTTTGATGGGATGAAGACGTTTGGCTTGTTGACGTTCAGTGGATATCGCGTCTTAGTTTACCTGACGCTAGCTTGATCGGGAACGACTGAGGCACGGCGCGGTAACCGGGACCGTGAACATGTCAAACATGCGCCGGCGCATCGATGTGTTCAACACCTCATTGAACACGCTTTTAACCAAAATTGGTCTGTGCTTTTTGGATGAGGAACGAGTCGAACGTGCTGATGATGCGGAGGTGTTCAGGTGGGGTAACGTACCTCGGCACAGGATGTCGCCTCCCGCCAGGTACCGTACACCCATATACTAATCTTCATGTCAACAATCTTATTCTAGAATAATTGCTGCAACTCACCACTTTTGTACAGACTACCTGCATAGAACTGTATCGTCATGGCACCAAAAAATGAAATTCCAGCTTATGTCCTTGGTGTTGGGCTCACCAAGTTCATCAAACCCCGACAAACGCGCGCATATCCAGAGATGGGCTATGAGGCGGGAGTGAAGGCAATGTTGGATGCACAGATCAACTACGACGATGTTGAGACAGGAGTTGCCTGTTACTGTTACGGAGACACTACGAGCGGTCAAAGAATCTTCTACCAGTTCGGCATGTCGAGGTATGGCAATTAGTAACGACCTTGTGAAGTATGGAGATATTGACAAACAACAGTATCCCAATTTATAACACAAACAATGCATGTGCAACGGGTTCGACCGGTCTTCATCTAGCGCGAACTCTGGTCAAGAACGGGGCGATTGACTGCGCGCTCGTTATTGGATTCGAACAAATGCAGCCTGGCTCTATCAAATCAACATGGAGCGATCGCCCTTCCCCTATGGGTCTCTCGATGCGTATGATGGCCGACACCCGCGGCATAAGCAATTCTCCACCCAATGCTCAATACTTTGCCAATGCTGGTCTTGAATATATGGAGAAGCATGGAGCTGAGGCACGCGACTTTGCTGAGATTGCGAGGATTAGCCACGAACACAGCTCGAGGAATCCGTATGCGCAGTTCAGGGATGTCTACACACTTGAACAGATTGAGAAGGCGCCCATGATTCACTTCCCATTGACAAAGCTTCAATGCAGTCCGACAAGCGATGGCGCTGGCGCAGCTGTTATTGTGAGCCAAAAGTTCCTGGATGCCAGACCACATCTCAAGAGTCAAGCTATCCTGATCGCAGGCCAGTCTCTGATGACGGACTCTCCTCAGCTTTACTCCAAGTCATCGATGGATCTCGTTGGTTACGATATGACTAAGCGCGCAGCACAAGCGGCTTTGAAGGAGGCCGGTGTGAGCGCGAAAGACATCAAGGTCGCGGAACTACACGACTGTTTCTCGGCGAATGAGCTCATCTTGTTAGAGGGATTGGGTTTCAGCGAACCCGGAAAAGCACACATGATGGTACGGAACGGCGATATCACATACGGTGGCAAAGGACCCATCGTGAACCCATCTGGTGGTCTCATCAGCAAGGGACACCCTCTCGGCGCGACTGGGTTGGCACAATGTGCAGAACTGACATGGCAGCTTCGAGGCTGGGCCAACAACAGACTAGCTGACGGAGCAGACGTGGCACTGCAGCACAACCTGGGCCTGGGCGGAGCTGTCGTGATCAATGTATACAAACGCGCTGACGGCAAAAAGAACGCGAAGATGAGTGATGAGGAAGTCAAACAGGCGAGTCAGTTCTCCTACAACCCTGCCGTAGAGGCACGCTACGTCACCAAGGAGGAAGGCGAAAAGGTGAGAAGCAAGACTGTGGCAAATGAGTATGCGCTAGGCGACACGTTAGAGAAGATTCAAAGTCGACTGTAAGCTAGTTGTAGAATTGATCAAAACAATCTGAGTAACAATTCTTCAACTTGTCTCAAGTTTCTTGTATGAAAGTCTCGTCTTTGCTGAATACCATCCGCACCTTGTTCTGTTCACCTCACAGCATACGTGCAAATCACCTCTCCTGAATCTTATCTCATATCTGTTGGAATATAGTAATGATAGATTCATGCTACGAAGGCTTCTGACAATATAGGCAGTACGCTAGTGGGTATGGAAGGTACCAATAACAACGTAAGATGGCTCTTTTTCCAATATCAACATGCACTCTAGTAAACCTCGAGTACGTATCTGCCCTCGTCCTTCAACTTTTCAATCTCCTTGCGTGAGTCAACCTTCTTAGCACCGACGTTCTTGACCTTATGCTCGACTTCGACAGCCTCCTGAAGCACCTCGGTGACATCAGGCACGGGCCATGTCGGTCCACAGAGGTAGAAGCTACCCTCCTTTTCAAGATAAGCCCTTCGGATGTCGGTCAAAGACTCCCTCATGCGGTCCTGGATGTAGATCTTCTGAGGTTGGTCACGAGAGAAGGCGCGACCAATGAGAGTAATAATACCGGCATCTTGGTATGCTTCCCATTCCTCACCATACAAGTATTCTTCGCGCTGGTGACGGGAACCCATGTAAAGTAGAACCTCGCCGATTTCGTGACCTTGCTGCTTCTGGTAGGCACGTTCCTGTACGAAAGCACGGAAAGGCGCAAGACCGGTACCCAGACCAGCCATGATGATGGGCGCAGTGGTCTTGGTAGGGAGCTTCATAACGGACGGCTTGACCGAAACGGTAACAGGCGAGCCAATCTTGAGGCTGTTGAGGTAGCGTGTCGCTTGACCGAAACGGTCGCGACCCTTGGGGTCGACCCAGTTGACAGTTACAATGAGCAGCGAGACGGAGTTGGGGGTTACGTGCTGCGCGGATGCGATGGAGTACTCGCGGCGCTTCATTGGGCTGACAATGCGAACGATGTCGTGGAAGCTTGGGTGTGCAGATGGGAACTCAAGCAGGATGTCAGCGTAGGTGACGGTGTCAACCTCAGCACGGCGCTTAAACTCAGTGGCGCCTTCTGCACTAAGAAGCTGCAGAAGTTCGCGCTTCTCACGCTCGTCATCGGCAAACTCGGCGAGCGCTTCGTAGAAGCGCTTTGGTGGGCGACCGAAGATATCGACATTTTGTAGCAGAGATTGGTAGACAGTACGGTTGACAAGAACGTTGGGGTCTTCACGGGATGGTACCTCAACAATCTCTTCAGGGTTGAGACCGTACCACTTGATGAACTCGTCGATCTGCTTCGGGTCGTTCTCTGCGTGAATACCAAGAGCTTCACCAATAGCGTAAGTAACACCAGAATCACCGAGATCAAACTCGATGTGGAAGATATTACGGTCGTAGTTTTTTGGCGTGAGACGGCGACGCTCCTTAACATGAACGATACTGGTCTTGACGCCAAGATCGGGTCGGACCTGGTTAGCGGTGCCGAAGGCTTCCTTGAAGGCGAAACCCTTGGCTGCGATCTGCCAGTTCTTGAGCAGGGTCGGGGCTTCTGTCTCGATACGGTCAAAAGGAGCAAAGCTGTTGACGTTGATGTCTGAAGGAAGGCGGATTGGCTCAACGTCCTCCTCGACGGTAGCCCAAGCGGCGGGAACCTCGACCTCACGGAGAGCGCTTTCGAGCTGCTGGGTGAGTTTTTCGAAGACATCGGAGCTGCCGTTGATGGCGGCAAGCTTGCTTAAGCCAGAAGCCAGAAGGTCTTCACGAGCGACCTTCAAGAATGCCAGCTGAGTGAGGAAAGACTCTAGAGACTCGTCTTCAGCAACAGCTTCAGATAGAGTAGGATCAAGAACGAAAAGCTGAACGTCTTTGTCTACAAGAGCCTTGCGGAAGGCAGGTGACAACTTCTTCTCAACGTCCTCGTTCTTCACACCGGGAAGCTTCACAATGATGGAGCTGTCAGGCTTGACGCTGTTCAAGATGTCGAATTCCTTGAGGATAGCAATGTCACCAATGAATGCAACATCGGCTTGCTCAACAGCGTAGGGCGCCTCGATAGTGTAGTCAGCATTGCGAATGTCAGTGCGAGTGACACCGCCCTGCACGAGGTTGTCGTGGCCGCTGCGAACGAAAACGTTCTTTGAAGAGTCGCTCGAGAGGAGCTTGCCTACTACAACAGGTGCGTTGGCGGCTGATGATTCGTCAAGGTCCCAGAAGCTGTACTGCTTGACATCGGCGGTGTTCAAGATGTCAACATAAGAGCGAACCTCGGCTCCCTCCTTCTCGGCGTGGATCTGGCGGAAGGCATCGAGGAAATTGCTAGGTGTCCAGACCTGTTCGCGCGAGTACTTGACATCAGTGACTTCAATGTTCCTGTCGTAGGCGAACTGAACAGAGGCCAAGACGTCGGAGTAGAGTCTAGAGTATTCCGCGGGGTCGAGCACAGCAGCCTCGTCCTTGACCTGACCAAGAACGGCGATGCGACGAGTGCTCTTTGGGAGCGCCTCAAGGAAAGCCTCCTCCACAAATGGGCGGTAGACACGAACGTTGACAACACCGACCTTGTCGCCGTCCTTGGAAAGGGCGTTGGCGACCTGAGCAGTCAACGAAGCCTCCACAGTACCAAAGACGACAAGGACGCTCTCTGCCTCTTGGTGACCGTAGTAATCGAAGAGCTTGTAGTCCTCGCCGAGCTCGTCGTTGAAGGCCTGGAGAAGGCGCAGAACGCGTCCGGCAGTGTCGGAGTGCTTCTTGTCGACCTCAGAGACGGCCTTGAGCACTGCCTCGTAGCTGTTGTGTAGCCTGGTCTGGTCAAGGGTGTCGACCAGCCTGGCGGTCTCCCTTCCAACGCTGATGCCATCGTATGTGTGGATCGTGGGTAGGACACTCGATAGGAGGGTAGCGAAGAGGGACATGTGCTGAGTCTCGAAGACAGACGGGCTGCAGACGAGACCAAGACCAAGATCCTCGGCGAGTGTGAGGGAAGAGACATAGTCGGTGACTAGGCCAGCGCTGGAGTTGGCAGAGTAATCGACAGCGGCAATGTGGGCGGTCAACGGGTTGGCGACCGAGTAGAGGGCGGATAGTTGGTCAAGCGAAGCGCGGAGGTAATTCAAGGTGGAAGACGAAGCGACGATGGACTGAGGGATGTGGCGCTTTTTCAAGTCAAAGTCCTTTGAGAACATGTATCCCAATGCAATGGCACCAGCACCGTTCCTTGTCTCCAGAGAGGAGACGCCAGTCTGGTAACCGAGAGCATTCTTCTCGCCTTGTTCTTGCCAGTACTTGACTGCTACATCAAGATCGAAAGACTCAGCCGAGTATGCGAAGATCTTGTCGGAGAGAGCGTATGCGACTTGTTGGACGAGAGTCTGGGCGGTAAGGTAGGTTGGGCCACCGATCGACTGGTAGGAGAGATCCTGGCCAAACGGCAGACTGGACGACTTCTTGGTGAAGTCCTTGGGTGTGTTCTGCTCAGCACCAGGGCCAGCGGATTCCGTCTGCTGGAAATGCATCTTGAATGCAGGTATGCGCCTCAGCAACTCAGCCTTTCAGTCGAGGCAATGAGAGTCTCTCTTTGGTGTAAGAGAGAAAGTGAGAGTTACTACGACCCCACGGAGGCTTCAGCGAGGGAGTATATCCGCGTCGTGGATTTGTCGCCTCGTAGCAGTCAAAAAGTGCCGTCGTCCAGTAGCGACATCGGCAGAAGACCGACCGAGCAAGACGCAATCCATCAGACAGACCATGATTGGCTCTTTGTGCTTGCTCTAGCACGTCTTTCGGGCGATAGATTGCAAATGCGCGGAATGTCGCCCTGACGCGACGAGAATTTGGCCCTAGCGCGAATTGCGTGCTCGAGACGCCAAGACATTGGAAACGTGACTGCGGGGAAATCACGGCTCTCGGAGATCTGATCACCAACACGTCTTGCCTCCTATCGTGAATACTTTGGTTTGTCTACACATGCGACGCACCATGGCAGAAGAAACATTCTTCGCACCGGATACTCAAACACAATCGTGAAGACTCACTACGATATGGTTTTGACCCACAATCTCTTTGGCGGGAGATTTGAATCACCAAACAAAATTCAGCACTGCTCAGAAGGCCAGCGAACGAAAATGTGTCTGTCAATGCCACCTCGCCTTTAATTAGAGCAGCTCTCTACGAAAACTCTGATGTATGTGAGAGATTGCTAGTATCCGGAGCAGATCCCGACATCTGCAGTTGCATCGGACAATCCGCTGCATTCAGCGCTGTGCGTGTTAACAACCATGCTGCTCTTCGAGCGATCGTCAAGCACAAGGCATCCCTCAGTCTAATAGATTACTCTGACAACCCTTTACTCCACCACGCAGCGTGGTTCGCGGACATCGAGACAATGCAGATCCTGCTGGAAGCTCAGATAAGGGATCTACCAAAAGACTTCGAGGCAGTTACCGGCTATTGGCGATGCTTCTGCTACCGCAACGAAACAATGCATGAGCGGCCAGAGTCCGACGAAGATGAGACGAAGGCCTTCTTGGCTTTACTCTGTAGCGTTATCCCACCACGTCCTACGCCTCCTTTGGGGAATCTACAACCATGGATGCCGGGCTCATTTCCTGGCGATCTTGATAAAGACTTCAAGAGTTTGCAGCAGGAGGCTTCGTGACCAGCAGTGTATCGTGCAGCCATGCATGACAGCGAACGTAGCTATGCTACGTTCCAATGTTTTTGATCGAGATAAATTGACCAAGCACATGCGACATCGAGATAAGCATCTCAAGCATTACCGCTCCACATCGATGGGAACCACCGAATCTGGTGGAGACAACAGCCGATCGTGATCTTCGCACCGCTTACGATCTCCATGGGGCTTTGTGGAGTCTCATAGACCCTTTGTCACATATTTTCAGCAAATGAGAAGAGGTTTTCAGTAGTGCGATGATGTCAAAATGTCCACGCGGATGCGAGGTTCCGAGTGGGTAAGTCACGATGTTCGCGATCAGCACACGAAGCGTGCAACCGTGTCGCGCTTATCGTCATACCTCTGTAATAAGGGAAGTTCGCAAACTTCAGTCTACCAAATGTGCGATTGCATCATAGCAATCATGTAGCCGACTGTTGGTGCATAGAAACGGTTATTTGACTGCTTGTCGCACCTTCCCAGCACTTACATAGCATCCTGATTTACCCCAGAAACAAAATTCATACCCTTACAAGAAAGCCGGGCGCGTCTCGATTCTGTCAAAGTCGATCGTATCAGCCTTTCACCCCGATAGCCCCTTCGACCAAAATAACTTCCCAAACATGGCGTTAGACGTCCGTCACGAATCCGAAAAACTTGACAAAACACTCCAACAAACCCCCGGCATCCAGATTTTTCTCCAGCCCATCGCACCCCCAGCTGCTCTAGGTCTCGCTGGTTTCGCAGGCTCAACATGGATAACCTCATCCTACATCGCTAACTGGTGGGGCGGACCTGAATCACCGACCATTTTCTTCCCATTCGTAGGTCTGTTCGGCGGACTAGCGCAATTCATTGCAGGGCTGTATGGGTTCAAAGCAAGAGATACATTGGTGACTGTGATCAACACCATGTGGGGAAGTTTCTGGATTAGTATTGGGATTCTATATGCTTTCGTCGTAAGTCTTGCCGTTCCTGAGTAAGATCTGAATCACAAGAAGAGAGCTGACGAGAAACCATAGGCGGCCGGCGCTCTGGAAGCACACGAAGTGCATACGCATTTTCCCGAACTCGCGTCTTGGTTCGTGATCCTCTGTGTTTTCACGTGGTCGGGAGCACTCGCTGCTACAGCAAGGGATGTTGTTCTTAGCGTTTGCCTCTTCTCTCTAGCCATTGGAAGTACAATCGCTTGCTGCATGTTCGCATACAACGGTCGCCCTTCTTCGGCAGCGGATACGAGTGCATCGGGCGACAGTCTTTCTGGCGGAGTAACCATGGGTATGAAAGCTGCCAGCTACTTCTGGATGTTGAGCGCGCTTTGCGCCTGGTGGAGAGTGACAGTATATCTTGTTGAGGAGGCATATGGTCCCGATCACACAATCACCAAGTTCTTCCCTATTGGCAGGACACCTATGGAGAGGAAGGCGCCTTTGGTTATTCCCGGGCTGGGTGAGCCGGGTGTTAAGAGGGGTGTTCCGAAGCCACTGCCAGTGTAATGCGACTCGAAAGGATCATGAAATGTATTGGTAGAGTATTCTTACTGGCGCAATCGTATATTTGGCAATTTGGATACCCATGGATTATTAGTTGCCATATTCGCTATCGTTTAAAGCACCATGAGATTTTATAAGGCATTACGATTACTTTCACAGCATCATCTAACTAGAACAATTCCAAGAAAGACACCCAACGCGTAAAGGATAGTTTTCCCAAGCAAAATCTCGTTCATTATCGTTGTAGCTAGTCGACCGGACGAACCGCTACTTGAAACGACAAATGCGCACACATTGGCTCGGCAACATCATCCCGCTCTTCTTCTTCTCTCAGACTCCCTTCGCCGATACTCGATACCATGCTTAGTCATAATGGTATCATACTCATGCTTTAGCAACCTCATCTTGTATCTGGTTACCAGTTTTCGTCCAACAGACCTCTCATAGGCCTCCCTAATCATGCGAAGCTCTATCTCGCCTTCTATAAGCCTCAGTTCATCAGTGATCGGTATGCCAGATGGTCGAGGAGGAGGCGAGGACCATATAATACCCTGTCTAAAAACATCATGAACGGAATCGCGATTAGACTCTTTTTGATGTGGTCGATGCTGTGATGCATAAGTCTCGGATAAGCTGCATGACGATGCATCAGGTGAAGACTGCATCCAATCTTGCCTGGTCGGAGAGCAGGCTTGAGGTGTCGGTGGCAGACGAATTTGAGGTACTGAGGGTGGAGGAGTATGGGGTAATGATGATGGGCGTGGTTCCTTTGCTAGCGGTGGTCTTGATCGGGAAGATAGCAGTGACAGGCCTGGAAGACATCCCGTTGAACCTAAAGATAGACATCTCTGTCTTCGTGGCGACTTCGTACGCTCTTTACCACTTGCTTCTCCTGCATTGTACTCAGCGAGAAGCTTCCTGATCTCTGCTTCGCGTACGGATGCAATCAATGGAAACTTTGGTGACCTGTGGTGAGCTCTCTGAGAATATGGGCTTTCTAGCATGGCCTGCAAGATTTCTTCCGATGTTCTTAGCTCTATTCTTGCCGAAGGATATTTGTCGGTTGTCTTTAGAATCATGTGATGCTTGATAAAACCATATCTAGGCTGGCGACGGTGCGTTTCAAGAACATCTGGTGTTCAGAATGATAGTAGCTGGTGGGGTCCAAGATAGTCTTCTAATCCTGAGAGGACAAAAAAGCTGGTGTCTGGGTATGTTGGACAAAGACGACAAAGCCATAACAAAGAGGCTACATTTAGCGGAAACCCCGAGAAAGAAGCAGCTGAAGGCGGACATGCTTCGATTGGAAGTTCGGTGAACAACCATAGGTGGCGACTCGAGGAACTCTGTGTCGGAGCAACGCGCTATGATCGTAAAGCTATTACGCTGAGCATGCAAATCGTAGAGACAGAGGTTGAGTTGGCACATCCATTCGACGAAGATGCAGATTGACATTAGATCGCGCTGATTACCGAACCAAGCCCGCCAATCTTGCCTGCCCATCTTGTCATCATTTCTACCGCGTCTTTTCTGAGCTCCAAAGTCGGGGCAGAGAAAGCGACTGCCATGACCGGCGCGATACTGCGCAACATGTCGAAGCCTGGAGTTTGCGCCTGTTCGATCTCCATTGCAGCCTCCAGGATAGATGTAGCCGCTTTGGTGGCTTCCTCGTAATAATGCGCAGTAGTATATTCATATGGCTCCAGTGGGGCAGTTGCTTCAGTGTGCATCTTGTACATGAGCATGTTGACAACGAGGCGGTCTGCGGTGTAATTTGATGCAATCAGTGCTACGAAAGCATTAGACGACTTTGAAGCAGATGATCCTGGACTGGTTGTTTTCGACGTACCCTTCTCCATGGGTGTAGGTGTTCCACGTGGGCTTCCGGAGATGCTGGCTAGATGAGGATATGCTATAGCCCATTCGTCGAGGTCTCTCAACAGCCTGCATGCCATATGTTTGGAAGGGCGAACGTCAACATGTGACGGTATAGGGGTCGAGAAAAGCACGCGCATTGAGCCGGATATCTCGAGGATGGCCATACAAGGAGGAATCTGAAGCTCGATATCTGCAAGACTTTGGTGCGCATCTCGTGGCTTGTCAATGAAAGGTAGTGTCATCCAATCTGGCGAGGAGTAGACCGAAGTCCTGTTGAGGACTACACATTTATGCGCCTGATATCGTTAGCGTAAAGGGAATCGTCATACTGATTCTTCCAAGCTTACATCAGAGCTGCGCACGCCCTTGAACAGTGGCCAGATGACACCCGACCCACAGTTGCTCGGCCCGCGCATATTCATTATTTGGGCCGCAGCTGCGAGATGAGCCATGGCGCCAGATGCAGTCGCGCCTACATACAGTTCGTACAAGGACATGATGAGTGGTACCAAAACCTCTTCTTCGTCAGGAATAGCGTCCTTCTTTAGTCTTGCTATGGATGTTCTCTGTGCGCTCAGAGCTACAGTATACCTAGAATATGCGTGTACAAAATCAGTATGTGTCTCATATGGAATTCGTAAAAGGATAGCTCTTACCACCTCCAGGAGTCAACGAGAATGCTCGGATCGTGATGATGTTTTCCGAAGTATGCCATTGAGACTGCCCGGAGAGACAACCGGACCGCAGGCTTTCTAGCGTTGGTGTGAATCTGGTGTATATGGCCGAGCCATTGGATTTCAGGCGCGTACTGACTTCCACCCTTGTTCATCTCAACGTAGTGAGAAAGGAAAGCGGTATCTAGAGCTTCCGGTAAAACCCTTGAGGGTTGATTCATTGTAGGAGGCCTGTACTGATAGCGAATGGCTACTATGGCTTGCTCCACTCTAACAGTATCCCTGGTTGCGGAAGATGGTGTTGAGTTTGACGACGGTGATGACGGCTGGCTTGACTTGATTGCGACTTTGCCTTGAGGGAGGATAGGACGCGGGGCTGCTGATGGCTGATCATCCTCGTTCCCTCGAATCACCATTGTAGCTCTTGCTGTCTCTTTCTTCTTTCTTCCTCTTGGCTTGGTTACCCGCTCTGTCATATCGATAACAATGGAGCCCTGGAGGGCCCCAGAGCACGTGAGGCCCAAACGACGACATTGGTTGCATGTCTCTGGTGTTTCGTCGCACTGCGGGACGAATAAGTGCTCAACTTGATGAGTTGTTGAAGGAACACACCTTGACGCGTCTAGATCGGCATTGAGCACAAGCTCTACTTCGTTGGGACTTCGGTGGCATGTCGTCTATATAAGCCCGGGTCGTACAACACGGGAAGTGAAAGAGGGAATTTGAGCGACGTAAACGAGGAAGGGATACAGGGGTAGTCAGTGGTGCAGCACGATAGTGCGGCGCGGTCTCCTTTGTCCATTTTGATTGGTGCTAAGTCAAGTTTCGGAGGTACCTTAGGAAGGCGGGGAAAGCCGTGAGGTAGCCGCGACCCTTCCATAGCGAGTCTAGCACGTGCTGGAAAGGGTCCAAGATGCATTGGAGCGGCAGAAGATCGCCCTTGTTCTTCTCGTGGGATATGGAAATTATCTCCGATCGCAGCCTTGCTTTGCTTTGCTTTTGTGCGCATCATCGTGTGATATGAGGATTAAGCCGGAGCATGTGTATGTAAAAAGTAAACAGTATGACGACATGATGAGTTGTTTGTTTTCGCTGCACCTTGATTCGTACTAAGAGAATCTGAAGCTCTCGCAAAGTCTGTCTGTCGTGATAACGCAGGCATGAACAACGCGCAAACCTTGAGAGGAGGTTCAACTTCAGATAAGTGCCAGTCGGTCACTGAAAGAAAACTGTGAGAAGGGTATCGTGTACGGGCAACCTTGTGCCCCATAATCAGTCCGAATTCCTACTCCTTGCCCAACGCAACGATGTCCTTCATTTCTACAACCCAGACACCGTCCTCCTTCTTCCCATCGATACATTGCATTCCGGCATTGACGGCAGCTCTCGCGATCGTACTGGCGTCTTGAGCCCACCAGTCCGTCATCTTAGGTGTCAAGCCCTTCAAACCCCTTGCAAGACCCCTCAGCGCAGCCTCAGCTGGTCGTGATTCACTCCTATCTCCGACGATCAGACCCGGGCGCACTATGACCGTGTGCTTGAACCCCAGACCCTTTACGGCTTCCTCCAACTCGCCCTTCATCTTGGGGTAAGCAAAATATGATGTGTGGCTTGCGCCGTTGGACGAGATGAGGACGTATGTCTCCACACCGGCTTCTTTGGCGGATTTGGCAAGGTCAAGGTTCAGGTCGTGGTCGATCTTGCGCTGGGCTTCGACGCTGCCTACTTGTGCACGTGTCGTACCCAGACCGCTGAAGAAGACCCTAGGTTTCTGCGAAGATGGGAACTGGCTAGGCCATTGTGAAGAGTCGGTCGCGATGATGGGCTGGAGTTTGGTGGAGCCTGCAGGGTTCGGGAGGTCGCGGCGCGCATACGCGTGTACGGCGGAGAAGGCGGGGTGTGCGAGAAGTTGGGAGAGGATGTTTGCGCCCTAGATGCCCCTGTGAGCATTTGGTGCCTTGTGAGGTCGTTGGGAGAGCGCTGGACGTACGACTAGGCCTGTGCTACCCGCTAGTACTGCGGCTGTCATTTTATCTGCTGTACCTTTGAGTTGCGAAGTTGATGGTGAGTAGATGAGTCTTTCAGTGTGAGTTGTGTGAGTCTGGTCTTATTAGTTGTCATCTACCGGCAATGATCGCACGTAAAGTTTAGTTGCGGCCGTATGCGTATAATTTTGTCCGGGACCCTGATGAGCGATAGCAACGATAAGCCGAGGTGCGTCATCAGAACAGCACCGTGGCGCGTTCGAGAAGCATCACCCAACTGATGGGGTTTCACATGTTGAGCGTCTGGTATTGCAATATGAAAAGTCTTAGGACAGGGTGGTTCGTAAATGTGAAGGAAGTGTCCGAGACATCTTGGTATGCAGGAACACAGGCTAGGAGGTGCACAGTGGACCAGTGACCAACGCCAGCGCGCGCGCGCGCGAGAGGTACATTAATACACTAAATACACGAGTAAAACTTCTTTCTATTGTTCGGCAACAAGCCGGGTGCGGATCATCTCTTTTTGCAAAGACCTCGACCTCGCGTCAACTTGTCACACCATCGTGGTATCACCTCTGCGCCGTAGCTGCCCTGAGTCATGCCGTCGGCGGCTGCCGACCCTGAAGAATCCGCCAAACATCACACCACTCTCTCGCGACCATCAATACAGCCAACTCCTCAGCCAGTCTAGAACCAATAGCAGGTCCCGGAAACAAGCGACTATTTTCTACAGTGCTTATTATCGTTTCCAAAAGCGGTTCTTTCAGTCTTGCCTGCATCTTGGTCGTCGTTGTTTTCCATGTTCCTGACTTGCCCGGTCTGGTCTGTCAGGCCAGCCGTTCGGGTTGCGGCGTAAGGCTGTGAGGATGATGCGGAGGATGCACATCTCACGCGATGTTCTGGTGGTGCGATCGCGGGTTCTATGATGAAGCATAGTGTTTGTAAGTTGGTAATGTAGGTTTGATAAATAGATTGTCTTCTTCATGTTGTAGTAGCCATCCAACATTCAGTTCATCACAACAACAGCAACCAACAATACACTCCACACATCTTCACATCGAATCAAAAGCTTAAAGATCCGTCTTTTCTGCTCAATCAATAATACAACAAGAGCATTCTCGATCTGAGTTCATTCTAGCGATACCACTACACTCATCCCAATACTCCAAACCAACCAACACTTCAACCAAACCACCACAACAATGCCTTCAGTAACCCAGGCCCGTCTCATGTGGCGCAGCGTTGCCCGCAGCATGGTAGAGCCCCACCCCTTCGCTCGCAACCCCATCACCATGACCCCTCACGCCTGGCGCGCGGCAGACCTCTCCAAAAAAGTCGTAAAGACAAGCACTGTGTAAGTCTACTCATCTTCCTTTCCCTTTCGAACTTCTACTAAGTATTATACAGCTTCTTTCCGTTCTATGCAGGTATCCTTGGATGGCCAGTCGCCGCCGCCTGGTGGTTTAACGGAAACATGTGACTCTTCCTAATGGAAGTACCAAGGCAGGAGAAGAGGAAGGGACCAAGCAGTAAGGAAGTCGAGGATCTGATATTGAACATGCGGTGGGATGATTGAAGGCTCTACCTGCATCGACATCAAGCTTGGGGTTTATGGCGTTATAAGCATAGCATTTTCTTTTGTCAAATACCAATCTTATTATGTTCAGACATGCTAAATCACACTTTCGTGAATCATCGAATGGTCGCTTCCGCTCACGCACCGAGACACTGGTAATGCTCACTCGTAAGCGCTGTACATCCTATAGATCCAACACAATTTTGCCCACACCCCGGCTAACACAACTCAGCATACTACCCTCTTTCTCCTCGTCCAATAAACCGGTTCCCTGGTGTTCTACTCTACCACCGCAAACGTCTACTCTACACGTCCCGCAATTGCCCACTTCACACGAGCTATCGATATCCATACCCACAGCCTTGAGTGCGTCAAGCAGCGACTGGGTAGCCCCTACCTCCACGGTTTTCCCACTCTGTTTGAGCTCTGCTGTGAACGGATCACCCGACGTAGCTACGGTAAAGGCTTCGACGTGTACAGACGACTCTGGGAAACCGTAAGATTTTGCGGTCGCAATGACAGCATCCGAGAGGCGTGTGGGACCACACGTGTAGATGTGTGTCTGATGGTCGGCCTTTGCGAGTATAGCGGAGATATCTAGACGTTGGCCTTTGGATTTGTTGTAGATTGATGCTTTGGACCCGAGAGCAGCAATTCTGGAGGGGAAGGGCACTTCTTCTGCGACAGCATAGTGGAGGTGGAAGTCTTGTTTCGATTCCTGAAGGTATGGGAATGCCACTATGAAAGCTGTGATGCCGATACCGCCTGCGATGATGATGTGCTGGTCTGCGTCTTTGGCGAGAGGGAAGCTTGCTCTGATGCGACTGGCCGTAAGTACATCCCCAACCTTGGTCTGCTCGTGGAGGTACTTGGAGCCACCTCGGCTGGTTGGATCCAAAGCAACGCCAATCTCAAAGCGCTTTGAGTTCCCGCCAGTGACAGAGTATGCGCGTATTAGATTCCCTCCAAGCTTCAATATCACATGGCTTCCGGGCTCGACAGGTCGTGGCGCTGGGATATCTTCGACGGAATCAAAGACAAAGGCTGTGACACTATTCGTCTCCCTCCGCTTCTCAATCAGACGGTATTCTTGCCAAGCATCCATCTTCTCTTCATCGCTACCGAACAACCTGCCGCTATGATCCTCGACGACTCCCTGGTCTAGGCGTTTCTGGAATTTGCCCTTGATCTCCCAGCCGAGTTGCGGCAGACCAACAATCTCCTTCATCATCTCTACGTTGTTGGTCTCGTTAAACAGGTAATACATTACCCTAGCAACCGTCCACTCCGGATTTGGTCGCTCAAGCAAGGTGATCATGTCGCCAGCGATGACGGTACCTGGTTTGATAATGCGATACAACCAGCCGGTACGTAGCAGCGTCTGCGCACGCTTCGCCATGTCTTTGACCTCGAAACGATGGTTGAGCTTGTAGCAAGGCGCTCGTGGCTCGCTGACTTCGACAATGATCTCGCCAATGGCCAACCGATCCCCAATGCATAAGTTCATCTCGCTGACTTCTCTGTTGGATAAGTTTTCGCCAAAAGCGCCAGGCTTGAAGTGGTGCTCTGAGGCTGGTAGTTGTTTCTTCCATTCATCATAATGTGCCGTGCAGTAGTGAAGGAGCGCCTTGTCTGGGCCGCCATGCAAATGGAACGAATGCTCATCGCTAGGAATACCCGTTTCGCTGATTTCGACAGGACCAGTCAATGGAGCCTTGTGAATAGCCGTCTCAATCTTGCCGTTTCCAAGTGCCTTCTTGACCTTGCCAGACCGCAGTTGGATGAGCGGGAAAGGAGCGAATAGTGGTGGGTTCTTCAAGGTATTGGGATCTGGTGGCGACGGTGGAATCCATGTTGAGATAGCCATGGTTCAACTTTGAGTATATTGTATATGGAGGATTTCGAAGTAGATTGAGGTGTCGGATATGTAGAGCTTTAGGCCGTATGAAGATTTCCTCCCATGGAATATGGAAGATAACGTCTTGTGCGTGTATTGTGATGAAAGATAGCAACCAATGGCGGCCTTAAGCATAGGCTCACTGTAGGATGAAAGGCCTACGAATCCTTTACGTTGCTTTCATGTCATCCGAGCTAAGCTTGTCCAGGACTCATGCAATAAAGACCTTTTCGTGGGTCGCGGATTTTACGAGAACAGATCTAGACCTCTCACAACCTATGCTCGATGCAGCAGGCGCATACATGGAAAATGGCTATGAGCTAGGAGTTGGAAAGTCTGGAGGAGACCTAGATGCAAAACTTGGTAAGCCGATGGTACGCCCTATATGTAAGAAAACACCGAAAACACCGTGACAATTGCTACCTGGGAAGCCACAGTTTATGACTCCACTAGTGCTGCCAGCACAATCGTTTACCTTCTGGAATGGGAATAATAGAGCAATGGAAGTTGTCATGTGGTGTTTGACTGGATGATTGCCTATTCACCACGGAAGCTTATTTCAGATAAGACTGTGAACTCCAGATGTGGGGAGAATGGCGGAAATCGGAGATGAGCGCAGCTCCCCGATCTGAGCACGTGCGTCAAGCCGCTCCAAAGCAACATATAAATGCGTTTGAGAGATATGACGCGTCAGTTGAGGGAAGATTGAGATTAAGAGCAGTCGACAAGGACAGTGCTGATGATGGTTGTGTTGTGCATCACGTGGACAGTGGCCTCGGCTGCACCTGGTCGGATTGACGTCAGACTGAGGATCCGTTGACAAGCTTCGAGCTACCACATCAACTCGTCACCGCGATTCCAAAACACGTCAATTGCAACTCTCCCCGCAATTACTCAACCTCCAACCTTTCTGCATCACGACTCGACCTTTTGACATTCTCAAAACCCACGGCCTATCCCCCCCACTACAATCACCATGTTCCGCATCCAGCCCGCACGCGCAGTACAACGCGCAACCTTTGCCCGCCCTGCCGTCATCCGCCCTCGTTTCTTCAGCACAACACCAGCACGCTTCGCTCAAAAAGATGCACAAGACAAAGATTCGCTGAAGCCCCGATCGACCGAATACGCAAAGTCTGGCTCTGACGACGGCGCCGCACACTCAGACGCAGCTTTCAATCCCAACAAGACAAGCCCAGAGGAGGCAGAGGCAACAGCAGAGCGCGAGGCTGGTGGCTCTCAGAACAGCTTGAACGTTAGCCCTGGAAACAAGGACGTCAGCGAACCTAACAGTCCCGATGTTGGTGGAAATGGAGGAGCACCAGACAAGAAGAGCAGTGGCGGAGGCAGCGCGCCCAAGAACAGCACAGGATAGATGTATACGTCGCAGGAGGAGAAGCCTCGAAATGGGAGCATATCACAGGCAGTAGTAGAAGAGAGCCGTTGAAGGTAGTCAGGGCGCATATGGAGCATCACATCACAGCATGATTGCATTGGGAACAGCTTCTCTAGGCTGACAACTGTATATACCAAACGAATTGGAAAATCTCAATTTTGAAGCCACAAATGACGCGTTATCTGCAGCTTCACCGCATTGGGCATTTGCGTGGAGCAACCTCTGTCTTGAACCCATGCAATGACGTCACAGCATATGACGATGCAGGTGCCCACCAGAACACGGCAACGAGATCCGTCTTTGCGCAACAAAGCATCTTCGCTTCTCTTCCACCTTACCACCAATCCTCACTTTTTCTGAAACTCAACTACAAACCTCACAATATTTTCCTCCGCCTCAAACACTTCACAATGGCACCACGCACTCTCCTCACAGCAACCCGCTCTCTGCGCGCTCCCATCCCAAGCACGCGCGTCGCCTTCACCGCTCGCCGCACATTCCTCAGCAGTCCCACCCTACGCATCAAAGAAGACGCAGACCGAAGCCCCGAACAGGTCGAGGCCGCAAAGCAAGAACAGCTCAAGGAGCAAGAAAAGGGCGAGGGCAGATGGCGCGAGGACCTTGCCAGTCATGGTGAGAGCAACATTGCTGCGGACAAGCAACAAGTCAACGACCACGACGCGCATATGAAGGAGTTGCAGAAGGAGGGCAAGGAGAAGGGTGAGAAGGGTCAGATGTAAAACCTTTTCAAGAAGGGATGATCGGGGATTATTTTACGACTTGTATGGGTATATAAGCTATTGATGAGATGGTCGGAAGATCCTATGGAGTACGCGACGTTGTTTGTTGTATATATCACGTCAGATTCAAGCGCCTAATGAATGAAATGGGATAAATTGGAAGAGTTGAGCATGAGCGGTACTAGCATGTTGAACGCTGCTACCGCACCATCGTCATCATCGGCCCGAACGCTGTCTTCCCCAACTAACAACAATCTCATCAAAAGTTCACCACGCTAGCCTCTAATACCCCCTCATCTGCAATCAACCTCTTCAACACATCCTCTCCAACGGGCTTATCCACACCCAGAATCATCAGCGCTTCTTTACTCCCCTCTCCTTCACCGTTTTGCTCATTCAATCTCTCCTCTACTTCCTCATCCAAGGGTGCAACGTTCATGAATTTGATATTAACACCCGCTTTGCCCAGAAGGTTGCCTACATATCCGATCTTACCCACCGAGTCGAAGTTTCGGCATATGAGTAGTGTTCCACGGGGTACGAATTCGCCTTTGAACTTGTCAAGGCGAGAGATGAAGGGTTTGTTTCCAGAGACAAACCCTTGGATAATCTGGTCGTCATTGTCGCTCGTACCTTGTTGAAGGCTGCGTGCAGCAGACGGAGAAACGTTCCTGGAGCGGGGTTGTTGACTCACAGAGCGAGACGCGCGGGCACGTAGGGTGATAAAGGAAGAGTAGGGCTTGTCTTCTACGTTTTCGCGCGAACGTTGTTCGTTGATGAGAATACCGCGTTCTTTGGCAAGTAGCTCGGCGTTGACAATGTTGATGTTCAGACCATCGCTTGAGGTGATGGGGGTAAGGAGGCCCTTTACTAAGGCGGCGAAGAGGGGCTTTGTTGTATTGATTGCGGCAAGTTTGCCCTCATAGATGAGGTCAAATGTTGTGCGGAAGGAACCTGTCTTCGCCGAGGAGTAGTGCTGGGTATAGAGGCTACCCATCTTTTCGACTAGGCTGATGAAAGGTTGAAGGGTTCGGTATTCGTCAGGTAGGACGATTGGTGCGTTGACAGCTGAGCGTGGTAGCTCACCGCTGAGGATGGAGACGACTTGCTCACAGACATCGATCGAGACGTTTTCTTGAGCTTCTTTGGTGGATGCACCAAGGTGCGGTGTCGCTACCACCTTTGGATGGGCAATCAGACGTGTAGCTGACGAATTTTGCTCTGGTGGTTCCGAGGTGAACACGTCAATCCCTCTGAACGTAGGTGTACGAAGTCAGTGTATGTATTGCATGAAATTTGTACAGAGACACTTACGCTCCGGCGATGACGCCAGCGTCCAAAGCTTCGACCAAGGCATCTTCGTCGATCATACCACCTCGCGCTACGTTGAGAATTCTGGCAGTTGGCTTCATTGTCTCTAGTTCTGCTTTACTGATCATGCCTTTGGTTGACGCAATCAGAGGAGTGTGGAGTGTCAGAAAGTCAGCTTCTTTCAAAATCTCAGCGAGACTTGGACGGAGTGTGACCGAGGCTGCTGCTGCTAGGTTTGGGTTTGCATAAGGATCGTACGCAATGAGACGCATGCCTAGGCCATTCGCGATGCGAGCGACCGTGAGTCCAACTGAAAACACATTAGTCAGATGCTTACGAAGTAATGAATTGAACTGACCCTTTCCCAGACCGACAATAGCGAGGGTCTTTCCTTTCGCCTCTACACCAACTAGTCGGCTTCGTTCCCACTTCCCAGCCTTGATACTTTGTGAAGCATCTCCAACGTTGCGAGCTACAGCCATCAATACTGTATCACGTTAGCCGATATAATGTTGGCGTAGCTTGGAATACCCACGCGCGATAGTGTGTTCCGCCGCGGCATTGATGTTCCCAGAAGGTGAGTTCACTACAATGATACCATGTGAAGTGGCGCTTTGGACATCGACGTTGTCAACACCCACACCGGCACGTGCGACAACTTTCATCTTCTTCGCAGCTTCTAAAAGCTCTGCTGTTACTTTCGTCTCAGAACGCACGATGAGAGCATCATATTCGCCGATGATCTTTTTGAGCTCTTCTGGGGTCAGTCCCTTCTTCTCATCCACGTCAAATTGGTCTTTCAATAATGCTAAGCCATCTGGCGACACTTTCTCGGGTATCAGGATCTTTCGCTTCGTTGTATGCATGAGGATAGCCATGTCGAAGGGCGGCTGCGCTTGTTCTCAAAGACTAGCTAGAACAGAGTGATGAGGCCCACAAAAGGTCTTAGTGAAGGCAAATGATAGTATTCGATTGCTGTAATTTTAATGTAATACTGCAAGGCAATGCTCTATACTTCTACGAGAAGACAGTGTGAGACACAAATGCCAGAACCCATAGGAGGAATACACTCCGTTTTGTACATTTAAGAGGACACTTGCGCCGCTATCGGTCTTCTGCAGTAGCTTGCGTCAGATAATCTCTTTGTGGTAGCCTTACCTGTTGGCTGTATTTACCCCGCACTCCTTTACCCCACGGGGTGAACGCCACTGCTGCAAGGTCAATCTCGGGAACTTCTGACTGAAGGCCTTGGAAGCTTGAAATCGGCGATGAAATTGAGCTGGAGAAAGGTAAAAGATCGAAAAGATGGTCATGTAACTTGGTATGTATTGTGTTATCCAGTTGTGGTTGGAGCACCGCAAACATTCGCGTCCGTCATCGTACCACGCTGTGCGTAAGTCGCGCAGCGTGGGTAGCTACGTATGGTGTGATCTGCAACGATTGGAGGCTGAACTACTGCTGAGTGGGATATGCACATCACGCGGGTAGTCGGCGCCGCGCATTTACCAATTACTACGTGTCTTGAGCTTCTCGTTCTGCACCACCTCGATCCAGTAGTTATCGGGATCTACGCACATTGTCAGTTGCCATTTTGTACGATGAGTAAATAACAACTTACCTAGGACAAATGCGATGTTCTTCATGCGACCATCAGTGAGCCTCTTCTTCCAGTTGACCTTCTTCTCTTCGAAACGAGCACAGGCGGCGTCCAGGTCATCGACAGCAACGCAGATGTGACCGAATCCTTGCGGCTCATCATTGCCGTTATGGTACTTGAAGTCGGCATCCTTCTCAGTGCCGTAGTTCCATGTAAGTTCGAGTAAGCCTTCGCTGTCCGATACAGGGTTGACGCCATTCGCGGTCGTCTCTGGCGCATCGGCACCGTATCCCAAGAAGTATAGATTGAAGCCAGCGTTTGGGCTCTCTGAAGTGCGCTTGAGCTTCATTCCCATAACATCTTGATAAAAGCTGAGCGATGCATCCTTGTCCTTGACACGGATCATTGTGTGGTTCTGTGATCATCAGCATGACCCAACATAGCCACCAGGGCAAGACTTACCATGCGGTACGAGCCAGTATCCGTATCCTTGACGTTCTCCGTCTCCTCCAATGGCTTCTGGCCAATCACCTCAACCCAGTAGCCATCAGGGTCGAGCACGAACGCAATGTGGCGCATGCGACCGTCTGTGAGCTTCTTTTGAAACTTGTATCCGGCATCTTCTAGCCTCTGGCACGCTGCCTGTAGGTTGTCCACCGAGATGCAGAGGTGGCCGAAGCCCTTGTGAGGTTCCGTGTTGCCATTGCTGATCTTGTAATTTGGGTCGTCTTCGGTGCCGTAGTTGTGGGTCAACTCCACGATACCCTCGCGATCGGTCCAGTGGTTGCCGTGCGAGACGGCCTTAGGGCTATCGTATGCGAGGAAGTAGAGGTCGAACTTGGCGTCAGGGTTCTTGATCTGGTTGATTTGCTTCATGCCCAGAAACTCATAGAACTGGACTGATCGCTTGGGATCCTTGATCCGGATCCTGGAAATCATGAGCTGCTAGCCAATGACATAGGGAGGGTGCAGGAAATGCCATGCGGGTACTCACATGGAGTGGTTAAGCTTGTACTTGGACGGATCGGTCGCCATGGTTGCTAGTGTTCGAATGAGGAGACTAGGTGTGTTGTTTAACTTGCGTGGTCGAAATACAGATGATACAGCTACTGGTAAGGTTCTAGTTACTGCTGAGCGTCGAAATAGCATCAGTTGGGCGTTCGTTCTAGTAATCACAGCGCAACTGAGGGGAAAGAGTTTCTGAAGACCAATGACGTCTGCGATCCAATGAGGAGCTACCAATTGCCCCTCGTCCGGCATTTACTCGGACATTGGCCCGGTGGGGAATATGATCGCATCCCGCGTGGCCATGAACGACAGTTTACCTTTCAGATGTGATTCAACCTTCATCGCGCATCCTGTCCAAGTCGGCGGAACGGTCAAGCGTGTGCTAGGTACCAGGGGTTTCGCTATTTTCTAGTTTCCACCTTTTTACAAGATTAGCGCTCTGCACATTTTTGCTATGGCTCTTAGCAAGATGCTTGTGGAAATCGAACTGTACATATTCCCACAGTCGATTTCCAGTATTAGGCACCACTTAAAAGATACAAGCTTTTTAGCGCAAGATTATCAATATCCCTATGTCGCGTGAAATCCATGGCTGGGCGCGAGAGCACGTGCGACGGAAAACAGGGCTCCGGCTTCTGCCCAGGTGGTCATAGCTCTCCCTCTTCGTGAACTTCGTCGTTGAACATCGTCATGCTGAGGAGACTGACACGCGCAACTTCTCTCCTGTGACGTTATTAGTCTTTCCTCGTGCCCTGACGCGTTCCTTACCGTTGCGACGCGTCCCCCTACCTTGGATCCGCCTTTAGTCCCCAGGAAGGCGCAGATCGGTGATCTAGCAGCAGCACGACAGCACGAAAGTAGTTGCGCCAACCATACACCAGGTAAGTGGGCACTCTTCCACCTCACCACCATCCATCCATATCGCTCCCAACTGCCGTAGCGCGTTAAGTTCGTGTATTGTTACGTATCACGCAAGGACTTGCGCACACACATTCCATATTGCTTTCCTAGCTTTGAACACCCGCTATTGTCTCTCCTAATCATGTCGTCAGTACATCTTCCGATGATCAACATCGCCAAAGTGAGCGACTGGCTCACTAACAACACGAACAAATATGTTTGGCCCCAGCTATTGTAAGTCACATGTACCATGTAGTGTTACCCTACTGACATCAAAAGCTTGATGTCCCCAAATGGCACACTATTAGCGTACTCGAAGCCAGTGCAGACTAAGGAGCTGCGCGACCAGGCTGCGCTCATATCTATGACCTGGAAAGACCACTGTCAAGGGCGTCAGAAGCCTTCAGCCCGCAACGGAACTACTCAGGATCATTCGCTGAAACCTGCACTGAAGACACTCACTATCGAGACCCCAGACTGCAACATTATAGTACGCCTACTGCAACCAGAACTATTGCTCGTTCTTATTGGACGGATCGCTCCCAGCAGGAAGCAAGCCTTCAAGATTTCGGCTGAAGGTCAAGGAGACCCACGATACCCAGAGTCTGACGTTCCTAACTCACGCCCTGGCTCAAGTTCTCAGCTACTGCCTGGTGATACTGCTACTGGTAATTTTGGTGCTGAAGATCGTTTGACGGCTAAAAACAAGGCGCCTTCTCTGCTTAGCAACATGAGTCAACGCGATAAAGACATCAGGGGTGGTGCACTCCATGTTCAGCGTAAACAACTGGACGCCCTAGCCGAATACGCCTTGAAGGATTTTGCAGCCACCGGGTTTGTGATGCCTGCGGATGCAGACCTACAGTAGGACGAGGATCTAATGTTAGCCGTACGTGCGTTGTAGTCTCAAAATACTTCGCAAAAACGTCGGCTGATTGTTGCAGATCCGGGCGTCGACTTCTCAGACAATGCTACCAGACCTTCTACAGAAGCACGCCAGGTATCCTTCAATGTTGGCAATGGTGATTCGACTCTGCTCGCTGGGACCCTTGCGCCGTTACACGAAGACAATGGAGAGTCCGAGCAGCCTAGAATCGCTGTTCCGACTGGTCCAAGGAATATAAATGACGGCTCACACGATGCTGACTACAAAGATTTTGCGCGCAATGAGGTTGATCCGGGGTCGAATATAGCTTCATACGACGCCCAAATCTCGAGTGATTACCCGGAGAGTCAACCACTGCCGCAAGTTAGCCCAACACGCTCACAAATCCCGACACCCATTGTGCAGAGGGGGTCATTTCGTGTTCGATGTTGTCTTAAACCGCAACCAGCCCCATTCACTGTGAAGAAGCTGGCTTTCGGGCAGTTCCGACGGCAAGATCCGCGTAGGGCAGAGCTAGATCATATATGGCGAATTACCATTGATGTAGAGAGAAGGCAATGGCAGATGCGGCATGGATAAAGCGCTTTCCAAGCTAAACTTTGAGAAGTGGGGAGGCAGTGGAACCATAGGAGAGTATGGCAGTATATTAGACTTGGTATGCATGTTTGATAAAATGCGATACATCGCCATGCAACTGCTTGGCTTTGGATTCCACCTATGACAGTTTTGATGCAAGCTTTCACATCGATGACTTGTAATCACCCGTAGCGATACTTGTGCTGTCCTCAGATGGCTGTGACGAACGCAGTCGGCATTACCAATCACAGTGGGAGGAACTGAATCTAACTTGGACGAACAGTGTGGCCGGTCTATTGACAAAATGTATATCACGCTATCCCTACACACTCGCGCCAAGCGGTGCTTTTCCATGGAGCTTGAAGTACCCAGGTTGCAAGCTCTGAAAAACCTGTGTCGGGTCATATTTGTTCGATATAGCTTGCAACCTTGCCATGTTCTCTGCACCGTACCCAGCTACGACAGGCTGATAACCACTGCTGTATGGCATATAGCAGTAATCGTTATCGACTCCAAGATCCTTAGCCATGGTCTTGGACACTTGAATATAGTCCTCAGCAGCCTTCATCATCGTTGTGTCGTCGCTAGTCTCGTTCCAAGCCATGTACACCAAGACGTGGAAGAACGGCCCGTCTTCAGGGTAGAGACCAAGGGCATTACCGCCGTTCTTCTGCATGGCTTCCAGCGCAGGCTTGGAGAACGCCTGGAAAGCAATGTTGACGGAGACGGCGGGGAGGGCAGGTGCGATCTCGAAGAAATAGTCGGTCATCTCTTGGATGAGCTCGGCGCTCATCTACAGATGTAGAGATGCGAAGTCAGTGTATGTCTTACATGCATTTCTTACAGTCATAACTTGCCTTGAAAGATGCAGACCACGTGGAAGTGCGAAACCCAGAAGGCATATCATTACTTCGGTGAGGCGTCAGATCTTCGAGTGTGCTGTTGCTGGTGTTATCTTGCATGAATGGAATGCTGAGGTACTCTTTCGCGATTTCGGGAGGGTTTGCGAGATTGACTGGAACGAAGTATTCCAGTTCGGTGAAAGCGAGCTGATAGGTGTCGTACGTCGTGAAAGAAACGACATGTGCAAGCTTTGTATCTTTCTCAGCATTGTTGATGGCATTCTCGAAAGCGGTGATCAATGCTGGCGTAGCACTTGTGTCATGAATGCGCATGCCGCCCCACATGGGAGGCTGTACGATGGTTTGATAGTTGAACGTGGTGACGATACCGAAGTTGTTGCCGCCACCACGTAGGGCCCAGTACAGATCCGAAAACGCTTTCAGGGATGCGTTGACGATAACTCCAGACGCAGTGACGACTTCATAAGAAGCGACATTATCGCAAGCAAGACCGTATTCATTCGTGAGGTCGCTGATGCCTCCACCGAGGGTAAGACCGCCAACGCCGACATGTGCTGCCTACGTCATGTTAGCGCATATCCAGAAGTACACTTCGCTGATCGAGCGAGCTGAACATACTCGGCCGCCAACAACAGTCAAGTTGTGTGGAGTGAGATAGTGGTAAACATCTATCCATCGATTGCCCGGACCAATAGCAACAGTCTTCTCGTCATCAGAAAGCCTGCGTGTAGTAAAGTCTTTCAGGTCAACTGTGATACCCCCTTGTATACTGGAAGCATCCGGGAAAGCTGCATGTCCGCCACTCTTGACAGCAAATGGACACTGGGTAAGGCGAGATATCAATACTAGCGTTGACACCTCCAGGGTTGCCCTGGGAGTGAAAGTGCAATACGGCTCAACGGCTAGTTGTTGATTTGACCAATACTCTGCATTCTGACCACTGGCAACCTTCGTCTTACCGAAGACGACCCTGAGTGAGTCACACTATGTGGGAAATTAGCATATGCTGAAGGTAGGCACGGCATCCCTACTTACTGCGATTGAGCAGCCGCTTAAGGACGATCGGACGACCAAGTTTGCCAATTCAGGAATTGCGGACACGTTGACCCCGTTACCAATGAGGGCATTGGTTACATTGAAGTCTGGTGCTTCGAATGTATCTTGGGCCAACACCCCTACGCCCACAATTAAGATACCAGATATTATCTTCTCAAAGAGTCTCATAACAGTAAGAATGTGTAGGCTTCGATATCAGGTGGCCAGCGAGGCTGACCGGGCTTTTAAAGCGAATATACGCTGCTGACCCTGCATTAGCATGCGGCGCAGAACATCTAGATTCTATACGGGTATTTGTAGGATCACCTCCCCGGTTTTGGAAGATCACTAGCAATGGGCCACGGTCACATCTTACAAGAATCCGTCAGGCGAATCATCGTGATCTAAGGAGTGCCGAATGAGCTTTTACTAGGTAATGGTGCCGTTGTAGTGAGAAAGTTTTTGACAGAAACACAGAGGTAGAACAGAACAATCGCACCGATATGTATGAGCTTCGCGGGATGAGTAAAGAGGATGCGGCAAGTGGGAAGATTCCGGGGCGCTGCTTGACGACCACGCCGCAATGCCAAGATGACGCGGACGCGGGCGAACCGCATCGGGACTGCGCCAAAGCCAGCCTAGCGCTTTGCCTTATCGATATTGGACCTGGCTTCTCAAAGCATGCGTCTGCATCCCGCAGTTCTCAAAACCTCAATGTATTATCTTCTTCAATGCAAGAACCTTGCATGATCCTACTCATGCTACTAGAAGACTGGATACTAAAGGACGACGCTATCATAACCTCTCGCTGAAAGGTTCCGCTGCATGCGTGACAGACCCTTCCGCACCTTATCTAGGTAAGACAAAGACATAGGGACCATGGTGCACACTCTATAGGTGTCCGATACCAGCGGCTATCCGCGAGCGTCTCATCCAAAGTTCCAAAAGTGGGCGCTTTAAAAGGTCAAACTCGACCAGGGGCAGAGACTTACCCATTCGGCCCCCAGCACGCGCCAGGGTATATAGGTAGTTCACGATCATATTGTGTATGTTTCGGCGTGTAGACGGCTACGCCGACGTCACATACCTTCGCTGTCGTCTATTTCACACCGAAACTATGCCTCATGAAGTCGCCAAGAGCAAGAGCGGAGCCTCAAGCGGAGAAGCAGGCAAGACCTAGGTTTATCCACCAATCGACCTTGGCCTTCACATCATGCAACAAAACTACCTACATCAGCGCATCAACTCCTACGAAGATACATTAGCTTTCCCAAGGTTCAGACCACCTACGTAGATATCTTCTGGAGGTTACACACATCAACATGTCCGCCAATGCGCTCATCGACTCGCTGAAGAGCGCCAAGCTCCTCCCTTCCGCTATTATCCCAGAGTCCTTCACCCCCGCCCTGGACCTCAGCGTCAAGTTCTTCTCCGGACTGGCTCCTGAACATGGAAGCCTCGCCCGCGTGAGCCAGGTCAAGGAGCAACCTATTATCTCCATCTCTTCGCCGCCAACATCTTCCGCCGCGACCTACACATTCATGATGATCGATCCAGATGCGCCGACCCCAGATGACCCGAAGTTCGGTTACTGGCGCCACTGGGTCGTCGCTGCTATCCCTTCTCCATCAGCAACAACGTCTCCAGACGACATCACCACGAGAGGAAAGACGCTGACGCAATACTTGGCACCCGGCCCGAAGGACGAGAGCGGACCGCATCGGTATCTGTTCCTCCTCTTTGAAGAGAGCGCGGGCGAGAGCTTGGAGAAGGCAGACGTTGGAGGAGAGGAATTTGTAGAGAGGAGAAGCTTCAGAGCAGAGGAGTTGGCGGCGAAGAAAGGATTGAAGTTGGTTGGAGTGCAGTGGATGAGGGGAGTGGGTGATGGGTGGAAGGGAGAGAAAGACGAACTATAGGAAATTCTGACTGTTCGATTAGGAAATATTCTCTTTCGATAGATATACCACATACAGTTCTATTTTTGCATATCCTTGTTAGCGAAACTTGCAGTGGTGGCTTCACTTGCTTCATGGGAGTATCAAACCTGAACCAAGACGATCTTTGGATGCATGCAGATCTCTATAACCCTGACAAAGGCCGACTACGGAATGGGCGAGCTACCGAGAATGGCATACCTCACCACTCTTTGGAGTTCGATCCGGAAACGCGTTGTAGGGGCCAGGCTGTTAACGAAAATACACACTTCTGTGTAGTAGAATTAGAGCCGCACAAGACTACCCGGAGCATGGTTCCTGCAGGACGACTTCAAAACCATAGCCACGACCTCTTCCTTGTGATCAAGGCAAACGCACACAGCTCGAGTGGGAATATTGTTGCTAGTTCGTTAGACATGGATCTGACCGCCGTGCAGCGTGGCCTCCAGTCAGCAAAGCGCGCTCCTCGTTATCACATGCCCCTCCCAAACGACAAACAAAGGCGAGATCATCTGTACAGCAAGCTGAATACCCATCCCTCCCTTCATGGGCCTGAGAGCCTTCTTCGAGAGTCAAGCGTCTTCAGCTCCACCTACTCAGCCTCTGATCGCACAGACACGACCCAATTTCCGGTAGCATTGCCCCCCCGGCTGTCTCCGCAAACAATTGGGACTCCGCGATTTTACCTCAGACGGTTTCACCTACTACATCACGTCCGCGTCAGTAAGCACCAGTAATAGCTATGGATGAATCGCAGAATGACATACGTTCTAAGGGCAAGAAGGTCAACACTACTAGTGTAGATCGAGTGAGACGCAGTTCGCATGCTGATACAAACCCTCGGTCCGGTTACATTATCAACCAGCGTTCGATGATGGCGCAGAATTTACAGAAGCAGCATAATGGGACTGCTCTTAATCTCTCAAACTTCAACGCACAAGAGCAGAATCAGACCTTCAATCTCAGCCATAACGCACCAAGCCCCACACCGAGCGCGGAGGAGAAGCACCTTGGAGGAAGCAGCACGCATCGAAGTAGTAGATGTTAGTTGATGGTAAGCCTGACTGACTGCACATGCATCGATCGTTGTAACTTATTAGAAAGCTCAATACTATTTCACAATATACCAGTGACGAGGAGTTGCCGTTTTCTTAATCCACCCAATGCAACACACCTTACTACTATCAACAACATCGTCTGGTAAATTATGAATGTTGTTCACTCTTCGACAAGATACTCCACCAATGGATGATTGGAACTACATGTTCTATAGATACTAGCGAAGACACTGTTTCGTGACACGATGCTTCAATATGTGGTCATCGGAAACACTCTTCACGACTACATTACATACAGCGCCCTCGGTGGTCTTCCGATCGATGGTTCCTTTCACTAGGTCGAAGACTCTCATCGTGAGCCCTACTCTGCTTCTTTTCGTGTGATTTGCGATTGCGATATCTTAGTGTGTCGCGTGAGGGAAGTCGATCGCGTCTTGGACTGATAGATCGGCGGTCTCGACGTCGTTCTTGGTGAGCATCGGGTCTAATCGTCCCCTTCTGCATGCCTCCCGAAGGCGCAGAACCATGTCTGCCCTCCATTGATGGTGGCGAGAGCATACTGGAATGCTGAGATATGATTGGAAATGTCTGCTCGTCATCGCGACGATCAACACGATGGTTCTCATGAGCCTGACGACCATCATGGTCGGCACGATTTTCTCTAGAAGCGGATGGCTGCGGCGCAACCCTCTGATCATGAATGCTTGATGTTAGACCTCCGAGGTGGTCGGAAGGGCCATTAACTCCTTCGCCTTGGTGACGCCGTCTAGTGCGTTGGTTGTTATGCAGGTTTGCACGCTTTGTTGATTGATGGTTTCCGGGGTTTTGCGCATCAATCTTACTTGCTTGCGAACTGCTTTCAACGCTGTTTCTCCAGCTCAAGACCTCACTTCGTTGCCTTTCAGCCGTTTTTTGTCGACCAGAATCCAATTCCGGCATAGTTGACAGTATATCCTCTATATCATTATCACTAGGATGGACTCTCTTGCGTCTTTCTTTGTCTTTCGAACCACTATCTCTTGTTGGGTTTTCATCGTCTCCTCCGGAATTGTCATTTGACACCAATCGCCCTGCGTCTCTCCAAACTTTGACTAATATCTTATCAACGTCTGCCCAAGCCTTACGCCACCTGTTGAGACCATGCGATAGGTTTCGTTCACCTCTTGTCAAGTTTTCTTCGAGAATAGCTTGACTGGCCTTAAGCCGCTCAATGTTCTGGGATAAAGTCTCCAATATCTTCTTCTGCGACGCGGTTGGTTCTTTGTTCAACTCGGTTTCTGAACGTTTGACACTCAAGTGGTGTTTGATTGACTCAAGAGTCCCAGCAATGTCAGCTTGCTGCATAAGCTTCCGGCGCCTCCATTTCTGAGCATCTTGTAGTGCAGATCTGTAACCACATCCTATAGCGAGGGCTGTCTGGATCTTACTCTCGAGCTCTTCTGTCAAGACAAGAACAGAAGTCTTGCGTCTGCCATCTCGTGAGTTTGTAAGGCGCGGCTGCAAACCGCCCGTATCCGAGCTACTGGCAGTTCGAACAACCCATGTTTCACGGGCTCTTTCCGAGAAAGTCGAATCTAATTCTGCGTTATCGTACATGACTTTTACTTGGTGGGACAGGGTTCTCCCTTTTTTTACGAGAAGTTGCGCGAACTCTCTGTGACTTTAAGTGAGATGATCAAGCCAGCATGACCCTTTGACATCAGTGTCGCTTTGTATAACAACAACAAAGACGGCGTCTATGATATCAAGTACGCTATACCCAGATTGCTCTCATGAAAGACTTTACTGAGAAGAACATTAGATTCGCCCTTTGCATATGAGACATTGGAGCCCATGAAGCTGTTTGAGGCTTGTTGGGTAGATCTGAACACGCTCGAAGCATATGGAGATTATCAGGTTTGTGATGAATGCTGATGTACATTGCGTGCATACCATCAGACTGACAGATACAACTACTAAAAAATTATACACCATTCACTTAGTCGTATCACAACTCTCTCTTGGTCCATCGAGTGCCACGATAGGAAGCCCATAACTATGGTGAATTGGTTCTCTGTGGGAGCTTAGGGTTCTTGCTGCCGACGGACCTGTTGTGTGTTACTGCATTACGACTCTGAATTACATACACTTCTCCTCTCTTTCATCCTACCTCTAATAGCTCCACTACGCAACCACCTCCACGGCTGGGCGTTCAACGCGATCTCAACCGCTTTATCATAGGGACGACTCGCTAGTACTAATTTTACCAACAATGACAGGCCATTGTGACGAAGGTAGCACCTAGTATCTCCACTAGTCTTATACGCTTTGCTAATTGTAGTAGAGGAAGAGCATTCACGCCGACCACAAGAAAACCCGAGGAGGCGTTTTGCGTCGCTCCCCGACGACGACCCCTTGCCACTTCAGCGCGAACAAGCAGAGAATAGCGACTCAGATACCTTGACAAGGGAACCGATAAATTCGGCTCTTTCCAATCTGCCAGATGCTACAAGCCCTCAAGAAAAAGATCATTTGCCTGAGCCACACTGCTCTCAACAAGAGCGCGTGCCGGTTGCCGACAACCAAGAGGGAAGTCACACAGCTGTAAATCGCTTGCAATCTCCACCATCTCCACGAGAAGAGCGTAGCCCTGCTCATGATGGCCTTGAGGACACAACGCATCGCCCCTCTGTCCCACAACAGCTGCAGTCTGCAGTCGTTACTGACGTATCCCCCAACAAGGGACAAGAGTTGCTCGCAGAGTACGCAAGATTACGCCGACTGCCCATTCTCAGTATCGACCTAAACACGTACGATGGTCAACTTCAGTTCTTGGCCCTGATGCAAGACTTCGCTTCATGGATGGCTTCCAATGGTGGTAGTATACAGCGCGGAAACCTCGGTCTTGAGATACCTGATCTTGCAGCAGTCTTCTACCCTCAATACGAGGGTTTAAACACGTTGATCATGTCCAAGTGGTCGACTCAGGTCCCAAACCCGATACAAGGTCGCTTGGATCATGTCTTCAGTCCCGGAGACATGTTCTGGTTCCGCACTTCCGAGTATGCGGCGAACCCCAAACAGCAGTTGGGCGACAAATGTGGCATAACTGCTCGTGGACTCATGCTCTCAGGCTGGAGACTTATCCTAGTCCTGAAAGTCCTCCCGAATGTGCTACTATGCACCTGGGGCCGAACTGCTGGGGACAGTGATTTGAGCAAGACAAATCGCAGGGATCGATGGCAGTTTGCACGATTGCTACGATCTGACCGTAGAAATTGGCCGAGAGATATCGAAGCCAAAGACAGCCCTCATGGAAATATCTTCATGGATCCGACAGATGCGGGAGGCTGGCCAATACAGGATTTGAAGGACCATTGTAACTTCAATGTGCTTGTAACTCAAGAAGTCATCCCCACCGACGGTTTCAAATATGCGGGCAGACTCGAAGACGAAAGTCATGAAATCGTCAAATGGATTCGCAACACCTTTTACTTTGGGATTGCAGTCATGCCTGAAGCCCCTACGGGGGTCAACGTGACAGCAGTGCAGCGTGGAATAACAGACATCAGGACGCCTAGATCTCCACCCCGGGTACCAAAACGATTAAGGCGAGATTTCTTTGCAACAGCAGACAAAATGTCACCTCTCTCCCCATACGTTGCACCGCCTCCAGGGCATGCCCCAGTATATCAAGACCTCACCGCTACTCCCCCCGTTCCTAGGGGTCCTCGCGGCGCAACTGAGGTGCGGTTTGAACGCGATCGGAACAATAGTGCTGGACGGAGGTTTTCTGCTCGTTCGACGTATGGTCAGGATCCTGATCGGCAACGTGGTCGGTCGAGAAGTCGATCACCGCGCGATCGTCAGAACGGTCGATTTCGAGACTATTCTCGAAGAAGGTCACCGCCTTCTCAACATCGCTCCGAAACCCCTGAAAACCGTGGTAGACCAGAAACACGTGATCAGTCTACCCACCAGTCAGAAGACTACGACCGATCTCAATCTCGACATCAGCGTTCGCCGACACGTCGATTCGAACAGCCTCCTGGCTTGCGTCTTGATAATTATATTAATAAGCCTACGTTGAACGCGTACGGGTTGGTCGAAGCCAATGTCGTCAAGTATGATGACCACGATGGCGATCGCCTGCTCAATTACAACGCGAATAGTCAGCCGAGCAACCGCGATCGAGGCCGCGGTCGTGGACAAGGTGACTACCACGAGACCAATCGTGGTCCAGGAGAACGCGGGCCGGGTGGGGGCAGAGGACGCGGTGGTCGTCGTCGTTAGTTGGGCGCGGAAAAACCTTTTGTTCGCTCTGCACGTCATTTAGCCCCTAGTTATGTAGCCATTTTATATTTAATCGACGAGCGATATAGATTGTGTTCGGTCCCTGTAGGTGGCGATGGAGTCCATGCGCATTCCACTGCTGAGACGACTAGAAATTCCTCGTAGGAATCGCGGTGGGAATTGCTGAGCTTTTCATCATGTGGAGGAGTATCGTTCGGTCGGGTGTAGTGAGTGTATTAAGGTATCGGTGTGGGAAATAAAGGACGGTCGCGACGTAAGATGACGGCTCTCAGACGGTCTGGCTGTATTAACACCGTAGGCTTTGTTGTATCCAATCTTGGTCTGAAATTAGTCCTATACTCTCTCGTCTCTCTTTAAATTGTGCATTTGTGATTCGAGCGTGTTGGCTGACCGTGTAGCGCAGTATCAGTATCGAAAATTCGCTTGCGACAGGTAGTGCCATGCACAAGACTCATGTGCTTGGAGCGCGACGGTATGCTAGCCATCAACAGACAGAAGAGTGGAGTGTCGAGTGGACGCATCTTGAGCTAATCCGAAAGCGACCTACAAAAACACGCTAAGTACGCGTCGTGACATCACTAACAGCCATTGGTCTTCATTGCGAGTCTCCAATGGAATCTCATTTTAGCAGTAACACCATCGCGACATATTTTGACTTTTTGTAAGAACCACTTTCGATTACATCGGTGGCTACAACTCATCCGGCAACTATAATCCTTATCGCATTCGGTCATCTATCTAGGGTTGGCATGTTTAAGCTCTCACCAGTTCCGCAGCCGGGCTTAAAAAAGTCGCGAATGGACAGTCTACTAGATCCCGGCGTCTGTCCTGCAACGGGTTGCATACCCGATTCTTCCTGTACCCACCCGACAGCCGTATGTTCGGGAGTTGACGTTCGACTATCGCTAGCTATCGAGGGTGACATTTTCTGTAACTTTTTTTCCCTTGGGGTTCGGTCAATTCGCTTCCGCTTGCTACCACTAGGGTGACAACTATGAGCTTCAGGAAATTGTTGAGGTTGCGTATCCCCACTGTCATACTGTAACGCCAGTCTTCGAAGACCGTCCTGGAACTCTTGAGCCTGTTGTGAGATTGGTACGATGTTCAGGAAAACCCTCCCTGCTGTACTCGCGAGTCTATCGTCGACATTTGATGCGCCATTTGACTGCTGAACAGAATTTGCAACACTCAGTGATGGCGAACCTGCAAAATCGACAACTTGAGCATCTCCCTTTCGAAAGCCGTGTATTTTGGGAAGGTATTGCACCGTTTTTGCCACACTTTCTCGAGGATCTCGAAGGATCTCGCTATTATCGCATATGGAACCCGCCATACGATTCAACTCCACACCGGAAGCAGCCGAGCGAGCTGGCGAAACGGCAATATCTCTGCACGGGCGGTCGTTACCGAACCTTGAAAAGGATCGAGAGCGGGAGCGGGATGGCGAGTGATCCCGACGATCTGGACTACGCGATCTTGAGCGTCTGCGAGGCTGTCGGCTTCTGGGCACTGAGGCTTCCTGCGCATGCGATCGTCCGCGCCTATATCGTTTGACTTTGTCGTCATCCACCCAAACGCGGTCGAGTTCTTGTTGTACTGAAAACCAAGCGTTGGTCCATCTTTCTCTACCGAGTTTCACCGCTTCTTCGTGCTTCTGACGTTGCCGTTCATTCCATTCCATAGTTTTCCGACACTTCAGCCGCTCTTCTAGGAGCATTTTGAGACCATCTCTTTGCTCACGTGTCGGCTTTCCCGCTCTTCTCACCTTCTTCTTCGTGAGCTTTATCAAATGGTTCAGCTCGTCCTCCCAAGACTGGGTTCTTGCTTCCTTCTCGAATAGAGCTTTCATTTTGTCAGGAACACCCTCAGCAAAATTCCAGTACTCGTGAGCGATGCACAGGGCATTTTGTATCTTTTCCGCAAGAGATCGGGACATCATCAAGGCAACGACCCACCTCTCATGCTCCAAAATGTTTACAGTCTTTGTTGGTCCATCGGTGTAACTATCTCTGATGTGGTCTTGTGCCGTCCATCGTTGATAAATACCTTCCAGTTGCTTGGAATCGAACTCGGGATCATGTTCAGGATGGAATAAGTGGTAATTTTCCATGACGGGCGGAAAACGAACGAAGGCTAACAGAATGAACCGTGATATAGGCTCGAACAAAGGAGGTGAAAAGCTCCACATTAACCCGGTTTAGGAAACGCGGTGTTAGTACAACAACGAATGTTGACTTCGCTCACGCCGCTCACTTACAACGAGAGATTCCTATCAATGTTAGCAGAACCACAGGACTATGATAGGTTCTTCATCCAATCCTCAATGCAAGTACCTCTATATACCAAAGAGCAGATGCGATAGCCTCCATGATTCACTCGAGCTAGTGCAGGCTTAAGGCAGAACGAGGAGACAGGAGTCTATACAGTCCCGCGAAGCAAGTACTTTATGACGTTCACGTAAAGCCCCATGTTAGCTCATGCAAGATGATCTTATGAGGTAGCCTCGAGAGGTATCATGTTTCGTGTTGCTGGTTTAAGCGAATACCAAACTTCATTACAACAAGATGGCAAGCCAATACCTGGCGCATTATGTCTGTCTTTGCGTACTTAGTCACGTTCGCACTGTACAAAAAGCGGCTCTTCTGACGCGTCACCGTGATATAATGCCAAGTTATGGTCTCGCCGTAGGTACAGGCTAGGTATGATACGAAGATCCGTGGTGATCTGATGAGGCTGGTTGGCAGACACGTGAAAGAAAGGTAGCGATGCGGCTCTTCCTCCAGCCAGGGCTGGCTGCCAAGATATCGGAGATTGCCGGCGTCGATCATGACAATTCAAGCAAGCATCGCTCGTCAACCACAGCAAGAGCGCCAGCTTCCTCTCCACGGGCTACACAGCATGCTTTGGGTAGTTGCTCGCCTTTCCACCATCGTGCCGATATAGACCATAGACTTTCGCTCCTACGCCAGCTCGCATTGCGTCGCTTCCGCCCACTACGTCACGCGCAAACAATGGGCATCTGCTCGTCGTGTTTGGGAGGGCGAAAGACTTCCGAGGCAGACGTGAGTCCTGTCATACTGTTTGCTGTCGCTCTATGCATATCGCTGACACTTTCCTGCAGCACTCGGATAGCTCGCACTTGCTCGGAGACCCTTACCAGCCCAACTATGGTACCGCCAGTAGCACCCACAACGCGCCCCAGCCCGACCCAGAGGAGCTTCGCCGTCAGCGAGAGAACCTGGAGCGCATTTGTGCTGAGACGAACGAGTGAGTCCTGCCTTCCTCGTCCTTCGCCGCTCCTTCTTCATAGCCCTCCTTTCCAGCCATCGCACTTTCCTCCATCTTAATAACAACATGACGCTCATCTGTTACAGGCAACTGATCCCCGTCTCTCAACCGAGCGCCCTCCCGGAAGTCACCCAACAGCCCTCCAAGAACGACGAGTACGCTCATCTCTTCAACGAACGCTTCAAGTCGATACGAACCGAGCGCCCATCCTCCGCTGGTGACCACGAAGATGACGAGACCACTTGGCTTGAGAACGCTATCGGCAACCAGGGCGAGGATGAGCTGGACGAGATCAAGCCAGCTAAGGGACAGCTGACGATCCAGTTCGGTCAAAGATAGAGACGCTCATACCGCAGGACCTGTAGTCGGTCCCATCCTCTGGACCCCTAGCCTGGGCTGAGGCTCTTCGCACCTTTTTATATTGTTCTGCATTGCATGAGCGCCAACACGGATACCCATAATCTTTCCTTTCTGTTGTCTTTCTGTCTTGACATGAAGCCTCTTCTTACGTCTTTCTTAATACTAGCATAATCATGTCTGTCTCATTATGAAATCTTCTCGGACCTTTTCTGTCCTTTGTCTGGCAAGACTCTGTTCACGAATGTCGCGCCACACCAATCATGTTCTGCATCAATACTAATGCTGATGCAAATGGATTCTGAATACTTCCTACGGTAGTGACAAGCTCTCCATATCCAATCCATACTGACTTGCCCCTTTGTACAGGGTGATACAAGTCCCGACAAATCCGTCTATCACCGACAAGTCTAACCATGCAGAGAAACCATAAAGTGACGAATTACATCATCGCTCCCGACCGGTGCAACAACCTCGCTCACCCTAGGCAGGCTTGAACAGCTGACCTGGTGGAGCCTCCACAGGCTTCTCGACACTGATGCCCAATCCCGATATGATGCGGTCAGCATGCTCGCCCATCAACTTCGCCAGCTCTTCCCGAAACGTCTTGTCGATGAGGTCGAGACGTAGCTTCAGGCCCGGTTGCACTGCGAGCTGCGTATCCGAGTCCAGCTTCTTGTACGTCTGTTTGCCCCACACCAGCGCCGCACTCTTCATTGCGCTAAGGATGGCCTCGTTTTCGTCTTCGTCCATGGTCTCGTTCTGGTACCTAGCTGCCTCCTTCTCCACAAAGGCTGCAACAATCTGCGGGTCTGCATTCTGTTGAGCCTTCTTCATCATGTCAGCTTTTCCATCATCGTTGACGATTCAAGAAAAAGAAACAAAAAGCAATGACTTACGCTCTGCTCAGCCGCGTGAGCTACAGTTTCATCTTGGTCTGTCTCGTGTACTTGATGCTGCTGTAGTTTCGCTCTGAGCTTTTTTTGGATGTTGTGGTACGTCTGGTTACTCGGCCTTGGCTTCCCACCCCGCTTGATGATATCAGGAATCCTGTTAGCCGGGTTGGAAATGACAGGCTCCCAACGAGCTAACAATGGCTGATCCTTGTATGGCTTGATGCCAACATCGTAGAGATCCTTGTCACCCATGAAGTCGCTGCTTAGGAATCTGCTTGGCCCATAACCAACCGAGGTTCCTGCGTTACCAGGGTCAGAGGCTGGGGATGATGGAGCCCGCTGTGTAGGAGCTGGGAGTGGCTTTCTAGTTGCACGTGTAGCTGGTGGTGTTCGGAGAGCGGTAGCAAGAGCACTCTCGGCAAAGGTGAGTTCAGATCGACGGCGACCAGTACGGCGACGCTTGCTGGGTGTTGGGGAAGTGTCGTCTGGCTCAAATTCGTCCTCGGAAGACTCCTCAGTCTCATCAAGAGGCGCCTTCTTCTTGATCGCACGCTTCTTTGCCGACGACTTGGGCATAGCTGGGGTAGTCTCAATCTTCATAGGGCTGGGACCTTCCTCGTTCTCGACCTTCTCGCCTATCTCTTCTATGCTCGGCAGTGGCTTCTTTCTCACTGCCCTGCTCCCGCCACTGGCAGAGAGGCCGCCTCAGTCGCACCTGGAGTCGCCATGTTGCCATGAAGAAGGCCTTTATTTTGTTTCAAACGTTTTTCGTAACATGGTTGGCAAACTTGGAATGTGCAGCCTGGACAGCGTCGCATGGTATCCATGTTGCGCTTGTCGCACTCGGTACACTTGGCTGTGTGTACAGTCACCTTACTATACTTTGACTCGTCAACGGTACAAAGCGTCAATGATGAACCTCCTGGAGTGCGGGGCGCACGGGTCGGGAAAGGGCTGTTGGAAGCGCGTGGTGTACTCGGAAGGAGTGTGCGGTCACTTCGGCCTGGCGTCGAAGTAGCGGGTGCGGGTGCGGGTGCGGGTGAGGGCATGAGTATCGAGGTCGAATCCTTGGCGCTTCGGCCTGCACCCGGTGTCGCTGGAGGATCCATAGCGCCACGTGGTGGGCCTTGCTTAGATGGCGATGTTGGTTCATCAGTCATTTTTGTTTAGTCGCCTTGTCCTTGCGGAGAATGAGCCAGCACAAATGTTGATCGCAGTATTCTGAAGAAGTTGGAGGGAAAGTGAAGAGGTGGTGTGGATTACCTTGGAGAATTGGTCGCGATAAAGGCTTTGAAAGTCGGCTGAAAGTCTCGGTCACTTGCCGCTTGGACCCTTATGTCTGTCGAGGAGCTGTGGAGAGGAATCGGAGCGGTCAGGTATTGACTCTATCAATCTGATAGACGTATGTGCTTTACGCTCGGACTACGGCGGGGTAGGACTTGGGTTATGACGCGAACAATCTTAATAACAGGCTCCGAAGGTGGTGGACAGTATCAATCCGGCAATGCAAACGATGGCAAGCTCAGATTGACGGGGTTATCAGAGACTCAGTCATATATAACTGGATTTCACTCTCGCTTCACTGGGATGTTCCGCAATCCTAGGCTTTGACAAAGGATGTTGAACACCCGAAGAAAGTGGACTGTATGTGGAAGACAGGCGCAAAGGGAAGAAAGTATGTAACAGAACCGTCACCAAGGAGCTATATGCAACTTGCCCGACAAGATACGTGAAGAGAGGAGAGTAAGCTCTAGGGTTATCAAAACACTCACAGGCAGGACGGGGTCAGAACCGGAATTGGAAGCGAACAAGAAGGCGAACGGAGCAGTCATTGTTCACTAAATGTGAAGAGGAAATGCTTTATACGTGTGACCATATGGTGGACTTTGCATCCGGTTAGAAAGAGGTGCAGTCATATCTGTCATGAGTAGTACTGGAGTCATGAGTTTAAACGTGTTGCATATCCTTCACAAACGCACGCCTGGTTGAGCCGCATGCGTTGGTGTCACGACGGCGAGTAGGGTCCACCAGGGTAGATTGACCAAACGGTCGGGAAAGGGGTTCGAAGATTCGGTATACTCGATGCGGTAACTTGGTTGGAGGGATACGAGTAGTCATGAATATGTTGGGGCTTCATGCTATAATATGCTTTCCACTCTCCGTGTGTTTGTCATCTTTGCCATCCAGGAACATATTGCATCCTTTGGGCTCTTGGTATTCGCAAAAAAAAAAAAAAAAAAACGTGAACAACTCAGTCAGAAATCCTGTTCATGCTCTCAAGGTAATACATGAGCGAAGAAGCGCTGGCGTCTTGGTGTCGCGATGTATTGTCAGGGGTGCAATACGCCCGCGAAAGGGCTTGAGGTCAAGTCAAAGTTGGTTGGTCGTGGTCCTTCGATGGCCCCATCTTTGCCATGCGAACGAGCGGAGCGAGCGGGCCGATCTCTCCGCGGATCTAGATCTGTTGGTTGTGGTGCCACATGGCGTAATATGTGTCTTTGCGATGCTTCCATGGGTCAGAGAAAAGACATGCTTGACGAAACGGAGCCAAGATGCAGCGCACGTAGGAGACGATGATACAGATATGCTCAGTGGGGCGAAGAAGCATTTTTCGAGCTTCTGTGTGTTGAGACCGACAGCCCCAACTATGTATCAAACGCGGTATCTTAGACTCATGACGTGGCGCTGGATATTCGAGTACACGATCTCTCAGACCAACGGCGTGGGGCTCGTCCTAATTAACAGCGAGGCGGCACATTAATGCAGCGGTGTGAATATGTGATTAGTCGGCTAGACCAAACGCTAAGTGTCGATGTTCTCAATAGCATACAAGGCGACGTATCGTGTGCATCGTTGATCTACCAATGGATGCATGGTACCTGAGGAACTGCAGCCGCGCTTACCCATTCTGTCGCAGAAGGAATCCGCATCTTTTCAATGTGACACCTGCGAGTACCCGCATCATCCATCATCTCTAACCTCGCTACGAGCCGCGAACCATTTCCGCAACCCTCGATTGCAACCTTGAGCGCTGACGATCGCTTTGCCGCTGTGGCTGTTGGGGTTTCTGCCTGGAGCGGGTTCTGGCGCTTGCTGACGGCTCTAGAGAAGTTTGGTGTAGGCGGCATTTCTCACCGGCCTCTGTCTTGAGCAAATGGGAAGCTCTATATATAACCTTTTGCAACCTCTTCAGCAGCGGTCGCACCGAAGTCCAGCCGTATGACGCAAAGACAAGCAAGCTGGACTCAGCGGTGAGTGGAATGCATGGTGTTTGCAGTAGTCCAGCAGCGGGCACTAGCCACACCGACTACGCTAACATGGGCGCGCAGCTTCTTCAGCCTGGACAATGCGCTTTGCGCGACGACCAAACATCGCGCGCTCATCAACAGACCGCCAAAACCATCAGAGGCGCGTGACATTTGGTTGCGCGGAAGAGTGCGCCATTGTCTCATATAACTTACCAGGCTGTCGCAAAGTACGCGCCGCAGACCTTTGTTCAAACCCCCAGGTACCAGAGTACTTAAGCGAACGGAACCCTGCCAACTGTACGGTATCGACGTATTCGAAGCCTCCTGGTTCAGCCCGCCGGATATTCTTAAGCGGAGAAGACTGTTGTGGTGGCGGTGCTGGCTGCAGTTCATAACACCAACTCAGAAGCTGGGTCTCGCAATTTCAGCTTCCTCGACGGCGGCCAACTTCGCAAAACATCAGGCATCCTCGGCGGCCACTCCTTACCGTTTCAAGAATTAGTGTGCTACCTAATCACAGGCCTCCAACAACCGTGTGAGACGATAAGGTCGCTTCTCACGACTTTGCACGACTCGTGTGATTGTGCGCGGTCATAACGAATCTCTTCAGAACAGTCCCTTGGAGAGCAAGAACATCAACGAAGATACGAACTCATGCTTACGACTGCTACCATGGATCAGCCCCAACCCGCGACACCACTTTACCCGGCCATGGCCCTTCTCAACTACATGCATGCTCCCACTGTAGGTTTCTACTACATGGGAGCTTGCGCGTTCAGTCTATGCATCTTACAAAAGGCGCGATTGGTATCACAAAAGAGACGGCGGAGCATACTTATCTCCATGCTCACAATTTTGGTTGCGTACATCACAGAGGTACTTTACTACTTCAGTCGGTCAATGGGCGATTGGGACTATGAGCCACCACAGCCTGCAGCAATTCGCTGCTTGGGGTCGATATTGGTCTGGAGTCCATTGGCGTATATGCTTTGGTCGAGCAAGGCGCTACGATGGCATGCGTATTTTGGCGCATTTGTTCTACAATTTGCTTTGGAAACTACGACGTGTCTGATAACGGCATTTTCCATCCCAGAGCAGAGTCGGCAAAAGAACGCGCCATTCGTGATTGACTGCGTTAGGGCTATTGCGTCTCTCATTCTACTGTTAGATGCGTTTGTGATTTTGGTCACTAAGCAGGCTGAGATCAGCACGGACGAGGAGCGCCAATCTTTACTAGGGAAGCAAGCGAACGGATCAGCCACGGCTAACGGTAATGCTGGGTACGGTACCATCCCTACAGAATCCGCAAGCGACGACGAAGAAGCAACGCCAAAAGACGAAGACAAGGATATCAAAGCCCAACAAGCGAAGCGTCTCGAGGAAGAAGGTGGTTGGTTCGGATACCTCAAAGGCTTTGCTGTTTTCTTGCCCTACTTGTTCCCCAAAGACGACTGGAAGGTCATGGCTTGCCTGGGTCTGCGACTCGTTCATATGCTGCAAGAGCGCGTCCTCAACTTGCTTACGCCTCGGCAGCTTGGCATTATTACGGACAAACTACAGCACTCTTACGAAACTCAGAGTGGCATCATGCCCTGGAAAGATATCGGCTTGTGGGTGTTGTTCTCATACATCAACAGCTATGCCGGTTTGGGTATTGTCGACGGCATTGCGAACTTGGTCATCTCCAACAGTGCATATCGTCGTATCACATTGTTAGCTTACGAACATGTGCTGGGCCTCTCTATGGACTTTCACACCTCCAAAGACTCGGGCGAAGTTCTGAAAGCTGTCGAACAAGCCTCATCCTTGAACTCGCTCATCGAGATGGTTCTATTCGACATTGCACCGATTCTGCTTGATCTTGTCGTGGCCATGTACTACGTCACTCATCTTTTCGATGCATACATGGCTTTCATTATTCTCTTCATGGGCGCAGCATATATTGCTATCGGGTTCTACTTCACGACTCTGTCACAACCCAAGCGGAGAGACTATGTCGAGAAGCAGCGTACCGAAAGCTCAACGGTCAACGAGACGGTCCATAACTGGCAGACAGTTGCTTACTTCAACCGTTTAGTGTTCGAACACAAGCGCTATGCGGAGAATATTCTCGCTACCATCTCTGCTCAGTACTCGTACTACTTCCGGTCGATGGGTGGACATGCAGCACAAGATCTCTTGACGACATTCGGGTTCGCAGGTGCTTGCGTCTTCGGTATGTCGCAGATTGTGACTGGGCGTAAGCCAGTTGGTAATCTGGTCATACTAATCATGTACTGGCATACGATGACATCGCCACTTTACGTGCTTTCTTACAGCTACCGACACATCTCCAGCTCACTCATCGATGCCGAACGCTTACTCCAGCTACTTAATACTAAACCTTCAGTTGCTGACCAAGATGGTGCTAGGGACATTGTAGTCTCTTCCGGAGAAGTTGAATTCAAGGATGTAGACTTTCACTATGACGAGCGGAAACCCATCATCAAGGGCGTTAACCTGAAAGCTGAGGGCGGGCAAACCATCGCTTTTGTAGGCGAGACAGGAGGAGGCAAGTCAACGATGCTGAAACTACTCTTCCGGTTTTACGACGTAACTGGAGGCTCCATCATGATCGACGGCCAAGATCTACGTTCAGTCACGCAAGCCAGTCTTCGTGATGCCATAGGTCTCGTCCCACAAGACCCCGTCCTCTTTAACCAGACCATCCGCCAAAATATTCGCTATGCCAAACTTGACGCTTCAGATACCGAAATTGAGGATGCATGCCGTGCGGCCGCCATTCACGACGATATCGTCGGTTTCCCTGACGGCTATAACTCCAAAGTGGGCGAACGCGGTGTGCGTCTTTCTGGGGGTCAACTTCAACGCATAGCCATTGCTCGCGTACTACTCAAGAACCCTAAGATTGTCATGCTGGATGAAGCTACATCAGCAATCGACTCTTCGATCGAAGCACTTATTCAACAAGCTTTCCGTAAATTGAGCCAAGGCCGGACCACCTTCGTGATCGCGCATCGCCTGAGCACGGTTGCAGATGCGGATCAGATTCTGGTGGTGGAGAAGGGTGAGATTATCGAGAGGGGAAGGCATCAGGAATTATTGATGAATGAGGGCGGAAAATACGCAGAGCTTTGGTCCAAGCAGACCGCAGGACATCTGTCCAAAACGCCGTCCAAGGAGGACGTCACGAAGGATGGGGACGTAGAGGCGAATGTAGAGGCGGTTGAGAATAAGACATCAAAGGGCGAGGATCAGGCCACAGCCACGGCCGTGGAACGGAATAGTGATAGTGAGGATACGACCACGAAGCGCAAATGAGCGTCGATTGCTGTTTTTGGAGGATCGTAATCAGGCTCACGGCCACGGACCTTCGTTGCGACGAATTAAACCAATTGCGATAAACATCATAGTCGCTCTTCCACATCTTCCGTGAGACTCGTCCGCGTGCTTCTGCCTCCTTCAACATCAGGTGTCATCCTGGCTGCCTAGAGGCTACTTGAGCAATGTAGACCGGGACAACAGTTCCGCCCTCGCGTTTTTGACCAAGAATAGAGAGGCGTACTCGGGAAGATTTCATGCCGATAGTGCCGCACAGACCGCGTGCGCCAACCAAAACGAGCGCAATTGAAACGATTCGTGTGCCCGCGGGCTGAACGCGCAACAGGACGTTAGAAGACGTGTTATATTGGAGGATAAGACTGACGACCTACTTTGACATATAAGTCTGCGCGCGGTCCCGCTTGGCAGTAACAACGTCTTCTTGTGAGCATCACTGCTGTTACTGTTGTGGCGCAGGCAGCTGTCATACGTCATACATAGCACTGCATCCTCTTAGGCTGATGCGCCGTCCCTCGCCTCGATCATTACGCTGTCAATCTTTCGGCACCCCATCCTCGCCCTTACCAGTCCATCATGGCGGTACCGAAACGCTTCTTGCTTCTCGCGTCAGCAGCGTTTACCTGGTTTAGTCAGCGGTATGCTCCAGCTGTGACCATCTCCAACGGCCCAATCAAAAATACAACTGCGATTTTCGCAATAGCCTTGTTTTCCCGGTTGTTTTGGAGTGTGATTGTCTATCCGCTATTCTTGAGTCCGTTACGGGGACTGCCTTCACCACCGGTATGTGAGAGGTTAGCAACAATCTGTTCCCTGGGACTAATATCGCTAGGACGGGCATTTTCTGCTTGGACATTACCGACGCATCTTCAAAGATCCAACTGGTGAACCGCAAAGAGACTGGATTGATACTGTGCCAAACGATGGCGTTTTACATTATCGCTGGCTGTTCAACGAGCCGCGTATCCTTGTGACGAATCCAAAGGCGATTGGTGAAGTTCTTGTGCACAGGAATTATGAGTTTGTCAAGCCATCGAGGTTGAGAAAGGGTTTAGGTAGGTTGCTCGGAGTTGGAATTCTGCTAGCTGAGGGGGATGAGCATAAGGTATGTGTACATGAGATGCAGTCGAGTGGGACGGATGCTGACCTGGATGCGATTGTAGCGTCAACGGAAGCTTCTAATGCCTGCCTTCAACTTCAGGCACGTCAAGGATTTGTACTCCATCTTCTGGAGCAAATCACAAGAGCTTACAGACAAGATCTCTGAAACGATTAAAAGTAGCCCCGACGGGTCGTCTGTCGTTGAAATTGGCCATTGGGCTTCTCGCGCAACTCTCGACATCATTGGCGTCGCAGGAATGGGCAAAGACTTTGACGCCATCAGCAACCCTAACAACGAACTCAACGAAACCTATCGTAAGATCTTCGCCGGCGCTCGCGGCGCCCAGCTCATCCAAGTCTTACTCAATCTACTTCCTCACTGGCTCGCCGTTAACCTTCCCTTGGAGCGCAACGACGTCATCGGTAACGCAGTTGAAACCGTCAAGAAGGTAGCCCGCGAACTTATCCGCGATAAGCGCGAGAAGATGGAAGCTGGCGAAGCTAAGGGCACTGATATTCTCAGCGTAGCAATGGAGTCCGGTGGTTTCTCCGATGAAGATCTAGTAAACCAACTCATGACCTTCCTCGCAGCCGGCCATGAAACAACAGCCTCAGCCATGTCATGGGCCGTGTATTGCTTGTGTCAGCACCCCGAGGTGCAGACACGCTTGCGGCAGGAGATCCGCACCGAGTTGCCGGAAGCGCTGGAACCTGGCGGCCAAATTTCTTCGACTGAGATTGACCGGCTGCCGTATCTGAATGCCGTGTTGCAGGAGACGATGCGTATCTTCCCTCCTGTACCGCTCACCCTCCGTGAAACCGCCCAGGACACAACAATCCAAAACCACTTCATTCCTGCGGGTACCACTGTAGTAATCTGCCCCTGGGCCATCAATACCTCCACCCATATGTGGGGTCCAGATGCCCGCTCCTTCAACCCGGACCGCTGGATGCAGCCTGGGACTGCCAACACCGGTGGTGCGGAGTCAAACTACGCCATCACAACTTTCTTACACGGACCGAGGAGTTGCATTGGAAGAGACTTTGCGAAGGCAGAATTCGCTTGCTTGGTCGCGAATTTGGTTGGCAAGTTCGAGATTGAGTTTGAGGAGCCAGGGCACGTGGCGGACATTCAGGGAGGCATCACTGCAAGACCTAAAGGTGGGTTGAATGTCAGGCTTAGGGACGTTAGTAGCGAGAAGGCGTAGGTAGAGAACCCACCATTTGAGCGACATGACGATGTGAGGCGGTAACGTGAGTGGTGTGTTCTTGACTAATAAACAATACGTATTCTCATTATTGAATCTCTACGTATCAAGGTTAGCCTGCATACACATGAGGTAATGGTAGCCGCCACACAAGGTACCTCTAGTGCTGTCCTCCTGCTAACATCATACTCGTTTCCTGGTGATGTCTACGTAGGGTGGTCGAAGAGCTATACCGATTAGCAAGGGGTATCCTAGACGTTCGCTGCGAGACGAGCCGCCGGTGGGGGTTGGAGCGCGCGCTATTGGGCATACACCACTCTTCGGCTTTGCCCTAGACTAGCCAGTTGTTATGGCAAAGATGCAATTTCCAAGTTGATGCATCGTATGCAAAATACTAGAACAGTTTCAACGACGATAGCTGCAGATTAGCGCTTCGATGCTTCGGAGCTGTCCGAGGTTTTCGTTGGGCGAAGTCGGCGGCATGCGATCGAGGCAGAATGCCGTTTCTGGACTGTGATTGGTCAAGCCCTTGGCGAAGACTGTACCACAATCGCCTGTTCTACAAGGTCTGCATAGGCTTTGACAGGCCTTGAGGCAAAGTAAATCTATCCTTTGTCGCCGTCGAAATTAGTCTGATCCTCTCCCCTGGTCCCACACATTCTCGTATGTCAGTCTGAGTTGCTACTGAAGACTTTTGAGAAGTCCAGTCGTCGTTGCGACAAGACCAGGAAACGAAGAAAGCAGTAAGAGATGGTTCCCGGTTGCGTGCTTCAGTGGTCTATTGATTGGCGCGGAATACGTATAGCGTCCGTTCCGATATGCAGATAATATGCGAGAGCGCTATGGGAAGCAAGATCGGCCGAAAAGGGTAAGGTCGCCATGCGCAAGGCTTGTAGCAACGACGAAAAGAGCACGATGGATGAGCGTCAGGGGGTACGTATTGCTGGTACATGCGACTTACGTAGTCGCCCACTACTGAGCTGTAGCGAGATGAGAAGAGTACTGGGCTGCCCAGCATACCCAAATGTGCTGTTTCGCGATGTGATTGGTCTACCAAGTGCTTTACATGTGTTCCGGCTATGCACACAAATACTGACTGCAGCCCAATACATCCAAAGTGCGGCTTCTAGATGTGCCTTCCGTCGTATGTCATGTACGAACCATGTTTGATTGACCCTGCTGACGACACGTCGAGCTGGCTTATTGGCCGCCTAGTCGATTGTATGCCCTCTGGCATTCACCTAACCGCGTCTCTCCACACGAGGAGGAATGGTAGTACACGAGTGACGACTTGCGGTATGTCACGAGCGCTTAAACTTAGTCGCCGTGGTAGGGCTGCGCTCACAACATGCTCAAAGGCTTAGGTAGCCCGCGTTCCCCTTTCACTCCTCTGATCTGGACGGCCCCTGCTTTTTTTCGCACACGACCACAGCACGTAATGAGTCACCAAAAGATGATGTCGATCGGACGGAAGTTCGCGTGGAGGGACCGTGGTGGAGTTGGGCTTTCAGTATGTATGAAAGGCGATCGGCCGCTATTCAGGCCACTTAGCGTTCGCCACGTAAGTCGACATTTTTGAACTTCCTTCCTGGCTCTTGACACTGATACAACCTTCTACGACCACTGTATAGCTTAGCTGACCTCGAGATCTCCTTTCTCGATCGGAAGGGCAAGGAACAACAGAGTGCAGCGTACACGAAAAGTATGATGCGACACAAAGAACACGACAGACCGATTACGAAAACCGGCAACCACCAGACCGACGCAGACATGTTGAAATGAGTGTCTGCCAGCCCCTCCGTCCATTCGACTGAGCAACTCACCTTTTCACGCACCTTCCTTTCGATGATCCAGGGCGTACATACCTAGGTGCGTCTGCGCCATACCAACTCGAGCTCGAGCTCGAGCTCGAGTGCACTGTGGAGGAAAGTGCTGTCAGTCGGTACTGGGATGATGTAAGGACTTGCCCTTGTTCAGGGAATTCGTACATCATGACATTTGTTACGGCAGTGCAGGATGTAGCAAAGAAGAGGATGAAAGAGCACACAAGATGATGATGTTGGTGCAGGCCAGCTGACTTACACCATCGGGATAGGGCAAAGCTAAGGCCGGGGCTTTATCGGCAACACCCGCCGACACTATCCGCATGAACACTAGCGACATCACGTGTCTGCCAAGTTGCGAAATTTACCCCACCAGCCGTCTTCCAACACCACAACACCATCGAATCTGCTCCTTCCGCGCGTTTGACCTCATGATCATCCACATTGCTGCATGCCACCAACGCCTCACTTCAACACCTGGTCACCTTTCCTAGACAATGGGATAGGCACCGTACTTGTTTTCGCCGGACCGTGCACGATGGACTCTCCACTTCTATCTGCGGTTACGCGACGGTCACGGATTGGACAGCTTCAGCCCCCAATCCAAGCACAGCGGCTACACTCCTCACAATTGAGCACGTAGCCAATCAAGTGAATTGGTAATGTTCATTGCATCATTAAACAACCAGAAGCTCAGGATTAGAAAGAAGCGACTGTAAGAGGTAACGCCCGGCCTTCCCTGTTCCGTATGCCATCGCTCAATGCCAGCTCTGCCTGCATCATTTCGCCTCCGGAGACGAAAAATGAATGGCCTCAATCTGAAAGAAAACACCGAAGCGTTGTAGATGAAACAGATTCCCAAACGCCCGCGCCATGCCCACTGTAACCTCAGTGAATTGCCTGCAGTCTGCGGTTACGTTCGCAGGACAGCTCATTGATTTCGCCATCCAGACTGCGAATCATCTCCATCGATTTCTCGATCGAAGCACCGAATTTGTGAGGCTCCCGCTGCCACCGCCCGATGCGGTCCACCTCAGCGGCTCGGCGGCGCATCTTGGTATTGATCTTCTCGCAGAGCTTGCAGTAAGTTCCAGTAGGAACTGTTTGCATGATGAGCTTCATACCACACGTCTCGCCGATTCGGTACTCCTTGGCGCAGTGCTGTCGGAAGTGGCCCCACTTCCAGTCACCGCAGATGAACCTGTGTTGGTCGTAGAAGCACATGTTTCAGGATGGAAGAGCTTGGACGTCTGATGTTCGGTAACACATTAGCCTTACCGATCTACTGCTTGGATACCAGACGTCGAACACTTACCTGTCGCTTCTCGTTCAAACACTGGACCTTTTTGATAGGACCAGCGACCGCGTTCCTGGAGGTGGGTCAGCTCAGGGGTTACTTCGACCTTGAGCCTCAAAGACACGTACAGAATGGTTGGATAGTAGGAAGCCTTCGACAAAGATGGCCACGGTCTATACCCAAGAGGGACGTTGTTTGCTGGGTCCGGTGTTGCAAAAGATGGAAGACTATCAAAGTCTATGGTCAATGACTGGAAGATGCTGTCGAACTGAATGTGATGAAGCTGATATTCGAGCAGCAGTATACCGCTATTTATCCTTCGAAACGAACTCCTCTCGCCGACCTCGCCGGCCACACATCCGTACCGAGCTCGCTTCGCTGTCAGGCCATAAATTGATACCATGGCCTATCCTTTCGTCGACGTGGTAGCACCCCACCGGGCTTCATCCAACAATATCGCTACGATCCACGGATCCCTCTTACTCTGACGCTAGAGTGATGCGGAGACGGGCTGAAATGATACCCTAGGCCGTGCCGGCGTTTCCAGCTGCAGACAGTTATCACATTTGCTAGGGGATCAACGTGTCGTGGCTTCATGAACCACGTAACCGTTTGTTCCCGGCGCAAAAATCCCTCATGTTCCTTGTCAAACGGTCTTAGTTGGCGCTCGGAGAGGTCATGGTGTGTTGTTCTCGAGCAATCCGGACCTCTCATGCCATAGGGGATGGAGCATTTGTGAACGAGAATACGATCACGTGCCGGTAGGTATATGCCGAGTCACAGTCCGCTTCAAGAATATTTTTTGGGCCCAACAAGCGATTGGCCAATGGCTCCCGCTATTGGTACCTCCGTGGAATCAGACGAAGCGATACACGGGCCAACCTTGAGGAATTCTGGGTTCTACGTCCTCTATTCCGAGCTATGGTCAACCGTTACAACACGCATTGACCAACATCTGGAGAGTAAGCAGTATCATCGCCCTCGGTTGGGCATCGTTGTCTCCCTGCGCACTAGTACGCCATATGTTCACGGTAATTCGGGCATTTCTCATTTCCTACGCTACATGCTCGACCCCGAATTTTCCCTTTGTGGCCAGGCTAACAAACCTGTGTAGCACCATCGAGCTTCACCGATGGTGCTCGGCTGCTTCTCGCGTCCACTAGAGATACTCCCCAGGGCTGCTTGGCTGACACACAACGTGCCGGCCTTTCCACCATGGACTCGAGACACTGTTGGCCAGTCACCTTATCTCCTCAGGCTGCAGAGATGCGTCTTAGCTATTGCATCCGGTCATCCAGCATTGCCACTGGGATGGAACGCTAGCAACATCCGCATGCATGTTGCATTGCACGGACTGGCTCCTTCGTTCAGCTGATCTGTATCCCCACTCAACGGCTGGCTTTGCCCGTGGCCGGTCCGTTGTTAACTGACTAGGCCCTGCACGCTGACAGGCATTGCTCTCTTAGATAACAGGATGGCGTGGAGTTAATGCGGAACCTAGGCCGCCATCGCATGTCGAGGTAATCATCTGGACCCCCGGACACACACTAGAACCAGCCAAAGCATGCCCCATCGGAGATCCTCTGACGTGGCGAGCGGTATATGGTTGATCAAAGGAGAAGCCATATCCCTGGCGTTCATCTCGCCATCTGTCATAGCTTTTACGAAAATGTCCGCGTTGGCTCGCCTGCCTTTCCACGCATACTCAGCGAGGAATGCTTGCTCTTGGCCTATGAAAAGATTCCCCCAAACCGTACCGTCTTTACCGGTGAGCCCGAAATGATGTATAACAAGACATGGAGTATATGGTTTAGTCAATGCGGTGGCAATATGATGCAGCCTGCTTTCGTCAATCGACTCAACCAGTCTGCCTTGTCATCAAATGAGGCAACAATCCCACATTACCGAGCCAATTGCTTCACCTCAGTTAGATTGAGCTGTACATCTACTATCATTCTCTTCAATTGCGTACTGGGCATCCATGGCATAAGTGCGGCAAAGTGAGCCTACTCCAAGTGATGCAGAAGGTGAGGTGTCCTTGTGGTGTCATCCGGCCCAACGACGGACTTGCGTCGTGCACGGAACCACACACCAGCCATCACAATAAACATGGCAACTGCGGCCACTGCTGCGACCGTAAGTAACCTTGCAAATAGTTGCGCAATCAATCGATCCGTTGCTGATTCCACCTCTTTTGGGCTTTCCTGACGTTGTGATTTGACTTTTCGTTGCATTGGCACGGAAATATGCCCAGCATTGCGCTCAGCGAGCGCCAGAACACCTTTCTCACCAAGACTTGACGTTGAATTTTGCTATGCGGCACTCCGCGCAGACTTCTCGTCATGTGAGAGCAATGCGATGCTGGGTACGCCGCGAGTACATGGGCTGTAATGGAACTAGATAATAAGGTCGCACGCAATTTTGATCCCGAGACGAGTGAGTGCTGTGCTCTTGTGGGCCGGAGCTGCGGTCACCGGCGCCCTTCGTGCATAACAAGGCTAAGCTGCGTGTTTGCGGATTGGCGGGTGCCGCTTCTTGGTGGGTCAAATCGGTCTGGCCAGACAGGTTACATGTCCCCGCGCAAGAGTGGTGTATGGTTGGTCAAGGCGGATGAGAACGTTCATGTATGCCGAGAAATGTGCAGACTGGATGACGAAAGACTGCCTGGGGACAGGCAAACATCACTCCACGAGTTACACGCCTTGGTCAAGGCAAGGTCTAATCGAGATGAGTTTGAATATAACTTGATGAATTCGGTACGTTGACTAGGTGAAGCATTCGGATACGTAAAGGATGTCCACTACATTCGAGATGTGGAAGGATCGAAGTGGCGAGAGCTCAGGCTGAAAGTCCTGCATCGCCTTCGCTTGACCAAGGAGGAAGCATGTGCGTGACACTGGAAGACTTCGCTCAAGCACGGAAAACTGTTGCATGCAACCAATCCCTAGCTGCATATGCACAAACGAGGAGGGATCAGGGGATAAGCTCATGGTCTGGCTGATGCCGCGAGATTCTTTGGCTGACTACTATACGAGCAGCCTGTCAGACCGGTGATGGCGGGCAGACACTGATCGGAAACAAAGAAACAGTCAATTAGCGGGCATGTGTTGTTCATGCGAAGGATGCGGAGGGAATGTTTTTCGCATGAATTTGGCCATCGTAACCGTATTGGGTCACTGATATGGCCGAACAACAAAGTGCTGATCCGGAAGAACACCAACACACATTGATTGGGGCTGCCAAAGTCTATTGTGCCGTGCAAATGGCTTCCGTGGGCAAAGCGCCGAGAGTGTCGCATGTATACAAAGCCAGGAGTAAACTCATTACCGCCTCATGACGCAGAAAGAGGGGTACGCTCAGACAAGCTTACAGGTACTGCTCAGTTTCGGATTGCGGCAGTTACTGCTGGTATGAACCTCCAAAAACGGCTGAACATCGTACGTACTAAACTTGGCAAACTCCAACAGCGATTGGAGACATACAAACTAAGCATGTGGGGCGAAAGTAGCCTACGACATCGCACCTTATCCCTCCTTAGTGGCCTATTTGTATCAGATAACTGGCCACCGGCGCCAGAATGCTCCATCAATTTCATGGTCGGAGAGCTATACTATAACAAAGGCATAAATCGCCGCAATGATCCAATTGGTAGAAACGATTACAATGACAAGGATATGCCGACACGATCGAGGTGTAAGGTCCGCTGGTCGCGTCGTCCTTTACAACCGAATGAGCGGTGACGAAACAGTAGCAAAAGGACCGATGTGACATGCACGGTAAGCCCAAACCCACCAGTGTAAGTGTGGGGAACGACCAGACGAGAACAACAAAGAAGTATCAGCACAGCCAATTGAACAAAAGTGGAAGCACAGTTTGCGCGACGACCCTGTCGCGGCCGTTGTTGCGACCCAGCGCTTGACGAAACGGTGGTTCTCTACGCGCCCATAACCATTGACGTGGACTAAAATAACAACGGAGAAGAAAGCGAGCAAGCACCATCATGCTGCAAATAGTTGAGCCATTAGTTCGGAAGAGAGTCCGCACTTGTCAATTGCGTGTGCAGCAGCGTGCGTCATTAGCCTCATGCTCAACATCTAAGCGAGCGAAGGAAAATAACCTAGCCCGATTACCGGCCACGGGCATGAGATTGGGCGACGACGCTACATTATCAGATCCAGAAACCCGAGTGCGAATAGAGGTGGCGCTCGCGGGGCTTTCGTGACCTACAGTTAGTAGTTGGACGCGAGGCGGAAAAAGTCGGATAATATCTATTTAGCGATGTATGGATGAGTGTTCGTGAATCTCAGCCAATGTATACTCAAGGGAACGGTGGCTTCCACAAATTCACCCCGTCTTCATCTGCAGGTGAACTCGAAAGACTTGATGGCCCCTCACGTGAATAGCCGTTGACAGGGTAGAAGGTTCAGAGGCGACAGTCCCAAAGGAGGCTGGAGAGCCGAGTGGAGTCAATCTAGAAGCGTGTTCATGTACGATGACGGACTGTGGCTGAGGCCTCCGCGATAATTCTGTCCAACGACGAGGGCCCAGTGACTTCAGATCTGTGTACAAAGATGGCTGATACAGCGATGGCCGGCGAGACACAGCCCTGGAAAGTTCGAGTATGGTGCCCATTAGCAGCGCGCTTAGCCCTGTAGCTATACCTTGGTTCGTGATGTCTATGGTAAAACATGATGGGAGCATTGCTACATCAACAAGTGCCCCATAGCAATACCTACTTGTTATCCTTGTACCTGGGTCCTTCCTGGCAGGGAATGATTGCGCAACGAGCGGTGAGAACAACCACGGATCATCTATTCAAAAGAAGTCGAAGATTAGGCATGATGTGTCTTGGCATCGTCCTTCTCCGTGCCAAAGCGGTATTCTCCGATCGACCGCCGGCATGCCTTTTGGAGCATGCGGACTTCTCGTAATAAAGTTGGGATCTCTACATCGTCTCGAGCAGGTACCGAAATTGTGTCCACATCAATTCTCAATTCCCAATCGTGGGAACGAAGCAGTCGCGCAAGTTGTCCACAGGACGCGTTGAATCTTTGACTCTCAATTCTATCGCGTCCATGACTTCAAGCTTGCTAGCCCAACCTTATACACATCGTGTTATGCAACCTCCACTCTATTGGTCAGACAGTATGAAGCTGATCTCGCGGTCGACAAACGGGTACGGGAGCGCGTGTTCGGAGGTGGTTGGACGCGTTGTCTTCGTTTCGGTCGGTAAGAGTCGATTGGAGCTGTGAATTCTTCAAATAGGTTCATCGTAAGACCCAATTGACGGTAACGGCATCCTGCTATGTTAGTAACAGAAACCAGCGCATGGAGGCTCGAGTGGTCGTGAGGTGGATCGCATTTGCGAATTAGACAGGGGCGTTTGATGTTGCATTGGCATCATGGATGACTAACTATGGGGCTGTATATCGGCCCGGGAATAAAGTCATCTCCACTGCGCTCAACACCCAAAGCGGAATTTCATGCATACTGCTTTGAGTCGTGCTTGTGTTGTTTGAGGACTTCTCCTTAGCTTGTACCCATACCTGGGTACATCGTGTCTTTTTTTATGCATCTCGCTTGCTTCAGCGGATCTCAATCACCATTCCTCTAGCGTTTGCGTCTAACTCAATACAGCATCAACATTGCAACTATATCCGCGTGCATGCCAACAGTATCTACCATCTAGACGTTGTACAACAACGCGACTTACATCAGACATATGTGCACAGTAAATGGCTCCATTTTCATGACCCCTGTCTGGCTCTGGTGCATGGTTTTGTAGCAAGTCCTCCGCGACGCGATACGCTACCACAGCTGGCCTCGCCCAAGCTCCCTCAAGATGTCTGGACCACACTGGATAACAACCAGATCAAACTCTGGCTCGCCGCGTCAAGACCCACGATCTACCGTGCTCTACATATCAAAGTAGTTCACAATCCGCAAGCTCTACGCGACCACACGAACCAACATTTTCTCCGTTACGACGAATATCCTGTGTTCAACACCTAAAGCTCATCATGGCCGTCCCTGGCGCTCGCCTGGCACAACCGCCCATCCTTACTCTCTGCCAATGCCTCACTTCCCACACATCTGCGACACCAGAATAAGTTGCGTGGATCAAGTTTTCTCTTCGTCTTCCTGAGTCTTTCATAATTACCACCCCAAAACGCATACTGCCATTCCGGCTCATAGATGTCTCCTTCGTTGAAGTACGCTCCAGTATTTGGGCTGAGTCGCCGAAGTGCTTCCGTCTTGTTGTACGTGATATCCGTGTATACAGCATCCACGAGCTTTTGAGACGCAATGTCACCGAAAGGAGATACGACAATGAGGTGCGTAAGAGTCTCGCGCCATGCGGGATTAAGGGAGCTGTGGGTGGGGTAATAAAGTGGCTCGTTAGGCGAGGCGATCATGTGACCGATCAGGAGAGTATTTGCTACCGGGCCCTATTGGTGCGGGTGTCAGCTCAACGTTGATAACGTGGCATCAAGCCAAGATAGCTTACATTTGGTTTCAACGCTTCACTACTGGGACCAATCTCTGAGAAGACTGCCGCAGTCTTGTTCGCATTCGCTAGACTCTCGGCACTGAGTAACCTCGATCCATAAGCTGAACCGCCGTTTGCGACTTGTTCGTTCGTGAAGTTGGCTTTGTGCATCTCCAGGTACGTTTTCGTTTGCGTCATGACAGATTGCCATTCGAAGGCATAGTTTCTATCGTACAAGTACGCTTCCACGCGACCCATGAGTCGCTTGATCGTTCCACTCGGTGTGTCGTAAAGCAGGAATGTCCATGAGAACGATAGAGTAGGGACTATAGGCGGCCCAACTATTAAGTAGTAACCTTGCATGCCGTTTTCCTTTAGCATCTGCATTTTTGAGTGCAAGAAGCCTAGGAAATCGTAGAACTCGGCGTTCGTGCTCGAGCTTTTTGAACGAACTTGGAACGTATGCGCGATGGTGCTTGGAGAAGGAAATGTGCGGACGACAACCTCAGTGATAACCCCGAATGTACTTCCGCCTCCGCCTCGTATAGCAAAGAACAAATCTTCATTGCGACATGGGTTTGTAAGAACCACTTTACCGTCCGGTGTAACAACGGTAGCTTCAAGCAAGTTATCAGCACCCATGCCATAACGAGTAGAGAGTGGACCATGACCGCCGCCTGTGAGCCATCCGATGAGCCCGACGCTTGGATTAGCGCCCGTCACGATGGCCATTCCATGCATCGCGACTGCTTCCTGAACATCAATATTCATGTGACCGGCTGCTACACGGACTGCGGTCAAAGGCCTTTTGTAGAAACATGATGTGGGCTGAAAGAAAGGGATGTAGTCGATACCACGCATATGGTGTGTCCAGATACTCAAACTGCCGTGTCCAGTACTACGACCTTGATACGAGTGGCCCGTCGCTTTGACAACGAGCCGGATGTTCCTTGCACCCGCCCAAACCAAAGCTTTGCTGACTTGATCTGCGGAGGTCGCATTTACTACATAAGCTGGGTATCTGCCAATACTACAGCCCTTTGCCTTAGCGTATGGACTGCCAGTGATGCCAGTGCCGTTAGGAAATATGGGATTGCACGAGTTGTTTGCCCATATCGGATAATCAATACTGACCGGATTCGTAGCGTGATATGAGGAATTGTACCATTCTGAGGCAACAGAAGCGCATGCTTGCTGATCGAATTCAGGTCGTGAAGGGTAGCAAACTGCACCTGGAGGAATACCACGAATGAGTGCGCCATGGAGTGTTTTGTTCAAATTATTCCATTCATCAGTAGACGGCCAGCAGATATCATCCGGTGTCTGTCATCCGCATTAGCAGTGATCTGTATCTGTGGTCATTTCGACTCACACACTTGCACTTCTGTCCCGCTGCATCGGCATGAATAATGATAGAAAGCAGGCAGGCAAGAGATACAATGAATCGCATGCTGAGCATTATCAGATGCAATCGAGACGGAGTATGTACAGCGTCGGGTTCTGTGTAAGAACTACGTCCACGTTCAATCAATCCGTAGATGGATGGGGTCGGATGGATGGGGTCGGATGGATGGGGATGGATCAGTCCAGACAGCAATGAATAGAACCAGTCAGAATAGCCTGTCTTCATCAGTATAAATACAAAATATTCTTCGGTAACCCTTCCTGTTAAATCTGCCTGACTACACGTTGAGTGATAAAAAGTGGGATATGCCAACGACCAGTCATGTATATCCAGGATATATTACCATCAAGATAGTGAATAGGGAGAAGTCGTATGTAGAAACGGAATCATGAGACTGCAGAATCCGGACAGTGTGCGATAAATATGATTCAGATCGTGTTCCTAAAGCTGTGGTGGCTGACAGGCCGAGGTCCGGTGAGGGGCGAACACGTGACAAGCCCCGATTTTGTTGATCCTTCGTCTTCTCATTTCATCCCAATAGGGCTGTCGTTGCGAGCAGACAGCTGATATGATATGTAGGAGATTTTTGGACCTTGAGATTTCACCCAGTGTGATGTAAAGATCTCCCCATCAGCTTCCACTGTCTCGCGTAGCTGACCAGCCAGGCTGCAAGAGTGATGATAACAATGCAGCCGCTTCAATCTCAGTGCGATCCATCGCGTTACAGATAGGTATCTAATGTGAGATCGCGAGTCTCTCTTTCCCTAATAATGCCAGCGCGTGATGATGAACGCCGCGATGACCTGGCAAAGAGAAGATGTCAGCTTCGTTCGCTGTAAGTCGCACAGGACAAACATACCTTCAAATGTGATTCAAGCAGGCCTCCGATGCCTCTTGCTCAGTCTTCTCCGAACACGACTTGGCTTACGCACTGGTATCTGCTCGTGGCTCGGTGCTAGAATAGGTCGTTCGGCGGCATGCATGTCGCTACCGGCTACACTTGCCCCATCTCTTAACCCACGACGCTCTTCATCCTGACATTGAACATCGAAAAGCGATGATCTCCAGTTCGAAGACTCTTCCGGCATGCCTCCTGAGCTCCTTACCAGCACGCGCCGCGATCGCTGCATGTCGCTGACATCCGGCTCTCTCCGGAACAAAGCATCACTGAAGATGCGCTTGAAGAACCTGGGCATGGTTGATCGCAGCAACTCGCAAAACAAAAGATATAATTGCAGGTGAATATTATGCAGGGACTAGCGGGATGCGACAAGCTTATCAAGTCTGTGTTGATGTTTTGGTGGCGAAGGTGAGGGCGGCAATTGCGGGGGGCTGGCACCCCTGTTGGGATGATAGGCAGCGCGATTGGCCAGTATAAGAGGGCCGTAATGTTGATCTCGAACGGCCTCAGCCATCCTCCTCTCCTGGACGCGTCAACGACATTGACTTACCGTGCCCTCGACCGCTTCACCAAAGACAGACGCGCCTCAACTACATGCTTTCTGTCTGTTGTCTCTGGCCGCGCAGTATCTACCTGTAATGAAGCCAGTAAGATGAGCTGGTCGTGGCAAAGCCACTCTGCAAGCGTGTCGAGCTTGTCAAATGAGTTAGCTATCATGATGTAAGGATGGTCGGAACAAATGTGTCATTGCTGGTGTTCGAGGTTGCGCTAAAGACCTTCTCGTTTACGTACTGACATCGAGACCTGAGAATGGGCTATCTATCCATCGACCTGGTCTGCGACAGCAATACTGGTTACAGCTCTCCTTTTATCAGCAGAGGTATCACCAGCTATCGTCGGGCTCCACTTTCGCGTCCCGGATCCTCTTCTTGCACTCCTCTTGAGAGCAGTTGAACCAATCCTCTTCCATGGTACGTGCCCATACCATCTCTCCAATCCTCCGGCCGTTGCACATACAGGCCTCTTCATCACATATCCGAACCATCCGTCTTCCAATAGATTGGCTACTCGTCACCACGAAGCCCTGAGCCTTCAAGCTATAGACTACTGGGCATACCGCATCGATGTAGCTTAGACGTTCATAGACCGAAACCCATCGGAAGGCGATGTGAAGCTCAAAATCCTTCTTTCGCGCGACGCTCGCCTCCGTCGACAAAGCAGAGAACGATTGACATGTTTGTTGGATGTGGACTGCTCGACCTCTTGGTCTGCCGCCATACGAGTCCGATGTTGACGCGGGCCCAATGACGACTTGCAGCTTCCTGAGGAACTCGTGTGTGCGAACGGATGGTGCTCCATTGTTATACAGCACTCCATCTTCGTCTTGCAAGAGTTGTGGCAGAAGTTTTACGTCGACCGAAAGAGATACATGCTTGTACCAGATCTCTACCGCTTCTTTTGCAAACTCATATCCAACCTCGACCTCTATCATCCAGTACGGCGTCTCATAGGCTTTGACGATAGGCTCGAATTCATGCGAGTTATCGTGTGGATGTATGGTACTATTGTCCACGATCTCGAATGGTTCGTCCTGACTATCTTGGTATAGCTCCAGGTAGATCATGTCTCGGAGCTCGCGGGGTAGTTTTTCCAGCATTGCATTCAACAGCTTCTGTCGAGCTTCTCGGTATCGCTCGGCTTTCCGTTCTGCAGACTGTCTTGCAAAGTCAGTGTAAGTCACATGTCTAGTGAGTCTTCTTGTATCTTACTGGTGCAAGTACGAACGCGCATCCAATAACTCATGTATAGCCCAATCGGCCACCTGTGCCACACCTTCAATCTGGAGTATTCTTTTGAACATCAGCATCAAGCTCGTGTATTAGACGAGGAAATTGCTCACTGCTCATCCATCCCGCGGATTTGCGATTCAGTGCGGGGACTTAAATCACCTTGTACAGACATATCGGGGATTGGGTGGTATCGATCGTGGTTCCAGTTGCGAGGAATAAGAGTGGTCAGGCCGGGCTCTAATACCCAAGTGTTTATGGTAGGGATTGAGGTTGAACCAAGTTTGCTAGCTGTCGCGTGAGCCTTTACTAACCGAGGAAGGCAATGCATGATCTGAACCGGTGGATCTGCTGTACGACAAACGAGACGCACATGACGTAAGTAATAACATTTAGGCTCAACGTACGATCTAAATTAGCCACCATGAGACTACACAATATGTGTAATCTAACATCTGGATCTATTACGCGCTGCACGTGTTTCACGTCAGTGACATATTCCTACCTACTAGCTCTTAATCGCGCACGTTTTCGCGCCCAAGCATCTATCTTTTGCCGTTTACGGCCATGTGCAACAGCATTTTCACTGTCTTGTATCTGTCCCTCATCCCAGAACTTGTGTTTACCAGACCATGAAGAAGGTACACTACTCAGATCAGACTCCCTAGCACAAGATACGTTGCCTTGATCGTGAGCAACGTGCTTACTCAAATCTGCTTTGCCCATGGAGATATTCTTTTCCGCAGAAGTCTGTTCGAAGATCTCGTCAGCCGATGGATCTACCTGCATTGGTGAATCAGCGTTGACTGCACACGCGTCCAATCTTGCACTGGACGAGGGCGCTGACAATCGCTGGTCTTCCGAGGTCTTGAGTATGCTTTTTGAGCTGGCGGCACGCTTGATATTAATTTTGTCAATGACAGAGTTTTGTACATCAGATGTTGCTATGGAATAGCAAGATGGTGGAGATACCATATCACCTTTGATGGAGTGCCATTTGGTAATGTAGTCGGGGTTGACGTAACGGGCGTCGAGCTCATCGTCATCTATATGCAACTCTGTGGCTGGGTCAATGATAGATCTTGGAACCTTGAACGAATTTGTATCAAGCACGCGTTTCTCTGCTTCAGCGGATACTCTCTCCGCGTCGCGTAATTCGCATGTCAGCCTTTGGCCACGCTGCACCCAGATCGGACCAAACATGGAGGCGAGCTGTGCCACCGGGATGGTTGGGTTCTTTTCAATGAATCTAGCAAATTCCTCTTTGTAGCAGCTTCGATGATTTACGTGCGCTTTCCCGGCTTTCTGGAGCGCCACTGTTGCCGACAGGAATTTATTCTGTGTCTTGGTTTCTTCCAGGAGCTGGGCTGTACCTGGAACACATATGTTGCTATGAGAGCCTGCCTCATTGCCGATCGACGTAGGTTTCTTTGTAGAAATACCCTCGTGCAAAACTATAGTCCACCTATCTTCAGTAATTGACTCTTGTGATCCTTTGCCTGGAGTTTCATGTGACTTGTTCTCTACCTCTTTTGATTGGCCAAATCCTTCATTTGATGTAATCTCGCTACCTGAGGAATCTTCGCTGTCATAGTTCGCATAGTCCGACAAGATACCTGCTTTGATAAAGGCGTCGTCATGATCAATCGGAATAGCCCGCATGTACATATGCCACTGCTCTTTCGCTTCTTGTACTTTATTCTCGATTTCTGCTTTCTCTTTCTGGAGCCGCGATACGTGTTGTTGCTTTTCCAGTAACCCCCTCTGTAGGCCTAGTGCTTCAGTGTAGTGTGGATCATGGCGCGCGATGCTGAATGTGTTCTTGAGACGGTCAACACTTGCTAGAGCCGGATTTGTACTACGAATGATGTTCTGGAGGCTAGTTACTCTTTCCTTGATATGTGCGATCTTGCTTTTGGAACGATTTTCGAGTAGTCCATAGTCAAGTTGAAGCTCTACGCATTCCAGCATCCTTTGAGCAAGCTGGTAGGGAAGCAAAAGAGCCATTACTGGCCTGCCGTCGACGAGAACCTCAATCAATGTAGCCGAGGCCGCCTTCTAGCTTACTTCCGCCGTTTCGTCTCTGTCTTCGGTCTGCCAAAAGGTCAAATCATTCTCGGCCTTTTGAGCCATCTTGCCGTTAATAGTCTGGTCTTCTCCACGTACGGATGGCTGTAAATATAGTTTAGAGTCTTCTCCAGACCGATCTGGTCGTGCATTTGGTACATGATTTTCGTCATCGTAAGATACTGGTGTCTCTTTACTGCGATGTGTTTGGAATTTCAGATCGCACCGCCGAATCGAAAGTGTGGGTTGGAGTGAAACACAACAGGCTTAAGGTTCAGCCGGTGGGCTGAAGTTCTGCATGACTAGAGACAAAGACAGAACCGCATGTGAACTCATGGCTTTGTCAGGATCTAGAGATGGAGTATATAATCCTTTGTCGTCAGGCCAAGGTTCTGGTTCCATTGTGATAGACAGATGGGACTTTTGTAAGTTTGTATTGGCTGAGTTGGATAGTGATAGGAACGTTGCGTCTATTGTGGTGTCTACCACTGAATGTTCTTCAGGGTATGCTTTTGTGCAGCTATTGGGGCTGCCCTCCTGGTATGAGGACTCTAGCGTAGTCCAGACATGTTTAAGTAATAGTCAGATTGTAGCAAAGGCTTTGGCACCAATGGCGCTTGTTATAGATTGGTAGTTCATCGTCGCGGAGGAATTGCTGATTTCGAGTTGAGTGGCTGCTACGAAACACTCTTCGAAGCGCGGTGGCTTAGTCCCATCAATATATTCACAACCCATCAGCTCTTATATTCTATCAGGTGAACAAGGCAGAAGTCATACACCGCTGCCTTGATGAAGGATCGAAATCGCGATCCGAGCTTTCAGGCGCTTGAATACTGCGTATATATCGTGGAGCTTCCAGCTCACCAGACGCGGATCTTAGAGGCTGTCCCAAGCTAATCTTCCGATTTCCTCCCAACTGACAGATCAGGGGTAAGTTGCGTCGACATGCCTCGTGAGAATAAGCAAAGGAAGAGGAAGGGCCAGGGAATTCGTGCCTGGATGGCAACAACAGAGTCCAGTTCCAGATATTATACCTCGTAAGTGACAACGAAAGATCCTGTCTTTAGTGGCCTACAGCCTGTACGTTCAAACATGCCTCGAGGACTTATACTGTTACCGCTAGAAAACTTGTAAGATGCTACGTATCCTCTTGAGGCCGGTTCTCCTGTTTCGAGTATACCTTTTCACAAGGCAGGGTCTTCGTATACCATGTACAAACATAACGATACCAACACCAAAGTAGCTTCTAGGACAGATGATCGCGGATACAACTATCACCGATTCGGAAACCATGCGACCTCGACTCCATTCGACCCCGTGAAAGACGTCCTTGACGGCATGAGATACATAGTATCCCGGAATGAGATAAAACAACCAGCGACAGATGAGGAGTTTGAGAAGGTCACTTCCGGCACGATTATCTGGGCCGTCACAGCCGAGAAAACCACGAACAGTAGAGTCGGTGCTTGTAGGTTGAACGCAAAGTCTGGTAAAGCTGACTACTTTCCGACTCCCGACGGGTTCTGCTGCTTGAAGCCTGCGCCCTGGATTGTCGAGACTGTCAACGAAGAGTCGCGAAGCTACGCCTGTAAGCGAATGACTCGACACAGCAATAGCGGCAATGCGAGGTTGACACCGTCACAACAGGTACAGACAATGCGGGTGCTGTACCCAGATGGTAGGAACAACTCGAATGATCTTGGGCTTCCTGTTGTCAAAGTCGCATATTGCATAGATAACAGGGTAGGAGAACACATCTCGCTCATCAGCATGAAGAAGTCGAAGACTATCCGGGCTACCCAAGGTATAGTCATCTACGGCGTGCTCGAGCCGCAATCGACTATGTATTTTCTTCGAAAAAGTCTTCAAGTCAACTCTGACAAGACCAAGTTTACACTTTCCAACTTCCAGAGTGGACATAACGCATCACCATACGCGGGATTTGTCGCAAACAAGGCCATTCAAAGCTCGGATGATAGTGGAATTGGTGACGAGCTCTCTTCATCCAGTGGCAGCTATATCCCGGTGAGTGGGTTTCAAAAAGGCCGGATGATTGACACTGCTTACACGTCCGATGCCCTGGAGGATCTTGAAGTGGAAGTCTCACCGTCTGCCATCGTTGTATACAAGGGCCTGATGGCGTCGACGCCATCTAGACCGCCTACAACTGCTCTTAGTAACGGTCTGGATGACCACATGTCTGACCAAAGAGAAGTTACAGCGTTCGGGCGCCGGCCGCGGGAACCTGAGATAATTGGAAGCACGATTCTAGCAAAGCTTGAGGGCAGTTTTCAGGTCGCGTATTCCAGAATGGCCATTGCGGAGAGCGGAGTCAACACGGTATGCGTCAAGTTCGCCGAGCATCGCGAGAAGTTCAGGAACATGGACCAAATCGCAATCACACACGCGCACCACCTCGAGTACAGGACACTTCTCCAAGAACTTCGGCATTTTGAGCAAAGCCTTCGCAGCCACTATCGGGACTGGCAACTTTGCGAGTCGCATAAGGTCGTTGCTCGTCAGATCTTCCAGAACCCCCCGGAGCATTGTAAATGGAATGTGATTGTGCCTAACGAAGGTTGACAGGTGACAGGCAGGGTAACATAAGTACCCCATGGCGAATACATCGTCAATACTGCTTCGACTCAGATAGATGGAGATCGGATGTGTCGATAAGGGCACATCGCGTCCGCCCGCTTATCGAGGTCGGATCGATATAGTCTCCAAAAAGTGTTACGCTGAATTGAGCTGGCGTGTCGCATGCATGAAAATCTAGATGGTCTTGACCTAGCGATGATGGAAGTACAAGGTGATAATACCTAGAGTTCACGTCAGTAGCCCCTCTCAGCATGCCTCCAGGGCCCACCATGACCTCATTGATATCCTCTCCCTCGTGCGGAGTTCATGAAGAGCAACTTAGCTTAGCAATAGAAAACCATTATACCAGTGAGATGAGCTTACATGAATGACTAGATGCGATGAAATTACTCGATGGCCGGCGTAAAGAGAAGGATGAGAGTTGACGATAGCGAAGAATTCCAGTTGGACGGATCATGCCTCCACGCTAACGCGAACTGAAACCGCCATGACGTCGATCCGATAAACCTATATGTGTCGCGTCTCTTGTCACAACATGATGCAATGCTTTCTTGATAGCCCGGCAGCCGTCTCTCATTCCAATCTTGTGTAGGCACAGCAACTTTTAAACACAGTAACTTGGTCGCGTCGATGATACTTGTTATCCGCATGGGAATCACATGTATAATTGGGATGATCGAAATACCTTTCGATTCTTTTTGCTAGAGCGACTACTCTACAAAAATCCGAAAACACGCACTGAGCATCTCCATCGTAGCACCAAAACTCCCAACTCCTTCAACTTTCCAACGCAAGTCGAAGTAACATATCCATCCCCTCACCAAGATATTGCCAACTCTCGAGCGTCGTTGGACCTAGTATCGATCTCTTAGCTGACAAAATGCGCAGTTTCGACAGTGCTTCGCCCGGATGCGCGCCGTGGTATCGAGAGGCTCTGTTGGAAAACGTGTGGGTTCTCGGCCACTGCTATCATCTGCCCACTGTGCGATTGTCATCCAGTCTGGAACATTGCCGAGCTTTCTAATTTGGTCTTCGATCTCGTCGGTAGAGTATGTGTCGGTACGGGGGGAACTGAGAGCTGGTGGGATGACGAGGGCTTCTGGAGTGCTGTAGCCTAACGAGACGACTGCCGGAGGTGGGTGCTGCGAGCTTTTGTGCTCAAGGGCTGGTGCAAAGAGCTTCTGTGGGACAACTATTGGCATACGGGGTGTGGATATAGGTGTGGATTCTGTAGTAGCTGGACTCCCGACCTCGAGCATAGTAGGCGCCTCATGGACCAGAGCACGTCGATTACCAGCGACATCAGCCCAAGTAGTGCCCTGCGGTGCAGCAGTGGGATCTCTTGCAACGTGCGGTTCCATGGGTGGGGTGAAGACCGGCCCCTCTTCTTGTACCGGCTCCTCGTCATAGCACTGCGCTTCGTCTTCTTGCGCAGCGCCTCGCGGCCGAGTGACTTGTCCTTGGTCCCTGAGGTACCTCACTGACTGCTTCTGGTTGTACGTCTCTACCTTTAGCACGACATGCGCTAAGCGAGTCTGGTCTGTCTCCGCTTGAGCGTGCGAAGCTTCTTCCTTTGTGCGGAAGCCGATCACAATCGTAGTGACATTGCTGTTGGGGTATACATTCTTGATGCTTGCTGGATTGTATTTGGCGAACAGACTGCGAATCTCGTCAGTCGCAAAGTAGCCGGGAACGTTCTTGACGAAGATGAGGTGCTCGTTTGGCGCTTTGGTGCTATGGAGCAAAGGCATCGTAACGGTGGAGTAGCGGAGTAAAGATTTTTGTCTATCGAGGCGTTGTTGCGATAGTGTTGGGATTGAAAAAGGTCTAGTCGATCTTTGAGTTAAAAGCGATGACTTGTACCGAAGTGAATGTAGTGATACGAATCGAGCAAGAGTGAACGTCGTGTCTCCCAAGCTGTTCAAAATGTTCGCCTATCAGCTTAGCGAGTAGGAGAAGAATTTAAAAGTCCTACAGTCTTGCTTCAAGAGTCGCGCGCGCGTTGTCAGCGAGACGTAGTCGTGCAGGTAAAAGAAGATTTCAGACGATGCCGACTCAGTCAACTCCCATTGCGTTCTTGGTACGCGAACAGATGGCACGGTGCGTAAGCGAATGACACGAGCTGAAGAGATGGTCAATGAACGCGCGACTTCTGAAAGTGATCAATCGCATCGTAATCGGCTCAACATAATCCACCAGGGTCTCTCACGTCGCCAGATAGCATAAAATGAATCTATGATCCTACGGTCACTTAATAGAAGTACGATTAGAGGTGTCATCATGCAGACCATGACAAGGCATACAATATACGTTGTGATATCGCGACAGTGTTGTAAATTGGAGCATGTTGTTGTTCTACAGTAGCATTGCAACATCGCGTTTAGCTTAGCTTGTCACCTGCTGGCGCACCTAAGTATCCCTGCAGGTGCGTGCATATGAAGCGTAGAAAGCACAAGGGTCATTCTTGCTCAGATGTTCGTATAGCTTGATGGTATTATCAGTGTCTCAGCATCAAATCTTTTCTAGAACTCTGGTCGTACATGAGCACATACATCAAGTCAATCATCAACTTCAAATATGAAAGTAAAGTTGTTGTAACAGGGGTATTTCATTATGTATTCAATTTAGGCTTCTTTGGCCAAATCATCTATCTAGACTTTAACAATAACCTTATGGGGCGCAGCCTTCTCCTCGGGCTCGCCAAAGATGTTGACCGGCCAGCGGGGCTTGTTGGCGATGTATGGAATGTTGAAGCGACGAGGCTCATCCTTGCCGATCTGCTCAACCTTCTGGAAGTCGTCTTCTGACAGCTCAACCTCCTTGAAGTTCTCTTGGATGCGTGATGCGGTGACGGACTTGGGGATGACGGAGTGGCCACCCTTCTGGGCCCAGGCGAGGATAACTTGTGCCGGGGTGGCGCCAATGCGGCTGGCAATCTCCTTGATGACCTTGTGCTGGACGAGAAGGGGCTCGCCGATCATGTTGTTACCGAAAGCCTGAGTGCTGTTAGTATATGTCAGCCTGCATGATGTGAACAAACTTACGGAGTACTCGGTGATGTGAATGTTCTTCTCCTTGCAGTACTGGACGAGCTCTGGCTGGAGGAGACGTGGGTGACGCTCAATCTGGTTGGCAGCGGGAGTGACACCAGTGCCGTCAATGAGGGCCTGGAGGTGCTCCTTTGTGTGGTTGGAGACACCAACAGCACGCGCCTTCTCCTTGGGCAGCTGTGTCATGGCCTTCCATGTGTCGACAATGGAGATGTCGTCAAGCATCTTAACGTCTTCGCCCTCCAGAGGGAAGAGGTTGTTGTGTACATCGCCACGCTCATCGAAAGCGACGGGGAAGTGGACGAGGTAAAGGTCTAGGTAGTCGAGGCCAAGCTCAGCCAGGCAGTCGTCAAGAGCGCCGGGGACGTCCTTGGGTCGGTGCTGGGAGTTCCAGAGTTTGGATGTGATGAAGACGTCCTCACGCTTGAGGTTGGGGACCTCGCCGCCGAAGGCCTTCTTGAGAGCCTCAGCGATCTCCTTCTGGTTGCCATAGACCTTGGCGAGATCCAGGTGACGGTAACCAGCCTTGAGAGCCTCAAGGACAGCGGCACCGACCTGACCAGGCTCGGCCTGCCATGTGCCGAAACCAAGTTGGCTGTAACTATTAGCAACCGCCATGTATCCGCGGGGTGTTTGTTTAGGTACTCACGGAATGGCAGCGCCAGTGTTGAGAGTAACCTTCCTTCCGAGAGACATGATTGCAATTGAGTTGTTTGGGGTATAGGGAGAAAAAGTAAAGACTTTGTGATGGCCTCGACTACGGGTGTTCTGGACTTTTAAACGTTGTCTGGGGAAAAAGTTATCGGAGGCGGGATGGAGGGGTCTTCGGTGACGTCTCCGAGCCCCCCAGACGGAAATCTCTCCATTCTGGTAGCCGCCTCCGCGCGTCAACTCCCTCCGACGGTCCACCTCGCAAACTTTTGCGTCATGTATTGGTGCGCCTTCACCAGATTCCAGGTAGCCGTGTCTCAACAAGCATCATCCATCGGCGCTATAGGGTTGATGAGGCTTAATGGCATCTGCCGGCGATCAACCGCGGAGTTGCCGCCCTGTTATTGGTGGATGAAATGTGGCAAATGCGAAGTTTCTGTACGCGACGTCAGGGACTGGGTCGCAAACTGCCTGTTGTGTAGTATAGGCGCCGGGTAGCCATGGCGGTTGCATGTCGAGAAAGGGGTTGGGTTGGAGGTATCATCGGCGGCATCTGGGTAAGAATTGCCTCGGAACGGAGGATGTCGTTTAGGACTGACCCACTCTACCTCCACGTCGCCTCTTCCTTCGCGGTCAAGACATGTGAACGTCATCTCATTCTAGCATATCTTCCGCTCACGTTTGGTGTAAATGACGAGCACTCCGCATATCTCCGACTTCGACTCTGACGCATGCACTACTCAAAAGATCGTTTGCCCGTTACTAAGCGGCTAGCTGAATGGAGTAGTAGTTTCTTGGACTTCTACTGTATTGCAATTACCATGTTCCATTCACGAGAACCTCTGCATGTCTGACACTACGGTACACTCCAAAGGTATTTGTGAGCTTTCGTATAAACAGCAATCAGAACAGAGCACAGCGCATACTTCCGGGTACATTTGTGTAGCAAGTCAAAAGGAGCACAAGAACGACTCTGTACAGACTCAATTTAGAGCTAAGCAATCGAGTCCTAGTAGAGGAGCGTGGAAGGATCTAGCTGGTCTTGATCTTCCTCCCTGCCTTCTTCTTCTACGATTCGAATGGTACCAGCAGACCCAGAAGTCGCGACATCCTCCGAAGCAGTCGGTAGACCCAGCAAAGCAGCCTACCTTACACGCTCTCCGTCTTCATCAACAGGTCTCAAGAAAATAGAAACATTCCTGCCAAACGCCAACCATGTATCCCATGCCCATCCATTAATATACGTACAGCCCATGCTAGATAACTCCATGATCCTTCGCCAATGATGACCGATAGTGCGGTACATGGTAGACTCCTAATCGTCGCTGTCGTACTCATCTTCTTCGGCCAATAACGCAGGGTACTGGCGGCGACGTAGATCCTCTTGGAGGCCGCCTTCGCTTTCGGGATCGACATAACCTCCTCCGCCTACGAGAGAAAGTAGTACAGGAAGTAGGACAAGCGCATGTGTGCTTGCCCATAATACGAGGGCAACCCAGACGCGGAAGTAGTAGATTTCGAAGATCTAGTGTGCTGTTAGCATATGGCGCTGGTGTCAAGACGGAGATGATACATACCTTACTCCTAGTGAAAGCTAATACGCCCACACCCAAGATCTTCGTGATTGTGATACCACTAATGACGCTACTGGCCACGTTGACCATGGCAGTCCAGGCACGAGCATCACGACCGCGGAAGCGGTGCCTTGGCGCTTTCTCCATAGTAGCACGGCTAGGGAAGGTGAACGCACGGGCGATATGTGCCGTAAACTCAACACTGATACCGACGCAGATGATAAGGTTGACGAGTGACACTGCGTTGAGTGATACACCAAGGACAGCCAAAGAGCCAATAATGGCAGACACAGTCATACCAACAACGAGGGTGACAACCAGACCGGTGGCAATGGAGCCCAGCATTATAGTGGTAATGACCAATACTGCAGCAAGAGCAGACCCGATGAGCGCACCGGCTAGTCGAACAATGGTTGTGTACTGATCGAAGAAGATATAGAACTTGGAGTATGGGAAAACCTCTGCATCCACGTCCTTGGATATTTCCTTCGAGATGCGACGTGCGGCAGTATAGGCGGAGATGAAATCCTTCTGAGAACGAAGAGGCGTATGTGAAGTGCGGAAGTGGGATGCGGGGATGGTGAGGCGCTTGGAGTCAATGACGAGAGCATCGGAATAAGCAGCCTTTCCACCAAGAGGACAGTCTTCGGTGGTATCCGCCTCAATCCAGAGCTTGAGGTAGTGGATGAATTCCTCACCTTCAGGCATGCCAGACAAAGTCATGTTCCAAGGTGGTTGGCGGTCCTGAAAGCATGGCTTTCCCTTGTCGTCGACGCAGCACTTCTCATTCTCAGGGTTTAGCCATAGGAAGTAGTCATCCAGCCAGTTGGCAGCTGAAGCTGCTAGATGTGAGACCTCAGGTCGCTTGCGCTCCGCTTCGATGATGTTGGCCAAGCTCTCTCGGTCGCAAGTAGAGAAGCGTCCACACAATTCTTTTTGAGGCTTCCGCTCGGTAACGTTCAGCTCCTTAGTGACGAAGTAAACAGGAGGACCGACGTCGAGGTAATCGTAAAGATCGTTGAAGTAAGGAATGAGATAAGAATCGCTTGGGATAGCAATGCGTTGATCAAGACCGAGCTCTACGCTGGGAAAAAGGGCGAGACCAGCTGTGAAGATGCCGAAGAACAGCGCAATGATACCGACCTTCGTCTTCTTTCCTAGAATTGCTGGAGCATACGTCTTACGAATGAAGCGCTGTAGTGCACCTTCTTCGCCAGCGCCGTATCCCATACCGCCATTGAGATAACCAGGATCGGCCTTGCCGACACGAACACAGGGGAAGCAGTCAGCACGGTTGGTCTCAACGCGTTGCTGGTTCAAAGAAAGCACAGCGATGAACATAGTTACTTGAAGAATGGCGTTGATGAAGACAGCTCCGGCGGCATATGCTGCGAAGTTTCGGACAGCTGGCATACCTACTGCGCATCCAAGAGCGAAGGCAGTGGTTTCGGTAAGCGCGGAAAGCAGAATCGAAGGACCCATGCGTCCGAGAGCACGCGACACGCGCTCCGGAATACTGCCTTCAGGGTGGCTGATGTTGATGCGCTCAAACTCGTGCACGATGAGAAAGATGTTGTCAACACCGACAGCCAGGACAAGGAATGGAATGACCTCTGCAATAATCAAGGTGACCTTGATGCCAGCTGCCGAGAATAGGCCAACGGATGCAGATACGGACATGAGTACAATCAAAATGCCGACAGTACCGAGCATGAACTTGGACTGCACGAGAGCATTTGCCGGGTTGCGAAGGACGGACCGTACGGTGAGGGTGGTAGAGCCCAAAGCCAGGGAAGCGTACAAGAACATAATGATGTAGCTGATGACCACAATCTTGGCATCTGTGTTGGTGCTCTTGCTCAGCTCCTGCTCAAGACTGACTTCGGTGTTGAAGCTCAGACGCAGACCTCTCTTATGAGCTTCGTCAGATACAAACTTAAGGTAATTCTTCATCTCGTTCTCAAAATCCATGGCGCGCTGCTCTTCTGGCGTACCCTTGGGGTAGTTCTGCACAACCCAGGTTACGACGAGTGCTTTCGCGTCCAAGACGGTTTCGTTAACACCACCAAAGAGAAGATGAGGGTCGAGCGGCTGCTGGAAAGTGGGCAGACATTGAGAAGGATTGTCGACACATTGCAGTAGGTCGTCTTGCCAGCTGTCAGGGGACACGTTTGCGAAGTCGCCTTGAAAGTATCCAGTCACAGACTGAACGACACAGTCGTCGCCTACTGGTTTGAAACAGACTTTGTCAAGCGTCACACCATGTTCGTAGGACTTGAGACGCTGGATCTGATTCTCTACACCGAACCACCAGTCAAGCGTCTCGTAACTGAGAACAGGACCGGAACCTTCAAGCGTGTCGTTGACAAGGAAGGCTTGTTCAGCACGGAAGAAAGGACCAAACTTCTCATCAAAGAAGGCTTTTTCCTGCGCCGCGGCTGAGTCGGGCGAAACCCATAGGTTGACAGGGTCGGTTTCAATCTGGAAGCGCAACCATCCCAAGCTCATCAAACCAACTACTATGACACTGGTAACAATGGTGATGGCAGGGAAGCGAGCGCAGATGTATCCGAGGCGGCTGAACATGCGGTCGCACCATGTGTTGATGAAATAGTGTTTGGTAGGGCGATCCAGCATGCCAACATTGTGTACTATATCGCCCTCGTCCTCATCGTCGCTAGGGCTTGTATCCTGCAAGAGGCGCATGCGCTCAGTCTTATGTTTCGAATGGTTCTTGTAGGCAACGTGGCCTGCGACGGCGGTGCATAGCAAGCCGAGGAAGAACGAATAGATTATGATGACGGCGAAGGAGAGGCACGGCAGTAGGCCAACGTGACACTGCTTCTCCTCTTGGACTTCCGGCAGCTCAGTGCAGGACCCGCCGCAATCGAGGCAGGCGCAACGGTACTTTTCGTCGTCTGTATCGCAAGGGTAGGCGTGCTTGTTCATCGCGTCCATTCCAGGAAAGTCAGCCTCGTTTGGTCGGGGGAAGTTGATCTGGAAGGGCGAGCCCAAGAACTTCTTGTCGCCAAGGAACTTCAGAAACAGTGTGTAGTTCTTTGCGCCTCCTCCAATGAAGTCCATAGCCTTGCCATTTGTCGCACCGAACTTGACATCCTTGCAGCTGTCGTAGAAAGTCGACGCGTACTTGTCGGATACCAGGTTGTCCAACTCGGTCACCAAGTACTTGTCTCCCTTTGGCTCGGTTTTTGTGACGTTAATGAAGGTGGATTGGTCAGGAGAGCAAGTGAAGGTACAGAACTGGTTGTAGAAGTTCTCCTTGCAGGCAGGGCAGGCGTTGATGATAGGCGTGGCGCGGTCGAGGTTCGTCTTGAGGGCGTCGAGTTGGTCTTCGTCGCAACAGACGTCACTGTCAGACCACTGGTCACCGCAGATGTCGACCAGCTTCTTGCGCACGGCATCGTCTGGCGTCTTCGCTAGGCCGTTATCAGGGCAGGGCAGCTCTGATCCGAAGAAGCTCTGCTTTCCACATTGGCCACGTATCGCGCACCTTCCCTTTTCGTGTTTCGTCGTGAGGTCTGGTCCTGCGAGAGCTGATCCGGCGAGGATGGAGACTAGGCCAATCGTCATGGCCTTCCATCCTCGCGTGCTTGACTGCACCATCTTGTTCGATGCGCCTGAGCGCTGAGGCTGGGCGAGCCTCGTTGTCGTAGGGAGAATGGAATGCGAACGTATGCTCGGTGGTGCGAGGAAGCTGAAGATGTAATGGGGTTTGCGGATGATGGGTTGTGGATGACGATGCGTGCGAGCCGAGGTGGCGGGTGAAGCTATCGGGAGCTCTGAAGGTGTGAGAACGGAGAACGATTAACACAGTAGCGTTGTCATCGGGATAACGAAAGAATGACACAGGTAGCACAACTCGGCTTGCGCGACGCTTGATAGAGTATGCACGGATACAGGTCCACTGTAGAGATGAGTGTTGTTATGAGGCGTGGGCGCGCAGGCAACGGCACAAGTCTGGGGTGCAGACGTCACTGCCCCGGCTTGGCTAAAATGCGCGCCAGCCAGGAACCATGATCGTCCCCTGTCACGCGTGTCAGCCACCACCCAGTGTGAAATCATGCAGCTAACACACAACAAAGTCTATTTAGTGCTCTGTCTGTATCGAACGTTCATTCATGCTACATGGTATCGTAAAACTCTATCTATATCCCATCCTACCATTCCATGCCCAAATCCATTCCTTGTGTCTTTCGACGGGTATCCCTCTCTTTTAGCAAAACGAAACCTCCCTACTTGCGCAGATATTGCACCAGCTCAACAAGCTGCGAGCGCGTCTCATCCTCGAGCTGCTCCTCAGGCGGGCTGAGAACCTTCTCAAACACAGGCATCAGCGAAGATGTGAGCTGCTGCACTGTAGGCTCGTTTTGTTGGTAGAGCTTGACAATCATGCCAAACACGGGCTTGTTCTCCTCGTAGTCCTCACGGAGAGGCAGGAGCTGCACCAGGCGGGGCAAGACCTCGGCAATGGGAAGCTTGCCAGGGTGCTTCGAGATGAACCTGCTGACACAACCTGCCGTGTTGTCAAGAAGGCGTGCTTGGTCCTGAGCATCGAGCAGGGGCTCGAGCTTGGAGAAGATTGTAGGCAAAGACTTGAGGATCTCATCATCGTTCGTGGTCATCTCGCAGAGAAGTCCGATACCGTAGACGGCGTTGGACTTGGTCTCTGGGTCTTCATCCGACAGGCGGTGGAGAAGGAGCTTCAGCATGCCAGTGGTGTAAGGTGTGCAGCCAGCACCCATGTTGCCGATGCACTCAGCAATGGTTCCGACAGCAGCGCTTCGCTCAGTGGAGTCCTGGCTGCTAGCGTACTTGACAATTGGCTTCTCGAACATCTTCCAGAGCTCGGCGAACTGCGAGCCAAGTGCGACTGACAGGCAAGTGACAGCCTCGAGGGCAGTTTCAATGACAAGCCAGTCGTACTCGGAAGACTCATCAAGGATCTCCTCCTCGGCTTCATCACCGAGATCCTGCTGGCAAGGGTGACGCTTGGTGATGACAGCGAGCAAGTGCTGGCAGAGATCAGGAACCACGGTGCCGTTGTCGGTCAACAACACAGCCGGTCCGCAGAGCTTGAGAGTGGCAGCGACATCACGGTTGATGTCAGTGACAGTACCCCTAGACAATGTTAGCCAGATTCTTCTTGATCAGTTATAACAAGGAATTGATTTTTGGGATTGCTCAGTCGTGATTTCGCTTTCACCTCAAGTGCACTTTGTGCATCGGAGTGAGCTGGGATTAACGAATATTCTGTCATCTTTGCAAGGTGGGTATAGTAAAAGAGCGTGAATACATACCGATCCATCTCGTCTTGCCAGATGGTCATGGTGGCAGTCATGACGAGGTTACCGAGCTTCTTCAGCTCGTCGGGAATGTCAACGGCAAGCGGGAGACCAGGCTTCCACTTAGCCATACCATCACCCTCAGCCATACCGAAGAGGCAGGCAAATGTGCGCCATAGAGTGCCAAGAGCGGCCTTACGGATGCCCTCGTAGGAGTGGTCGACAAGTTCGAGCAGTTTGGTGACAGTCGCCTCCATGTAAGGGATGTACTCGCGGCGAGTGTGAGTGATGATGTCTCCATAGACCTCAGCGGCGATCTCCTTCTCCATGGCGACAGCGCTGACGCCTTCTAGGTCATCCCAGTCGTCATCGTCATCACCGGCCATGAGGGCTTCGTTGAGATCGCTGTCATCGTCGTCGTCGTCGCTGGCAGCAGCCACCTTGATCTTCTGGCCCTGGATGATCACCTCGGAGCCGGCCAAATCAGCCGCCTCCTCACCAAACTCAACGTCGAGGTTGGTCTCTTCTTGATCAAGGCAGTCATTGAGGCCCTTGACAGCACCAGGAAGGTACTTAGCAAAGCCCTCCTCGTAGACCTTAGCCATGGTGCTCCAGAGGATGTAGCTGGTCTCCCTGAGACGGGGGTGGTCCAAGTGAAGAGCTTCTTCGGAAGCCTCCATGAGCGGCAGAACGTAGGGCTCGAAAGGCTCGGGGCCAACAGCAGAAGCGATCTTGCCCATGGAATCACAGGTGACACCACGAAGGTCGAGCTCGTCTTGGCTGTCTTTAATCCTGACGTATGAGGAAAGTTCCTGCATGGTCTGGGGGAAGAATGGGATGAAGGCCTTCTCGGCAGCAGAGGCAATAGAGCCTACGGCACCGATGGCAGCACTCTTCACCTTGAGATCCTCGTGATGGAAGAGCTTGCTGAAGCGTGGGATGAGTTCGGGAACATACTTGCCAGCGTCCTCTGGCTCTAGGCCTTCAATGAGGGAGTCGATAGCATGGCAGCTGCCGCGAACAATGGAGAGGTTGCGCTCGTCGTCTGAGCCTTGCATGTTGTTGGCAGCAAGGTCGAAGTTCTTGAGCATAGCAGGGATGAGGCGGGCGTGCTCCTTGCCAACGTCTTCGGCAAGATCATCAGCCAATCGAGCGACACCGTTGAGAGCGGCGGCTCGCACTTTGAGCTCAGGGTCCTCCAACAAGTGTAAAACCATAGGCATGATCTCGTTAAGCTGGGTAGCAATGAAGTCAGGCGCACCTTCGACACACATGCCAAGAGCCAGGATGGCAGCTTGACGGTAGTCAGGGTTCTGCGACTGGAAGTAGTTGCCGAGGTTCTTGAGAAGAGGAATGACAACTTGGCTGGGAGGAAGGCTGGATGCGAGGATGTCGAGGAGACCGAGAGCGGAACGGGCGGGTGTAACTTCGTCCTCCTCGCTGGACAGATCACCGAGCTCAGTGACAATGTGGAGAGCCTTCAAGGTCATCTCCTCACCAATTCGCAGGCCCTGAACCTTAAGCTTCCTGTAGCGCACGCACTGCATCAGGAATGCGAGAGCCTGGGAACGGTAGTCGTCCTCAACGTTGGTGCTTGAAGAAAGCTCCAGCATGAAGCGAACAAGGTCGCCAAAGTGCTTTGCGAGAAGTGCAGACTCGCATCCAAGGAGAGTCTGGAACACCTCGAAAGCTTGCATTGCGCGGTCCTCATCACCCTCGTCGACGGTGGCCTTAAGAACGGTGACCATGCCAGGAATGGACTCCTGGAACATGACAAGCTCCTTGGGACTCTCGTCGGGCTCTAGCAGCATAGCCAAGCGGCTGAGACTGAGCATTGTGTTGATTCTGACATCGACGCTCTCGGGGTCTTGGATGGTTGAACTGAACAGCTTGTACAGATCGGCTTGCTTGCCAGGGAACGAGTCGCCCGCTGACTCAAGTGTGGTGAAGATGATGTATGTACCAACTTCACGGTGTCGTGCCTCGGAGCTGGTGGCGGCCTGCTGGAGGTATCCGGGCAGGTCAGCCCACTCGCCATCCTCAAAATCTTGAGATGCGATGGCCGCAATGACGCGGGCAGCAGAGTGCCGTGTGAGAGTCACGTCCTCGTTCAATGTGAACTGGAACAGCTGGTTGCGGAGAGAGTTCTTCTGGTCCGCAGGCAGGTTGGCCCAGTGCTTTGTTACCAGCTTCCTAGCCTCGACTGCAGCCAATTGGCGGAGCTGAGGCTTGGGGTGGCCGCAGAGAATCTGAAGGAGGGCATTGAGGGAGGCGGGTGAGTTGTAGTAGTTCTTGTTGAGGGTAGAGGTTGCGGATTTGACACGCTCGGTGTCGGCTGGCAAATGTTAGTAGAGGTCTATGGCACAGCGGGGCTGGGTAACGTACGCTCCATGAGGCCCTCGAGCAGCTGGACAAACTGTTGCTCGTCCATGGCGATGCTCTCACAGTGTAGTTATGTAAAAAGCAAAGCTCTGGTGGTCTATCGCAGGACAACGAAGACCTTTAATAGTGACAGTTGTGAGAAGAGCGCTGGCTGCTCGCACAAGGTGGGGACTGGAACTTTTTCAAAAAAACGAGCGCCGCCAGAGGGCGCTAGTCTCAGAACAGCGCTAGTCTCAGGGTCCAGGACTGACCAATGACGGAGGCGACAGGCGAAAAAGGTCATGTCTCCAGAAGCCGACGCTGCTGTAGCCTGTAGCTGCGCAGATTGCTCTGCATGGTGGGTACTCTGACTTTGGGTGTCCTTGCAAACTGTAAGAAGTTTGGGTAGGCGTGTCGTGTATGCTGGTCCAGACAACCACTGTACAAGCTAGCATGGCTTCCAGTGTTGGAGCATGAAGACTTCTCGGCAGACGATCTGAGGAATAGCTTCAAAGAGAAGAAATGTGCTTGGTATCATCGTCATAATATGACGGCAGCTCCTTGGACAACTAGGCGACGAGATGGTGGTGGTTAGAGGCGGTGCCATGGGCCCTCGGGTTGATAACGTGATGAGACACCATCATATAGAAAGCTCGCAGAAGATGATTGAGATGAATAGACAACGACACAAAGGGGTAAGGAAGCTCAATGGATGGAGGAAGCTGGAGAAGCTAGAGATGTAGAAGTCCAGACAGCTCCAACGCGACTTGATAGGACGCGCTAGGCCAGGGTCTGTGCGGCGGAAAGCTGTTAGCAAAAACAGAAGGAGCAACGGTAGACAGGACAAACTCGCCGCTGCCATCATAAACGAGGAGGCTCTTCTACTAACTTCTCTCATACCCCGACCTTGTAATACCCCACTCTATTCCCCAAGTCCAACCCAGCCGCCTGTACGCCTCACCAGGACACGTTTCTCGACCCCTCCGCCTCCGACTCCATGGCTTCAGTACGTCTGGCAGTTGCCGCACATATCTGACCACATGTGACATCGATGCTGACCTCGTCCAGCAAGCACCTAACCAGCCGCGCCCTTACCCAGGCAACTACCTTCCCAATGGTGGCGCTCCTGGCGGTCCATCCGGCCCAGCGCCTGGAGCTGTCCCGCTGCTCCCTAACCAGGGCCGCGTGATCCAGCAGGGAAGCGTACGAGTGCTATGCATTGCAGATGTCCGAGGTGAGCATGGCAGCCATGGTATACGATCAAACGTATTCTCCTAACACTGATCAGGAAACCTGCAATCGCTCAACCAGCTCGCCGCCGACGCCCGCGCAAACTACATCATCCACACTGGCGACTTTGGCTTCTACGATGATCGTTCGCTTGATCGCATCGCCGAGAAGACCCTCAAGCACGTGGCCCAATACTCACCGCTGCTCTCAGATGCCGTCAAGCGTTCCATCGCTTCAGCCCCTCCGCAACCGCCTATCAAGGAGCGCTTTGCACGAGAGCACCTGCCACTCTCAGAACTGCCCCTCTTCCTCAACAAGACCTACACCCTGAACGTTCCAGTATACACCGTCTGGGGTGCTTGTGAAGATGTGCAAGTACTGGAGAAGCTGCGATCGGGCGAGTACAAGGTGGACAACCTGCACATCATTGATGAGGCGCATTCACGGCTTCTCGATGTAGGTGGCGTCAAGCTGCGACTACTTGGTCTCGGAGGTGCCGTCGTCATGCACAAGTTGTTCGATAACGGCGAGGGCAGGACTACCATTGCAGGTGGACAGGGCACCATGTGGACTACTCTGCTGCAGATGGGCGAACTTGTCGACACGGCCAACCGCGTATACGATCCGACCGAAACCCGCATATTCGTCACCCACGCATCCCCCGCCCGCGAAGGTCTGCTCAATCAGCTATCCGTCACGCTCAAGGCAGATTTCTCTGTCTCAGCTGGTCTGCATTTCCGCTACGGTAGCTCGTACAATGAGTTCAGCGTCAACCCCACCCTCGATCACTACCGCGGAAAGCTTGCTGCGTCCAAGGCCTCATTCAACGACGTTTGGGATACTGTCAAGACAGAAGTTGAGCCAGCGGTTGCTGATAGCGAGTCCCAGCAACGTCTGCTCGCCCTAGCGCTGGAAATCGTAAACAAGATGCCTACTGTCGCCAATGGCGGAAACCCTTTCGGTGGCCCTGCTCCTGGGCCACAGAGCGGTCAAATCGATGAGAGCGCCTTCAAGAACATGTGGAACTTCAACCTTGCAGATGCTGCTTACGGATGGCTTGTACTGGACATTGACAATGGCAGGATCGGTACCGAGATGAGGGCCCAGGGTTTCAACTTCGCTCACCGAGGTGGAAAGGTTGCGCCTGGTCAAACTCAGCCCGCAGCCACCAACACCAGCACTGGTCCCCCAGCTGTAGTGAACCCTAGCCCTTCTGCTCAGCCGTCTCCTGCTCCAGGACGTCAAGCCGGCCCACCAGCGAGTGCTCCTCAGCAACCCCGCCCCGCTGTTGCAACCCCACCGGTTCCTCAACAACAGAAGCAGAATGCTGGCCAACCTACACGCACCGGCCCCTCCCCCGCCCCCGCTGCTACACCTAAAGAGCCCGTCAAGGCCGCTACACCACAGCCTCCAGCCAACAACACACCGGCCAACGCTGCTGCTGAAAAGGCCATCCCTAGCGAGGTCAAGCCTAATGGCACTTCGGCGCCAGAGAAGGGTCCTGCATCTCCAGCGCCCCGCGAGCCTGCTGAGCGCAAGGAAAGCAAGGGTCTCTTTATTGCTGGTGTAAAGGATGAGGAGGAAGCCAAGAGTCTGCTTGCTGAGGAAGACAGGCCCAAGGTGGAGAAGATGGAGAAGATCAAGCACTTCTTCGTCGCCCATTTCGCTACTTCTCAAGACATGCACGGTGCGCTCCGTCGCGTTGCGGACGATGTCAGGAATGCTAGGGGTGGCCCAGACAACAAGACCGTCAAGGTGTACAACGAGCGCGGTCCTGGTAGCAACCAGCCCAGGTACGGAGCCGGCAGCTGGCAAGCTAGCAACCGCGGCGGCGTCCAGGGTGGTGGTTACCGAAGTGGAGGCGCCTCGGACAGTGAGGGCGGTCGTGGCGGTCGTGGAGGCCGTGGCGGTGCTTCCCGTGGTGGACGAGGTGGCGAGCGGGGTGCTCGCGGAGGCCGTGGTGGAAGGGGATCATTCCGGGGTGGTGAAGGTGCGGCTGCGGCATCAACTGGAGGCGAGTCATAGAAGCTCACCGACCGCACCTCTACACCCCTACTGACCCTGATACCCCTTCTTTCTTCTTCGGTTCCGTGCTAATGGCTTTCATTGCAGTCATGCCACGGTCTCCCATAAGCGAATTCGCTTCTGGCGACGTCCGCAATCATGTGCTCTAGCTTTTATCATGTTTTCTGGGAGCGATTTCCATACCTTCTTCATAGCGGGCGTGGGTTGTGCGGGTTCCTTTTCGGTCGTTCTAGATGGGACCAGGACAGGTGATTGGCGCTATGTGGTGCTTGTCTCCCTTATTTGGATCACTGAAGAGGCTTACGATGATGAAGGATGAAGTATGGTGTATGTATTGTAATCACAAAACATTGAGAAACATGTTGTGGCCAAGTTCCTCTGACTCGTTTGTTCTTTTTGTTCAATATGCACCACGGCTCTATCGAAGAAATTTCCTTCGATCGATGTCTATCTTTGGTTCCAGCGATATTTTGACGACATGCCAACCCAAGAACACAGATCGGCCATATGATTTTGTTGCCCGGACGAAAGTACATGAGACCTTGCATCTCCTAGCTCTACCATTTCCTCCTTGGTTCTGTATACAATCTGCTTTGCTCCACTGGGGTCAAACATACTCTCGAGTGTTTCGTTGTGGCTGATCACGATAGAAATTGGAAGCCGAAGCTTACATCCACACATGGAGGAAGACATGAATGTTGTGGATACGGTAGATTATCTGCTTTGAGTGTCTCTATCAGAAATCTCATTTTTTATTAGCAGTGTCTTGAATTCAGGATCGATCCCATGGTATACATCACTTTTTATCTTGTTGTATGTCAATAGAGCCTCAAGGTGCACATATTCAAAGTACGTTGTTCGCTGTTTTCAAAACATCACCGCCCTAAGCATACCAGTATACTCTCAAGCACACTTTCATAGATAGTAAGTACGCTACAGAGCCAGTACGAGCATATTGATTGTGTTGTAGCTTGAAGTACTTGATCGTACAAGGAAGCTCTATCTCAAAAGTTGAACATCACTTCACAACAGCACCATTTGACCAGGTCCGAATAACTTTCATCAGGATAATTATAAGGAATCCTGGCATAGTCATAACGACCATCTGGACCGTTTCGAAGTCGGGGAGGACCCATTGGATGTTTATATGGATCCGGAATACGCGTACCCGAGGACGGCAGCGAGTCTGACTGAAGCAGCGGTTGTGATTCTGGTTGAAGTGATCTGACTAGTACTGGTGGCGATGGCAGTCGCGCTGGAAATCGCGCTGAGGCCACATGTCTTTGCGAAACGCTATCCTCTGGATCCACTTCAGCATTATCAGGTGTCAGAGGGAGCTGCCACAAGGGTTCTGATCGCCAGTGAGGGCTTTCATGCTGATCTGATAGTGGCTCCGTCGTAGTGGGAGGAAGACTACGCGCACGAGTCCGACTGAAAGTCCGACTGAATCTCTGACTTAATCGCCACGAGAATGCCTCCACGTTGAATCTTCCTGTGCGCCTCGAACTGTCCTCATACCTGGAGGATATTAGCCATGAAGTATCCATAGAGTTACCAGGATAAGGTAGGATGTACAGCTGCGCGCCGTCAAGTTCTATCCGGTCGGTAAACCGCGAACCGACGCTTGAAGGACGTACAGGACGACGTGGGCTTGGTCGCGGGTACACTCGCACCAGACGCTCATGTTTGGGCTCCATGTCATTGCTGGTACTACATATAGGTGGCTCAGTCCCTGCAGATGCCATGTCATTCCTCGCAGAGCTTCCGGAAGAAGTTGTCAGGGTATGAGAAAGTTTCCGGTGTAAGTCTCCAGGTGGTGTCGAGACCACCTCATTCACATCTGCTTGTCGGACATCAGATATTGTCGTATGCTGGTCATTACGGGACCGGGCCCGTTGACGGATTCTAGGGACATGTCGAGTCAACCGAGATAACGGGAAGGGGTTTGACGACCTCCTGCCCCTGCCGGACAGTAATCTCATTTCCTCGGCTTGCAACACACCACTACCATCGTCGTCGTCATCGTCATCATCATCTGAGCCGGTTCCACCTCGCATGAATACGGCTTGCTCCATCTCAAGCGGTTCCATTCGTGGACGTCCGGGTGTGATAATCCATACTCTTCTCTGACCATCTCTAGTGTTTGCTATAGTCGAGCGCTCTGGGTCACGCGGCGGCATACCATCTCCGATGTGGCAATCGTCCGACTCGCTCTCGGATTCGTGACTGATGGTATCGTTGACAATAGAGCCTGAATGACTTTCCGGGCCTTGTGCTTCAGTGACTTGCACATACCTGCGCACATCTTGCAACACCGGAAATGACGTAGGAGAAAGAATTCCAAGCCGCTGCAAAGTTTGCCGAATGTTTGGTGATGAGGCGGACACTGAGGAAGCAGACGGTGATTCAAGAAGCGTTGTCTCCCCACTCTGTACGGCCAGCTGTGACGACTCATCAAAAACTTCTGCGGAGTGAGGATCTGGCGATAAGGGAGGCGCTTCAACAAGTGTAGTATCACCACTGTTCAAATCGATTTGCGATGGGTTTTCTAAGGATGCTATGAATTCTGGGTTTGACCGGAGCCTCGACGGAGGACGTGTTACGGGATGAATTGTATCGCTCGATTTCAGTCTATCAGGCGAGCTTGTTCGGATACTGGACACGACTGTTGGGCGGCGCCTGGTGTTGTAGAGGCTGTTGTATTCCACCTGCTCCCACCACGGCAATGCCGCGAAGTCATCTTCTGACATGAAGGCTGGATGTGAATACCTCTGCGCCTCATCCTCAGTGGCTTGTTCATAAGCCCTTCGATATCGCTCTTGTACCTCTTTTACCAAATCTTTTTGCTGTTGCTCTCCCTACGAGCCGACCTCGTCAGCCCAACTACGTCCTTTCTCCATGGGTGACGGCAAGCCAGTCAGGTCGTCCATATCCTTCGTCTCTGTAGTTGCTTTGGCCTTGGTGGAAGGTAATTCTGGGAAGTCTGATGCTGAAGGCGGGATATCGTCGCGCTTTTTCTGGGCTCCTGTCGGCCGCGAGTCAGACTCCCGGTAGTCGCCACGGCCACCCCTACCACCACGGCCTCTACCTCCACCACGACCACGTCCACGACTTGATTGTGCAACAGGCTCATGATAGTCTTCGGCCCCGTTGGATGCGTTGTCGGTTGGTCTAGAGGGTGCGATGCCACCATGTGCACCTCGGGCAGCACCTCGTCGTTTCTCCTCTCCAGTACCAGAGAAGCCATCCTCTTTCTCAAAGTCCCACTCCCTGCCCATCTGAGCATTGAGCTTGCGCTGCCGGTTCTTTTCACGCTCTCCCATCATCTGCTGACGACTCTGGCGTTCTGCCTTTTGTTTCTCGGCCAATGCCTTCTGTTCTGCCCTCTGTTTCTCAGCAAGGGCCTTCTTGCGTTCCACATCCTGCTTTCGCATGACGGCTTCCCGAGCCTCAAAGTTGCCCTTGTCAGCCTCGGCGCGAGCATGAGCGCTTTGGCGTGCTTCATTCTTGATGCGCATGTTGGCAAGCTTCGTATTCAGTTCCTCTTCTGTCAGGCGCGTACGGGCAGGGCCGCCAGTCAGGCCTCTATCGCCGCGCACAGCGTGTGTGGGCTTCTCCTTGGGCTCCGTGGGTGCGGAAGCAGGAGCTGAGGATTCTGGAGCATCGGCTCCGGCAGCGTTGACGGCTGGGGCGGGCGTCGCTTCCTTGGAAGCCTCGGATGCCTTCTTGTCGTTCTGCTCTAGACGAATGTCGGTGTTGTGTCCCCCACGACCTCTTCCGCGGCCTCGTCCCCTACCACGGCCACGGCCACCTCTCTCCGCGCTACGTGGCTCTCGGGGCGCATGCGGGGCCACATGTGCTTGGGGTGCTGTCGGCGGATGTACTTCGTCGGGTACAAATTCGGCGGCCGAAGGTTGCAGCTCGACGGGATTCTGCTCGATAACGGGCTCGGCGATTGGCGTAATATCGTCGTCGAAGAAAAGGTCGTCTGTACTTGCTGTCTGAGCGAATGGGTCTATTGACGGGTCGTTATAGGCGGGGTCGTAGGACGTCGCGCTGTCGGTCTAATGTCGGGTCAGCCTTGTATACCAGCGAAACAACCATGATAGCAGAGGAAGGTCTAGGGCCGGTGCATCGGTAAACATACAGTCGCAGACGCTGGTGCTGCGGCGCTGGCCTCTGGTGCTGCAGGAGCTGCTTTCTCTGCCTCATCGGGCTGGGACGCCCACTTGGACTTGAGCATGATGTTGGGTAAAGAATAGTACTAGAGTCAATCTAGAGATAGCGATCTGAAAGTAGTATAAGAGTCTTGTATGTTAGCGATGTCATGTGGGGAGTCTTGGTTGCGGCGGTTGGCCGAATTACTCGCAGGAACCCTCGAGTCCGTGCTGAACAGCTCCCCGCACCTGCAGTCCAGACCCTGACCATCCTTCCTTCCCCACGCTCCAGGTCCAGACATGGTAACTGGCAGCGGTTGTGGCCTACCTTTCCAGTCTCACACAACAATGGCGTCCAACATTCTTCTAGTCCGTAATGTACACATGGCGTTCACAAGTATCTTGGAGGTACTTGCTGCATCTTCCATCACACTGGTTGGCATGCACAACACGGTGAGTACCTTAAGAATGACATACAAATGCTTATTGGTGAACAACGTTAACGAAACAGAGTCATGACCATAGTCACTAGCACTTGGCGTGTCTAATCCGTTCAATGCATATCTTACATACTAATATGCTAATTATTACATGATACAAGGACTCTTGTACAACATCGGTCAATCTAGTCCTCATCAATTTCCACGGGGTATAAGTCGGCGTACAATACTAAGAGAATACAGACTGATCATAGAGCCTGCCGTTATGTGGGCTCATCCAAACGCTAGGGCCATATCACCATACACTACGTGGATCGACGTAGCTAGGCATACCAGATGATACGAACCAGACAGGCAGCTCTGGGGGCGGAGAGACAGAGTATCGTGTGGATGGCGTAAATGCCCGATGAGGGTCAACAGGCGACGATGCGCGGGATCGATGGGAGGATGTTGGCGATAAGCTACGCGAAGACATGACGCGACATCCTGTGAAAAGTCTCAGCATGTTGCTGTCTTCACCGCGATCATCTGTGGACGAGCTCGTCATTTGAGCATGATTATCGACGACAACAAGAGCCTGACCTTTGATCTTGTATCTGATGATAGCGGGATCCACCAACGGAGGTGCGCTAAAGGAGCTTTTGTCGTGGGAGAGACGCATCTCAGTCTCAACAGACTCCAATGTGCGAACCTCGACTGGCTTCGCGTTGACCCGAGCACCGGAGACAGAGGGCATGTGGCCCATGTTGACAGGGCCGTGAGGGTGTCTACCCGCATCGGGGAGGTTGACTATGATTTCGTCGCACTCTGTAGCCTCGCCGGAGTCAGGTGCAAAAGAGACAGACGAACCGAAGGCACCAACTTTAGTTTGGCCAGCATCCTTAACTAAGTCAAATAAGCGGAGGAGCGCAAGCGAGGAAGTGGTCTTGGTTGGTGTTGTCAAGTTGTCTTCGGTCAAACCAGTTATCATTGGCGTGATCTCGAAACAGTTGTCGTCCAGGCATTTAAGCGTTGACCTGAACGAGCTCAGCGCGTCAGTTTCTGAACGATCAGCCTCATTTGCAACCTCGTCTCCGTCGACAGGATGATGCTCTGCGTCAATGGATGCGGTATACTTGCAGCGAGCCAGCATCTGTCGCGGTGTCTCCATGTTATCGTATAGTGCGGCTTCCAGAGCTTTGCGGTGTGCGACGATATCAAGGGGCTGCTTGATCGTCATCTCTTTGATACACTCCTCGACTTCCTTCATCATGCTATGTGTCTCGCCTTCGTCAGCGGATTCGTCTTGCACGGGCGCAACGTTGGCGAAGACGACAGCAACAGGCGCAGACAAGGTTTTCTTCGCTTTGACCCCTTCAGCGGCAGCGGCACGTTTTGCTAGTGTCTTCTCCTTCTGGATCTTCTTGTGGTCTATGAGCCCCTTCGTCTTCTTGTTCGCGATGTCCTTAGTGCCTCTGGGTGTGGCCATGTTTGCAGCTAGGGACAAGATTCTGACTGAGGTCTCGTTAGGTGCTGTGTCAGTTGAGCCGGTGATGGTGGTGGGAGCGAGGGAGTGTTCGAGTGGTCCGCCGTATGCGATAGTTGAGATTGCCGCGAAAGTCCCAAGGCTGACCGATGCGCGCGTTGGGCGCATGAAAAGTTAAGCGGTGGTTGAACCCGAAGGAGGTTTAGTAAAACGAGTAGACTGGCTGGTGGAAGAGTGGACTGAGCCAGAATGGTGCGTGAGAAGGTATAGCAACGTATGCGAAAGATTGGATTATATCAACTCTAGGAGTCTTGTGTCTGTTCAGGCACCAGCACCTGGAGTGAGAAGCAGTGATGGAATGATTGATAGAGCAAGATCCGTGCTTTATGAACAAGAAGTGAATGGAAGAATCACTTTACTAGCCAAACTCGGATGTTGTTTGCGGGTCAGATGGATGAAGCCCTTGTCGTCACGTTGGGACCCCAGCAATCATGGCTATATCAAAGAGCCACCATTATAATTCATGGTGAATATGAAACGATCGTGCTCGCAGTCGCTATAGGCATACCAGTCGAATGTGGTGGTACGCCTCCCGGAGTGTATTGAGAAGAAGTAGAAGCTACGGTATCTGGTTTTCCTAGTGAAACATAGCCCAGTAGACCCGTTGACCTCTAGTTGTTTGGTGGTGCTCCGCTATGCTACTAGGTTGATGGTGGAGAGGCATTCTCATTAAAGAGAAGATTGAACTAGACTTTGCATATCTGAGAAGATTAAAAGAAACTCAAGAATACTTAATACTCATCAAGGACGAGAGGTTTTCGTGACATATGCTAAGGGAGACTAATGAGAAAGGTAGTGTGGATGCAGGAATGATATCGTTAGCACAACTCCTTGAGAGTACTGCTACAGCACGGTAATTTGAAACTTAACATGTCTATTAAAGATAAAGCGCAGTGTGACAACGAAGAAGGAAAGAAAGTAGCCACTAAAAAGAGGCAAGAAAGTGCCTGGATTCTGGACTTTGTTAGTAATTTCGTTGTGTGAGATATCGCAGTAATTGATGCACGACCTTTTAAGGTTGTAGGTTGCAGCAACAGTCGCCAGAGCTAACCTTGTCGACGAAACGCTGACTAAGCGGAATAGTAGACCTTATGATTCATCACCCTAGCCATCCCTCCCTCTGCATCAACCTTTACTTCGTTGTCGATCTAGAAATATGCCGACACTGACGGCAAATGATGGTGTTGGCCTTCACTACGAGACGTATGGCACCCCCGATGCCGCTCCCTTGATCTTGGTGAGCCCCCCACCATCGAGCACATGTCTTCCACGTGCCTGACCTGCATTGTCAGCTGCACGGCTTTACGGGCTCAGGCAAGGTCTTCAAGCGCAATATCTCCACATTGTCCCAGAGCTTCCATGTCATCGTCCCCGATTTGCGCGGCCATGGCGAGTCTGATAAGCCTAGAGCGGGCTACCACGTCGCACGTCTAGCCATGGATTTGAAGAACCTAATCGATTTCTTCAATTTGTGCGACGGCACGGTCAAAGCCATTGGCACAAGTCTGGGTGCAGCTATCTTGTGGAGCTACAGCGAATTGTTCACTACTCGCGCATTCTCGCACATGATCTTCGTAGACCAAGCTCCACTGCAGAACTACCTCGAAGACTGGGGTCTTGATTTTGGAAACCTAGGATGCAACTCCCTTGAAGCACTTCAGATTATGCAGAAGTCGCTCATTGAGAACCCCAAAGAGGCGCACCTTGGCACCATCGCAGCGTGCTTGGGCTATAGATCGCATCCACAGCCTAGCGACCCTACATCGAATTCTGTGGAATGGAAAGAGGATGAAGAGTTCTTCCTCTCACAGGCTCTGAAGGGAGATGGGTGGTGGTATGGAAAGTTGATGGCTGACCATACGGCAAATGATTGGCGGCATCCCATCGCGCAGTCGTTCGGATCCAAAAGTGGAAATCGAACAAAGGTATTGGTCGTGGCGAGTAGCCGAAGTGGATGCTTTCCTGCTGCAGGACCGTTGAAGGTAGTCGAACTGGTAAACGGAAGGGAAAAGGATGAGCTAGCTAAAGGTGTAACGGTGACATGGGGAGGCCATTGGTGTTATTGGGAGAAGCCCGACACGTTCAACGAGCTTGTCCTCGACTTCCTCAAATAAAAAGCAGATCATCGTCGACGTTACGCTGTCATGAAATCCGCCGGTGCAGTCCAGTAAAACAAGTTGTCTCTAGTGTCTATGCGATCGCAAAAGTATTCGTACTACCAGATCGGTAGGCCATGAGTCTTCGACAAAGACAAGTCGGACCTTGACACTCCGTTTCAACTGATGTTACGTTGCCAGCGAAGAGCAAAAGAAAAAAAAGAAAAAAAATACAACAGCGGGGATTTGCTAGTGGTCACCCACCTGACTACTAATCCGCCGGTGCACTGCTTGCATATGGCTGAGCGGACGGAAAGCCTGGTTCGTCACTCGTTCTGATACCATAAAGACCGCTCAATTATCTGTTTCCAGTATCGCGCAACCCGTAGGAAGCTCTTGCAGAAAGGAGAAGGGTCTACTTGCGTTACGTACGCTCCTTCGGGCTAAGCAACAGATCATCCCGAAATAGTGGAGCGCAGATAAGTGATCTACATCAGCTATAATCAGGGGTTTGACATTAGCCTACTAGCCTTAACAGTGAACCGCTCTGCTAGTCCTAGCAATACGGTCTGCTCACCAATCGTTCCCTCCACTAAGCAAGACGCGTAATGCCACCAACACAGTAGGCGCCATGATCGCCCGATACAGACAGCAGTCAGCCGGAACGTGTTGTCTGCCTCATAATTCCAGCTCTCAATCATGTGACCACTGGTCGGTCTATACTATGCACACCAAGCCGCCGTACCGAGCTCGCCTCTCTACATCCTCGACACTACTATACACTCAGTTCGCGGAGATGAGTATCTCAGCCGTGTGCACAATATATACCGTCCCATACATAGTAATAAGTGTTTGTCGATTTTACGTGCCTTTGCGTGAGCAGCCATACCATCCTGCATGTGTTCAACATTAAGAACCTAGACGTTACACCTGATATAAATGGCGGGCTTGTGCAGGACTTCCAGCGCCAGGATTTACCAGATTAGATAGCGGATTTGCTAGACATTCGCAGGATAAGGGGTCTTCAGTAGATTGTGTTGTCCAGATTTATTCAGAAAACTAGATGCGGGGTCTCACAGGGACATTTACGTTCAAGGTTAGACGTTGATAGATTGGACCATAGGGCTCTACAAGAATTCACAGCGCACTTGCAGAGCAGACAGAAAACATTCATCACGCATTAAAACCAAAAGTTCAGGCAGACGTCGACCAAAACGGTCACTCTTTTTAATAGTTCCTTCATCTATCTACACCCATCTACTGCTGTCACTACGTCTACTCCGCTACATCTTCCGTCCTTCTCATTCTTAAACGTAGACATACTTGATTGTGATGTCGGGAACGCACATGTCATTGTATGGCTGGGGAGCAGTGAAGGGAGCAACGTAAACTGGAGATGTCGGGGCAGGGGGAAGAGCAGCAACACTGGATGCAGCAACGCCAGAGTAGGCAGCAGCGCCAGAGTATGCAGCAACGCCAGAAGCAGCAACACCAGAGGCAGCAGCAACGCCGGAGGCAGCAGCACCGCCAGAGGAAGCAGCACCGCCAGAGGAAGCAGCACCGCCAGAGGCAGCAGCAACGCCAGAGGCAGCAGCAGCGCTAGAGGAAGCAGCAACAGTGGAGGAAACAGCAGCGCTTGAAGATGCAACACCGGCAACGCGAACAGACGAGGCGACGGCAGAAGAAGAAGCGCTGGGCGTAGGTGTGGGAGCGGCACATAGAGGGGCGGCGGCATTGATCTTTCCAACGGTCCAGTTCGAGGCGTCCTCGGTGTAGTTCTGAAAGTAGGTCAAGTGCACATTGACGTCGTCGCCGTTGGCACAAATTGGGTCTCCCTTACCGCAGTAAGAGCGCAGAACGGGTTCGTAGCGGTTCAAGCGCGCAAGAGAGGTGGCGTCGCGACCGCTCTTCTGTAGATCAGAGCCAGAGCCAACGTTGTATGGCTCGTTCTTCTGGTGCTTGACATCGCCCCAGAGGAGAGCAGCAGCAACTAAGTTACCACATTAGCACAGTCAAGGTTCGATTGTGTCATGTCAGGAATACTTACTAGCATTACCAGGAGCCGTGGTAGGGTCTAGACCAGTGGTGATCTGGGAGCATCCACCAGGTCCAGCAAGGACATCTCCCATAATCCAGGCACCCTGAGAGTAGCCATTGAGGATGAGGTGCGTGCAAGGGCACTTTTTGTTGAAAGCAGTGATCTGGGATAGACCGTTGCGGACACCCTCGCCAATCTGTTTGCAGTAGTCGCCGCCGTACGGGAATACAATCTCAATGTAGTCGCAGGTCTTGCCCTCAGCCCTTAGTTTGGCGCACGTAGCGTCGGCGTAGGGGAATGTACGCCAGTCGTGGTACGGCGCAGTGTTACCGCGGGCCATGAAGATGACGGCATCGGCGCAGGGAGCGTCGAGCTTGGGGGGTGGCGAGGCTGGGTCTTGAGCGACGGCGACGGCGGCGACAGCGCTGAGCGCGAGGAGGTTGCGGATGATGGAAGACATTATTAAATATTAAAGAGTGTGGTATTAATCGGTCGTCAAAAACGAGTGTACTGGTTAGGTTGCGAGGTTGGAAGACCTGTGAGAAGAAGAAAGTCCTCTTGGCTGCGGGGGGAACAGTTTAATAGGAGCGTTCATCCTGCATTCCAGCCGAACTGAGTGTCGACTCGGCTCGAACGGGCGGAAAAGGGTAGTGTGCCTGACTAGGTGGATACGAGTTGGATCCTTTTTTGGGGTGAGCTATCTATCTTGGGTCGTGCGCTAGCAGGAGCGCGGACAAACGTCGTATTATCGAGATTGAGGCTGACAGAAAGATTTTGGAGGATAGCCCGGAGGCCGGATGTGCCCTTGATAGATACCGATACCGTCAGACTCTGCTATCTTTGCGAAATGCGTCAACGGGACATCTGAGACGTTGCTTTTGAGGTTTGCATCGAAGCTAATTTCTAGCTCATGGGATCAAGCAGGAACCAAGAAAAATGCTAGCGTGCGTGTCAATGCTTGGTCGATCCTCCATATACGAAGGTATACGGCGTGGAGATTATACCCCTGAGCTTGTCCTAGATAAGACTCCATGCACGTCCCCTCGACCAGCCCGAAATGTCTTAGCTTTTACCGGAACTCTTCGAGGGCTGCCGTGCCTCATGCCAGACATTCGACAATCTAGATGCACTTCAATTGTTGGGCGCAGCCAAGTTTATCACTCACGCCACACTAGCTCCCAGGCTTGTCACACGTCAACAACACTAGTATAGCATATATGCTATACCTCCGACCTCCGGTGCCGACCTTTTCGTAAACCACAGCTCTTACCAATCTATACTTCAGAAAGAGCAGAGACATACATCATGTGCCTGAACTTTCTACCATCAGCGACAGCTCAGACGGAGCAATAGAGGTTGACGATAGCCCTCTGGAAGAGTTCGGTACACTGCTTGTACATACCTGAGCGGACGGTAAGCCTAGCTCTTACTTATGCAACTATCACAAGTCCCTCAATTTCCTGTATGCAGCAATCTTCCTATCTGCATACCGATTATGAGCACAAATACTCAGGTTATCAGCTCTACTGCCGGCAGCCCCTTTGTTGTGATCAGCACCTTGCCCACTGTCCAAGTCTGTCTACTCGACCATCTCGTTGGCGCCCGCGCGTCATGCAACATTGCACGAGCTGATGCATAGAGTACTCGCTGTCGCCACTCGATTTGGCAGATCGGTTCCGGACAGCCAGCAGGTTGTCATTTTGGACGTGCAAAGCATGTGTTGCTTGAGGGTAGGCGGATACGCGAGGTGGGTCTTAGGTGCAGGGCCCGGTGGCTCCAATTCGCCGCCCGTAGTGTGAATGTCAGCTAGCCATGCCTTCGCGTAAGCCATTGGCGCAACGATGAGAAGAGGGGTATGATGAGTTCGAATGCGTAGGGAGGAATGTGTAGGTGACAAGATGGACAACGGCAGAAGAAGAGTCGTGCATAGTTACGCTGCTCCTGAGTTTCAAGCTTCATGGTGAACCATGCATTCTTCGCACCACAACTGGACATCGAAATTCTGTTTCATCGAGGTTATCTTGTCCATCTGTCCCATGCACGACCACGAGAATCGCCCACCAGAGTCCTCTCCTGCTTCACGTAATCCTAGCTGAAACATCTGCAGCTAGTACCAGTGGAATTTCAGCTTGAGCGGGGAAATGTTGGTCCGCACGTCCACACATGAATCTGCTATCCATCTTAGAATGCCAGGCTACACATGGTATTCTTTCAAAAACCCATGCGTATTAGCTCAGTTTCCATCGCCCTCGCTCTTTTTCATCGTGCTTTCGATGCATCAAGTTTGCATAAACGCCACTGATCATTCAGCCGTACCTGAGAACGGCTATGACATTACAGACATGTCTCTATATAAGGCAACACAACAGCCTGGTGATAACCTTAACCAAAGCTTGTATTCTGTCCTCGACCTTGTTCTGGGAGATACTGATAATCTTCAGTTTCCCAGTCTGCAAAAGATAAGAGGTCATGATGATCATGGGGACAAACCAGGCGAAGACAGTCTTACCGTTCTAGCGCGTATGTGAGAGGAGGCTAGTATACAGTACTATAATACCACCGAGATGAGAGCAGATTGGATCCAACAGTTGAAGGAGATTAAGTGGCGGGGGCATGGGAAATATTTTGGGTAAGACAGAATGGTGTTTTGGATAATTTGGGAAGATGAATGCTGCTTGTGATGAAAGAGCCACCTGGCCTTCTAGTGTGCTAATGCAACCATAATTACAGGCTACGCGAGTGCTAGACGCATATTAGCTAACAGGAAAAGATTAAGTTCGTTAGGGCGTATGAATGAAGAAGACAAGATAGCTAGGAGTCTCACTCGAGAGGCGGCAGTAGAAGCAATAGAAAAGACGGAAGAGACATTAAGCCGTATCTTGGCAGCAACCTATTCTCAAAGCTAGCGCGTCTCTACTGAAGCGAGGAGCATTAGACGAACACAGAATAAAGAGTGACTATTAATGACGGCTTGAGGCTATAGTGGGGCTGCGGCGATGGAGTAGTGTTTCCTGGAGAGAGCGCCCGAGGGCGAACACCAGCTAAGTGTCTTTCAAACGGCACCGCGAGTTTTGACGGATAGCAATGAGGACTAATCATCAGTGTCGCGCGGTCGTATATGGCGTAGCGAACGATTTTTGCATTTATGAAGAGCCTGGAGAGTCATCGGGGTGACTCAACTATTTGGCGAGTGGTAGAAAATGTGACGAACTGAACCGCATCAACGTACTAACGCGCTGGCGCTTAGTACGGTCCAACCAGTTTGCGCTTCAGAGCCTTTTCTTTCCATCATTTCCGTCTACAGGTTCCTCTTTCTCTTTTATTCCAGCATATAACTCATGCGGTTCAATCTTTCCCACGTCTTCCGCACTCAAACCTGCATGCCTGAACCGCTCTCCCTCACCACCCAAATCCCCCCACTGGATCCCATTGTCCGGAAATCCGTCCAGTGACGTCGTCGATGCCATGATCACTCTCATGCTGCCAAACATCTGCGGGATAAAACCCTCGCGCTTATACGTAAAAGCCCACCAGCACACAGTTGTCATCAAAAGGATCAGAAATGTTGCGAACCACAGAGGATAGGCAGCCCACTTCAGTATGTACTTGGAGTGCTCGACGTGTCGTCCCGGGCTGTCGTCGATCCAGATAGCTTCATGCGCTTGCAAGGCCTCGCCGAGCATCCAGTGGGTAAGGGTAGAGTAGGCCATGATGGGAAAGAGGATCTTCTTGGGCAGTTGCAGCAGGTAAGTCTGGTTGAAAGAGGTACCAGAGACGAGGGTCGTGCGGATGCGTTTGCGGCGGTATTCGAGTTTACCCCAGTCAGATTCTTGCGATATGAGTGTGATATTGTATATCATCATAAGATAGAGCAGGGAGTATATGAACTGTGCAGCGTTGGAGCTATATGATGTGAGCGTGGGCGTGGCAACTAGCGAAGCTGGGCAATGAGTATAGCTTACATGCCGAATGCTATGAATTCGTTTGACAGGTTGTCTGGAGCAAGCGAAGTGAGTGTTAGGGAGCGGTTAAAGCCTCCAAAGCCGCCAGATATCGATTCGAAATACTCTGTTGAACTCTTGTGGCATCCCAGATATTTTGGGGCATCGGGTCCATACTCCTGACAATATCTGTTCCGGTTGGAAGCGGAAGAGCCCAAGCTATTTGGACCTCTCAGTAGAGAAACTCACCAAGGGTATGCTAACTTACATTACAGCAGTCGTCAGCGTAGCGGTAAGAAGTGCAAGGCTACAGAACATCATAATCAACATTTGTGTCAACGCTGTGTTCCCGAGGTTGCTGATCAGACTCTTTTTGATCTTGGTTGCGATGGTAGGTTGTGGGAGATTTGCAAATTTGTCCTCTGTGTTCCACTTCTTGCATTTCTGGCAGTGACCAATCTCGTCTGTATATGTGTCAATGTTACAAAGTCGCTGGAATTGGAGATATGTTCTTACCACCTGTTTTGGATTCTTCATGATTGAAACAATGCTTGTGACAGGTATGTGAATACAGTCGACGAAAGCTATCAGTAGCGTTGACCATACACTCTCTACTCATCGTTAGTGGATTAGCTGATAGTGTGGAAGGAGAATACAGACCCTTGCAACCTGAGCTCTGGATCAGCTGCAGACGCAACAATCACATCACCGAATGTCAGGCAATGCTGCTTTACCTTGCCACGAGCTAACAGATTGACAGCACACATGTACACCGCTTTAATGACCAAGCAGCCCATGAGCACAAACGCGGCACTCATGCGGACGTTGAGACGGCATTTAGATGTCGTTTGTTCGTGGAGCGTACAGATGACATCCTTTCCCATGGAACAATCGCCCACCCTGTAAGCGGATGGATAGGAATACCGGTATACTATTTCACTTTTTTCAAGGGCATCCACTCCTTTGAGCTCGATAGTGCCCTTATGCTGTGCACAACGTTCCGTGGTATAGTGAACCCTCATTTGGCGCCAAGACATGTCGAAGTTTTCCTGGGATTGGTCAAAGATACCATCATTCGTCGAGACGTCAACGAAATGTATCGGATAGTGGGACTTTCCTGAACCTATATCGACAATGTGATTAGCATGTGCCATCTGCGTGCGGATATCTGCCCGTCGTATGAGAACATTCAGCGTGCGTTTATGCTGTGCATGTTGTTTGCAAGCACCAGACGCATGACTTGGAAGCATGACTTACTGCTGAAGGTTAGTATTGACCACAAACATTAGTGTCGCCGTCAGGTCCGTACCGGAATGCGCTCCAACATGGAAAGGATAAATCACCGTTTAGATAAAACCCGCCACTCAAATCTCTGAGCGATGTGACGTTGAGTTCTGATGAATCCACAGGGTAGAATTCGACGACTTCAGGCAACTCCTGGGTGTATGAAGGGCCTATGAGGGAGTTTGCGAGAAAGTGTACTGGCATCGATGTAAAGATTAAGAGAAACCACGCAGCCCATGCGCGCTTTTTGCCTCTTTCCTTATGCCGGATGTTCAACGGCGAATTTGTTCCCACTCTAGAGTCTCCAAATTTTGACAACGCATATTTCAAGTCGCTTATTCTGAGAGAAGTGACAATTTGCTGATAAGTGTTGCTCATTCCCAGGACCATGGTCGCGCATACGTTGATGAAGAGTAGGCAAGCTGTGTTAGTGTGCGTGACTCTCTTGCAGGAATCTGGCTCCCCACCAACGGAGGTAGAACCTACATTCGTGCGGTTGACTACATGCTCAATGTTACATGCGATCAGGACAATCATACCGAGTGCAAGAGCGCTCATCGTTATGGCCATCGTACGGAATGACCGATCGCTCAACAGCTGATCTTTCCAAATACCACGACCAACTCGTGCGGGCTCAATGTCGGCGGCAGCATGCCTTCTAATGGAGCCTCGGAGATATTTTGGCAGTGGTCGCCTTCGGAGGAGGTTCTTCAATTTTGCCGTGCTGCTTCCAGTAGCGGTCGATCGGAAGCTTTCGGAGCTTTTTCTGCTAGAGCTGTCTGGGCCATTGTGTTGTTGAGTGGAATCGTATTGCGGAAGATACGGTGATGAATCGGACGGAGCATACTGCGAAGAAGAAAGCCGCCGCAACGGCATCTGCGAATCTTGCGTATGGAGTAATCCGATTGTATCGCAGAATTCGTCGTTCACGGACAACCTTAAGTTAGATCAGCATGTCTGCCATACCTCGAATTAGCCTACCATGACCTACTCGGTTATATCCTGGCCGTGTCTGGATACATGGGGAGTCAGTAGCCGATCGTAGCTCCAATTTTTGGCCATCGTTGTAGCCTGTTCCAGACCACGCCTAGAAGCTCGGTCTCTTGATAGGCTATCTTTCGAGTTGTTCGAGTGGACTTGTGACAGCGCGTCAGCGACTGAATCTTGTTGTTGCTGTCACACACCCACAGCAACGAAGAAAAAAAGAGTGGTGCATGTAGTAATCTTAGATGAAGAGCAAGGTAGCAGTCTGAAGTAAACGGCACCCCGTCGCCGACTCGAAGCTTGGAACAGCCCAGCCAAGACCAGCCACCTCACAAAGCGGACACTTATCATTGGGGTACAACCTGAGAACTCCGGCGTGCAACCCTGAGCCGTGCGTGTGTCCTGTAAGCGACCCCTGTCGCGGCACATGAGTGCATCCCGATACTGTTGACTAGTACGGTAATCTTTCGATCTGAGCCAAATAACGATTGAGAATCGGTCAATATGCACAAGGAAATCATGCATGTTTGATCTCGAGGGTAGTGGGCCAATGCTGTGTACACACTCAGTCAGCTTGCGCGGGATCCTGGCGCTGTGGCGCCTGCATGACGCTTTGAAACTCGCCTCCAGCCCTAAGATCGAATAGTGGAGGGTAGGCAGGGCCCAGAACTTGAAATAATCGTGTGGGGGCCGAAATCTCGAAGTTTGAAAGTAGCTCCCGTTAATTCCTTTAGGCTGTATGGTGGTGGTAGTGGTGGACAGTGGTGTGGTGGTTGGAAGATTGCAAAGACCGTTCAGCCGCATGACGCCAACGTGCTCCACGCCAGGCCGCCTGGAAGTTCCGATATACCCGATTGTAACAACGTAACAGACGGCACATAGACGCGGATATTCTGATCTCAGTATTTTACGGTCTTTCGTGGGAGATGCAGTAGTTCAGTAGACTCTACAACTGGTCGCTAGTGGTTTCAACTAACGACTTGGAGTTCATGACAGTACTGACCGTTCCGTAAAAGCAACGTGGTCGATCCCAAGAATTACAATCTACGCATCTACACAAACGCTGTTACCGCTGCAGCCCGCACGGCGATCAAACACGGTCAAGTCTATTGGGTTGACCGATGGCTCCATGAATCAATTGTTAGTGTTAGCAAGTTGGACGGATTTCTCTTTATACGATGAACAAACTATAGCAGGAAGCAGTCGAGTGTAGGTACTCCACCTAACAAGATTGATTTGATTTTGAGACTTGGCTAACGGAAGCTCGAAGAGAAAAACTCTTGCTGTAGATATAGCATCATTTCCTCATACCTGGGAGATCTTGAATCCTCCAGGCAGTAGTCTCTGGTAGACACCGAAGGGATCGTACTTCTTTGCGACCTTCTTCATGAACAACACCTTGTCAGCACCGTAAGCTGAAAGTGGATCTTGGTCCTTGTCGGCATAGTTAAGGTAAATGTATTCTACTCCCGTTCCCTTTTCTGAGGCAAACTTCTGGATGCCATCGGTCAACATTTTACCCAGGCTAATGAACAGCTCGTCATCCTTAGCCTCAGACCAAAGCAGGTAAGACTGGTACATGATAAAGTTCTCGCTGTAGCGCTCCATGCCCAGCACGTTGCCGCCTCTGGCTGTACTGTTCGCGGTGTAGCTTGTGGCAAAAACCTGATGTAAGCACGAGACGCGCCATTGGCCAGAAGCCTCGGCTTGAAGCTTCGTAATGACAATGTTGTATAGACGCGCTGTCTCCTGGAGAGTCTCAAGATCAATCTTGAACGAAATAGTGCGAAATTGAACCCTGGTTACTCAGTTTAGCGATATCCTCACAACATAGCGGAATACATACCGTTTAGTTGTGTCACTACCAAATTCTGCAGCAATTGCACTCATTGGCTGAATCTTGGTCGAATCGGTGAGAGTGTTATTGACTGCAAAGAACTCGTTGTATGCAGCTGGGCGAACCACAGGCTTGGTGTAATCGAAGGCGGCTCTTACGACGTCCACAGGACTGGCTGTTGAGTATCCTTGAAAAAGTATCAAAGCAGCATTTGGGTCTCTGTTTGGGTCGAGACCAAAGTTGACAAGCGACTTGAAGTGTTGATTCACAGTGGATGCAGGCCAGGAAACAATACCTCCCCAAAGGTTCTCGTTCTCGAAAGTGTCCATGTCGTATCGTGTAACAATGCCAAAGTTGCTGTTGCCGCCTTTGAGAGCGGTAAACAGGTCTGCATTGGTCCGCTTGTTGGCATTCACGATACGGCCATCAGCCAGGACGACTTGGAAGTTGATCACGTTATCGCAAGATAGTCCAACGCGAGGCGCGTAGTGTGATATTCCACCACCAAGCAAGAAGCCACCGACCCCGACAGTACTTCCGCGGCCTCCAGCTACCATACGTCCTAATGGCTCCAGAGTTGCGTAAACGGAGCCCCATCTCGCAGCCGGTAAAATGCTTGCTGTCATGGACGTAACATCATAGGTGGTTCCATTCATATTCAGCATATCAATCGTGACTCCATCTTCGATGTTATTGGCCCCAGGGATCGGAGTGTGGCCACCGGATCGCACGGCGAACTGGCAAGTCTTCTGTAGATCAGCAGCCACAAGAACCTTCACGATCGTGGAGACCTCCTCGGCAGTTGTGGGTTGCACAATGCAGTCGGGCGTTAATTTGCTCTTTCCATCGAAATAAGAATTAAGACTAGCATTGTATGAGTTCTGACCCGGGTAGGTTACGCGCTTAGCTACAGGACTTGAAGTCAGAGCCGTGCACTGGAGAACGTCAGAATAGCAACAAAAGATGATGTTGAGCTTACACAGTAGCCGGGGGAGAGCCATTGGACCGTGGGCGCGCTTCCGTTAACACTTCGAGCGCACGTTACGTTGAGTAGGGCCGCAAAGAACAAGGTAACGCTCAGATAGAACATGGCGGACGGACAGGTTGTGGTCAGCTATCAACAAGGAGGTCGTCTGGGTTGGAAATCGACTAAAAATCTCGATCATGAGTCTTTTGACATTGCTCCCACGAGCTGGCTAGATGCTCGTCGAAGACAGGAAAAGTCATTGACCGAGGTAGCAGGGTTGCGGATATCATGATCTCTGCGCTTCCTACGATTAGACCGTTAATGGCCTTCGTGCCGACAGCACAGACCTAGAAAAGCGGATTTGGAGTCTGCAGTGGGCTTCGTGGCGAGATTTAGCATTGTAATCATGGGAAAGAGCGGGGAATACAAGTGATAGAAGGAATCTCAGCGGAGGAACTAACTAATCAAGCCTAGACTAGTCCCAACAAGGTAACGTCCAGGCTGGGCCCTGCGGCAACGGCTGCGGTGCGGATCGCGGAGTAGCGTCCACGGAGAAACAGACACCAAGACCACTGTGCCGTCGTACCAAGCAAACTCAAATGACCCAAGCGTTCTTCCAAACAAGAGTAAGTATGAATGCGGTTGAAGAGGCGCTTGACTCGCAGCCCGCTCGCCGGCATTCTTCGCGCCTACCCCACCTTTCCAACTCCGCCCAGCAGAATTGCTCTACCTTTTCGTCGCAGCAATTTGTTTTAGCATTGCTCCTATGATCGAAGAGTCGCATCGTCAACCGCGATGATCTTGATCAGGTCTGGAAACAAATCTCGTATCCAGCCTTGATAGTAATCAACCTCGTCTGCCTTGTTGTCAGGCGATCAATGTCCACCTCCTCCCAAATTTCCCTTTTATGGAGTCATTTCTACTCCCCTGATGGATGCTGTTGATGAATCGAGAGAAGGCGAAGCAGTACCCCATTGTCCATTTTCAAATCCGTGAGGACACGACGAAAGACCCAAGAGCTTTGCAGCGTCGTTGTACCACTCACCATTAAGCAGAGTCCTTTCGCTTTCCCGAATAGCCTGGATGTCCTCATGCCTCCACCAATTCGGCTCTGGTTGCTCTCTGGCCTTAAGAAGGAGGCCAAGGCAGATGATATCAGGCCGACAGGGCTTCTCTTTGCTGTCGATTCCACGGCCTGGTCTGCCTAGATTCCGAGTCCGCATGTTGTTCAGAGAAATAACCATCGAGACGTAGCTGGACTCGTAATGAGCTTTGAGCTCTTCTGGAGTAGCGTCGAGCTGCTGAAGCCTTTGGTTGACGTAAAGGTACTGGTGCTCGCAATAGCCTTCGAGCCAAGTCGCGATGGCGTGACTATCCGCGTCCATGAGGATTAAAGAAAGCTCTACGGCCGCTAAGACGAACTGGTCAGAGATTCCTCCATAGACCCTTTTAAGTTGCTTGGCATAGTAACTCCTTAGTGTTTTTGAAGGTCTTGGGGCAAAGGCAGAATTGTTCTCGAGGCTTCTCCAGATTGGCTCGTTCATCTTGAAAACTAGACCTTTAGGGTTGAGACCTTTGTTCCTGCCTAGAATACCCATGCCTAAGCAGAGACCTTCACCCGCAAAGCCGTCAACAGTGATCGGCTGCGACTTCAGGAGATTGGCGGGCACCGAGGATATAGCGCGCGATACTCTGGGAACAAAGCCAAGTTGTTCCCCCCAAAACAGAGATACCGTGGCTGAGTTCTGGTACCCATCTTGGAAGATATGTTCATTTCGCCCTTCACGTGATATGGTCTCTTTTCCCGCATGCACACTGTTGAGTATATCAGTTGGGTCTTCTCGAATGCCTTCAACTCTCCAGATATGCCAGCCATAGTCATCGGACGGAGTCTTCTTTCTGTCGGATACTCTGACATTCTTCGAGAGGTTTGCCCAGTCCTTCTTTGACCCACAATAAGCGATATGATCCCTTTTGATAGCAGTGCGGCTGGGCCCCGCCCATGCTGAGTACCGGTTCCTGATGTAGTGACGACTGCGCCATGACGGCACAGTGTACCGGACTATTGCCAACAAAGTTGTCGATGAGAGGACAAGGATAGAGATGGCTTCATTATTGTTTCCAGATGCGAATGACAGTGTGATCAGAACTAGCGATATGAACAGAAACACTGATATCACTGTCCACCACCAATGCTCTAGTTTTGCTAGCCGAAACCTGAAGGTCCATGAGTTCGATGACTCTGTCATGGATGCTAGAGTAGTGACAAGGCCTTGGAGAAACGCAGTAAACGTCGCGAGACCGATGGACGACCAGAGGAAGGCGATCGACGATTCCTCACTTGGACGGAAGATAGCAAAGTCCGTTTTTCTAGGCTCGTTCCTTAGGTGCTGAGCGACTTCAGGAACTCTCTTCAGCGGAATAGCAAGGGTACCAAGAAAGAACATAGTGAAGCAAAGGATAAGATTTCTGCGACTGCCGCCATCCATGGTGTCGAGATATGAAGGGTTCCAATGTGGTTCTTCCAATGATACGCCACCAGTGAATATATCCTGTAAGTTGAGTTGGAGGATGCTGTCTCTTTCGAATTAGATACGTGACTGAGCGTCGGTAAGCTTTGCTGCTCGAGATGGGTACACTGGTAGGCGGGCTCGGAATCGGATCTTAAGTCACGACCTATCTAGGTACATTGGAACTGGACTAATTGCCTTAACCCACGCGAACATCACTTTGTGGCTTGCGTGAACCGCGATGGCGCTCTTGTCTGCCCCGTTGCCTGAAACTTTACTCCAGTGAAAGTTCATTGGCTGCTGTTCACCAATCAAAGTCATTACAGTTGTTGCAAAAGCTCAGCCGACCAGCCACTGCATAAATCACCCCGCTTCTGGCTAATCAGACAGCACCAGTCTGTCTCTACCCAACCATGATTGTAAACCCCTGAGTCGCTCGTATCTGCAGTGATATATTGGTGTAGCAGATGTTCAGCTGTCCCTATTTACACAATGCTTTAGTGATCAATTGCAATGAACAGATTGCACACAATGAGCACGTTGTCAAGACATTCTGTTCAAGGGAACTGAAGTAAGATATAGGGTTCTTTCACCCCTTGACAAAGCTGATGAAGTAGGCAGAGGACAGCCTGATCTGCAGCGCCAACCGTAATAGATAGATACAATTCCTAATCGTTCGGGATTTGAGCTGCTCGGAGCTCGATTGCCTTCTGATCTGTCAATGCGCCGCTTCTCTTGAGGTACAAAAACTGCCTTGGAGTATATGAGTGGTCTTGAACACATGCACCACAGCTTGCTGAGCTCTCCAGGTAGTTGTAAAGCGCTCATCAAGGTTATGCCCTAGTACTGTGAGTGGTAGTAAGGGTTTAAGACGAGACGCTCGTCCCCCTGCTCAAGTGCAGCAACAGATTGCTTGGAGCATTCTCGCAAGGCATAAACGTCTCTGGTCAAACTAAAAGCCAAAGCTACATGGGGCTGCTAGATGATGGCGCTTACCAAATTTTGCAGAGAGGCGCCATATTCATGTCTCTCTGCTTGCCTTCGACCCTCGATCTGACCCGAATATGCCCAATCTGGTACCTTCACATTGTCCAACATACATACAGCATCGAACACAGTAACTTCTGGGCGTATGCTCGCACGTCTGTGAACAAGGCTAAGGCTGATGAGCATAGCTGCATAGTGACCTCGATAAAGTCTGACCAGATCTCCTGGTGTTGCTCCAGAAGCATGAGCTTGAAGATTGAATGCTAGATCTTGATGTTCAAACTGTTTGTCCAGCCAAACATCCACCATATTGGAATCCAGGTCGGCTAGCAGTAAGGCGAGTTCCGTCACGGCCGTGACATACGCATCGCCTAGCAAGGAGAAGGCCTTTTCGAATTCTGCGTGGTAAAAGCTTCTCAAAGTCTTTGCTGGATGCGGCCAGATTCCTGCCTCTTCCCAAGATCGAAACGAATTCTTCGCTTTCAAGTTGCAAATCAGTGAATGTGGATCCGGTCCCTTATTCCGTGCCATAATCCCGAAAGCAAGGCACACGGCCTTACCGCACAGTCCGGACTTTAGCTTTGGAGTGGTACTCAAGAGGTAAGGAGGGATCGAAATAACGCCGCGACTGCACCGTTCTTGGAAGCCGAGGTGTTCACCCCATAGGAGTGAAGTTGAGTCGTTATCTTGGCCATGTTGGTAAACTCCACGCCTTTCGGTGCTAGCTGGAACCCATTTGGTGCCTTCAACACGATCCATTTCAGCCCTTGATCGAAGCAAATCTGTCGGATCTTGGGGGATTCTTTGGTTCGTGTAAAGGCTCTGCGCAAATCTCTCTACAGGATGTGGAAGGATCTGAGATGCGTGTTTTGCTAACCACTTCCAATCTTCTGCATCCCCTATGTATGTCGCCACCTCTTGAGGAATTCCAGTGCGACTTGGCCCACACCATGCCTTCTGCCGAGTATGTAGATACGTACGTGTAGAAAATATACGAATTGCGAACTCGGCAGTGACGAGAGCTATGAGACCCATCAGAATATATGGGAGCGCCATGCGGGTCTCAAATACTGGGCTATTCGGAGGGTTCGTATTGTTCAGAAGCATCCCTTGCATTTGTGTGACGATCAAGGCATCGTAAACAACGTGGAGAAGAGTGGTCGAGAAGGAGATAGCCCATAGCGGTAGCAGGTAGGGTTGCCAAAACGAAAGCCGTAGACGTAGTGTCCACAATTCTTGTTTCTCCGCATACTCTGACACCCTCCAACCGAGGAAAGATACAACCGACAGTATTATTGAAACGATGTCAAGTAACATTAGCAAGGTCATGATGCCTTCTTGCAGTCCACTACGTGAAAGAGCAAAAGTTAGCATCAAGTACTGAGTTGCTTGCCAAGCACTAGAGGAAAAGAGGATGACGACAGTGGAGGATGTGCAATTCATCCTGCGACGCTATTGGTGGCGATTCCGAAGACACGTTGCCACCCCGCCTGCGTGCATTCGTGAGGGCATCACAACACCATGCACCTGCGCACTCGAGCAATGGGGAAACACCTTCCCTGTGCAGATACCTATGCGCTAGCACTTCAGTCTTGATGCATGTCCTGATGGCCAAATGCCATGATGTCGCTCACGGTATAATTCCCAGTCAAGATGTCCCCGGTTGCGTTCTCAAGGCTCCTCCTTACAGCCTCGGAAGTACTCTGGATCGGTGGTTTACTTGTATAGTAACTACGATAATCTCCATGCACGAGTAGACCACGTCTCTGTCCACAGAAAGCTAAGCGGCTCGCCAACGTGTGTCGCTTCCAGAAACGCCTGCATATTAGTGACTGTGGTGATAGGCTCGGCATGGGCACTAAAGTTCAAGGTCGCTTAGAGCAGTGTTACCATTCGCGCTGGTATGCTTCAGCTGAAGTCCTGAAAGCCACTGATCACCTCATTAACGATCTCACACGTTCAGGCTCGCAGATCTGGAGTGACCCCGAAGGGGCTTATCTACACGCGCCCTCGGTCGATCGCTATTTGATCATCGACACCTCAGCAAAAGCAAAAACGAACGGAGGTTTGGCTACGCATTCTCAGCCGCACTTCGTACCTAAGCAACTATTCAAGTAGAAGAAATTTTATCAGTAAGATATGCGATCCGCAAATCAGTCGCCGAAATCATTTGCGCCCATCCTGTCAGCTCTGTTATGTCGCTATGGAGTAGCGCTAGATTTGATAGAGTGGAGCCACGGGCCAAAGACCTATGCATTCGTTGATCGGTAATGATAGAAAACCTCCTACGCATTCATTTCATGACTTCCTACAGGTCCAGGATCTCGACCTAGATCATACATGCAGGTTTGGCTCTAGAGTAAGTCAAAGACCTTTCTCTTGCTTCCTTCATCTTTCCATGTTAACATCGCTTCCCCACTCATCAACCCCGCAACGTAGCATTCCCCAACTAACTTAAATCCCTGACTCACAGTTCTAACCACATATGTTACACTTCCTCCAAACAATATCGCAATGATATCCCCTTCTTTCATCGCGTCTGGCCCAATGCCCATCAAGCCATTTCTAGTCATGAAAAATCGTCTATCGACGCAAGCCCGAACGAAAGCCTCATGAAATCGCCCAGAATCCGCGCTCTGCCTCGAGGCCCGTGGCATACGTTGCAATAAGGACGCGATGCAAGAGATTTGGGTGTGCTGCGCAAACCAACTCACAGCGTGGCCAAAGAAGCCCGGGTCGTTGTCCTGGCCAGCCGTCAGTGTTTGGATGAATGTTCTAATCACGGCCTTGTCCGCGTTTGAAGCTGATGCTGTTTCAAAAGGCTCCACAAGTCCCCATGCCATGTTTACGAAGTCGACCTCTTCTTGATACGTCACATAGCCAAAGCCGTAGCTTGCAAGCTTGTGACCGTAAGCCGCTACATGGTCGACATCGATACCCTCGAGCGAAAGTATAGCAGAACTATCACTGAAACCCATGGAGAGCGACCCATTTCCGCTCGCATTATAGTTCTTGGCAGATGGCATAATTGTCAAGGTGTTCGAAGCTCTGTTTTGACGCCAATCTGGGACCCATGATGGCCATGATGGCTCCAAGGGTAGTCCCGCGTCCGAAAGGACATCGAGACTCCCGTGTTCAATGATCAAGAACCTAGCAACATCACGGTATACATCGAGGACGGGCTTCTCATAGTCTGGTTCGAGAAGCTGGTGAAACCCATGTACTTCGACATCAGCTAATTCCGTTGCTATGCCAAACGTCGCATACACTTTGTCTTTGGGATCTGTGGCCAGTCTGTTGCGAAATGCCTGGAGCAAATCTAATAGCGCAATCTGCCTGCCAGGCGAAGAACATTGCTTCCACACTGAGACAGCCTTGGCAACTGGCAAGAGGTCTTGTTGATCTCGAAGTTCGTATTTCAATACTGCAGGCAAGGCGTAGCCCTTGGTCTGGAACCATAAGGCCGCATCTCCGATGGCTGCCCAATCGACTTCCCAGTCGCCTATCAACACCATTGCTCTGCTCGCGAGGACTGCCTCCTGCACCACCCACACCCTTTCAAACCAGGGGTTCGTGAAAAAGTCACGTACGATTTCCCAATCCGGCGCGTTTGGCTTGGGAAATCCGTACGCTCCGTTGCGCTGGAGTGAGTTTTCAGCGGGTGTGATGGAGGCCAATCTGTTCTGTGGCCTTTTCACGTTCCGCAGCGCTTGCGCAATGAAGGAGAGCAAGACTGGTATTCGTCCATACGTGCTGATGTGAACACCAGACTCGGCGTCGAATTTCGAGATGGAATCTGGTAACTGCTTGTCTTCTGCTCCGAGCCATATGGTGACAGCCGCAGCACAACTATAGATTTTACCCATCATCTTGACCTGGCTTGCTCTCTCCTCATGATTGGTCTGATCTATACAGAGAGCATCGATCCACAACAGGCTCTCTTTCTCCCATTCACTTTCTTGATATCGCTCGTGTCGGCTTCGTGCGAAACCTTTCCACGCGTTCTTGCTAGAATGTAGTGGGTGATCTTTAGACCAGGGTACGACAGAGCGCCATCCTGGGGTACGTCGCAGATGTATGAGAGTATCGGCCAATCTTTTGGTGATAACCATTTCCGCGCCATTGCAAATTATAGAGGCTGCGTCGCCGGACTCACCCCAGACATACGAGAGTGCATGATATGGGGGCGACTCAGCCAGGTTGGCCACAGTGATCAGCGCGCATTCTATGGGCTCATCCTTGAAGCCAGGTTTCACAAACAAAAGTCGAATAGCATCGCTACCGAGAGGTTCGTAAACGGTGTGTCGGACGCTGCGCAGAGGCATAGCGCGACTGGGGAACGCGTGCGTGGATTTGCGAGGGCATATACGCAGAGAACAGTTCTCGTAAGTGGTTTTCCAGGTAGTAAGACGAGTTGGTGCCAGACGAAAACGCTATGAGGTGAAGTGAGGAAAGTTGCTTACGGCTATTGAAGCTGGTGTTCATTGTAAGGCCGCCGTCTTACCTGAGCAGGTGGGGGCTGATAGCGCTTACATCCCAAACAAAGGAGTGGCGTGCACAGCTTCCGCCTCAGCCTGCCAACTGCGCGTCGAAGTGGCTATGTCGTGAGAGCTAACCACACCGGAGTCAGCATTACCATCTCTTCATCCTGCACGCAGAGTTCATTTGTACGCTGTGCTGCTTATCTACAACAACAAGTATCGTATCGCAGCCTATTGCGGTCAACAAACAACGATGGTTTTCGCGTTCGACCCTGATGTTATTCGGGACAGACTGAGGACGGACATAAGTTTGCGGAATCTTTGTAAGCCACCTACCTAGGAATCGATAGTCGGATACAGAGACAAAACGTGTTAACGCCGACTAGCAATATATGCACAATGGTACGGCGCGCTCATGACGGATCATGGTAAGCGACTGATCATCATAGGATATCTGTGACTGCAGCAGCCCTATTATATCTTCCTACGTTCTACGCACTTTATCGCTATCTTGTCATCCTTGATAGCGATGAAGTTCATGGCTTTATGTCATTGCTTGATCTTACTCTGGACTTGGGCCCCTTGAACCTGTACGTAGTAAGGCAAGAACTACATCACATATGTCTTACAAGCGCATAGCCTGTTCCCTCTTGTTATTCTAGGGTTGGAACTTCCTCATTATATCCGCCGTCAACCACTCCTATGTTGGTCAACAGCCACGTGCCTCACGATGCCACCTCGCTATTTCTACCAACTATGGATTCTTGAAACTACGGATCCTTTCAATACCCCCACGAAGATCACAGTCGCATCGTTTTTCGTATTCTTTCTCTGCCTGCCCACGCTTTTGACCACATTTGTAACCTTAGGATCCTTTGGCGGGTCGAAGTTCACAATGCCAGACATGCTGGCAGGGAGGATTCTGATCAATCTTGTATACTTTGTGCAGCTGAGCCTCCCTACTGTATCATACAGCTTTTACAGATTCCGAGTTGAAGGTGGCTGGATCAACGGGTTCATGAGTCTGCTTTTCTGGTTCTCAGCGTGCCTGTTTGGCGTAGCAGCCTTGCTCTATATTGCTGCAAGCATAAAACGACACTTGTATGTATCTAGTACATTGTTGGGAGGAAACGGTATCGAGCCTATGACCCTTTGGCTGCCAGGAACGGGACCGTCTCACCAGTCTATTGGGAACGAGGCTCAAGAGGGCGCGATCCGGCTGGTGTAAGATGAATGCGGCGAACATTACCCATAGAAAGAATATGATAGACGATCGTTCACAAACCATGGTATTGAACCTAATGAGTAGCGCTAGCAAGTCTGGTGAACTCTTCTCTGTGCTCGCTAACACACTCTCGGAAAGTCAACCCCAGTCTCCAGTCAGAACTACCAATACTACACTACACTGGTGAACACACAGCTATCCTAGTCATTGACTGCCGCTTTCGCATACTCTTCACTGGCATACGAAATCCGCCGCAGTGTAATTTGCCGAGTCTCCAGTGAATACTGCCTTCTTCGGGTATGTGATACAAGCGTCTCGTCCATCCTTATCTCTTTTGCTCGTTCAGCCATTCGCCTGCCCGCTTAGCCATATTTACAGCCTCTTGGTCGAATCCCAAGATGTGACCCAGGAGTAAGAGATCGTGCGGAACGTGCTCTTCAATGTCAAGCTGTACATGATTACCTGCTTGCTTCATCTTCTCAGCCCATTCGACTACGTCAAAGTATAGTATCTCTCCCCCACCTCCATTCACCCAGATAGGCACCTCGGTTTTGAATGTTCGGTTCTTGTGCGAAATGTATGGCTGTGACAGAACCTGCTCGCCAGCTTCACCAGCATATGCCTGTGTGCCCCAGGACGTGAAGGGAGGAGAGAGGTAGTCTGTGGCATAGTTCCTATTGTCGTGAACGTATGATGCAGAGGTATCGGCGGGGTTGATCCAGGGCGACCAGAGAAGCACTGACGAGGGAGCAGGTAGACCGAGGTCGGAGCCGTACTCGGAGATGTAGCGAAGAAGGGAGATGGCGAGGTTGCCGCCTGCCGAGTCTCCGGAGAGTATGATGTTCTTTGGGGATATCTTGAGGTCGTTCAAGAGATATAGGTAGGACGTGAGGCTGTCTTGGAGCGCGGCTGGGAAAGGGTTTGATGTCTTGGAGGCAGGCAGCGTGGAGAGGCGATATTGGGGACAGAAGATGTGTGTGGCTAGGGTATGCTTGAGAAGTTTCTTTGCGGGAGCCCCGCATTGTCCCGTCCTTCCATCTCCTGGTAAAAGTCAGCCACGGGCATGTGTATCACAAAAGCTATCCACTGACCTGTGACGAAAGCGCCGCCGTGGATATGAAGGACGACCTTGACGTTGCTCTTATCGCTGCCCGTGGTCAATGGCGCAGGAAACCACGTCGCACCAATTTCTGCTGGCACAACGTCCTTGTTGCTCCTTAATGGCCCTTTGTATACGTCATCCTTGGCCGGTTTGATGACAAGGAATCGCTCCTTCTCCCGGTCCGGTGTGAGAGGCAGTGGTGTCTTAGCTTGCACCGTAGCCACGTGCCATAACCCAGAGAAGAGGGCGTGCACAGCGATGGCCTGTCGAAAGGTCCAGCTAGGGTGCTGGCGACCGAAGAGGAGGAATTTGACGATGAATACTGGGAACCGCACGAGCTCAAGGCCCAGAGCGGCCAGCGCGTACATGCCCTTTACAGGATGTTGCGTGAAGTCCACCATCGTGCTGACAGCGCTGTCGATGAACACGATGAGGAGGCCATAGGTATTCTCCGAAGTGGATGGCTTATATCATAGCGGAGTTGGGTTCGCGCTTGCTTCCAAGATTGCGACGATCGAGGGACGGCGGCTCCTTGATCTGATCCGTACCGAGGTCCTTGGCACGACTAACTCGACCGTCTCCAGATCTACCCCGCATAGCTCCTGACAAAACTGGATGCACATCACATTATCCTGTCCAATTGGATGATATGCTCCATCCTACATTTGATCTAATTGTTCTTACTCTGAAGAGGCTGGCGATACTTTTCCTGGAACAACCCTTCCTATAAGATATCCACGCAGCCCACACACCGTCCTATTGTGAAAGCCTCATCTCTTCCAATCGGATTCGAAAGTCAAGCTCGGCAACCTTCACGAGGCTTCGATTACGTCGCCTCAAGATACACAATAGCTCAATCTTTTGTTCTGGTGTGAAATCTGGTGGAATCTCAAACCCTTGTTCTACGGCCACGGTCCTCAGGTTGTCTGCTACTGGGACAGCCTCCCGCCACAATTCGATGTCGTCTCGTACCTGCAATGCCTTGCCGATGACCCGCTCGTCCAAGTCCTGGTCCCCCTTGCGCTTCTCACTACGGGTAAGCGTAGTGGAGGTTGCAGTATGAGACAAACCGCTACGAGACCGGGGAGTACATTCTCCGTCCTGACAATCATCCGACGCTGCAATTCCTCCAATGGCATCCCTGGTCTGTAAAGTGCTGTCCGACATATACTGCTCTCGAATTTCATGCTCGTCGTCTGCTAATTCTCCTTCTGACTGCTCCTCTTCTTGTCCTACTCTATGTCCAAAGTCACTTTTCTGTCCCCTATTGGCGGACCTATCAGCTGTGGGTTGTTTGCGCCGATAGAGTTCAACCAGCGTCTTGAGATCATCAGGCATCACCCACGAGTGGCGGCCTTTCGTCTTTCGACCGTGATCAATCCGCTTATGAAGACGTTTTTGTACTTCTTCAAGCTTTCCTGGTGTAAGGCTTGCCAAGGCTGAAAGATGAATCAAGAATGGCTGGCCCCATGCCATGGCGTACTCAGCATGATTGTAGCTCAGACCATTGGGAAGTGCTTGCCACGCATCGTCAATGTCCCATTGTTGGCAGATGTTGTCAACCACCTCTCCCATTACCGAGTCAGGAGTCGGCGATATAGGTCTGTTGAATACGATCGGAGCCATGACGTGTGTCGATATGAAATATGTCCAAATATTCTGGTTACTCTTGGATATGGGTTGACTTAAGTCTCGACTACAGGGCGAGGTCGTCGACGAAAGTTGCGGTGGCCGTAAGTTCATTAGAGGGATCTTATCATCTCATCAGAAAGGCTGTGACTGAACAGCGGCGCCATTCATCGTCCTGTGACTCGCATTTGTGACTTTCACTTCGACACCTTTGCTTCGCTCTCGCTCTGAAATCCGTGTGAATGAGACAATTGGAAGGGGAAAAGCCACATCTAATATCGTTCACCCCTGTTGCATATGCAAATTCTCGAGCTTGGGTATATCACGCTTGCAGTGGACGTTATGAGTGGTGGTTCTTAGGTCTTGGGTACGATTACATGATACCGAAGATCTATGAATTACGGGCACATCGCGATACTCTGTGTTTGAACATGCGAGCAGTTTGTATCGTGAGAGGCCATTGTAGAGTATGTCCCTCTGTTGTGATCGAGACGCTGCCGTAGAAGGACGGAAGAACATTAGAGCTGACCAAGCGAAATGACTGATCGTTAACATCAGACCCGTCGAACAATGGCGCCAAAAGTATTTGCGCTCCATCTCTGATCGTTGCCTTCTTTGTTGCTTGACAGCGACTATCACGTTCGGCTTTTACCATTAGCTTTGGTACAAAACATCGCGGTCAGAGCGTGGGTCGCCCAAAGGAAGGCACGGTGCCACCCGGCGGAAACTCCCTAGGCATATTGATGAAGAAACGGCAAAATACGATGGTAGCGTTACGAGTATAGCCTTGCAAGCTGTTCAGCCTCGGTCTAAAATGTTGCCCCTATCAGTACACTGGACGCGCTCTGTGCTCAGTATTAGATACGTGGCCAGCGCACTCAGTCTAATTACTGACGAGGCCACAAACGGCTGCGTATGATCCTGGAGAGAAGTACGAAGAAAATGAAGTCCATGAGTGGCGTTCTCAGCGTTGAATTGACTGTGGACTTAGAGACTCGAAGCTTCGCCAAGTCATTGCGGATTCTAGTCCGCCTGCGTCTCCGCCGAAAGAAGGCGAACTCAGACCATGTAGTGTCGCGTGCATTCTCCGGAGATTTTCAGGACCAATCAGCCAGGACACAAAGCTAATCTTGCCCAGGGTCGTGTTTCCAAAATTAGTCGCCAACGCCTAAGATCAGTTTCCAGACAAGGCTCTCAGCGGAAGTGACCTTGACCCTCCCTCTCTCAGTCTCCATACTACATCGTATCCCGAACACGATGCTAGTTGCTGCAACGTGCACCATGGAAGCCTACATCCGTATATGCATTGACCATGCGTAGTTGAAATTACTCTACAAAATATCCTTTAATAGCATTGGGTAGGTGTCTCCAAGACTTATATAACAAGAGCATGCCCATGAGTGTCTACCATCAATAAGAGCCTAGCAGTAATCCACCACAAGACACTCAACAGTCCGACTATCTAGGCATCATGAAAAGAAATCAGTTGATCAGCCTCGCGCTTCTTGCGCCGAGCTGTCAAGCATACGTCTGGCCCAGCCAGTACGACCAGTTTGAAGACCTCTTGTTTTTGCAATCTGGGTACATCAAAGATGGAACACTATCGGATCGTACGTATCTTACACCCTCAATCCATTTGGCCCAGAGCTCACGAAGCAACAGAAGTCATGACCTGCGATTTTGGCGCTGGCCAGCCCGGTATTCAGAAAGCCGCAGAATGGGTACGAACTGCCTTCCACGACTCCGTTACACATGACGCCAAAACCAAGATTGGCGGTTTGGACGCCTCGATACAATACGAGCTTGACCGACCAGAGAACTTGGGTGCTGCACTCAATAACACCTTGGCCGACATATCTAGTTCAGTCGACATCAGGAGCTCCGCAGCCGACGTTTTGGCCTTGTCATTAGTCATGTCCGTGGCTCGTTGCGCCAATATGCGCGTTCCTTTGAGACTAGGCCGCAAGGATGCGACGGAAGCTGGTATCAAAGGCGTACCGGAAGCCCACACGGATCTCGACACCACCAGGAAGAGGTTTGAGACTGCCAGCCTAAGCGAAACCGACATGATCACTTTGATTGCTTGTGGTCACAGCATTGGTGGTGTTCACTCTGTTGATCACCCCGAGATTGTTTCTGGTCCAGTCAGCGCAGAAAACAAGGCGAGTTTCGATACCACCCTGGGCGTATTGGACAACAACGTGGTATTGGAATACCTTGACAACTCGACAGCCAACCCATTGGTTGTCAACCCCAACAACACGTTGAACTCCGACAAGCGAATCTTTGCTGCTGACGACAACAAAACCATGCGTAAGCTTGCCGATAAGGCTTACTTCAAGTCCCAGTGTGAGGCTGCATTCGAGAAAATGCTTAGTCTTGTACCAGGCGATGTCACACTGACGGAGCCCTTGGAGCCAGCCGACATCCGTCCTTACATCTCATCCTACTCACTCAAGGATGGCTCAATCGAGTTCTCTGGACGCATCCGTGTTCGCATTACACCAGTAACTGGTCGTGACGCAGACAGCCTTACCGCTTCTATCATTCCGAAATCGCGTGGCAATACCACAGTCGCTGAGATCGCTGCTCGCCGTGCCACTTTCCAAGGAGGAACCTCTTTTGGATACCTAGACGAGAACTTCCAATGGTTCGAATTCGACCAGACGCTCAATGCTAGCGAGGCATTCGACTCGTTCACCATTCGCGTCAATGATGACACCTACGACAATGGCGGCACAGGCGGATACCCTGTGAATGCCGATATTCTATACCAAGATGCGCAGTCCTGTGTCGCCTGGGACGCAGCTAAGCAGGAAGGCACTTTGACCATCACTGCTGCTGTATCCAAGGCACTTCTCAGGGGTGGCGCCACTCCACAGATCAATGTTGTGAAGAAGAACAAGATTCAGGGCAACTTCATTCCTCGCTTGCGACCAGAGACCATCCCTATGACTCGTGCAAGCAAAGAGACTGCAGAGTACGTCTACTTTACTGCCTCAACAATCTTGTCCGCTGATGGACTCGCCCCTACGGTTGACATTGAAGTTGGTGACTCCAAGGTGGAGTACATCACGACAACTGGTCTTACTCAGCAAGAGTGCGCTTCGTTATAGATACCCAATATTTAATGTATAGATTTCCTTCATCCAAGATTCATAAGCACTTTTTCAGAATACTGCTACGCTAGCCCCCTTCAAAGACCACTTTCACCACGCCCAGCATGCATGCGCTGCTTGCCAAAATCAGTAGAAGGATCTGCCTTAATTTAGCCTGAATCTAAAGTGTAGTGTTCACTTTGCAACGCTCGAAACCACTCGAAACTATATCATACATCGAAACCATACTACCAAGGCTCCGTGCACCTTATCTCGCCCTTCATTAAGTAGTAAGTTGGTGTTCAGAACAGTGCGCGGCGGTCTTAGCGTCTTATGTATGACTGGTCGAGTATACACTTTTGTACATCTTTGACTTCAGCGCTGTTGACGTTAAGATAACTCAGGAAGCATTGCCTTCTCAGTGTTGCCAGCGCGGAGATTTAGTGAAGTAAATTCCTAAATGAAAGCAAAACATCCATGATACATGTCTTCTCTCAAGTAGCATACATATCCTGGCTGCTAGAGAGGTTTAGCGCGCGATCACGGTGCTCAGTGGTATGCAATATAACTACACACGTCCCGCGCTAGTCGGTCTTCCAGGTGCATAAAACTCTTGAATGTCTATAAGACCAATCCAAGCTCTAAGCCATTCCTCGTCATCTAATGATACATCATCCACATCAACCACACCCAGAACGCCAGACCATGCAATACAACCCTACAACTTCGATGAGAGCTTTCCGCTCTTCTGCGCAGTATAGGTGGCGATGAGATCCATCAACGTCGGACTCAGTACATCGTATGTCTGGAGTCCCTCCTTCCTGAACTTCTCTCTTACGGCATCAATCTCCTTGGGGTTGAAACCTTGCTCGATGATGCTACTGACGAATGCCGCGAATTGGGGCTCCTGCCATCCCTTCTTATCGCTAAGTTCGGTGTGCACAAAGTCCAGGCCCTTGAATGGATGGTCGACCATGATGCGACCAAAGAGGTGAACTCCACACTCCTTGCAGGCATTGCGTTGGATGGCCGCCGACTCGTCGATTATGTGCAGCTTGTTACCGTTGGCGGTCACGGAGAGGGCATCTACGGGAACGACACCGACGACTGAGAAGAGAGCGCCCTTAGGCTTCCAGCATTTTGAGCAGCCGCAAGCGTGGTTGTGCGCGACGTTGCTGGAAAGGGTGACTTCGACCTTCTTGGAGGGGCAATGGCAGTAAAGCTTGCCGCCGGGAAAGTTGGGATCGCCCTTCTTGATACCGTTATCGATGGCGGGATGGATAGATGGCATGATGGGTAGATATTTGCACTTGGTTTGTTTGTTGAAAGAGATGGTTGTGTAAGAGAGTTTGGATGGTTGCAAGCTCGCAGTTACTCAGGTACCTGGCCACACTATATACGGGTTTCTGTTCCACATCGAGACGATTACCCCCTCACCGGACTGCGCAACCGATCAAGAAAGGACCGCAGCAAATATGGTGCGATCGCATGCAAACTGATGGTATTGTGGACATGATGTGCGGAACCGCATAGTGTTACCGTTTTAGGTCACTCGGCCCTTCCCCGCCTCGCGTTAGAGATTACCACAATCGAGGAGCTTCGGCGTGCCGATATAGACGCTGCGGTGCCGCGGAATTTCGCCAATACAAAGAGTATACATTGTCGCAGGAACTGAACGTTGCAGAAAAAGGGCCGCAAAACGTACAGATACAATTTTGTTGGTGATGAGTCTTAGACTTCGTGGCGGACCCGACGACTGGGGCGTCAGATTCGCTCCCGGAAAACCCTTGGATCTTGCCGTCTCCTCGTTTTTTCCACCTAAACAGCAACTACAGCGAACGCCTCCCGCAAGTCGTCCGCAAAACACATCCATCGCAGTAGTCAAAATCGTATCATACGATGACATCCAAACGAGTGCGTTCGTTCTCAAGCTCCAGGCGCGCAAGACGAACAATGTAGCAACCCAGCAATGTCGCATGATCTTAGACCACTTTCCCAATTCTCATGAACCTCATCGGGTCGATTCTGAGGTAAATCAAACCATCTTCAATATAGATTCAGGCACCCCATGCTGTTTCAACGAAGATTCGCTTTTGCATCAGCTGCAGCAGCTCCGATGTTCGCCCTCTGTCGAGATTCTTCAACGTCCACCATGAGTTGGGCGGCTATCATTCTGCTCTGGAACCACAGCTCGGCTTCTTCTGCAGCGTAACGTTCAGCTATGAGTTTGTAGCGCTTCTGATGCAGCTGCGATATTTGTACATCCGCGCGATACTTCATGAGCCTCTCCTCTGGTGTTTTTAACTCCTCGTTGTACCCGAAACCGGGGAAATCGATGCGTTCTCGGATATCCTCGACCTTTTCCTTGTGCTTGGCGCCAGTCTGCGGATCCGGAATCACTCTTGATCTCTCACCCACAAAACCGGCCAGACGTGGACGGCGTGTTTCTAGGCGCCTTTCGGGTTGGGAGGCATCTGTGAACCGCACATGCTTGTGGGGCCTTCGCTGATCGTGATCCAGATAATCTGGCTGTTGCCAAATCTCTCCTCTAGATATATACGCTCTTGCATCGATTTTCTGGGAGCTGTTGAAGATGCGACGGTCTAGTTCGGGATTCTTTGGTCGCCCTTGGGCTGCGTCGCGGGTCATCCGAGGACGCTTCAATTCGTGGTTATAATTCTCGACTGCCGTATCTCCAGGGCGCTTCTGTTGTCGTTGCGCCGGGCGAAGAGGCTGGCTGATTGTAGACCGTGAGCCTTTGGAAATTTGATCGACTTTGGATGAACTTCTATGTCTAGTCTCCGTGGCTCTGGACGGTCGAGGAATCTCTTCTTTTGCAGCCGGTAGATACGGTGAGCGACCATGACGTACAAGCGCCAATGGGGTATCAAGCAGTGGGGTAAATACCCGTTGAGAGGCGGACCTATCACGGGACATTGAAAGTAAATGCTGATATTGAAGGAGTGTGGTCAAAGAGTGTGAAACCCTTGGTTTCTCCAAGCGTTGGTTCTGGACTAGTCGTATTGGGCCATCAGGACTTTAAGACAGGCGAAGTGAAAGTGCATTATCGAAAGAAGAGGACTAGATGTTAGAGAGACGTTTTCCGAGAAAATTCTGACGGATCGAATTGTACCTACACACTGATAGTCTCATGATGGAAGTCGTCACTACGTGTCTGTGCTGGAGCACTTTGCAATAGCGTAAAGGCTGCACCGACGCTGGCTGCGAGTAGCAGCCTCGCATTTACTTGTGAAGAGGGATCAAATTTTGCGCTTTGTATGTTTCGGATTATAGTCGAAGGTGATGTAGTGTGATGCAGGTAGGTGTATCAAAGTGCTAGGTAGAATGCTCTTCATCACTTCAAAGAACGAACTTCCACTCCCAGCGTCGTCCTGGAAGCGTTGTTTGCTTGACCTGATAAGCTGGCTCTGTTTGCTTGACGTATTTACTGATCACTGTTCCGTGATTGCAGTATGGGTCACTCGATGAGTGGGAGCACCGTTCCATGGTTCCGGGCAAGTCGCACACTCTTACAAAACTCTCATCTATTTCCATCAAATCCATCAAATCCATCAAATCCATCAAATCCATCAAATCCATCAAGTCCATCATTCCCTCTTTAAACAAAAAGCTGAGTAGAACGAGCCATCAAATCTCTTGCACCCACCCGATCTACCTATATTTCGAACCGAGCAGTCGCACAAACACTTGGAAATTCCCAACACTCACCATGACTGAGCCATCGAACGTACCTATTAAGAGCATCACCTATACACACAAAGACGTCGAGTGTGTCTTTCTCGATCGACTGCTGGGCCGCAGGACACCACTCTCAGCTCTTGCAGGACCAGCGTCGCAGCAACAGGTCCTAGGCTCGCTCGCGACTCTTCCTATCGAACTACTTCTCATGGTCCTCGAAAACCTTGCAGTCACCGATATGATGCGTCCCGGCGCTGCAACCGATTCGCAATGCACGTCGTTGATACAGAATCGTCTCTTCGCCTTTGCTTACAATTTGCACCAAACACCGTCTTGGGAATGATGGCTCTCAGAACCTCTGCGCACATTACGCCACAGCAGCTATGCAACAAGGTACTGCAGAGAGATTGCGACCAAATCCGGGTCAAGGACGTTTTACCGGGACCAGCAATAAGATACACTGAGTACCGATGCGGACAGTTGGCGCAGCACATATACCTCCCTACATGCACGCGACTTTGTGTGGAGTGCATACTAGATGAATCCCGTGTGACGAACTACAAGTTGGCAATGGGGTACCAAATCTATGAAACCGAAGACTTTGACATGACACCGAGTTTTCGCACTCTCCCTGTAACACTGACGAACGGCCTGAACAAGTTCAGAATGGGCTTTGAGGAAGCACGACTACACTCGACCCAGCGTCTCCGTCATCTCAGCTGTTCCGATCACCATTGCGCGACATATGCCCATAGTGTTTGCACCTCTGGTAAACTCGATGTCGTTCCAGGTGGAGCAGGGGTATTACTGCAGCACTTGTTTACATACCGAAGTTGAAGAGGAGGTCTATACGCGAAAGTCTTTTTCTGATCATCTCCGAGACTCTCGCGTTCGGCCTTTTTCCCCAGTGTGGGAATTCCGGTCTAATTTAAAGGTCGATCTAGAAAGTTACGAGTGGGACTGAAATAGTCTCAGGGTCATCGAACGCGAGTCAAGTGGTCTGGTGAGCAGATAGTCGCTGGTCCGGTGTAGCCTGGGGGCATTACAGAGCGTCATTTAGAAGCGAGCATAGGGAAATTGGCGGTCGTCAAGTATGTGCGGATGTAGCGAGGACCTCCAAGTCTGACAAGCAGTGAAAGTGTTCCTGTCGGAATAACATTCCTAATGTTCAGGTTTTGCTTATTTGTTTCCTAGTCCCGTGGTGTCTTCTGGCACAGAACTGATTTTCACATCTATGAGCGGAAACACCGAGCTGTGAACGATTAAAGACAGTAGTACAATGCTTGAACACTACCTTCTAATCCATTTGTACCCAGGATGTTCTTCGAGCACGTCATCAAAATGAGCATACGCGCTACGGAGCAGCTAATAGTGTGTAACTGTCGTCCTGGGGGCTATCCATCAACTCTCGCGCACCCATCTCTTCGCGCCTCAAGATCAGACATGGAGTGTACGTCACGCTACAAGCGTCATATGCAGAACTGCCTGCTTACCAAGGACATGCCATCTCGGGGTTTCCGAGAAATACCACTCTGCATGTTCTGTCGTCGCATCGCTATCCCCAATATCTCCTCTTATCTCAATATCCAACATTCACAGCCCCATCTTGATACCGTTCACGCATGCTGCGATATTGCCATGGCGATTGCAACCCAGTGAAGCAGGCATGATGATGCGTAACTGAAGCAAACGACATCCTACAATGTGAACCCATGTACGGCAGAAAAGCACGTTGCGATTGGCTGTGAAGATGTTTGGTGTCGAAACAGACATGGAGGCGGCGCAGCATGTCGCGCATGAACCCTGGGGGCTATTTTTGAAATGACGGGAGGGTGGAGCGATGGAGGAGCTGGGGGCCGTAAGGCTGGCGCTGGCATGGCGGTTCCTGAAATTCGGCCCCCAGAGAGGTCTTGGGAGGATGGTCGCATTTGCCGCTTTGTACTTCGAGCGAGCGCGTCGTCTGTCTTACATCTTACAAAGGCATGGCGGCGGCTGCAGGCGTCGTATTTTCAATATTGGACTCATCAGCCGCACGATCAGGTGGGATGCCACTCCCACCGATGAGCATGCGTTGGATTAGTGGCTTATAACTTGCACCAGGTACTGGTGGCTCAGCCCTGCGAACTCGGTGCTGCGCCTCAGCCTTCACCACCCACCGAACGATGGCTTTCCGCAAGTATGTCACAAACCACCACGCATCGACCACCGAACACATACCTCATCCGCATAGCCATTGCCCAATCACTTGCAATTTTTCTGCCAGTACCTGAGGCCGGCACAGCCCTGTTTTTGTGACCTTATTGCAGCAAAGATTCCATTGCACTTCGGCTACCGACCCATAGCAGGAGAAGATTTTCTTGGGTTGGGCAGGGCCGCTGCGACTCCACAGAACAGGGACCCCAGCAAGCGAGCGCGACACGTTGACATTTGCACCGGACTGCACGAAGATATGCTAAGGAAGACCAAAGTATTGGACTGTGGGGAAGAAAAGGTCGGGTGGTTGGGATGAGGTTGGTTCGGACGGGTGTGCAGACGATGATTTGGCGATGAGTCGATGGACACGTTGACCAGCGAGCAGCCTCGCCAGACGGAAGGGGCACGTCCTGGTAAATGCGGGGAGACGTGAGCTGGCAATACAGCTTGCGCAATGCTTTTGTCTGTTTCAGAAGCCCGGACAGGTCCGACGATGCAGGAGAGTGATTATATGAGAGATTCGAGACCGCGCACGCTGGTGGGTATCTTGCAGGTACTCGATCAGGTTGACCGGTGAGGCTTCAATGCATGCACGCTGCACCCTTTTGGACGTGGACTAGAGAATTAGCTGCATATTGACCGGTGACAATGGAGCTGATGCAAGCTCCACAGGAGAATAAGAATATGCATATCATATGCAACTATCCATCATGGACTTGATTTCGTTGAACTGTCGTTGTTCAGCTGGTGTGGCCAGTTATGATCGAAATCTGCGATTAATAGAGTGGGGTTGGTGCTGCCGTTTGACCGGCAGCTAGCATCACCCACGGTGTTTGATGATTATCAGTCGGGAACCTCCCTGATGATCGTGAGATAGCTGCTGGAACATAAAGGACAGTTGTCAATGCACGATTAAGATGGAGAAGTGTTCTGGAATGCAGACGTCGCTGCTGTATTCTGGCTAGATTCTGATGTGGAGAGGTTGGCGGGGCCTTTTGGGTTGGACAGTGCGAAGAGCAGCAGCTCCTGTCTCCTGATGTTTGCAGTCTTTCCTCCACCTCAATATAATGGCCAGCTTGTGTCTTCAATATGTGACGTGTGTTAATGGTAATTCGGTCGTTCTGCGGCGGACGCGCAATAACTTGTATAGGTTTCTCGTTCGATCTTCGTATCGCGGCTTGAAGCGAGACCGTTGCTATTATCGTGAGGCTACTATTGTAGATCACCAAATTATGGCAATATCACCGTGACAGTATTTTTGGCAGTGGCAACAACATCTGTTGCGACTCGTTGTGGTGAGGGTCGTGAGAGCGTCGAGGATTGAACACTGCCTGCCAGTGCGCAACACACCTGCCCGTCCAGCGCCCGTACCCCGCAACACCACCAAACCACCATCACCACTGTCCACTCTTAGTAATTATCTACCAAGACTCTATCACACTAGGCACACTTTCGGACATGTCAAACCACGATACCTCCTCTTATCGCCACCAACCTGGCAGACCCTGACCTTATCCCGTGTGAGATGTGAGATTCCAAGGTTCTCATCTGGACCCTGACGTCTGCCATGCCCCGCATCGCAATCCTCCCTGGACGATAATCAGAATTCTGCCGTCAAGAACCTTGGTGATAAGACGTCATGAGTAACAAGGCAAGCACCCTGAATGTCATCCAAATACTTGACCAGGGCCCCGGCACAGCTGACAATGATGTCGTCCTGGTTTTATCCTGGGGCCGAGGGCATGTATGTCAGACAGTGGCTTTGTGGCTCAGTATTGCACTCTGGCCTCCAAGAAGAAAGTGGTATGACAGTTTGCGCGACTGCGAAATGCACTAGCAGCGCGCAATGCAAGTCTCACTTTGATATCGCGAGAGGGTGTATCAAACCCACAATTGTCTTCGCCGGACGAGATTGAGGGTGCAGTGCGCGCCAGGCAGACATCAGGGTCCAGTCGCATACCAACAAAATCTTGGTAACGAGGGTGTTCACGCACTCGTATCCGGCGACGGCGATCAATATATTCCTGGCCACATGATGGGAAACCTGGCTAGCGATAAGACAAGGTGTTGCTGGGTGCCCTGAGATGTGATTGGTCATGTCTAGGCCGTAACAAAGGGAAGAGCCTTGAGGGAGCAGCCGAGGTGTGTGTGGTTTGGGAGTCATTGATGGATCAAGATTGTCTTGTGTGTATGACTGTTTCAGTGTAATGTGGCTCGGTGGTCTCTATGTCTGGACCTAGCATTTGCGCTATCGGCAGAGCATCTGCCAGCCGTTAGTTCAGAGTACGAGGAAGCTATGGAAGTAATGCTAGTATTATTTTCAGGTAATGGGGCAAAGACACTTCATGATGGCATAGTGGTGTTAGGTGATTATGAATTATGTCCATTATTAGCTATCTAGCCAGATCCCTTAGTCTCGGGCCAGTAACGTCATTCCAAGTTTCCTCTGCATCATCAGGGTCTATTACCCTGGCGTGCATCATCCATTCCCCCTCAACACCGCAAAGGTGGAGGCATGCAACTGTTTGATCCTCTCAAGGTATCATTCCACCGTTATCCTGCACTACCCAAGAGCATGTATAAGCAACGCAGAAACAAAGCGTGCGATAAAGCATGTATGAATGTGTGTTTGGTGGTGGTGGCGCGCACCGGCGCGGAGCTTTTGCAGCGTCCGCCCGCGGATGTCGTGGTGGGATCGGAGTGTTCGACCGCGCGGCCGCTAGGCCTCGTAGCCGTAGGTGGTAGTGTGGGTATCGTATTATTCAATAGATCGTATTTCGTAAGGCGCAAAGAAAGTCTTCAAGTCATCATTCATCGGTAGTAGCCAGACGACCGGTGCTCGCGAAGGTCCCGTGTCGATGGCTCGCGGACCTCGACAGCGTAGTGCTTTGCAGCTCGGCGCTGCTTAGCCAGGTCCTCCTCGTAGAGGGAGCCGCGCTTGGAGCTGGGAGTGTTGCTGATCTCGGCAAGTGGTCGCTTTGGTCGGCTGGTGCTGTGCTGTGGCCAGTCGACGATCTCACCGTTGCGGGATCGTGATGATGACTTGCTCTTGGTCTTTGATTCTTGGTCAACCTTGACGGAGTGGCTTCGTCGGGGAGAGGCGGGTGCTGTGCGGGGAGCAACGTAGTAGCTACGGTCCATGGAGACAAATGGCTTGCGGGATCGGTGACGGATGCTGCGCTCAATGGCCTTGAGAAGGCTGCAGACTTCAACGTAGCCGGCTGGGATCTCTACGCGGACGAGCTTGTTGTCTTCCTCGACAGTTGAGTAGGTGGCTCCGTCCGACTTTTGGTAGATGTAGCGGGCCACTTGTTGGGCTAGGCCGTGGCCGACCTCGCAGAGTTGCTCGTGGTTGCGGTGGACTTCGTAGGGGTTGTGGCAGTAAGCACACTTCCTGGCGTGCATCTCGAAGTGGTAGGCGGCCCAGCTCTCAGCAGTGTTGACAGGACGGGAGAAAGAGTCGACGGGGTCCTCGTAGAAGCCGACCACACGCTCCTTCTTGGCCGTCGAAGGCCGTGAGTGAACGATGGTCGGTTGGTTTGTGCGTGCGGAAGGCATCTTGGGAGATGATGTGGGTGAGTTCTTCAGGATAGACTTTGGGGAAGCCGTTGTGACGTTGTTCCCAAGGTACGGAATGGTGTTGGTGAAGTCACTCCCAGTGTGGGAGGGTAACTTTGGTGTGGTAGTGTTGTTGGTGTTCTGTTCTTGCTGGCGGTGGTAGATGGTAGACTGTTGGTCGTGTAAACAGCAGGTCGTAGTCGTTTCGAGTGAGTTGGTTTAGATAGAGGGTCCATGGTGGGCGCGGATGGCATGGAATATATGTCTCGATCCTGTACAGCGGCCGCATGCCCAGGGTGTGGGTGGAAGCCTGAGCTAGGCATGGGTTGCCTGTGACCATCAGCAGGGGCTAGGTTAGCACCTCTTAGCCTCCAGGACTAGGGGGCCATGGCCTGCTAGCGAGGGCGGTGACTGCAATTGTTCCTCTCGATCCGTGCATGACGACGATGTCTTGGGAACCGCCGCTAGAGGCATGTTTCGTCAGTCAGAGGGCCGTCAACGGCCGCTGGTCGACGGCGCTGTCATTGGCGATGATGAGCTGTCGCTTCGCCAGAGAATGGGCCCAGGAGTGCCAGCAACCGCCGCATCGACTCGTGCCGCGCGTGTCAACGTGTCCAGTCGGGCAGAGAACACCTATGCTGTCTCTCCAACGACATTGCTCGCTCGCTGTGGGTGCCGTCTGGCTATTCGATGCTGCGCCTCATGTCGCTGTCCGCGTTCGCATCACGGTGTTGAGGGGTGGGCGGGTGCCGTCGCTGCCTGTTTTCTCGAGGCATCAGCCACGGCAGCCACACCCAATGTGGGCAAGACTTGTTTCCTCTCCACCATCGCTCTGCTCATTTGCGCAGCACTCGCACAATCTCACCGCTACACAAGTTCGCGCATAGCCACAACCTTCCGCAGCCAATCCGTCAACTAATGCACGCCATAGAGTAGCTGTTGATGGCTGTTGAAGCCCATGTGCAAGTTTGCGTGTCGCTGCGAAATTGCACTGTGCGCCGCTGCCATGGTTCAGACCGGCGGCTGCAACCCACGACAAGACCCGCAACACCTCATCTAGGGCTGTGCTAAAGTGCATAGCTTCGTCTGCGCCCTTGAACGCACACCAGTCGAGGGCGCTGAATGTGCAAAATGTTTGCGTGTCGCTCAAAGACTCATCAGACACCCTGCTACTCGACGCTTGCCGAGCAACGTGCATGGCGCTATTCACCCATCGCTCGACTCGCCTGTCTCTTTCTGTCTGACCGGAGTTTGGCCCCTCGTCATTCGTCAATTGGGCTCTCTGGTGACTCTTTTTCACCATCGGCGCATTGGCACAGCAGTTCGCCCACTTTACCAACATGAACAGGCCCTATGTACCAATGTTTTCTCCGGTATACAGCAAAGTGTTTCATCACGAGAAACACGTTGACAAGCACCCGAATAGTACGTTTCACGTCCAGCTGTCACTCGATTCTGCCCACCGTGAGTCAATTGTGCCCAACTTGGGACATTCGTGGTGTTTCTTTTTGGCGCTGTGTTATGACTCCCACTTTGACACACGGTCGGCACTTTCCGTATGTCGGAGCCAGGGGCTTCAAAGTGCCATCCGCGCTCGTACGGGCTCCGGGCATGATTGAGTGGCACATGATCAAGTTGGTATCCTTGGCGGGAGTTTTTATGGGCTTCTAGCGTGATGCTGCTCATCATGACAGCCGCAAACACGGGTTCGGCACTGCACCGCCACAAACTCCCACTAGTTACACGATAGAAAATTCCGTCGTCATTCTGCCCCTCTCACGCATCCGTGCCCCCGTACTGAGACCCTCTTCCAAGTCTTGGATGCATGAAGATTGGTGCACAAAGATCCGTGATCCAGAGTGAAGCTACACTGTGGCGTCGTAGACAGGGTCTACTGCAGCCTAGGAATCTACGGCATCTTGGTTTCTGGTAATCGTGCTTCGGAGTGTACAGCGTTCCGTTGCTCCTCGCGAACTGTCTCAGTTGCCTTACAGGAACCAATCTTCAACGCACATGGTGCCGATAGACCCTTTGGCAACGTAATGCCCATGGCCTGTTCATGATATCATTCGTTCCTCATGGTCTGCTGATTTGACATCAGGTCTACCGCGATCCGGATCGGACCATTGGCCTATCACCTTTGACAATGTCTAGGCAGCAAGTCCCCGCTCTGGCTGAGAACGACACATCGAGCGATGGATATCGGCGGGGCAGATTAGAACAATCTGGCACCTCAAGCTTGGGTCGATTGGTGCTCGTGTTGCTTACCCAATCTTCTTGGAGAAGAACTTTAGCATGTGACCTCTTCGCGTTCTAAGTATTGCTATACCAATAGAATTAGCAATATACGCTACCACCTGCAAGACTGTTGACCATATCCGCCGTTCACATTCGACCGTCTAGCCACTTCTATACTGACAGTGCGTCAGGGTCCAGACAAGTTTGTGGGGTCATGCGGAGCGAGTCGGTCACGTGCAAACCCTTTCATCCTCCGAAAACAACTGACGTTCGCCTCTTCAGCATTGCGCTTACTAAGGTCGCCGGAGACGAACGACAGCAGCAATCCGTGTTGCCTCCTTTCTTGGTTTGCATATTGAGTCCGGACTGATGCTGATCTGTTGCCGTAGTAAGCGATAAAGCTGACCGAGTTGACCGGTTGCTGGACCCTTCATCAGCACAAACCTGTTCTTAACAAGATCGAACACCGCCAGGGGACAATCCTGTGTCAGCTCGGGCTATGCATCATCTGTCTGTTGCTCTTGCCTCTGGAAAAACGAAGTAGTGGCAAATGCACGTTTCGAAGTTCTCCATCTCCAGTGCGCCCAACGACGCCCCTACACTTGGCGATATATGATCGCGCTCGCGAAGCATTGATAGTAGATGAGCAGCGAAGAAGCGGTACATGATCAGCTCACTGCTGACCTGTACATGCGAAGTCTCCACGAGGACCGTCAGCCGCTGACTACCCCACAATCTGGCGGTCTCGCCGTTTCCGTTTATCGGAAGTGCATTGTGCTGCTTGCTTTTCAAACTCAATCGCGCTCCAGACGATCGGAGATTTGTTTTGCAGATCCTCCGACCATCACGAGAAGTCGCGCAACTTGAACTATGGGCAACGCCCGAAAGCTCTCAAGTACCCCAACATCCACATAATGCATAGAAGATGCAAGAGAAGGTCGACTTCTCCAAGATGATACGGTGAATAGATACCCAAGGCTGAGACACATGACCGCGCGTTTCAGCGGAACGGTAAGCCTTAGCCTGTTCCTGGGCTAGTTTGCGATCTGTGCTTCCACACCTCACACCGCTTTTCAGCGAAACTTTCAGCGAAGCGACAGATTTTGCTTGAAATACCTGCAGTCCCTTCAATTCTCTTAATTCTTTCTTTTCTAAAGACTCTGCCTTGACCGGTTACAGAAAGGAAACGACGTCGCGAAACAGAAAGAGAAGAGGAAATGCCACCCCGAAGCGTGTGTTTGAATGTGTTTACGTCCAGTCTTGGCGATGGCAATGGAGCGGTGAACAATGGTCGACATTCCATAATGGACAGGAGAGACAGCGCGCAGAGTGGTATGTTCGGCTTCTTCGAAGTTGCAATTGTACAACTCGAAATCGGTATTGCGATGCATTCTAACATGACGATTAGACATTCCGAGACGGTCCTCTGACGGCTCTGTCGCATCGCAAGCCACGCCGCCAGCATCCACATCCCCGCTGCCGGCTTTCAATCGCCCCGAACTATTCCATTCTCTTCGTCCCATGGCCAGCACCGAGAGTTTGAACGGTTCTTTCACCAGCAAGCGTAAGTTTGAACTCCTATCTTCAGTTTCCATGTGGCGCGATGCAGGAACCGGACGTGATTCGCTACGCTGCATTAGCGCGCATGCGCCTCTCCACTTTATCCCACAATTATCGCGGCCGCTTTCATGGCCTGGCACTTTAGCACCACTACACTCATCTCAAACATCATGATGGCGACGTCTTACTAACATGCAACAGCTTGCACAACATGCTCTGGTGAACCCGCACGCCGTCGCTGCTCTCGCTGCAAGGCCGCGTACTACTGCGACCGCAACTGCCAAAAGTCGGACTGGAAGACCCACCGCAACGTCTGCGAACCCATCACGCAGACCTACTCCGCACCTGCTACACCCAACTTCTCCAACCCTGCCAGCCCAACCAATGAGTCTTGAAGATGCGACGCTGGACGTGTAGGCTATCGCATAGCTACACCGCCGCACTTGTAATCAACAATGAAGTGGAGAACTAGACGGGGCGCCGAGGACGAATTGACGGAAGTGATATCAAGAGCAGGATTTGCTACGAACTAATGATACGGAATCGACTGGACATAGGGGAAAACTTGGGCGTTTGTGCTTTATTGGGCGTATGGGGTTTACCATTAGAAAGAGCAAAGCATTCAATTGCACTGCATAGCGAACTAGCGAAATCATACTCATTGTCAGCTTTTGTTTGGAGAAAGAACTTTCTACACGTCTTTGCGAAACGTGAGGTCGTCGGAAAGTATTACGCGATGCTAGTTTCGGCAAGCGCGTTTGTGGACGGACTCACATATGTGGAGATACCTCCTTTAGGAATTGGCGCTTAGATCATAACAACGCGGTTCTGTAATATTGCCGCCGAAATGCGTCGCTGTTACTGACTCATTACCATACATATACGCTCACCGCTCCTACTCTCAAAGCTTTTAACCCTGACCTACGTGTCATATCCCTTCGCGCGCTGTCCGTCGAGAGCCATTGCTATGGTAACTGTACACGCGCCTCTCAAGTTGCCATATCGGCGCAAAATATACCAAACTTATAGTTCCCTTCGCTGGAAGCATGGTTTGCACATCCGGTTGAGAGCGCGTGAGTGTTGTCGCTATATGATCGTGATCTCCTATAATCGAAAGTCTTGTATAGGATTAGCAGTACTAATCATTGAGGCAATTCGTTAGTACTGATCAATAGAAATGTGAGACCACGGAGACAGCTCACCAACACATTGGGGGAAACAAACATGTCGTGCGTCATCAATCCATGATTGCATTGGGGCTTCTGAAACCTCAATCAGCTTCCCTTGTGCACTCACTTGATGGAAATAAGATGCGTAGAATCTCCTCAATGGTGCGTCCTCAACATGACGTTTTTCAAGAGTCAACGTGCAGTATCCCCGTTCATCCGCTCGTGTAATGAAGCCAGTAGAGATCTTCCCGCACAGCGTTGCAGCTGCTCGGGTCACTTCTCCATAAGGGACATGCCCGTTCTTGGGCATAGATTGCGCTGAAAGCAATATGCAGCAGGCTGTTTGTGGCCTCCTAAAAGAGACACCGTCATCCAGCGAAGCCCATGACCATGAAGGTGCTCTGTAGATGTCGCTGCGTCTACCCAGTTCCAGCTGCCCGAGTCTCTTCCACATTAGCTGGCTAACGAAACTATCCTTCCAGATACCCGCGTAGTATTCTCCGAGAACCGGGGCAAATTTTCCAGCCAAAGCTGCGATGGCAGGTAATTTGTCGCTTTCTATGGCCATAGCTCTCTGTGAATAGTCTTCGATTATCATACACCATTGCTCTACGGCCTCTCGACTCCCACCGAGCTGAGAGACTAACTTGGGCATGTTTGAATCTATGTCCAATGCCTGACCCAGTTTCATCATCCCTGCTGCGCACCGCCATTCTAAGGTGGAAGGAGTGTACACGAGCAGTCGATTAGCCATCATTTGTTCTTGTAGAGCCCATGCTCGCCGACCCAGTGGGTTGTCTCGTCTCTCGGAGGCCACAGGGTAACCACTGATTCTAGCAGTAGCACTTCCAAACCGATTCGGCGATATTCGAAATGGTATTTGGATGCTTGGCGTTTCGTCAGGTGGGCGTCGTTGAAGAAATCCATCGGCTGCATCGGCTGCGCTTGAAGCAAGAATTGTAACATAGGCCATGCTGTAAACTTTTGCCATGGACCCAATCTCCCGGAGTTTGTCTTCCTGGTCATCTTGGATAATACATAGTGCGTCCACCTGAATACACAGATTAGATTATCTTTGGATCAAGAGCGTATGGATGTTGCTTAGAACGGTGTGCTCCACTCACCCAAAGATATGGTATTGAAAGTGAACGTGTAACTGTAATAGCGTCTTTGATGGTTTGAGGAAGATCATTGAGTTCCAAGTGTTGAGTGAATGCGTCGATGGTATGTGAACGAAGTTGAATTTGTGAACCAGTTCCCCAGCAATACGAGAGGGCTGCAAATTTTCCAGAAGCTCCGTTTGTACAAAGTATCTTCGATGTTGCCACTTCAATGACACGTGTTGGGAGAGCTGAATCAAGTTGCTCCGGGCAACACCTATGAAGAGCGCATTCCTTGATCCATCTAGAGATCTGTGTAGACGTGTTTGAGGGAGTCAAATCCGTCTCCACTTCTCGGGCAGTAACCAAATGCGCTGCGAAGTTGTCGTCTTCAGTAAACAAGCGAAGCTGAAGTTGAATACCATCATCATCGAAATCCAGCCTGTGTCTAATGCTGTAAAGGTTGCTGCCGGATGAAGTGAAACAATAATTCACATTTGCACCTAACGTGATTTTATGTTTCTTGATAGGTGGTGGACTCCAACGCACAAATTCGTAATGCATATATGAGCACCATTGGCATCCGCCATCAGCTCCCGCTTGTAAAACTTCCTTTGTAATCTGATTTATTCCTCCCGTTAGCGTACGTCTGGACATCACACTTGACATACCACAGGAGCAAGAGAATAGTCTCATGAGAGGGTACCAACATCGAAGTCCATATGTTCAATCTCACGGCGGCCCAGTCTTTCAAACTTGTCGGTATCGAAGAGATTCACCCAGCAGAACTCGCAGACCATCGCCCTCAAGCGCTCGAGAGGCTCTGGTACGCGCATCATCATCATCGCACTCGTTGTCGCAAAGCGATATCATCCAAGCGCAGTGTTAGCGGTTCACTGTGATCGGATATGTTGGGATAAGCAAGGTGGGGTGGGCTGAACAGGAAGGTTGAACCATTTTGAAGCCTGAGATTGCGGGCGCGCCTGAGGAACCTTGACAAGTTTGCGTATGACAAGGTGGCATCAATTTACGTTGTACACATCAGGATGAGAAACCTGCGCCCACGATTTCGCGAGCTTTGAACACATGAAGATCTGGTTACTTGGTATGCATTAAAGATATACTACCAAGCTTTTACACGACCTGGCCATAAGGCGCTGTTCCATCGAGTTTGAAGTATCCCGGCTGCAGCTTTTGGAATACACCCGTAGGGTCGTATTTTCTCGACACCTTGTTCAGCTTGGCTACATTTTCCAAGCCATATCCTGAGATGACTGGCTGGTAAGGGCTACTATACGGCATGTACATATAGTCATTGTATGCACCCAGCTCCTTTGCCATAGCAACCGATGCACTTAGGAAATCTTGCGCCGCCTTCAAGACGACCTTGTCGTCCTTCTCGTCAGTCCACGAGAGGTAAAAGAGAGCATGAAATAGAGGACCATTCTCGGGATGGAGGCCAAGAGCATTGCCGCCCTTCTTCTGCATGGCCTTGAGGGCGGGCTTGCTGAACGCTTGGAACGAGACACTGGGCGCACCAACGGGAATATTCGGCGCAATCTCAAAGAGATGGTCAGTCATGCGCTTCATCAAATCTGTGTTCAGCTTGAAAGACTGAGACCACATAGTCGTCCGGAAGCTGTCTGGCATGCTTTGGCTCAGCCCGGGTGTTGTATCAGCTAGGCTGCAGTTGCGTGTGTTATCCGTGAGCGGAGGAAGCGAGAAGTACTCCTTCAGTATAGCGGGTGGGTTCGCTGGGTCGATCGGGTCAAAGTACTCATACTCAGTGGATGCGATCTTAACACCACGAGAGTATGCGACGGCAACGAAGTGCGCAAGTTTGGTATCGGTCTCAGCGGCCTCCACTGCACTTCCAAATGCGTCGAATAGGGCGGGTGCGTAAGTCGCATTGTACTGGCGTTTGCTCGCAAACATAAGGCCTTGAGGCAGGGTCTCGTAGTTGAATGTCGTAATGATGCCGAAGTTGTTGCCTCCGCCGCGAAGAGCCCAGTAAAGGCCTGGAAAGGTCTCTTGGCTCACTTCGAGGATGATACCTGATGCGGTAACGAGTTCGAAGGAGGCAATGTTATCACACGCCAGGCCATACTCGTTGGTATGGTGACTGATACCTCCGCCAAGTGTCAGACCGCCTACTCCGACATATGCCGCCTATCCAGCATCAGTCGTGAACACGAAACATACGTAAGTCAATATTCAACTTACTCGTCCGCCAACAATGGCAAGATTGTACGGTGTCAGGTAATCGTAAACCTCCTTCCACCGGTTGCCAGGGCCGACAGCAACAGATTTCTTATCCGCAGAGAGCTTTTTCTGGTTCATATTGGCCATATCGACAGTGATGCCACCCTCGATGCTAGAAGCACCAGGAAAGGCTGCATGACCTCCGCTCTTGATGGCAAAAGGGCATTGTGTAAGACGTGCGATTAGGACTAGGCTCGAGACTTCGAGAGCCGCGGTTGGCGTGAACGTGCAATAGGGCTCCACCTCGAGTTGCTGTACCGACCAGTACGTTGTCGGCGCGGTGTCAAATGTCTTGTTAGCTCCAAAGACGAGCTTGAGAGAGTCGCACTTTCTGATATTCAGCCAGCCGTGTATAAAACAAGTAGTGCGACCTTACAGCTATAGAACAGCCTTTGGATGAAGATCTCACCACAAGCCCAACTAGCTCAGGTATGGCGGATACATTGACCCCGTTGTTCATAAGGGCCTCCATCACATTGAAGTCGGCCGGCTCGAAGACATCCCGAGTTGATGCTCTCGCAGCTACGGCAAGAGCGCTGAGGGATAACTTTTGGGCAAATCTCATGGTAACGGAAGTCGGCAACCATCAGCGCGCAGGATTTGGAGTGGAAATCGTGCGGTCCAAACGCGAAGAGGCAGGCCTCAAATGCAGAAGATAATCCTTTTGTAGAAGCGATCAACCCCGCGGAGCTTTCACGCGAGCAGTAGAGTCAGCACTTGCAGGCCTAGAAACGCCATGGCGAGTTAACTGACTGTCGCTGTTGCGGTTTGAATGCAGATGTTAGTCTGCCGGGCGTGCCTTCCTGCGTCTACTAAACCGTTCATAGCGAGTGTAAGTAAGATTATATGAGCTGTCCAATCACGCGTTACTAGATTGTTACCTGCATGGGTAACAAGGGCTGCAGGATGCAGACCGAGCTGCCGAAATGTGCAAGTGGCACAGATTTCTTTCCATGGATTGCATTCCTGGTTAAACATGTTGAACCCGATCGATGTCGCAACAAGCGCGTGGAACGCAAGGAACGCGAGTTTGCCTGTCTCTTAACGCCCCACGATTCAACTAACATTGAGGCACTGCAGAAACTGACACATGTTATGCCCGTCGAATAGTAAGGTATGGTATGGATAGAGCCGGTCGAGAAAGAGGAGATTCTGATCCCGACCACTCTCCCAACGGCGCCGTCTTGGCTGCGGCGCTGTCCGCGGGCGAACCCGCCCGCCGGTTCCTCTCTGATCTTCTCCTCCCCATTAGCACAAGTTTCTCATACATACAACATCCGCTCCATACCCTCGCATCGATAACTGGCATTCGAAGAAACGACTAGCAAGCACAGGCAGGTACAAGGCTTGCCGTGTTGTCCTGGGCGACAATCTCGGGGAAGCCTCGCGCTGATGAGCCTCTCGATCACCTCAACCCTGCAACTGCAGAACGCGTCCACTCAAGCACGATGTGGCGCGTAATGAAAGGTCGAGCAGACGCGTTTATTCAACTGACCTTGATCAAAGGAGCAAAGGGATGAAGACGTAGATCATAGCCTAGCATGCTGGCACGCCGCGATCTGCTGTACCGCTAACATGTTCAAGTTACCTCGGTGTGGCCGCACGAACTATTCTACGCATTCACTTGCATGAGCGTCTTACCCGCGCTGGAATATGATGTGTTTAGGCGGCAAATCCACTAGAAAATCAGCAGAAGAGACGAATCGGGTGGACATACAATATGAATGTTGGTCAAAGACACTGACTTCATAGCGCCAAGGTAATTGTGAATGCAATCACGACATCGGCAGCCAAGGCAGGCCACTATCCGCTCTGAAGTCCAGTACTATCCACGTTGTGCGACTCAATGACTAACAGAGAAGCTGAACAGAGCTATAAGTGTGCTCTTGTCGGAACTGTGCTCTCGTCTCTCATCCTATCTCCTCCATATAACTTCACCGAAACGTGCAGGATCCCTCAACATGTGTTCCAGCATTATCCCTCCTCCATGGCTGCGTCGCACCTTCACACTTACTACATCTCAGATCCATATCCAGACAATCGGCAAAGTCATGCGACTCAATTCCACATCTCCAACAATATACTCTGACCCCAATCGGCGGCGCCGGCGTCGGCCAATTCATCAAACCCTGCACCACAGACTCTGCCGACTTGCGACTCGACTGCCCTGTCTGTCCTGGCTTCGCGACCTTGTTTACCGGGCACGAGTATATTTCGAAACGAATGGCCGAAAGGGTGGCGATAATGGTAGCGTACATGGCAGCATTGCCACTATTCTGAGGGTGATGGACAGGGATCTTGAACTGCTGGAGGAGGTACGTGAACGATGCATCTGCGTGGCGCGTTATCTTTGCTTGCTGAGGAATAACTTGCGCGTCTAGAGTTGCTATCGTAGTAACTATACTAGAAGGATCGAAGTCAAAGGCTGTCTTTCGCATCTTGCTTATGCTGTCATTGGCGCCGAAGGACATGTACACGATTGGTCGGAAGCCGGATGCTGCTTTCTTTTCATCCATGGGTTGATGCCAGATCTGTTGGAGGAAATTGAGAGCCTCTTCGTGGGAGACATAAACTGTCGTACCGAAGTGGAAAGGGTCTAGACCAGCGGGTGTAGAGTCGAGGTGCGCAGTGGAGCGGATGACGAGGTGGAGAGACCATACTTGGCGGAGTAGGTCTTCAGCATGTGGACCAGCTATGGGTTGCCCTTGGTTGGTGGCTCTATCGTAGGTGGTGATTCCAAGCTCAGTGAGGCGGTGCGGTGGGGTTGCTGACCATTTTCGGTGGAGGGTGACCAGAACGGCGTCTCGAAGGAGGCCAGTATTGGACCTTCGGAGGTATTTGTGAAGGACATCCCGGTCTGAGCTTTTGGCAAGGACGTTACGCAGTGATTCCAGCTTTCCTGGCGTGGATACGGACATGATTCTCAGCTACTCGACGGAGATGGACACAAGCAGAAAAATGACAAAATAGTTGTGAGACCAGACCTCGGCCACCTAGATCGGAGCCTAAGCAGAGCTTTACGATTGTAGCAGTTAAGGTGAAAGTGAAAGTGAACTTGACTTACATCTCTCAGTTCCATCTCCTGCCGCTTATCATGGTATTGGTTTTGCGATGCTTTCAATGTAAGCCATGACTTCCCATATTTGTATTAGGCTCAGATTTTAAGTCTGCTCTACAGCTGGCGGCGACAGCACCCATCTAGGTTGCGACATACGTCTCTAGCATGATATATCTATATATGCCTCAGTCTGTAATTTCGACGACTTTGGAAACTCATTCAATCAACCGGCCACTATCAACTTTTGAAATATTAATGGCTGAGACTTTATTAGAGAACCAGAGTCCTTTCTTCAGTAGAAACCTCGTTCGTCTGCTATACTCATGCAAAGGAAGGGTGAGCTCGGTTGCATGCTAGCGCAATCGCTAAACGTACATAGCCCTAGGCCTCCCTAGATGGACCAGGTGGCCTTATCACCCCACCACTCTTGTTATTGCTTCAATAACATCCCGTATCTACCTCAAAGCCGCAAAGGTCAAAAGAGAGTCAAGATCGCGTCATCTCAGGTGCCTGGTTGTCAAAGCGACGCTAACAAAGTGTCGGTAAGCTATCATCAAATAGAGTCAGTGTCTACACCCTGATTGGTACTGAACTAGCGTCACTACAATGACAAAAAATTCTCTCCACGCGTTGAAGAAGTTTCTTCGTACCAAGGTGCTACGGGCCAAACGCCGAACCCTAACTGACCTTCCGGTGGGGCTGATTGAGCTGATCGGAACGAAGCTCATCGATCATCCGACTTATGAGCGACTAGCCATACCACAATCGACGCCGGAAGGGCGGCAGGCAATTTACAACACTCGTTCATCATGTCGATTTCTCTATAACGCCTTCATGGATATCTTCATAGAGATCGTCCAAGACATGCCATATCATTGCACAGAAGAAGGTTTCCGCCCTTTGCTTCGGCTTTTACAAGTTCCTGATGTGTCAAAGAATATCAGACAACTCACTGTTGGCGGAGCTCGTATGCTCAATCTGAAAGAGGAAGAGAAACAGGCGGCCTGGATAGAAGGACACTTGACGGATACTCTCAGGACGATACTGAATATTTTACCTCACGTGGCCAGTATCAGATGTGTTCCAATGAACACGTACATATTCGAGAAAAAAGACATCGAGGAAAGTGGCATGGTACTTGACGATGTGGAGAATAACTTCCATACGTCAATGGCCATCTTGACAGTATGTTCAACTATTACAATAGATAGTCTGGAAGGACACTGATGAGCAGACGTAGCGCATTCAGAACGCATTAAGGATGACTGTTCACGCAGCTGCCATTACTTCTTTCACTTTAAGATGCAACTATGGCCACGACGTTGAGTTGGAAGAAGCAATGTCTGGTACAAAATGTAACCGTGTAACTATTCTGCCTCTCTTTGAAAACCCCCACTATGATCTCCAGCACCTTACAGTCGATTTGGAATGTCTCCAGACATTCGGCGCCAATGCGAACGGTCACATATCACTTCCCGACCTCGAAACCTTGACAATTATCTTGACACGGTCCAAGATTGACAATGAAGAAATGGTGGGATTAGATATACTGGCGAGTACACAACCTCAACAACTCACGTTCACCGGTCGTGGGAGTATCTCTTTGAGTCAACTTTATTCCCTCGTTTCCCCATTCACTACTCGGCATCGCCCACCATCCCACCTAGTCTTACGTGAGACGGCCATAAGACTGGAGCATGGTCACCATGACCCCAATCCGCCCCGTCCGATCGGCTTTTGGCACACCTTCCGGATCAATATCTTGGAGATCCAAGACGTAACATGGAATCGATATGTCAGCGCATCTTCCAGGCGGAGGAGCCAAGGATGGTGCGAGACAGGCTGGGATATGTTCCCTTATCTTTGCGAACTATCGGACGCTGTGCGTGTACGTATATCGCTGGGCGGATCCAAGAAGGAATATCTTCAGAGACCTAATGTGGCTCGGGAAATTGAGGGTTGTAGCGATTCCGACGAGGGGGCCGACGAGGATGAAGGCACAGGGATCGATCAGGTTGTTGGGTATAACAGCGACAGATAGTTATTGGCGTGAGTCAAACATGAAGTGGAGTCGTAAGATCTGAATCTCGCTTCAAAATTGACAATGACTTTTTCAGCCACCGCCAGGTTTCTTCTTTAGCGCTCCTCCGAGAATACTTGGATCAAGCATCTTGGCTTCCGGTACGTCAACACCGCATCGCACCCACATGCTGCTCCAAAGCGCGCCAACGGCTCTCTCCTCGGGCATGAAAACGACTGTGTTCACGTATGATCGCGTTGTGTTGTAACAATCTGGCATGTTGAACAGTTGCGCTTCACAATTGTCACCCTTATTCGAATAGAACACGCCGCATCGCGCTTCGCTTGGAAGAGTGATGCAAGTACCGTTCTTCCATTTCTCGAGGGGTGGCGGAAAATACGTTTTCTGTAGGAGTTCGCCGCGACAGTGCTTAGGGCCGCCTGCACCCGCGTATGTGAGGGCAAGGATTGGTATTTGAGGAGTGGCCGGTGGTCGAGGCGCCGGCGCGGCGGATGGCGTAGGCGTAGCTATGGGTCCCAAGACGCCTTCAGCGCTCCAACTGGCACTTGTCTGCGGTTCCGGGGTGAAGCCAATCAATCCTTCCTGAGTTTCGGTCATTGTTGTGGGTACTAGCGTCGCTCCGGATATGATGGTACTGCCATTGTACACATCACCACGATCGAAGTCTGTGCCGTTCAACAGCGCTTTTGCCGCCACAACGTCATCCCCGTCCCCAACTCTTGCAGCTTGCGCGAAATTGATCTGTATAATTTGTGGTGTTGGTCCGCGTACTTCGATGGCGGTCGCTAGCGAGATTGCGATGAAGAGGAGGAGTGATACAGACGACGCGACGAGAACCATACGTCGCGATATGGACGACATTGCGATAGCATTGGATGAGATTCAAAAGATTGAGGAGTTTGGGGAAAGACGCGACAAAGTTGAGGTGCGCAGACGACGCCAAGACGTCATCGGGGGCTCCTGCACTACGCGTTTCATCCCCACGTCCTCCCCAAACACCGTCGCAAAATAGCTATTAGCACATGTCCGACGGCCTGCTAAGTAAAAGAAGAGCAGAGTGTGGTCGTTATGTATCATCTTCTTGCATTCTGCATCACCCAAGCCTCCTCATCCGACAACATTGCCGAAAACGAATACACCTTGACCCTCTCGTCTTCATCTCCATTGTCGCTGCCTTCCTCAATTCCAACCTTCTTTTCATCTGCTTGCGCACTAGAGACATTCCTTACGAAAGCTTTGGCGATGTTACTATCTATTGATTTCTCGAGAGTACCTTGGTACGATCATAAGTGATCTCTTCATACCGCCATGAAGATCTGTCCATGTTCCACCAGGACACGAAAACCTTGCATTTCTTTTTCACAAGTTCTTGGATATGTGGGAGCAGAACAGCTTTGTATCTCTCCATGGCAAATGAAGTTCGTACCTCGACGGAGAGGGTAATCGCGAGTCGTGATTCATGCTCCGTGGTCGCAAGATCGCTAAGCCAACTGACTTGTTTCTCATAGTCGTCCATTGTTGCTTTGCTCTCAGCCTTTCTCTGCAGGATAACTACTTGATGATAGTTGTTGGAGCTAAAGTAAGGTTCCATGGAGACACACACCGAGAGCGTTCGGAGGTGATCGAGAGGTCGACAGGATGGATGAACCAAGAAAGGGCCGTTGCGCAGTAGAGGAACAACATCATCAATATGACGAACGTTGTAACAGGCATATCGGTTGAAGACTTGTGCGATCTCCATAGCAAACTCATTTCCCATGTAATCTCCGATGAAGTAGTGTTGAAGCTCATTGTCAAGGCCGCGGGCCTGGCCACGACGGCCACCGAGTTCCACATGAAAGAAACACTCTCCACGACTATTCGCCGGCAAGCTTTACGTGACGTGGTAGAATGTGGGCCGTTGGAGCACCGCCGATGAGATGACAGTAGACCATGTCTCGCAGCTCGCGAGCCAGAATTTCGAAGATCTTCGCAGCGAACTTACTGTTCCACATGCGCAAGTAGTCATTGTATGCCTTTTCGAAGGCGCTGAAGGGAGATGTCGTATTAGTGAACAATTGCCTGTATTGGGAAGGCCTAGACCTACGTGTATAAGTTCCGCTTCTTGCGCTGAAGTGTGCTTCGTCTGGATTCAAGTTCTTTAATCTCGATATCGACAGTGCTTTCCCTTCGATGACTGAATGAGCTTCTGATCAAGAAGACTATAGTTTTGACTTACATCTCACAATTATCCTGGATCTTTTTCTTGAACCTACTGGATTGTCAGACACTGGAACACAGCTTGTGCATACTCTGAACGTCTTCTTACAGTGCCATTGTTTCAATTTTGGCTATGAGTTGATTCTTGGGAGCCATTTTATCAGTCATTGCGTTCTCTAGGTATTGGTGTATTGCGTTGAGTTGGGGAAAAGACTCTGAACCTTTGACGTGAAATATGTGGTTGATCGCATTATGTACTGCACTTACGCCCTAAAGGCAACACGAGAAGGCTGCAAGCTAAGCACGCGCACGTGTACTGAGATCTAGGCAAACCCCAACCTTATCAATCATGACTTTCTCCGTGAATGGCACGGGATCGCAGAGAATAGAGCTGTCCAGCAAACCTTTACGTGATCAAAGAGCGGTATATGTCAGGAGGACACAGCGACTGTAAGCATTTTTGAAGACCTTCGAAAGCAAAAATAACTGGATGGATAAGGTATATGCTGGTCAAAACTCATCTGTGACTCTTCAGGCATCTCCAACCTCAGCCTTTTCTTTAGCTTTGTCTTGCGGCACCTTGACGACAATCTTACCCCTCGCCCTCCCTGTCTTCAATTTCTCAAAGGCTTTCGGCGCGTCTTCCCAATCAAACACTGCATCAACAATGCCCTTCAACTTACCCTCCTTCATCCACTCGCCAAGTTGCCTTAGCGCATCCGCCGACGGCTTCGCCATCAGCATCTGATAGCTATTCTTCCCACCGCCCAGAAAGCCTGGTAACAGCATATTCGAACCCACTGTCTTTATGCTATCCATGCTCAATGTTGATCCGATCTGGATGAACTTTCCGGCTGGCATAAGATAGGAAGATGCAGCTTTGTAGAGGTTAGATGGCGTGCCGATGTTATCGACTACAAGGCTAAAAACCTGACCCTTGGAAGAAAGAGTATCAATGACATCAGAGGTTTTGTAATCGATGACTTCGTCTGCGCCCAGGCTTTTGCAGAGGTCGACGTTGGGTGTTGAGCACGTTGTGGTAACGTGGCAACCAAGCGCTTTTGCGATCTGGATGCCATATACACCTGTGCCGCCAGAGCCGCCATTAATGAAGACTTTGTCGCCGCTCTTAACGTTTGGCGCGATAGCTTGGTATCTAAAAATGATGTTAGTAAATCCTCCGGCTTCATCGACAACTCGCCTGGTCTTACTCGGTCAATCCTACGATTCCCACACCAGCTGCGTCCTCGACCTTTACGCCCTCTGGTAATGTCGCCAACATATTTCTCTCCACAACCACATATTGCGCCAAACTCCCTCCCGTCAGCGCACCAACTTTTGCGCCAAACACAAACTCGCCGATCTGGAACTCGTCGACCTTCTTTCCAACTTTGGCGACTTTGCCACAAAAGTCCGCACCCGGAGTGATGTCGGAGCCTACGAGTCGCAGTGGCATTGGGCCTTCAGTCACCTTATGATCGACGGGATTGATCGCCATGGCAAGAACTTGAACGAGGATCTGTTCATCGTGAAGCGTAGGTTGAGGTGCAGTGTCGTTGATCTGCAGATTCTTCTCGATTCCGCCTTTTGTGCTGTTATACTGCCAGGCCTTCATGGTGGATGCCATCTTGTCGCTCGAACTGGATGTGGTCGCTTGCGATGGTTTTCTGGTTGATATGATGAGTTCAGCAGGGAGTGCGGTCCTTCTTATCTCGTAGCGTGGAAGTAGGTATGCGTCATGACGATTCGCTTTGAGCGGGGCATGCGCCACCGCCGTCTGTCAACACGATCTTGGGAGCTTTTTCGTTCATCGAAGGTTCGTGCAGGCGCTCGCGTTATGGCGCAAGCTGAACCCGCGTAGGGAGGTCTTCACATGGTTAAAGCGGGTTAGGTAGGCAAGGCTGTTCGCCCAGCGGGCCGTCTTACTTGCGCCGCCTGTTCGATGGGGCGAACCCACGTTGCCGTCTAACGCGATCGGGTGTATTTTGCGCAACGAACGGAAGCTCATTGTAATGATAGCAACAGAAGAAATATAGCGCGTTGTAGCATGGACGAGTTATTCATTCATACGAAAATGCTCTTCCATCATTTGATCCTGTACGTCCTCACATACACCAGCCACCCTGTGTCAAGCCTCTTACGCGTATGTAACGAACATCTGCTCGAAACCAGTGACATTCCACGTCCCAGTGAGGGTGTTGAGCGTCAAATTTGTTGGGGTGGTGGCTCCGCGTTGAAGCGCGCCGCTCTCAACATGACCGCCAGTAGCGACGACAGTTCCGTTGGTCCTTTCCCTAGATGTGGGTATACGATGTCAGTAAACGTCTCACATGCAGTTCGTACGTGTAATCTTACAGGTGGTTGGCACCGGCCTTGACCGTGAAGTTTGCAAGGCTAATGTCGAAAGGATTTCGGGATGCCACAGATGGAGAGCCTGTATTAGGTCAGTATCCAAGATGATTCATTGAGTAAGCGTACGATAAAGTAACCTACCATAGTACTGCGCGTTGAGCTCCTCGGGTGAGATAAATAGCTCGTAGTATCCTCTGTAGTAACCCTCGGTCCACTGAAGCTCGCGGTTGTCGCGTACCAGGGCTGCAGAACGATCGCTCGAGTTTGCAATAGATCTTCCAGCACCATAACCACTGGAGGAGACGGCCGTGCCGGCAAACTCGACGCCAATAGCGCCAGCACCTGTAGATTGGTCGTACGGGGTCTCGTCAAGCCAAACAAGATCAGACACCCAGTTAGCATGAGAATCACCAGCCAAGAAGGCGGTATTCGGAATCTCGTTGCTGTAAAGATGGTGAAGGGTACGGTTGCGGTTCGCAGTGTATCCGTCCCACTGATCAGCGTTCAACTCTTCGTCGTACACGGCGCTATTGTTCATCCGCGAGAAGATGATTTGGTTTCCGACGATCCTCCAAGTAGCCCCTCGCTCATGCGATTTGGAAAGCTGGTTGTAGAACCAGTTCTCTTGAAGGCTACCCATCAGTGAGCGGCCAGCATCATCTTTAAGATCCGCAATGTAGTCGTCGTTCCAGTTGAGTGTCGTGATGGATCGGTCGTAGTTGCGTGTGTCGAGCATGATCAGGTCAAAAAGTTTACCCATCTTAAAATTACGCCAGATGCGCAGGTTGTCGTCCATGTCAACCTGACGAATACTGTGTAGATGATCAGTGGGATCGAGAGCGGGAACAATAAGGTACGTACGGCATCCACTCGAAGTATGCCCTGACGGCATTCATCTTTCTTGAGTCAACACTCACGCCTCCGAACTTTCGGAAGCTCTGCTCGGTGTTGTTCATGTTGCTGAAACCATCGCGATATCCATTGTTTGCGACCTCTGTCAATGCGTTAGTCGATTGTAGCTTATCAAAAATTTCCACGAACCATGATCATCCCAAGTTGGAATCCATGCAAAGTTTTGGTGTGCAAGAAGCAAGTCGTCATCGGTACGGTACTGGCCGATTCTTGTTCGGTAGTCTACGAGACGGATTAGTAACGAACACATCCAAAGAGTGGTTTCACACGAACCATATAGTGTGACAATCTCTCTTGACGGGTTTGTAGCTCGCGGATCCTGACCGAGTTTGCCTTTGGTGGACTCATAAATGTAGTCACCGAGATGAACCTATATATCTCGATCAAAAGAGTCGATAACGCTTTCATCGATTGTGCTTACGAAATAATCTACCTGGTCCTTCCTGGCCGCGTTCCCGTACGCATTGAAGTATCCGTTCTGCCAGTTAGAGCAAGAGAAGATAGCAAGGCCGATCTTGGAAACATCGTCGTCCTCATGAGGACTAGTCTTAGTTCCTGAATGTAGGCGAATGGAGTTAGCATGCTTCTCGCATACAGATCATGCAAGGACACTTACTGCCCAGCGGACTCTTGTTCGAGCTGCCACAAACATTGAACTGGTAGTAGTACTGCGTGAAGGGAGAAAGATTCTTCGCTTCAATCTTTTTCAAGGTCAGCTTGTCACTCAATATGATCATCGCAGAAAGCTAACCTTGACAGTGAAGTCGATGTCGGAAGTGGTGTATGTCTGGCCTTGATCCGCGATGCTTGAGAAATTGCTATCCGTACCAACGCGGTAGTCCACGCAAATCGGGTTTGGCGAGGCCTTGATGTACTTCTCCGTCTCGTGGTTGTAGAACGCTACATTACCCGTGACGGTTACATTCGACCTATCGTTCTCAAGCGATGGTGCGATGCGTGTCCAGAGAATGACCGAGTCCGGGTAGGGATCTCCAGAAGCGACGCCGTGCGTGAAGCTCAACTGGGCAGGATCCCAAGGAGTTGCCCGTTTCACAAGGCTCCTCTTTGCGACCTTGGGCACGTCTATGCCGAGACCCTCATGCCGGCGAGAAGGTGAGTGGTAGTTCAAGTTGCCGTCAAAGGATGCACACACGAGCGAGGCTAGAGGCGCCGCTGCCAGAAGAATTGAAAGCATCGTGAAGACTGAAGAAGCTTCAGTAGTTCTCTTCCGACCCTCCAAAGTCTCAAGACCGGAAAGCTTAAATACTTGTATACATACTTCGACATGCCGTCCTCCATGCACGCCTCTACCCTCTTTGCACCAAGCAGGCCGCCAACATTACCGCATCGCGCATTCAGCACGATACTGACAGTAGCCATGGCCAATCGCAGGAAGTGCATTGTAAGTGTGGAAAAACGTGCCTGTTGATCGTCAACGGCGACATATGCAAGATGCGCATGTGCGGAGAGGTAGAGATGAGATTGGCTGAGCGCTACTGCATCCCGTCTGTCAGTCTAGCCGATTGTGGGGGTACGCAGCTCGTCTGAACCTCGTTGATGCTGGTGCAAGAAACATAGCGTGAGGAGTCAACCCGACTATGTAGAACCGAGATGGCTAGTTCAGTTCAATGACAGGAGAGACACTGCTTGACTTCCAAAGCTTCCAGCTTCCAGCTTCCGACCTCTCAGATGGTCGCGGACCTTGACGGCGCTAACATATTAGCGCCGTCCGCACCGCCCCATCATCTGTCCCTTCAACATCCACTACTCCCTAATTTGCAGCGGGATTGAGGTCGTTCTCTGTGTTCTCTCAAACTCTAGCTGCTGTGTATATGATTCACAGTGCAAACACGCTTTTGGATCAAAAGTTCAATCGTACGCTGGGGTGACACCTGCCTTTCTATACATCCGACCAATCGTTTGATCGTTAGCACTTCATCTAATGCAACCGTTCTCATCATATCCACGTTCCGGCGCTCATACTCTCATTCGCTCTGTTTACATCGCGGTACATCTAGCGTCGTTCTGTTCAAATGTACATTATCAAAGCAAACAATAAGCCAAATGCTGACAGCAAAGCCTACAATGCTACTGATCTTTACTTATTTATTTATTTTTCACTGGGAGCTCGTGTAGGCTGCAAGCTCACGGATATTATTCTCATAATTGACTGAGTTTTTCCCTTGTATACGTGCCCGCGGTTATCACTATGGTCGCGCGAACAATCTACTCAACCTTGTACACAAGCTTTACGCCTGATACCTTGTTATCCTTCAAGTCTTGCAAGCCCTGTGGAACACCGGACAGTCCATTTCTGACCTCAGCCGGGTGGGTCTTGATCTTGCCACTGTTGAGCCACTCCTCGGCCTGCTTCCAGAACTTGGCACCAAACTCGTAATCTTCCTGGCTGGCACCGACGTTCTCATTGAACTTCTCACCGAGCGCGGTGTAGGCAAAGGTGAATTTGGTCTTGACGTCACTTCTCGGGTAGTTCTTGACTGGCAGAAGAGCAGACATGTGACCACCACTGGAGCTGATGGCAGCAGCGGTGATGTCAAACGAGTTTCCTTCGGCAATGCAATCGAAAGCCAGCTTCAGCTTGTCGTTAGTAGCTTTTCGGATCCGGGCGCCAACATCGGCATCCTTGTAGTTGAAGACCTGGTCGGCGCCGAGCTTGCGAAGCATGTCGAAGTTGTGCGGTGAGGATGTCGCGATAACCTCACAGCCTGATGCCTTCGCGTACTGGATGGCGAGCGTTCCTGTCGCGGTGGAGCCGCCATAGATAAGGACTGTGGTTGGTTCTTGCACCTTGGCGGGCGGCAGTGGTAGACCAAGCTCCTGGTACAAACCTTGAGCTACGGTTGTGATTCCTACACCCAAAGTCGATGCATCCTCGAAGGACATGTTGTCGGGAATCTTGAGGTTGATTCCAGTCTTGGCCTTGATGTGTTCGGCGAAAGCGCCGTTGGAATGATCAGCAGGGTCACCTGAGATACGTCAGTAACCACCTTCCAGAATGAACAATGGTGTCCGTACCTCCACGAACAAAACCAGCAATTCGGTCTCCAACCTTGTAGTTGGTCACAGCCTTGCCGACCTCCTCGACTACACCAGCATAGTCACAGCCAGCAAGAGCGCCTGGCGCTGTCGACCACTCAATGCTCTTCCAGTCAGTTGGGTTCAAGGCTACAGCCTTGGTCTTGACAAGAAGCCAGTTGTCGGCAGGAAGCTTGGGCAGAGGGACGTCATTGCGCAGCTCAGAAACGCCCTTGGAGGCGCAAACGACTGCTTTTTGTGTAGACATGTTTCGTGAGGGGGAAATAAGTGGAAGTCTGGTGTGTGGTTTTGTTCCTGACAGTAGGGGTATCGGGAACTTTGATGGCCTAAGGAGTCGATTGATATACATTCTGCTATGATGCAAGGCCTTGTAGTGGATTTGTAATGGGACCACTCTTAAGATCTACCGGGCGGGGCGGAGCATGTTCGGCGAAAGCTAGGGAAAGGGAGCGTGCTTCGTACTCGGGGTGATAAGTAATTCGTGATCACTCATATTGTTTTCGGAGCACTGGTATAAGTGTAGTGTACTATGCATACGGAGAGAAGACGGTTGTGATGTTTGCTTACTGCAGATGTGATGCGGATGAAATGGTCCAAGCTCGGGCTTCGCGCTACGTAGGTAAGCTTTGGCGCAAGGGTCCAGCAGCGCGACGCATTCGACGCGTAGCTCTTCTACTTGGACTCCACAGGCACGACCCCTCCAAGGCTTATTGGGCACGCAGTCTGTCATTACCGTCATGGACGACCTTCAGCGCCCGGCAACGCCTGAGGACGAGGACATCAAGCTCAACTTCTTCCCCGATCCCCCGCCATTCTACAAATACTTCACAACCGAGAACCTCGCCCGACTCAAAGACATTGAGAAGGAAGCCGCGCCGGAAAATGACGACACAAAGTCGCCGACCTCGAAAGCTGCGACGAAGCTCTCTGCAGAACAAATTCTCGCCTTGCCGACCGAGCTCCGCTACCTGATACCACCCGAGCCACCTGCAGACGATGCCGAGTTCCATGTATTCGGCGCAGTAGAAAGCGCCAAGGGCGCAAACAACTTGATGAAGAACATGGACTATATAGCCGACCAACTCAGGTTTCAAGATGTCTTTCACGACTGGACGTACGAGCAATTGTACCCCTCTCCCTCCACCGAACCCTCTGCCGACGACCCTTCCGCGCAACAACGTACGACGAGCAACGCTGCCTCTCTCGACCGTCAGAACTACTTGTTCCGCTTCTTGCGGAGCATACTGTTGAGCTACATCTCTCTCTTGGGTATCGTGGCTGCAAATCCGACCTCAGAGCAAAAGGAGCAGAAGCTCAAGGACATCATGACGTTGGTAGCCAACATGCATGCGCTGATAAATGAGTACCGGCCGCATCAGGCAAGGCAGACGCTCATTGCCAAGATGGAGGAACAGGTGCGCAAGAAGAGGGAGGAGATTGAGAGCGTAAAGCGGATAGGAGAAAAGGTCAAGGAAATCCTTGCTGGGTTTGGCGGGGTGGACGGTGAGGACAAACCTAGCGATGGAGGTGAAGAAACTCTAGAGGACGGGACAAGGGCGAGAGAGGAGGACAGGCAGCGTGTGCAGAGGGGGATGTGGGACGCTATTCACGAGGCCGTAGGATAAGAAGCACGCGACCAGGCTCCGGCAAGGTCGGACAGCATCGTAACGACAATTGAGCTATTTCGAATTCAACTCTAAAAGTGGACGCATTGTCGACAATGAAGCTCGAAGCATCCGGTGCCTTCAAATACCACATACATCAGAAGGCTTGCAAATTCGCCAAACAACACATACATTATAGAGACGAAGGCGCAGACAGTTTGTTGTAGGCAACTACACTTGGCGAGCGTCGGCACCAAGCAGCCGCACGACATCTACAGTCTCGGCGTGGGCACGATTGATCCAGGAACATGACGTCATGCGGCCTTTCCACTTGCCAGAAATCTACCTGCTTGATACTTTGTTTCTCATCAGCCACACCCAAAGCCACAATCCTTATTCCATTAGCTGTTCCTCCATAGTTCGTATCGTTGTTTCGGAAACTCCCGTTGGCGCGCTCCAGCTTGTAGTGCTTGTGACGCGAACGTAAGCTTCAAGGGTTGGCACGCGCTCAGCCCCGGTGCGCAGACATCCAAGACTTGATAAAGAAGGCAACCACGGCTGAATATTTGGCGGTTCAGCTCCTCACCGACTGTTCTCAGGCTGCGAACGCCGAGAACAAGCAAGTGCGCGGCTGAAGAGAACCTCTACTTTGTAGATAAAATCGCATACATCTACATTTTCGACGCGTTTTATAGCCAGGTCTTCTGCGATACTGAGAGACTTCAAGTTCCTGAGACTCTTCAAATTTGATCACGTCGTCACCATGTCATCCACAACTACGACAAGGCCAACGAAACGCCTAGCCATCTTCTGCGACGGAACGTGGGTCGGCCGCGAAACCGAAGTCGAAGATGCACCACCAAGCAACATCCGACAACTCGCAAATATGGTCGGCGAAGTCAAATATGTCACCGACGACAAAACAGCCGCAAAGGTTCATCCCATCATACCTCACAATACAACACCTGGAAATTCTCCCTCGGACATCATCGCCGGTTACCAAGAAGGCGTCGGCCTGAACAAGACCTTTTTACAGTACATCTGGGATGGCGCAACTGCCTCCACCATCGGCGAAGAATGCATAGCCGCTTACCGCTTCATAGTGGAAAACTACACTCCGGATCACGAAATCTGGCTCTTCGGCTTCAGCCGCGGCGCCTTTACTGTCCGCTGTGTAGCCGGCATGATCAACAACTGTGGCATCATAAAACGGCTTCCGGAATACACAGACGTCGAAGTTCAAAGGCTCTGTCACGAAGTCTTCAGAACATACCGGAGTAACCTCCCCATTGACGCACCCAAGAGCGAAGAATGCCAGCGGTGGAAGGGGCTTGATGATAAAGTCTGGCAAGTAAAACGGCCCATTCGATTCATGGGTATCATCGACACCGTTGGTGCGCTGGGTATTCCGAGACTCAACGCGGGAATTGGGTTTGATTGGAGTCCCTTTGAGTTTTTCGATCAAACTGTCAGCAGCGTCGTGCAGCATGTCTATCATGCGCCTTGTTTGCACGATCGACTGTGGATCTTCCAGCCTTGTTTGGTCTATCCCAGTGAAGAGGGTGGCGACGGTGAGGAAAAGGCTGTGGTGAAGCAGAAATGGTTTCCAGGAACCCATTATGATGTCGGTCGTATGACTTTCCGCTTTGCACGCCAGAGCCCTGCAAATTGGATTGAAGATGCGTTGGGCTGGGCTACAGACCTGCTTTCACGGACGATTTATCCGAATGAGGTGCTTAGCGATGCGGTATTGAGGTGGCTGGTTCAGGGAGTACAGGAGGCTGACAACGATTCTGCGAATCCGTTGATGCCAAACACTGATCAACACATCGAGAGCCTCAGTAGCAGACTCGGGGAATCTGCTGTGGCATCCTCAACAGCATCAGCTCCAACCACTCGAACAGGGAGCGGCGATATATACGGTGACGTTCTTGCTTACGCACCGGGCGGTAGGGTGTTTAGTGCTATAAAACGTACTTCTCATTCCATTACTGGACTACTGAATGACTTTATCCCTCACCTTGGCGACAATATCCAGAGTTTGCTAGGAATCAAGGCGCTTGTTGGTATCTTGACCGCTACAGCTGATCGTCGTATACCAGGGACGGAGGCGGATATCTATCCTTATAAAGAGTCTGAGACTGTGTTCGTGCAGGGGAGGGAAGTGACGTTTTCAGTCGAAGAGTTGGCAAGGTTGAATGAGACGAACGAGAGAGGTGTGTTACGGTATCCGAGTCAGACGCTAGAGGCTCATCAGCTTTGGAAACGTGTATTTGGGAAGAGAGAGACGCAGTGATGGGAACGACATTCGTGACAAGTTAGCTTCTTCTTTGTGGAGCTCGTCGATAGTAAGAATGTTCAGTTGTTTTTGCAAATCTAGACCTGATCGATCCTACTTGCTCTTGTTCATCTCAAAAGCACCTTCATTCGCGAACGCCTTCTTGTCTACGATTTGATCCCTGGTAAACCATTTATTAGATTTCTTCTATACTGTAAAAGTACACATTCATCAGAACCAAAAGCGCTCCATCATTTCGAGCGTACACTGCATCCCCAATACGAAAATGCTTAGACAAGACTTACTTCTTGCCACGGCCTCCGAAGCCCCATCGGATCTGGTTAGCCCAGCGACCCTCAACACCAAGATCATCGGCGCATTGCCAGACAAAACCGGGGTTCTTCTGGAACATGCGGCCAATGAAGGCAACATCAAGATTGTCGTTCTCGAGGTATCCGTTGGCCTGCTTGCCGTCGGTGATGCTACCAACAGTACCAACGGCCATCTTGTCTCCAACCTTGTCCTTGACGGCCTTGGCGAAAGGCTCTTGGTATCCCGGCCCAGCATGGATGTGCTGCTTCTCGTGGAGACCTCCGGAAGAAACGTCGAGAAGGTCTACGCCCCTCTCGGCGAGGATCTCGGCGAGCTTGACGGTCTGGTCGACGGTCCAGCCTTCGATACCGGCTTCATCAAGCCAGTCTGTCGCGCTGATACGGAGGACGAGAGGCATGCTGTCAGGGATGGTCTTACGTGCGAGATCGACGACTTCGAGAGTGAGACGGGTGCGGTTCTCGAAGGATCCACCGTATTCGTCAGTACGCTTGTTGGATGCTGGTGACAGGAAGGAGTGGAGTAGGTAGCCGTGGGCGTTGTGGATCTCGATGGTGTCAAAACCGATCTTGAGGGCGCGCTTGGTAGCATCGACAAATGCTTGCTTGAAGGCCTCGATGTCCTGCTTCGTCATCTCCTTAGGTGTGCAGTGGTGGTCGTTGAATGCGATAGCTGAGGGAGCATAGACGTTGTCTGGCCAGCCGTTCATCTCCTTTGTAGCGATATCACCCTTGCTCAACCAGGGAGCGACGGTGCTGGCCTTTCGTCCAGCGTGTGCGAGCTGGATACCAATTTTCTGGCCTTGGGAGTGTGCGAACTCAACGACCCTGCGAAGAGGCTCCATTTGCGAGTCTTTCCAGAGACCGCAGTCCTCTGGGGTAATCCTTCCCTCGGCTTGTACCGCAGTAGCCTCAACAAATGTGAGGCCAGGACCGCGCTGGATGATGCCGCCCAAATGTGTGAGGTGCCAGTTGGTTTGGTGACCATCTTCGGCAGAGTATTGGCAGAGAGGCGAGAGGGCAAGGCGGTTCTGAATGGTAAGGCCGCGAAGCTTGAGGGGTTGGAAGAGCTTGGGGATCTTGGAGCTGCCATCGAGCATGCCAAGGGCGGTTCCGGCGACGGGCTCCTGTGCGGGAGTGAAGTATGAGATCTAGATGGGTTAGCTGACAGAAAACAAGAAGCGGGAATGAATACATACACCAGCGGCAGCCTTGTTTCTCAGCTCGTCCTGCTCTGGGACTTGTTCGCTGTTCTTGTCCTCGGGAGTGTCCTTTGCAATCGCATGATGCGAATGCGGGTTCTGGCTATCGGCCTCAGCACCCATTATGGCGGTCGTAAGTATATGAAAACGGATTTGTGGGGTATTGGGAGAGTGGTGAACAAGGTCGAGGCGTCAATGGATATGTGCAGCGAAGAGTGGGTGGTCAATGGCATCTTTATACTTTTCCTCCCACTCTTCGAGAAAGTACCGACATGACGTGCATGTGTGAACACTGCTACCACTGAACCCCTGCCGCGGAGCATCTTTGGCGCCCCGCCTTCCTCGTTTGGGATGGTTCGACACCTAGCAATCCATGGATTCGTTGAAGCCGGATTTGTAAGAAGCACGCCTTCGCATTCACCGACATGTTGCATAGTCGAGTATGCTGGAAGCCATGTTTGGAGGCGCACGTACCGGAGCGGTGATTTACTGAACTACCTAGGTACGGTGGAGCCAGTAAGAGCTCTGCTGGGAAGCTTATACATGTGCTGACCGAGGTAGCCGAGTGGCATAAGCAATGCTTCCCCATGATCTGCAGGCATCCGTCATACAGTACATGGCCTGATAAAGGTTTCGCTACTACTTCGGACGTCTAACTCTCTGTTCTCTTCCAACCCTTACTGAGCCTTGTGCAGCATGTCTCAGCAGCTTGACACGCGTTGCAATATCACAGCATATTACTAAGCGTCGGTTACTTGCCCATGCGACGCGTCAAACTCGGTCCAAGCAACGCCGCCGAACTTTACCGCTCCAAGCCATTAGTGCCGCAATCGATTCTGTCTCATGGACTTCCAAACACAGTATACCAAGTCTTTTACGCCGGTGTTGGCCATGCTCTATATGCCACAAGCCTAGAACGCGAAGCTCCGCCGATTGTGTCAAGGTGGACAAACGTTCTTCCATGTGTATACGCTAGGTGGCACATAGCCGATATGACTTTGAGCACCTGCGCACACTAACAACACGCGCGTCGTGCGTCATCAGAACTGGCCGTCGCGTCTCGGAGGCCAATTGAGCGCATGATATTATGGACATTCTCTCCTGGGCTCTAGGAATGGCTGAACGATCTGACACGCTTGTGACCTTTCCTCATCTTTCAAAATGCATTAGACAAGCTCTCCGGGAGCTTGCCGGTGGTTTTCAAGTTCGTAGGTAACTGGCAAACGTCGTCAAAGAAATGGACCTGGGAATTCATCTATCATGAATCTCAGGCTTTGTAGATGATGCTGAATACCACATGATTTGTCACAGGTCTACCAGTAATCGATGTATTCGTCAAAGGATCCTGGATAAAGATGAAAAGCGACTCAAGAGCTGGAAAATCCCGGATAACGCTCTGATATCTTGTTCATCCTTCGAATTGCCAAAATTTCGAAGCTTTAAGGAGACGCAAATACCTGTTGCTCAAACTCTCAGGATCGATTTTGGTGAAGCTTACGGAATCGGAAATAAATACAGGCTTCCCTGTCGTAGGAGAGTGGAATCTCTGAGTGATGGTGACCAACTGCAAAAGTCACCTCTGCAGGACGCATGGCATTTCTCAAGATCGCTCAAGCGTGGTATAGCATGTCCAAGTGTAAGCGGCCTATCACAAAAAGTGAGAATCTTGGAGATCGCTGACTGTATGATGCCTCTGCCCCGCCGTCTTACTCTTGGCATGTTTACGCCCCGTGGTGTCATATTCGATCATCATAGAGTTTTCTCAACGTCTCTATGACAGTCTGATGCTCTCAGGGCTTCTAAAAGCAACCCTTGACGCTACATCGGATCCTGTAGTTCACCGCAACATACCTAAAGGCACTGCAATCAACCACCAATCAGAGTACAACTCCAACGACTAGTACGAGAGAAAGTCAGACGATAGTCTGGTCTACACGCACCTGTTCTTCAACGTTTCATCTCAGCATTGTTTCCCTTGGTTTATTCTGCCCAGCCGATATCACAAGCCAAGACCGAGGATGCGATATGTCACCGTGGAACCAGAGGAGGCACTGGAACGAAAAATCGAGGAATACAAACCTCGAGAGACATGCAACACTACACAAACCAAGAGTAACCTTTTTAGTCTGCCAGCGGAGATTCGGATGATGATCTGGGAGTATGTCGTAGCTGAAAAGCTCATCATATTATATCGGAAGGACGACCAGATTACATCCAGTTTTCTAGACAGACACGGTACACTGAGTGTTACCAAGGTGACTTCACATATTGTGTACGATGTAGCAAGTAGATCTAAACCCAAGTTACCACCAACGAGGTCCAAGTCGAAAGCTGACCTCATGGCCTTGCTTCACACATGCCAAACGATGTGAGTTTCCAAAGCGACGATCATGTTGCAAAAGACCGCAAGCTGATGTCATAGATCTCTGGAGGCAACCAAGGTCTTCTACCAGGAAAACACATTCGTCTGCCTTGACAGCACCGTACTAGTCGATCTGTGTAACGGATGGTCCTCGTCCAACATGTCTCTCATTCGCTCTTTGCAGTACTCCATTGGTACCCGCAAATTCTTCTCGTGTGCAAGCACCCAATCAGAGCGCGAAATGGTACCGTCTCCTTGCGATGTTGAGACATCGGAGAGCGTTAGCAAAGTCTTCCACCGGCGGTTTCCCAACCTTCGAACCCTATCGATATTTCTTTATGGACCCCCCAGCCATCATGAAGAATATGCAAATATGCTAGGACATTTGCAAAACGTCTATGTGCAAAGGATATCGATAACGATGAACGCACTAGAGTTACCGGGAGCCTACTTTGTTAAGAACGCTACCCTTCCTCCTTTACTCTACACTGATGGATGCGTCAGGGCAGTGGTAAGCTCGAAGCGTCCTGGATGTTTTATCTCGTACCAGAAGGCAATTGAATGGGAATATCCGGGAATCGAAGATGACACATGGAGAACTGGGTCACTGTGGCTCGGACCTCTTCATGAAGCAGACGCGACGTTGAAGTTATTGACTTATGCAGTGCTTATACCCGAGGAGGAGAAAGAGTATGCACTGCAAAAACATGAACCGGCCTTACTATGGGACATTACTCCTGCTGATTGGTATAGCAGCTGTAGCTTCGCATGAATTTATCCGACGTGTCTTGTCAAACTCTCTGCACACCGAAGGAGCATTTGGTTGCCGAGTGGAGCTGGATCCATGCAGCAGGCGGCATGCTCCATTTTATGGCGATCTCCTGCCCCAGCAAGACGACGTCAATGCAGACATGACGAAAGCTCCTTCCTGTCAAGTAACCCAATGATGCGCATCATGCGCGTTTCGTTTCGAGATGGCTGAGGCATCGAGGCTGAGGCATCGAGGCTGAGGCATCCGACGTTCCCGATGTTCCCACGTAACCGGTCCTTCTTGTGCGTGACGTTATGTGGGAACCATTCGGTCAGGCCGAATTCCTTTTTGGAAGCCATGCAAACCTCGGACAAGGAGTGTGGCATGAGGCACATGCCGAGAAATGCGATGACACGCTTTTGCTGCAACCGCCCGTGCCACAGCCACAGGTGGTGCGAGGAAGCTCTCTGGACGGGAATATGACAGTGGGGCTGTTTTCTGTAAAGCGAAGGTGCGGTGGCCGATGCGGTGATAGGGTCTTTGTTAGATGAGGATTGCAATTTACCCCACGGCGATTGCGGCGCATCGTAAGAGGAACAGGCTAGCGTACTTCTTTGTTGGGCAAGGCGCAGATAGGTGAAGCATGGGGTCAAACGTTAGAGAGGGTGGCGGCAGCCAATGGCGCGCAAGCCCCGACGATGCGCCAGCCGCTGCGCTCCAACGCCAGAGAGTATGGTCTGCCGACGCTCCCTCGACACCACTCGTGTCCGTTTTGTGCTTCATCGACAAACGTAGACGCCGGCGCTGCGATTCACTCACTTGCTCGCAACGTAGCACTCTGTACTCGATTCGTATTGCCCTCTATTTGCGATTGCCCCTCGCTGCTCGCTCGTTCGCGCCTGCCGCTCCCTGACGCCCGTACCCACTCTCGTTCGCGACCACCACACAGCACTTGTTGTTGTCGCATTCACCACGGCGCAAAGACAGCGACAATCGGCCGCGCAATAACAACACAGCCATTGTCGCTATACATATACGCAGCCGCAGCCGTCGGACAAGCCTGTTCCGCCGTCACCGCTGTTCAAGCCCTGCGCGTCTCAAACACAAGACGCTCCACCCGCACACCCTCTGGCTGTCATGCGCACGGCACTCTGGTAGCATACCGAACACCTACCTTTCTGGACAAGACCCCGTCCCCGGCCACCAGCCGCAATTCTCCGCCTGGAATTACAAGACCACCGCCCCTGTCGCTCTTTCTCTCGCTCGCTAGTGGTGAGCAGCCGGCCTGTCACCACCACATCGCGAACCACTCTCTGTCGGACTCGACCCGAAATTGCCTCTCTCCTTTTGGCTACCAAACACCACCCCATGTCCTAGCGACCCAAGTCACTCTTTAGACGAACAGCTGGACTGCAGGCCATCGTACCGTTGAGCGGATACATCCATACATACACACTTACGTACATACCGACTAATACCGAATACCACCAACCATGGGGTGCTGCGGAGATCGCGAAAAGGGCACCACCGTTACCGAGGAGCAGAAGTGGACTTACATTGTAAGCACTCGAGTGCGACAATTGAATTAGACGTGCTAATCCAGCTAGACCTTGTCCGACTTCAAGTCCACCTCGTGCCTCGCGCCTTTCTCTTACGCCTGGCTGTGGATACTCGTCTTCATCTCGTGTGCCGTGTATGCCGCCGACGCCTTCACGGCCGTCAATCTCCTTGCTTTTGACAAATGGACGAGCCAGGTCAAGCCTACCGTACCTTTCGACGTAGCCAAATGGATCTTCGCCATTACCATCATCATCTCTTATGTCTTTCTCGTATATCGATGGATCAGGGCTCTGCGCGTTATGCGCACAGGAAGTGTCACCGAGTGCTACCTCGAGCCATTGGCTGCTATACTGCAGAGTATGCGCATTACCAAGGCTGGCCAGGGCTGGCGTCGTTTTCTCGTCTTCGCCGAGTTGACCAAGAGTAAGAAGGGTGCCAACTACATCGCCCTTTTCGTCTACTTCCAGTTCAAGAGCGCCCTGCTCATCATTGTTGCACAAGGACCTCGCATTGCCCTCAACGCCATGACTTTGTACGCCGTCATGCAAGCGAACCTCTTGCCCGTCGGCGAGCATGCGTCAGAAGATCGCTCCAACTTCGAGCAGTTCTTCATGAACATCAAAGTCATGGTCGACACTGGCAACAAGCAGGAAACTGTAATCTACTTCACCATGTTGTTCTCCTTGGTCATCTGGGTCATCGCTGCGCTGGGTTTGATTGTTGCAGGGATACTATACCTCTTCTTTCTGTGGCACTACATTCCCAAGGCTGACGGAAGTCTTACCAACTACTGTCGGCGCAAGGTCGAGACTCGTCTGGAACGTATTGTGGGCAAGAAAATCAAGAAGGCGATTGAGAAACAGAACCAGCAGCTGAAGAGGGACGAAGAGCGAGCTATCAAGAAGGGCGAATTCGACGCGTCCAAATCTCGACCTACTCTGCCCAAGCTTGAGGGTGACGACGACGACACATCCACTGTCTTCTCGATGCAACGATCCGACACAATGAACACGACCGCAACGCTTCCCCAATATACCGTGTCGAATGCGCCAGCCTATAGGTCGAACCCCCCATCGCGCTCGAACACTTCCAACACCATCAACACGACGAATACTGGGCGAAATCTGATGAACAAACCGTCTCTGCCTACTCTAGACGAGCGACCTGGTATGCCAGAGCGGGACTTCACAAACTTCTCGACTGCCAGCTATGGTTCCAATGCCCCAATGTTGAGCCAAGCTGGAGGCATGGGCAGGTCATCACCAGCACCTCCGATGCCACCTCTAGACCGTAACGGCACTGGATATTTTGACGATCAACACAACCTGTCATTCCAACCAGAACGTTCATTCACACCGATGTCACAGGGCAGGGCATCTCCACTCCCACCACGCGGTCCTATGCCGCCTGTAGACACAAATTACAACAATTATCACAATTACGACAACGGGCGATACGAGAACGACTCCCAGTTGATCACTCCACTTTCCAACGATCAACGCGGCCCACCATCGTCTCACCCTAACCGCCCATATCAGGAGTTCAGCCCTTACGACAGTCGCGGGCCTCATATGGGTCCTGAGTATGAGCTGTCACCTGTTGATGTGAACCCAACAGAGGACATCTCCCAGCACTACTTCGCAGACTCGAACGTTGGGGACAACTACCAGCCACCTCAATTACCCAGCGCATTGAGATCTGGATCGCCTGCGCCTTCGCAACCCGCAGGCTTGCCATCTCAACCACGCGCAGGTACCGCGCCTCCACGATCTGGTACAGCACCGCCCCGAGCAGGCATACCAGCATCACTGCAGTCAGCAATCCAGCGTCGCGAGGCCTCACAACCTTTCCCTAACAGAGGCATGAATGGCTCTGCGCCACCCCAACAGCAGCGAAGTGCGACAGCACCAATCCAACAACCAGGCTGGGCACAAGGCCCTCCTCGCAGCTTCACACCCCAGGGTCCGGGTCCCCAGCAGCGTAGTTACACACCTGTGTCTGGACCCCAACAACGCAGCTACACACCCAATGCGCCGCGCGGCTACGACAACAGTTACAACTACTGATTTCTGAGATTCACTCTTCTCACGTAGCGTTGGATATCACATTATGCATTGTACGGCGTTCACTTCTCTCTCCCCCTCTTTCTTCTTTCCGTCTGTTGGACACAGAGGCGACCAACCCTTCTTTCCTTGCACCTTACATTCAAACTTTACGACATCTACCATTCGCTTCGATGTATGACAGCCAGATTTGACGATCGTGGTTACTTCTTTCGCTATAGCATGTTTCGAGATACCCCCACCCGCATGGCTGGCCTCGGACGTTCATTCGCTCTTTTTTGTTTCACGTAGCTGCTTGGGACGTTGATTGATTGGATGACTTACTGGCATATCTGGAGGAAACCTCTCATGAAGGAGGACGAAGAGAGGAATTTAGGCTTGTTGTCATCATACAGGTAGCATACAAAGGGTATGCGAAAAGCGGCGGGCTTGCGCAGTGGATCGCGCACCCTTGTATCATACACCCACCTTCTTGCGGTTCGCAGAATTCAATGAAGCTTGTGCATATGACAGCTACAACGCTCTTACTATGATGACCCAACACATGTTGTGCCTGTGTTGACTTCGATTTCCTCTCTATTACCTGCACCAATGTCGCATCGCTTGTGGCTCGTAACCAAACTCTTCACCATTGTTGGTCAACCACCAACGAAATCTCGCTTGTTTCTCTCTTATCTCCCAGCTCTGTGTGCTTTTCTTTATCGTTTCATATGATACGGGGAGTCACACCTCCAAGTTTTGTTGTTTCTCCAGATAAGATCCTTTCTTCTTCCTTGTGTATGAGCAAAAGCATGATGAAACGCCTCTTGAATCAGTAATCGAACCCAAGAGATGGGTACAAGGTACAAAACTGACTGATGTTGAGCTGGGTGCAACGGAAGAAGGAAGGCGATGATGCGGCAAAAGCAAACGAACGTTAATGAGCATTCCCGCATAGTTTGCAGCGGCTCATGCACATGTACATGTCGCAATGCTTAGTATGCGTTAGCCCACTGTCACATGCCTGATCTACACGATAAGCAGCATCTCAACGGCTTTAACACGTTTGTGTTGAATGCAAGTCATGCTAGAGCGAGGCTGATCTGTATGCTTTTCGTGTAGTTTGGAGTCAAATACTATCATGCGTCAAGTAAAGTTACCTGAATCCGAACGTTGACACATGATTACTGAAGCCTACTACGTTACTTCCCGCAAGCTGCAAGAATAGACAGGTGCTATCGTGCGATGTAACTAGACAATCTGTAGCCATTTCATGATGGGCCGATGCAGAGTGGCTTCGATGGACGGTTGGTGATAGTTGACAGATGAAAAGGTATGATGCAGCGATTGAAACATGCATGTACGATACTACTCATTTGAGCGACACCACTGCAGAATGTGCACTTTGCGCCTGCCCATTCTGTCTTGCTTGTCTCTGGCAACCTCTTACATAGACCACAACATGTGATTACATTGCAGAAGTCGGGAAAAAGAAATATTTTTTTTTTTACAACGGGACTCCACCAAGATAATCACGACTTCCTCAGCCATGTCCTTCGGCTATACCGTCTACGGAAATCCACGTGGCTGGCCGCGAGCCATCAAGTGTCTAACCAGTACCTAGTTGCTTTCCCTCTGCCATAACCCACAGACCCGCCGGGGCGTACCAGCACATGTCTACGTCCAGACCCTGAAGATACTACAACGGTACACTACAATTCAGCACCTCGTCTAGTGCATCGTCCGTCGTAAGAACCAGCAGTGATCCGTAATTTTCGGCTGACCTGACTTGTCAGCGGGCTGCCGGGAGATGCACAACCTGCATGTCCGCTCGGGACAACGAAGAGAAATATGTGGGGGCACGGGCGTATCGCTGAACGGTCGGTTGACATGCGCAGTTCGTTCTTCTTTGTTAGTTGCGGCGGGGGTGACAGCGATAAGGTGTTTGGTACACTATGAGTTCCTGATGAGTTAGTCGGTCTCACCACGTGAACGGGAGCCGAGCTCGGCAATTTGAGATACGGGCGCTCTGGTCCGTACCTAGATAGCACCCGGTCAGGCGACTATGGAAACAACAGCAGGCGGCTGGAACTGTAGCGTGAGTTTCTTTCTTCGAGCTCACAGTTGTTTGACAGGTGTTGCGACACAACGTAGGGTAACGTAATATCTCGTTTTTAATAGGATGACGCGGCGCCGTGGCAGCACGACAAAAACTGTCCAGAATGTCAGACGCGCGCAGTCGTGCCTTTCGCATACATGGCACTGCATCGCCTAGCTTTCTCGAGCACTGATACAGTTTGCTGCGTGTGGCGCATACGACCGCAGCTGCTCTCTCAAACATCAAAGTGTTGGATCATCATGTTGAGCTTCTGTGTTGCGAATCCACGCCGCACATACGCAGTGTCAGCGTGGATCGGCGAACCTGATCTTCAGTCAGCAGCGGTCCTGCCCAACCGAAATACGTTTGATCGACAGGCACCACAACCGCACCAACGCAGCGGTCCAGACGAATATCCGCCGAACCACGCAACGACACAGCCCATTGCCGAAACACACCAAAGCGGACGTTTTGACAGTTCAGGATAGTGTGACTGGAAAGTTTTGGTTCTCTGGACGTGCTTCGGTGTCTTGGTAGAAAAAAGGGCGGTGTCTTGGGCAATCTTGTGGCAATTTTATTTTTTGCGGCAGCGAAATTGACAGTTATTGAGTGAGGGGTTTCGGAGGCGAACCGCTGGTGCTGACATGTGTAAACATGGATTTCAAAACTCCGATACGTTGTTGTAAATGTTATTCTTGTTGTTAATTGCAATCCACGCAAGAGTGCGTGTGTTACAAGGCCTGGGTCCCCAACCTGAGCTCCGGAATATGGCGGCGATGAAATTGAGTCATCATTATGATCAATATGTCTACTGACACCTCGTGTCGATGTCTGATGCCACGTTCGTCATGTTGCATGCTGCTGCCCGATCTGACCGATATCCCCACCTGCGAACACGTCTGCAGAGTTCGTTATTGATCATGCATGCCCGTTGGCTGTGTAGTCGCCGAAAGAAATTCTTTCCAAGGAGAATTCTTAGGCATCTCACGTGTAATCGAGCATACAGACTCGAGGTATCACTGGTGAGTTTGCTCCACAGAGCCACAAATCCATCCACAAGCGAAATTACCTGTAGTTGTCTAGAACACATCCACTTTGTTGGCAGACTTACACCTAGTGACATCACACCAGCTTGGCTCTAAGTAGGTATCGATAAGCCGGCGACACTTGCGACGTCCTGCATAAATTTTTGTTGTCCGCTCCGTAGGGCGTTGCGCGGGTTGTGTGATTGGTGTAGCTATATAATCATGATGTTAGTGGTGCTAGTTCCGCCAATGGGAAGTTTTGAGAGACAAATGTTGAAATGTCGGACCGGCGGACGTTGGTGAGCTGCATGGCTGAACTAAGGAATTGTGGTGTGTCGCCTAGAGAACGACGACAGGGAGAATGCATGTCTGCATGCAGTGGTGTTTTCATGTATCTTGCTGGTTTCGCAAGGTATCAGCTGGCGCGGGGAGGTTGTGTTGTTGCCCGCATAGGTGAAGTTTGCTCAACTACGGATGCAACGCCAAAGGGCGATACGCAGCACTATCATGAGAAGACAAGACATAGGAAAGTAAGAGAGATGTCCGCGTTTCATGCCCGTTGAGGAATGGGTAGAGAACAAGCGGCCTGGTAGCAGACTTTACACATGATTTTCGCTTACCGGTCCGTTTAAGCTCGGAGGAGCATCATAGGGAAGTCCAGCGAACAGCGACCCACCACGTCGTGTGAGGCTTTTCTCGACACGGCTGGCGGTCCCGTTGGACGACAGGTCACTGGTGGGTAGTCGTCCAGATTTTCATCATGCATACACCGGCTACCACGTTGCGATAAAGAACCTTATCGTCCCGCTGACGGCACTGGGGCTCCACAAACGTTGCACCGGCACATGCTGCTGATCCGTGAGTGGAGGGAGTCCTGCCTAGGTGCAGATGGGCTGCATGTGTGGAGGCAGCAAAGGGAAAAAGTCGTCGGGTGTGGACATTTGCGTCACGATCCTGCTAAGGGATTGCTTGCTCTGACAGGGTTTTGTGGCGAGGCATGCATAACCGAGGGTGAGGGCTTGTCCGGCTTACAGACTGTTGTCGCGGCTGAATGAGGTGTGCATTGCGTCTGCACACGGCAGTGACAGTGATATAACGAGGTTGTGGACTCGTCAGGGCGGCGAAGGCTAGACTTGTTGGGGTAGGAAACACGTGCCGGAAGGTGACAGGAACACGCAGGCAACGCGGCCGATGTGCGAAAACGTTCTGGAATCTAGAGGGTCAGTGGAGACTGAGGCCTGCCCCAATCACATGTATCTGGGTTCCACTACGTGTAGATCGCAATTGCGCGGCCTTCCCTTGCAGGTCCGCGGTTGCTGAGTCGTGTGCCGCGTCTTGGTATTTGCGCGGTTGTGCTGTGAACGTCGAGCGTCAAGGGCTTTGCTTCATGGCCGCTTGCGAGTCTGGCCAAGGGCTGCCGGGGCTGCGACAGGCGATGGAGCGACGACGAGAGCACGAAAGCGGCTGAAACTTCGGAGCGCCAACTGTGCCTGAGCCAGGCACACCAATCAAAAAGGAGACCAAGCCATCATCGCGCACTATCCAGGGGTGCGACAGCCGGTGCCATTGGCCCTGACTAAATTAGTAACGGGGATAGTCCGCAGCGCGCTAGTCCTAGTCTGTCAGCCAGGAGATGAGATGGGGGCAGCCCGGCTCGAGGGCCACTCACCTTTGTCTGGCTGGCCGGCTTGTTTCCCTTTTCCTCTTCCCCTTCACCGTAACATATAACTCACCTATTGTCCCTCTTTTGAAAAGGCAAATTCGCGCGTTCACTCTTTCACGCCCGTCTTGCCGTCTGCTTGCTTGCTTGCTCGCTCACTCAGTCACTCATTACTCAACCCACAACAACAACTACCCAGCGCATCACGACACGCCGTTGAACGACGTTACGACTTGTCTGCCGTATAAATACCCAGCGCCATCATACTTCATACTCTTTTCGCAAAACCAAAATGCGTTACTCTTCCGCCGTGGTGCTGAGCACCGTTGTCGTTGGCCAGGCCGCTGCCGCCAACATGCACAACCGTCACGCCAGCTTCCATGCTCGCCGTCAAGCGTGAGTAGTATCTGCGAGTATACAATGGGACAAGATGCTAATCCTGTGAAGTGATGCCAAGCGCAGTGCCGGCAACGACGTGGACTGGAGCAAGGTCGCATACGACCTTAGTGATGTCGACTGGAGCTCCGTCTTCGCCACTCCTACACCCACTCCTGCTGCCGCTCCTAAGGTCGCTTCTGTCGCCGATGTGAAGGCTGCCGCCGAGCCCACCCCTTATGCCACCAAGGAGCAGCCCTCGACCACTGCCGCTGCTAAGCCTGCTGCCACCTCCGCTGAATCCAACGACTTGCTCGGCGACATTGGTGACGCCATCAGTGACATTGGCGACGACATCACCGACGCTGTCAGTGATTTCCTCGACGGTGTCTCGGAATGGGCCGAGAAGGTCAAGTGCAAGACTGGTCTCAACAAGAAGGCCGCCTGGGATGGTATCTGGATCGGCGGCGACAGCAAGTGGAAGGCCGAGTTCACCAACGACCGCTCCAACGAGGATATGATGCTCTCTTGCTGGCAAGCAAAGGGTTTCAGCGGCATGAGCCTCAACGTCAACAACCCTGACATCCTGGTCAAGGTTCCCGCTGGCAAGTCTATTGAGCTCTCCTTCAAGGAGAAGATGCCCTCCGCCTGCGCACCCTTCTACGCCAGCACCGCACTCGCCCAGTTCGGTGGTGTCAACAACACCTGGTGGGAGGTCACCTTCGGCCAGGACGGTGCCTTCGATGTCTCCCGTAACATTAACATGAACGGTGACAGCATCTACTCCAAGGGCTCCAAGTGCACCTCCGATATGAACACCTGTGTCTTCAAGTGCAAGAACGGTTTGGACACCTGCGAGAAGGGCTCCGACTACGACCTCTTCAACTGCGATGCCAGCGGTGGCGGTGGTGGTGGCTACGACGTTGTCATGGCTGGCACTGGTGGTGGTTGCTCCATGGGCCAGGACAGCGAGACCGTCAAGGTCGTCTTCTCCTAAGCTTTGCCACTATGAACAGGCTGGAGTTGGTCGTCTCTTGGGTCGTTTTGTGTATTACTCTTCGCCATATTCCCCCTTGTTCCTTGCCGACCTGAACATGTCTTCTTGCCAAGACAGTCTTCATGACTTAGTTGTCTGGCAAAATGCCCAAGCGCACTTTGGGTAGTGGTCGCAGGTCCATTCGCGTTATTTGTCAAGGCTCTTAGTGGTCTATGTGTATCTTGTAAATGTCTATTGTTAGTTCCGCAAATACCAAAAGCTGAAAAAAAAACACATCACCTTCCTTACTTGATCCGACGTTGAAGTTCTGGCGATCATGAGATTGCGCGTCACCATAGCTTGATGGATGATGATCGCGATCGGCCTGGCACCCATTCGGGAGGATCCTTGTCTTTCGATATTGGCGCTCGGCCATAAGTATGTTGCTTTCCTCAGGGTTGTTGCGCTCTAGCTCAGGCCATGAACCAGGACTCCGCAGGCCAATCTCCGAAGGTAATGCATATTCCCTGTGTATAGCTGATGTGTGCGTAGTGTTGGCAGACCCGTTGACGACTAACTCCCGCTTCACGATCTCGTTCCCGAGTGGCGCCGGATGCTTGAGGCTGCGATCGGAGGCCGCGCAGTCTGCTTGTAGCCCTGATTTATTGCTGCGTAAGAACTGTGAAGGCGAGATCTATATCACCCATTCCTGCCTTCGAGGAAGAGGCACTGGGTCAGATAGGTAGCGAATACGTCATACCATAGTTCAGATCGTTTCGGAGATGGCGCGTGCGTTGTTGCTTCTCGGGCGGACAAAGGGTAGGTACAACGAAGGGATAGGCGGCAGACATATGGCGCATACTGGAAGCAATGTCCATCGCAATGCAGTAGCTACGTGCATCCTTGGTCCACACGTGCAACAGTCGCGATTTAGTGCGTGGGAGTTGCAACTGCGACCTCGCGACAGAAGGTGGAAAGCGCGAGCATGAGATAGTAGTATAGAATTTTGTAATGCAATAGAGTAAAAGAGGTAGTTCCGATTATCGGATTCGCCAGGTGGCAATGTAATTGATACACGTTGAGTGTGAGACTGGGGAGGGAGGAACGATGTACAATCGAAAAGACACGAAGCACGTTGCGAAAGAGTTTCTGGGGAAACACTCTTCTTGCCACACACAAGAGAAAAGCTCAACCAGTGCAAGAATACCATGGCTTAGCTTACCGCCTACATTAGCTCCTGATGAGAACACTTGTGCAAGACAAATAGCATGTAGGCTTCGCTGTCCTTGCATGCTAGACAACAAGCTAAGCTGGATAACCGGCACGCACAAGAACCCCAAAATCACACGATGAGCTTCACCAGAATGACAAAACAACAACAGTGCAAATGGTTTCATAAATAATTCATTTCATGTGATACGCCCATTGCTATAGACAAACTCCGCATATGTCTGAGTGTCTAAGCAGCCGATTCCAACGCGAAAAGTGCTTTTCTACTCATACAAGTGGCAAGCTTCATGAATGCAACCAAAATCGACATGTAAGATGCAACATTTTCTGCCTCAGAGATCGACCATTTACAATTCGTCGTGGTCATCGGGCATCTCATCGTCACCACCGGGGCCGCCAGAGCCGTAGAGCTTGGAGGTGATGGGGTAGGCGACATCGGACAGCTTCTGGAACTGCTCGTCAAAGTCCTCAGCGGCAGCCTCTGAGGCGTTGCTCTCGAGCCAGTCCTGGGTCTCCTTGACAGCCTCGAGGAGAGACTCCTTGTCCTCTTCCTCGATCTTGCCACCAAGACCCTCGTCGTCGTTGACCTGGTTCTTGAGGCTGTAGGCGTAGTTCTCGAGCTTGTTACGGGACTCAATGCGCTCACGGTTGGCCTTGTCTTCCTCGGCGTACTTCTCGGCTTCCTCAACCATGCGCTCAATGTCCTCCTTGCTAAGACGGCCCTTGTCGTTGGTAATGGTGATGGACTCGCCCTTACCAGTGCCCTTGTCGATAGCGGAGACCTTGAGGATACCGTTGGCATCGAGCTCGAAAGTGACCTCAATCTGGGGAACACCACGGGGAGCGGGAGGAATGTTGGTCAGCTCGAACTTTCCGAGCTGGTTGTTGTCCTTAGTCATGCTTCTAGATATGAAGTCAGTGTATGTCTCATGTGCATTTCGTAGGATCAAAACTTACCGCTCTCCTTCGAAGACCTGGATCAGGACTACGGGCTGGTTGTCGGCGGCCGTAGAGAAGATCTGGCTCTTCTTGGTAGGGATGGTAGTACCACGCTTGATGAGGGTAGTCATGACGCCACCAGTGGTCTCAATACCAAGAGTGAGAGGGTTGACATCCATGAGAATGAGCTGGTCGGTAGCGGCGTCACCAGAGAGAACACCACCCTGAACGGCAGCACCGTAAGCAACAGCCTCATCAGGGTTAACATCCTTGCGAGCCTTCTTTCCGAAGAACTCCTCGAGCATGGCCTGGACCTTGGGAATACGGGTAGAGCCACCGACAAGAACGATGTCGTCGATGTCGCTCTTCTTCATCTTGGCGTCCTTGAGAACCTGTTCAACGGGCTTGAGGGTCTTCTTGAAGAGGTCGTTGTTGAGCTCCTCGAACTTGGCGCGGGTAAGAGTCTCGGAGAAATCCTTGCCCTTGTGGAAAGACTCGATTTCGATCTTGGTGGTCTTCTGGGATGAGAGGGTACGCTTGGCCTTCTCGACCTCACGCTTCAGCTTACCCATGGTCTTGGAGTCCTTGGTGATATCGACGTCGTTCTCCTTGTTATACTTCTTGGTGAAGTAGTTGATGACACGGTTGTCGAAGTCCTCACCACCGAGATGAGTGTCACCAGCGGTAGACTGGACCTCGAAAACGCCCTCTTCGATAGTGAGGATAGACACATCGAAAGTACCACCACCGAGATCGTAGACGAGAACCTGGCGTTCCTTCTGGTCGGTCTACAACGCATTAGTTCAATCCTCGTATTGCAACCGGTTCATGTCTTACCTTGTCGAGGCCGTAAGCCAGAGCGGCAGCGGTGGGCTCGTTCACAACACGGAGAACGTTGAGACCAGCGATAGTTCCGGCGTCCTTGGTGGCGGCACGCTGAGCGTCGTTGAAGTAGGCGGGAACGGTAACAACAGCGTTCTTGACAGACTCGCCGAGGTAGCTCTCCGCAACCTCCTTCATCTTAGCCAGAACCATGGCGGAAATCTCCTCGGGTGTGAAGGTAGTCTCCTTGCCGTGAACCTCAACGCCGACGTTGGGCTGGCCGTTCTTGTTGACAACCTTGAAGGGGAAGTGCTTGATGTCATTCTGAACAGACTTGTCCTTGAACTTCTGACCGATGAGACGTTTCTAATCCACAGTCAGTATGCCATGCTCCAAACAATCGTATACGGGGTTGTACGTACGATATCGAAGACGGTGCGTTCGGGGTTGGAGGCGAACTGGTTCTTGGCGGCGTCTCCGACAAGACGCTCGTCATCGGTGAAGGCTACCCAAGAAGGTGTGATACGGTTACCTGTAGAGGACACATGTCAGTTTTGGTGTATAGCATGGCTTGAACACGCAAACTTACCCTGGTCGTTGGTGATGATCTCAACCTTTCCGTTCTTCATAATACCGACACAAGAGTAGGTGGTTCCCAGGTCAATACCGATAACGGGGCCGGAGACAGCATTGCTGTCCTCCTTGATGGGTTCCTGGTCCTGGGCATGTGCTGTCTTAGCCAGCATCAGACCGCCGACGAGGACGAGGAGAAGGTAGAAGGCGATGGACCATGTTGAGCGCTGGTTGGCGCCCCGCGAGCTTCGTGCCATTGTGATGTGTTATGTGGTGTCTTTCAAAGACGGTGTGGCTTCAAGTGCCAGTTGCAAGTGCGGGCGTAACTCTCTTGGAGCTCGCAATGTGGTGGAGAAGACTGAGCTCTCCGGGTATCGTAAAGGAAGGAAAACAAAAGGCGAGTTGCGGTTGCTTGGTGGTGAGTGGAGGAGGAAGGGCAAGTAGCGGTGGGAAGGGCTACCTATTATATGGACCGCTCGTGGAAGTATTTCGAAAGAACACCTTGCGATCTCGAGGATCTTGCTCCGGAAGAGGACTAGCGCCGAGCTCGCCCATGGTCCGTTCACTTTGCCCCAACCGCCCGCATCAGCCTCAATTTCACCTGCGTTTGATGCAACATGTTACAGGACACGTGGAATTCAGGAAGCGCTTTCACTGCCCTCGTGTAATGTGTGACTCCGCGCTATGGAATAGCTGTAGGCCACCGTAGCTTCTGGTGCCGTCATTTAGAAAGCAAACAACGTCGCTATCTGTTATCGCGTGTTTAGTACAGTTTACCCCTCCATCTAAGCGAACTCGAACGTCTCGAGACCTCGGTGCCCTATCCATCTTGACTTTGCAACAGCCAATGAACATTTCAAAATTGTAAAACTCCCATGACTATCTTGTGCGAAACCTCCCGCGAATCTTGGTCATCCTGTGAGTAATCTCGGATGTGGTCCTGGATGTCCCCTCCCAAGCTTCCAGGTGTCCTTTCGGTAGGCTCCTAAATCGCTAAGCAGATCTACACGAGACACGGGTCCACCGCGAACATCATTCACCTTCATGACTCCTCCGTCTATATGCAACGTTTCCTCAAATCTTGTTGCCACCGGCTGTGAAGCGACAATGTTTCGGCGGTTTTCATAGTTGCCTGAAATGACAAGGGATTGAACCACGTATCCATCTGACCGCCGTTCACGACTGTCGTCCCATACTTACATTCACCAATGCATTCACCATTGACACGGACTTGCTTCTGAACTGAAAGGAGAATAGAAAAGCATCGGAATATTCTACGTCACGTCGCCTGATGCTTCATCTCGGATGTCTTGAGGTTGGCCAAGAGAATCTTCGCGATCTTTCCACTATCGCATTTCGCCGATCTGCCACTTCACCAGCAACCTCCATCACCATGCCTGCGCCAATGCCTGCTTCACGGTGCACAACATCGTAGCCCATTGTACACCGGATCTACTTCTCCAGGCAATGAAGCCTATGACTCCAGCACCTATGCCGTAAGGTACCGCATTCTTGGCAAACCTCGCCGCGACGTGCTTGAAGAACATATTCTGTTTCTGCCTGACCCTCTTCACGTGCTCTCCTCTCTTGTTCTTCACGGGAAATGGCGTGTTCGGTGTCTCTTTTTCCAAGAACTCACATAGCGGCTTCCACCCATCTTCTAAGCGTAGCTCGAGCAAGCGCTCCGCCGGCACCGCAGCTCGGACTTCTGCATAATGTTGCTTATATCGACCCTTAGCAACCCGTCGCATGTCCTTCACATTGCGGACGCCGTAGAAACCGAGCATGATTTTGCGGATTGTCTTGCCGCCGTTGAGCCCGTACAGCGGTCCCAACACGTTGATGACAATATCTGCGCGCAAACCCCACGTCGTACTAAAGATGGCCTCTTCCATACTGTCATACCACTCGTCGATATCACGCTCTACCAGGATAACCTTCGCCTCAGGGTAGGCCTCGATCAGTTGCGTCGCGAAGAATGATCCCATGTCGGTGACGGCTTCGTAAGGCCCAAAAAGCACATCCCAGTCTGCGCGCGTGAATGGCTGGCCCGTGTGGGTAGGGAGCACAGGAAAGAAGGCATCACAGGCCTTGCTGAACAACTGCCACTCAAGTGGTGAGCTTAGAGCCTGGATGCCATGATGTACACCTTCATATCCCAGCATCTCAAGAGCTTGAGTTATCGAGGCCGATCCTATTTCATAAGTTGGTTTCAGCCATCCTTTCAAGGCAGCTAGGCACGATGAAGGGAAGTCACAAGTCTAGGAAACTCACCAGTACGTGTCATTCCCAGTGAAAGCACCTTCAGCTCGCGTTTAGGACGGTCGGCCATTGCTCAGACAGAACTTGGTCTAGTAACGGAGAAAGGTCAATGAGTGTATACGGTCGGTAGTAAGATCAGACTGCATTCTATCTCTACCGCCCGAGGATTGGACAGGACAGCTATCACTGCGTGTCTGCTGTCCACCATGGACCGTGCTAGAGATGTTTTCGCAACGCATCTGCCAAAAAGCCAACCACGTGGTCAAGGGAGTGGCTATTTACCTGTGTTCCCATTCTATTGCCGAAGAGCGCCGACAGCCATCAGAACGATCCACGGGTATACCCCATTTCGGGTCTCAAAACGACCGGCCCGAACTTCAACGGACCGAGTAAAGTGCCCCTGCAAAGGCACAACAAATGATCGGCCAACACGCCAAACGTGCGACACATCATGCGCAACTACTATCTAGCTTTAGCGACGTGTTTTCGGGTAGGAAGAGTCCACGGCAAAAGGTATTTTAGGCAAAGCGGCGCTGTCAACCCCTTCAACTGACGATATCTCTTAAAGAGATGACAGAATGAGCTATCACCAGATGAGTTTGTATGCTGATGCAGTATACGTTGGACTTGGATTCTAATCAGTGCTAACTAATGTCTTGGCTTTATCGAAACCATGAGCGGCTTCTTCTCCCAGACCAAGTATGACTTCTGCGTGATCCACCAATCCTCCGAGCTACGGTCGAGGAAGATATTAAAGTTCCAGAAGAGCTTGGCTAAGGCAAGCCTCATCTCGTTCATTGCCATACTAAATAGGCAATGAGTCAGTGATGTACTAGTGACAAGAGAAGGGGAGTGGTTATGCTTACGTTTGCCCAATACAATCATGTCGACCGTAGGAGAAAGGGCGGGAGGCGCCGCGGTCATCGTGAGTGAACTCGCCTTCTTTCGTCTGCAGCCACCTCTCAGGGATGAATTCGAGAGGTCGATGCCAGTTCCATGGAACATGGCAGGCCGCCAGATTATGCACGCCTACGGCAGTCTTCGCGATTCGACTTGTCAGTAAAAGGTCACCTTGGCGCTAACAGACAAGGAAAGACTTACACCTCCCGGAACCCATTTGCCGTCTATCTCCTCTCCACCCTCCGGAACCCAGCGCGGCAAAGCTGAAGGTGTAGGAGGTGACATGCGCATCGTCTCCTCGATGCAAGCTTTCAAGTAGGGTAGTTCACCAGCAGCAACCATGGTAATGTTAGCCTCACTCGCGAATTTTTCTCGCACTTCAGCAACAACTCTAGCATAGACTTCTGGATGTCGACAGACGAAGAAGACGAAAGCAGTCATCGTATACCTAGCGTCCATGTATGAAGTCAGTGCATTTCTCACATGCGATTCTTTCAGGGTCGTTTTCTTACGTAGTCGTGTTGCTGCCCGCCACGATCAACGCACTTGCCATACCAAACAAGTCCATATTGCTTAAGTTTTCCCTGTCGTTACCAAGGATATAACTCATGAAATCCCTTCTCTTTCCCTTTCGTTTCCCGCTACGCTCCTCTTCGATCCGTCGCTGCACCTTCTGTAGCGTCAGAGTTTGGTGCCGCTTCCGCGCCTCCATGGCTGCTTTGGGCATGACCCATCTCAGAATCCACTCGATGTGGTAGTACACCGCAAATTGGTACCAGACAATACTCTTGACGCGCGACCCAATGACTTCTAGCCAGGGCTCATCTACACGGTCTAGACAGCCGGCCGGCTGACCAAAGGCTAGATCGCTCATGATATCGAAACTGAGTAGGGCAAACCATCGTAAGATGTTCTGCTCAGTGATACCATATTGTGGCTTTCGTAACTGTGCGGTCAGTCGATCAGTGTGGTCGCGGAAGAAGTCTTCTTGGTCGCGCAAGGCACGCTCACTGAAGGCGGGCTGGAGGGCACGGCGGAGGACAGTGTGCCGCTCGGGCGTCTCAGTGACAATGCTGCGGCGCCCGTTAACAACCGCTGGAGCGATACCACGACCATCTAGACACTTGAGGAACTCGCGCGGTGGTGGAGTGCCGTCTATTTTCTTCAAGGCTGTGCTGCTCGTATACGACAGCTCATCTGGAGCAACGCGTATCACGCTGCTATTGTAATACAAATGCATATCACGAATGCGCCATGCGAGATCTCCCTGTAGGCTGACATAGTTCCAGGGAACGCGGGAAATTGCCCAGAGTTTTGGACCTGGAAAGGCTGACAGAGGATGGAAGAAGAGGTAGTAGACGGAGCGAACGAGAAAGTACACGATGGGCTGTGCTCGATTAGACTTCTGCATTTGGCTATTACTTCTAGAGATATCGACCTACACTGATGCAGATGAGATAGGTTATAACAGACAGCATGTTCGCGTTGAAGCTGGTAGTCTTGCCTCTAGACTTGCTCGCTTTGATTTGTTTTTCGAGTCTTGAAGCAGCAGGTCCATCGCCGCGCCCTGAAGGGAGTGGTGCTGAACATGTTCCTCTTCCTGTGAGTATAACGAGCCAATTGAAACAAATAGGTATCCACGTGGTTCATTGATTTACTCCGAGCCTGTGATATCAAACAAAGCTGTAGATGCAATCTTCGGCTTTTACCACCCCACAGCTCAGGCTCTCGGTGGTATTGATACCCTGAAGCCGCATTCGGCCCGCCTTATAGCTTTAGTCGTCGTTGACTGTGACAATGACTCGCTGCCCGGTGTTCATACAACGGCGGTATGGATGAAAAAGGGAAAGACGATAACTGCACGTACACTGCGTTTTGTGCTATGTGTGGGGGGAAATGGCGTAACACCGGACTCATTCTTAAGATAGTACCAAACAACTGGTTGGAATGACCAGAAAAGTAAACCAATTACGATAAAGATGATACCAACGGCTCATTCGACGGCTACCCTCAATCGGCACATGACCGCAGCATCTCTTGCCACTGGACTGCCAGGGCTACACACAACAGTGAAGTTATGCCAATCGCGCTTCATGTCAATATCCAGACCCTCAATACTATCATACCTCTGCAACATCCTTGCTAGCACATATCCAGCCTCTGTAAGGGCAAATTGCTGGCCAATACAGATACGCGGTCCACCATTGAAAGGAACGTATTGCCAACTCAGTCCTGGCCTCCTCTTTTCCCATCGCTCAGGCACAAATTCGTCGGCGTCTTCGCCCCACAGATCTTTCCGTCGGTGCAGCACATGCGTACTGAAGTTGACTTCGGTACCCCTAGGTACGAACACAGGCATGCTTCCATCCGGTCCGCCGCCGACAGGAAGCGTCGTATCTCGTACAGCGCAGCGAGAGTTGAATGGGACGACTGAATGTAGCCGTAGTGTTTCGTTCAGAACATGCTGTAGGTATGTGCAGCTCTTGAGCTTCTCAAATGTTATCGTCTGCCCAACATTCGTTGAGTAAGGGCCAAACTCTGCAAGAACAGTTTCGCGGAGCTTTTTGTACACCCTCGGGTTTCTTACTAGGCAGTAGAAGACCCAGGCTGTAAGTGACGCTGTGGTGTCTCTGCCCGCGGCCAACAAGCCCAACACTTGCTCGCGTACCTCAGCGCGGTCAGAACAACGCGTACGGAGTGATTCGAGAAAGTCATAGCGGAGTTGTGATGAGCCTGACTTCCGTGCTTGATCAGCGGCATCTATGGCGCTGTCTACGAAAGTGTGAAGAGTGTTGATGCACTCTTCGAGTTCCTTGTTGCCGTATAACCAGTATAGGCTTCGTAGTCGCATTCTTGTCCCTAAGATGGCGAGCATGCGCTCGAAAGCATGATCGAAACTGTACTCATCGCTTTCGTCATTACTACTCTTTCGCTGCTGTTTGACAAGCGCTGTATTGAGGGAGTGTGTGCTCTGTCCGAGGAACAGTTCAGTTGCCGAATCCATAGTCAAACGCGGTAACAGTGCAGCCAAGCTCACAGGTGTCGACCATGCTCGGTTCTCAGCATCAGTCATCAATCCCTCGTTTTTAGTCTCTATGATCCGCAACATAGTCTGTAAGTGTTCCTCGAGCAACTCAAGCCGAGAAACATTCTCTCTACTGAAGATCGGCCGCATGGTCTCCCTTGCACGATGCCATGCTTTGCCATCCACAGCAAAGATACTGCGCCCAAGCGCCGTCTTCAAGTTTGTCCTCCTCGCTGTGCCCATGACGAAATCATCGAATTGCGTTGCGAGGAGTGCTTGTACGTTACGTGGATCGGCTGTGATAAGGTTCGATGTCCCCAACAGTGATAGTCCCCACGTATAGCGACCCATGGTTTCAAAGCGGGAAGCTATAAAATCAGGCGTTCTTTGCTCTTTGTCGGCTTGTAGGCTCCGGCATACGGTGTCGACGCCTAGAGGCCATCGAGTTGGCTCAAATGGCACTGAGCCACATCCGAGACGGCGGCTCTTGAGGAAGGTTTGTAAGGGTCTTACGAGAAAAGTATTGACAATGTGAATGATGAGCAATATACCCGCCCCTAGGATTGGAAGAAGTATTTGCATCTTGAATGATAGCGATTCGACACCTCTTGAGTTCGTACCGCTGCCTGGATGACGTGCCACTGGCGACTTAAATACACTAACGAGCCATTCATTCTCGGGCAGCAACTCGGGCCCACGTGTAGTACACTAGACATGGGATCTGTGCCCGCTCAAAGTCTTGGTCTGTGTGCTGACTGCCGCTGCCTATTTGACCTTCCTAGCAGGAAAAGCTAGGGGTGCCCGTCAAGATCACTATCGCAGTTCTAATGACGGATGCACATTATTTTCGCTATGTCTTGTTTGAGATCATGTCCAGCCACATTGCATCTACATGTACAGCTACTAGCTATTCACGTGACTAGCCATACATCATAAATATCGTGAGCACTCCTACAGCTTCTTATCATGCTGTCATTATTCAATCAAATCGGACACAGGCGTCAGCTTGACCTGCAAAGGCAGCTTTTCCCACACGAGGTAGGTGCCTTGCTGGTTCCACCAATCATTTTCGGGGTCGTGAAGCTCCCAGTCGAAATACCGTACCAACTTCGCCATCGTGAGAGACATCTCAGCATAGGCCATGGACCGTCCAATACAAGCCCTCTGACCATACGAGAATGGCTGAACTGCAGAACGGTCGTCATCCTTAAACTCGGAGTCGGGCTCGTCGAGCCAGCGCTCGGGATGGAACTCGCGCGCCTTCCTGAAGTTACGTTCGGAGTGGCCGGCCGCCAGCTGGTTAACACCAACAGCGTAACCCCCCGGAACCCATTTGCCTTCGATCATCTCACCCTTTCCAGGAACGAATCGTGGCAGCGAACCCGGTGTTGGCGGATAGAGACGCATACCCTCGTTGAGACAGGCGCGCAGGTACTTGCAGCTGGTCACCGCCTGAAGGGTCATATCCGCGCGGCTTTTGAACAAACTGCGTATTTCTTGTTTGAGCTTGTTCAACTTGTCTGGATTGCGCAGCAGAAGATATGTCAAGCCGGACATTCCACCGGCAGATGTGCCGCTACCTGCTACGATGAAGTTGGAAGAGAGCATCACAAGTTCGAGATGGTTGAGCTTTTCGTCGTTTTCGAGAATGTATGACATGAAGTCTTTGCCAGGGTTTTTAGCTTCAACTCGCGCCTTGAGCTTGGCCTCAGTCATAGCGATGTGTTTCTTCCTCGATTCGGTGACGTACTTTGGTGTCATCCAGTTGAGAAGATCCATAAATCCGTACTGTACGGCGAGCTGAAACCAGACAATGGCTTTGGCACGAGCGAGTATGGCTTGGATCCATGGTTGGTCAGGGTTGTTGACGCAGCCTGACGGCTCACCAAAAGCCAGATCGGATACGATGTCAAATGCGACGAGATTGTACCAAGTAGTCATATCTAGGGGTCCTTCTTTGCACCGTTGCTCCAGCTTCTGAACAAGATTGTCCGAGTGGTCTTGGAAGTAGCTCTCCTGTTCACGTCTAGCGTTATGAAGTCAGTATGGTCGAGCAACGCCTATAGAGTAAGGAAGGGCATTCAGACTCACAGTGCTCTTTGACTAAATGCAGGATCTATGGCCCTCCTCAGCCTCAGATGTCTGTCTTGGTGCTCCGTCATCAAGCTGCGTTGGCCACCGATACTTGCAGGCGCAATGCCCCTGCCGTCGAGAGCCTTGACGAACTCAGGGTTTCGCTGTCCATATATTTTCTTCCATGCGCCAGATGTCGTATACGAGATTTCATCTGGGGCGATACGCACAACAGGACCGTACTTGTCGTGGAGCTCGCGAATCTTCCAGCTGATGCGACCCTTCATATTTGCGCGATTCCATGGTAGGCGAGAGATGGCCCAGAGCTTTGGGCCTGGATAGCCAGCTAAGGGGCTTAGGTAGAGATTGTATACAACCTTGAGCAAGACATAAAGTAGTGGCTGCGCACTTTTGTGAGCTTTTGGGGGAGGTGATGCTGCCTCTGCGAACTTACAAACACAACTACACCGGCGGTGATGTTTGGAACTGTCAACGATGGCAATTGATCAAGCTGATGCGACAAGCCACCTAGTACAGAGGATAATGCCATGATACCTAAGTACTGTGGAATTACCAGAATACAGCGAGATCGATATCCAGCGCTCCAAGTCCCGGAAGAAAGACGATACAGTATTCTTCAGCCAGCATTCCAGCGACAGCTCGTACTGGCGGGGAAATCTACCGCGACATGTCTGTTTAGTACGCGCCTTCACTTAAGCGCTGCATTCTTCCTCCCTGCCCTCAGGCCTCGTAGTCACCGAGTGAAGGTGCCGAGCAAAAGTATCCAATAGGACCTCTTCATTGTTGCACGCTCAGCGAGAAAACGTGTATACAAAGATTACTCAAGGTGTTCTGGAGGGAAGATGCATATGTCTGTCCAGGTGACCCGGACTTTTATTCGGCCCTTGCAGGTCGGCCCGATCCCCTCTCCGAGATAACGTGCAAGCTGTTAGACATCGTGCAAATCGTTAACGTGTGGTGCGTGTACATTTGCGGGTACCATTTCCCCATGTGGGTTTCCTTACAGTAAGCAAATAACTATGTGAAGCTTGGCCACATGCTGTGGATATATGGCAAAGCTTGACCAAAGGTTGAGTGGAAAATGATTCAGGGGTTCTGCGCGAGTGTGCAAGGCAAGGTGGAGCCACCCTACACACACGAATGGGTCTAGAAGTGTGTCAGTTCTTCCTGCGTAGCAATCAGCACGCAGTATTGCTCGGTCGCAGGTTTGCCGGTATGCTGAGGTCTCCATCGACTACGACGACCAGTGACTACTACATTCGTAGCTGAGCACTTTGTTAATTGCAAGACCTTCTGTTTGGTCTAGTTTCTCCTTTTATTTACACATTCTCTGCATCACCATCAATATATCTGGTTGGCATTCATATTGCCGGTGCAAGTCCAGAACATGGATTGTCAGCAAAGCGGCGATGACCTCATCTCGCTGGCAGTCAAAATTCGCACTGAGCTTGAGCGAAAGCTATCTGACAAGGCGCGTATCCATCTACCATTTGATGAGGACAAAACAGAGTTCGAAAAAGCCAATTTGCGCTTTACTCAGTATGAGCGTCCAACGTACCTCGCTATTGTCGATCCAGTCTGTGAAGATGATGTGATCGAGGTCGTCAAGTACGCGAGGGAAAAGGGTATTCCATTCATACCTCGTGGCGGCCATCATTCAGTCACGACCACAATGGGACGCTTCCAGAATGGCATATGTATCAATATGCGTCCGCTCAACCAGATGCGATGGGATGCCGAGAAACGCCATGTCACTATTGGTGGTGGAGCGATAACTGATGAGTTCGTGCGCTTTGTGCATGACTTGGGTATGGAAGTTAGTATGTATCATGTGCCGCTTTGCTGGAGTGGTGTTATTAACGAGACAAAGATGTAGGATCATGCCCGACTACAGGGGTTATTGGTGTAGCATTTGGAGCGGGCCTAGGACGTTTGCAAGGAAAGTACGGCTTCCTGAACGATAACATGATTTCTTGCAAGCTCGTGCTCGCCGACGGGAGTATAGTGGTTGCATCCAACAATTCCCATCCGGATCTTTTCTGGGGCCTGCGGGGAGCAGGTCATAATTTCGGCATAGCACTTGAAGCTACCTTCCAGGTATATCCGCAAGCACATGGGGGTATACACCATACTTGGGATTTGGAGTACGCTCTATATCAGTGTGATGAGGTATTCAGGACGCTGAACAGCGTCTATGAGAGTATGCCTGTCGAACTGGCAATCTTCGTCTTATGGCTGCGCCAGAGTAGTGGTCGCAAGGTACGTCTTTTCATAAAGAGCATGTTGACGTCGCTTATAAGATTCAGCACATCATTCTTGTCAACTTGGTGTGGTCCGGTTCAGCTGCAGATGCGGATCCCTATGTGCAGCGTTTCGAATCTCTGAAGCCAGTCTTGAATAGCGGGCGAAAATCGATACCGTGGCCAGAACTACCTTTCACAACGTACAAAGAGATGAACAAGCTCTTCTGCAAGCCCGAAATCTGGCTTCGTGGTCCCTACAAGATGATGGGGGCCGCTTGCGTCGAAACGTTTGACCTGAAGACGACACGTGAGTTCTTCGAGAGTGTCAAATCCATGAGTGAGGAGTGGGAAGACCGTGGCTGGTTCAGCGCCATGTTTGAGTGTCTACCTGATCAGCGTGTTCGCGAGATCTCCGATGATGCGACGGCGTTTCCGTGGCGTGGAGGGTCAAACCATTTTCTGTGAGTCGACCCCCATTAACCCCTCTCGAGAACAGATCCTAACATGAGAGCCGCAGAATGCTGAATGCTACACCAAAGCGAATGGAGGATCGAAAGGTCTTTGAGGATCATCTCAACTACTGGAAGAGACGCTTCATTGAAACGTCTGGGTATGGCCGTTTGCAGCAATACGTGAGCTATGGCAACGGTACGTCGACTATGAAGGACCCGCCAGAGGCGCTATATGGCTACGAGCCGTGGAGGCTAGAGAAACTGCGGAAGCTCAAGCTGAAGTACGATCCGGATAATGTGTTTCGGTGGTACCAGCCACTTGTTGACTCGTGAGGTATCTTTTGCCGGTCTTGCAGCAGTTTTTGAACGTAGACATAGCCTATCGAAAACGCCATCTATCAAGCTGCCATTGGAGGCAAAGCAGTTTTTCTTGCGAACACGCATGTTTTTTTCCGCGTTGCGATGGTTTCATTCGTGTACTATGAAGCCTGTCGAAAGCTTTAGCAGGTTAGCAAATCTGACTACAAATGCCTGCTGAGTATCAAAACGCCGCCTGAGTATATGTCAGCCTGGAGAAAGGCCTGTAAATCCTAGCCTGACTTCAAAAACTGGTGAGCTCTTGGTCGCAGAGACGAGCAGACACTATAGCGTATTACGACTCATGTCGGGCCTCCAATGATGCCCAGAGAGATACGATGTGGGGAAATTTCTAGAGCCGACGCTCATAATTATCCGAGTATACGGGCCTTCAGTGGGTCCAGACAGTGTCGGTCTAAGTAGTGGGGACGACAGTGAACTCCACGGCGATGACAAACCTCGTTTACCCTGGTCGCTTTCACGCCCAAGAAAGGCTTGCCCCGAGAGCGACGAGCCGTCAACACCACGAGTCAGGACTTTTGCCTATAGTCAAGTTACACTCGTACAGCGCGGACTGGGTCGAAAGCGGAAGGAACCGTAATCGTTCTGAATCGGTGTTTCGAGAACCCACTCCGTGTACCCTTTGCACGCGTGTATCCGGGGAATCGCCATGCAGCGTGCTCGAACGACAAAGTGGGATTGGATGCTTTTTTCAAAATGTTTGACCGACTTCATATTGCTTCTGCCGAATCGAAAGACGGGGAATTTTCCTCGATGTGGCAGTTGTTCGGTCTTGACGCAAAGCCTGTACGATTAGTGAATGGATAGCAGACGTTACCTTCGAAGACGATATGTACCTGTAGTTTCCACGCCAGATTTCGTCAAATGGTATTTGAATAGCACATAATACCCCCATTGCCTCTCATTCGAGTGTGACCTTTCGTTCAGGTAACGCTGGAATTGACTTTCCCAACTGCCTGCCATTCCTCGTTAATATCCTCCATCACAGATCTACCACCATGAACAAGCCAGTCGCCATTATTGGTATCGCTTTTCGGGGGCCTGGCGATGCTAGAGACCCAGAGGCCTTCTACCGTATGCTCGTGGAAGGCCGTCATGCACGAACTGAGATCCCTAAGGATCGTTACAATGTCGACGCTTTCTACCACCCCGATGCAGAACGACTAGGCAGTATTCAACAAAGGTAGGCTCGATACAACTCTTCCTGTAGTCTGCTCACCATGCTAATCGCCTGTCGCGACAGGCATGCCCACTTCTTGCAACAAGACTTCAAGGTGTTCGATGCTCCATTCTTCAGCATCACACCAAAGGAGGCAAAGGCCATGGACCCAACGCATCGCATCCTTTTGGAGGCTACGTACGAGGGTTTTGAAAATGCCGGCTTGAGCCTGGAAAATATTTCAGGCACACAGACATCCTGCTACATTGGCACCTTCACAGCGGACTTTCCCAACTTGCAAGCACGCGATAACGAAGGTCCTTCCATATACCACGCAACTGGCATGTCAGCATCACTAGCTTCCAACAGATTATCATGGTTCTACAATCTTCGGGGCCCTTCCCTCACGGTCGATACGGCTTGCTCATCTAGTTTGACTGCATTTCACTTGGCATGTCAAAGCATTCGTACAGGAGAAGCTGAGATGAGCGTGGTTGGAGGCGCCAATCTCATGTTTGGACCAGATATGTCCATCTTGTTGGGAGCTGCAAAGATCTTGTCGCCAGAAGGCAAGAGCAAGATGTGGGATGCGAACGCGAATGGTTTTGCTCGTGGAGAGGGCTTTGGTGTCACAATTCTGAAGGTATGTACCCAGCGCAATCGCCATCTTTGAATATGCGACATTCGGTTGACAGGTGACAATACGTAGCCTCTAGATGCAGCGTTGCGCGATGGTGACAACATTCGAGCGGTCGTGCTGGCCACAGCCGCCAATGAAGATGGCCACACGCCTGGTATCTCACTGCCTAACAGTGAGGCGCAACAAGAGTTGATTCGAAGTGCATACAAGATGGCTGGCGTAGATCCAGCAGAGACGGGGTATGTCGAGGCACATGGGACGGGCACACAGGCTGGCGACCCGTTGGAGGCCCGAGCGATCCTGAAGACAGTTGGATCGGTTGAGGGCCGTAAGTCGGATCTCTATGTCGGATCTGTCAAGACGAATATTGGACATCTTGAAGGCGCAGCTGGTG